GTATAATTATAGTATTACTCTTTACTAAATTAATTTAATTAATAATAAAAAAAAACTAATTTTATACCTATCTAAAGCTTTTACTTTAGTAGAAATAAATTACTAGCTAATAGAACTAGAAACCGGAATACTAATATAGGTATTTCAGAAACTATTATAGTACCTTAATAGTTCCAAATTTATAATAGTAACTAACTATTCTATTATCTTAAACTCTTTCTAAGCTAAGATAAAACTAAAATAAAAAAATATTAGATTTATAAATTAAAGACTATTTCTAGTAAAATATACTAGCTAAATAAAGTTCTAATATTATCTAGGTAAGACTTATATTAATATAAATATATTATCTAGAATAAAAATAGTTATTACTAAGCTAGCTTACTAGCTTTTTAAGACTTTAGTAACCGAGAATATATTAATATTTACTATTTTCTATATATTTATAAATACTAAATCTAGCTAAGCTATCTAACTAAACGGAATTATTTCGGAAAGCAAATTAAAAAATCTTTAAGCTATAAGCCTTTATATAAATAAATAGTTTATATAAATACTAGCTTACTAACTTTCCCGGGATAAAAGCTTTAGCTAAATATATTATATTATATTAGGCTAGTTAAAAATATTCCCGAAATCCGAATTATTAATTATCTTTAAATCTTTCTATATTAATCTATATACCAAGTTCTTTTTTTTTTAGAAATAACTCCGGTTATAAGAGACTATATATACCTAATAAATTTACTAAATCTGTTTTTAAAATAGCTTATAATAAATAGACTTATATAGGAGCCAAACGGATTTATAATTTTCTTTATTACTATATCTTTTTCCTATAAATATAGAAAAGAATAAAGAAATATATTACTATATATCCCATTTACTAAAGATCTAAACCGGATATATATATTTTTTATAAATACCTATAACTAATTTTATTATTACTAAAATAACTCTTAATATTATATATTAATTTTATTACTGGATTACTAGATTCGAAAACTAGTAATAATATAATTATAATTATTACTAATATTTTAACTAAATAAATTAAAGTAATTTTAGGAAAGAAGATATAAATAAGATAAGACTAGGTAAAAGTATACTATAATTATTATTATAAGGAATTCAGGCTCCTAGATAAAATAATATCTAATTAGAACCTAAAGTTTACCTTATCTTTTTAAATAGAACTATACTTAATTCTTAATATCTGTCTTATATTTATTATATCTTATTATACCTAAATAAATAAAGTATCTAAAAGATCTAACCAGATTCTAATATATATACTAAGATATATAATAACTAGTTACTATAACTAAAGCAGGTAGAAAGAGCTATTATTAGCTATTTATTTTACCTTAAATAGTTACCCTAATAAATCTTCTAGTTTTTATTTTTTTAAATTATAATATAGCTACTAACCTAAGTTTATACTAGATATTACTAAAAGAGCTATTATCTAGAAATTAACTAAAAAGAATATAAAGTAATTTATTAAAAACTATTACTAGCTTTTTATAGAAGTATTCGAAGCTATTATATTAGCTTAAGCTAGAATAAAAGAAAATCGAAATAAAAAGAGGTAATTACTAGTATTATAATTCGAAGACTAAATTTTCTTAAAAGTAGCTAAGTTTACTAAATATAATTATAAACTTCTCTAGAACTTTACTAAACTATTTTTTATTAAACTCGGATCTTATTATATATAAAAAGTTATCTTATTATTAGCCTTTAAACTCGAATTACTAGAATAGCTATTTATTTATCCGGTAATATTTATTAATTATATAGAACTAGTATATTTAGATTTATATAATTATAAAATTCCCGGACTAGGGCCTATTAAAAATAAGAAATATATTATTAAATATATTATTACTAAAGAAATTCGGAGCGAATCCGGATATAAAAGCTACTAATTATAGTATCTAGTAAAATATATAAGTTATTGTCGCAGTGAGAATCACTGAATTGGGGCTAGCGCGATCGCTCTGCTTAGTCAGGATCTGTGCACTCACTTCCTGAAGCTTCACACTTCACTCAAGCTCTTTTCTAGCTAGTTCAATGAACTCTTTTACCATCCAATGCAACTCCCTACTCTGCGATCTATACGTGCATTAGTTATCTAAAGAAAGAATAATAACTCAGACGAATTTTATATATAAATATATCTAATCTAGTTAGAAAGTTTAAATAGGAATTACTAATTACTAAATTATAATCCTAAATCTCCTTATTACTGAATTTTGGTAAAGCTAGGCCTTACTAGTATAGCCTTATAATATGGAACTAAAATATATCTTACTAGTATAATCTCTTTAATAACTAGATATTTTTATTAATATACTAAAACTATTATTTATTTTATATTATTTTCTCGAATATATTATCTTATATTATATTTATAATTATTATATATTTACCTTAAATACTATATATATTTAATTTAGCTATAACTAAAATACCTAAAAATAAAGCTATTATAGCCTATTTAGCTATAGCTAAAAGAGCCGCCGGTATTAAAAAAAGCCTAATACCTAGTCTTATAACCCTAAAGACCCTAATAGGTAGCCTATATAAATAAGCCCTAATTCCGGTTACTAAGATTTCTAATAAATACTATAATATTTGTAATTATATCTTAAATCTTTTATAATTCTATAATTCTTATTTGAACTAGTATAAAGATAATTAGATCCTAATAATTAAATAAGATCTTTTTAAGGAATTATATTTAGTTTAGATACCAGAAAATAAACTTGATATAAGAATTAATAATAAGGTCTTTTTCGGAATGAATTAACTAGAGCTCTTTTATTTCTATAAATTGCTAGTTATAACTAAATATAATTATATATTAGTATTTAATCTTTAACTAATATATTTATAAGCTAGTATACTATATCCGGTATATAATAATAATATTATAATAAGTATATTACTAAATATAAAGGGCAGATATAATTATATTAAAGTAATCTATTATAATCTCTATATTAAAAAGATAAATAATATCTTTCTTACTAATAAATACCCTAATAATTAGCCGTATAATAACCGAACTTATACTAGTTACTTATTTAAACTATATTTTATATTTAAGAACTATTTAAAAAAAGGCTAATTATAATCGGATACCTGTATTATATATATCTAAATTAATAAGAATAAGAAGAGTAATATTATATTCTTAGGTAATAAGAACTTTAATCTAGTATTTATTACTAATAATTAATAGTATAATCTATATTATTACTTTATTAATATTTTCTCCGGAGATTATAAAAACCTGGTTTTAGTTATTAATAAACTAGTAAAAAGAGTATATTTTCTGGAAGCCTTATACTATAATAAACTATTTTAACCTTTAGGTTACTCAAGTGCTTTTAGTAAGGCCTATAATCGAATAAAAAACATACTTAAGAAGCTAGTAACTAAGAAAGACCTTACTTTAGAAAATAGAGACTTAGTCCTATATAATATTTCTTCTAGGGATTATAACCTAACTATTCTATTATATAAGATTATAGTATATATAGCCTTTTCTAGAATAATAAATAATATAGTAAATACTATCTATTATAATAAACTTTATTATATTTTTAACTAAAGTAAAAAGTAGGTCCGGGTATTAGATAAAATTATAAATAACTTATTATCCTAGTTTAACTAAGATAAAGAAAAGTCTATTATATTAACTAAAGAGCTAATTACTTATATTAGTAAGAGCCTCCAAGAATTATAGTACTAACTAGTAAATACTCTATTAACTACTTATATCCTATTACTAGAACTCAATTATATAATAGAAAATATACTAGATATTATATCTATTCTTACCCTATTACCTCTAGTAATTATTAATAAAGACTAATAATCCATTATCTAGGTAATAGCTATAGTTATTATAGAATCTATAAGTAATATCTTTATATATTTTCAAAAACAAATTAATTAGTAAAATCTAGTAATATTTAAAGATATGAATCCGGTCTAATTATAATTACTATTATTCTTATTACTATATAAAGCCCTATAAATAACTACTAAAGATACTAAGCAGACTAATAAAATACTTATATAAGCTTTACGGGGCCTATTATAACCTGCTATACCGGCCGGTATTATTAAGAGAGAAGCTATAAACTAGTTAGAATTACTATCCAAAAAGCTAGAATATTAGATAAGATCTATAGCCTAAATATTAATAGATAATCCAGAAATAGAATCCGAGAAAAGTAATACTAAGGTATTACTAGTTACTAGATAGTACTTACCCTATCCTAAGAATTAGAGATAGGTTCTAGACTTGCCTACCCAGGGCTCGAAATTCCCCTAAGGCCAAAAGGTATACTAAGCTTTTGGTATTACTCGTAAGGATATAATAGGAAAACTAAAGACGAAGCTAAAGTACTATATAAATTCCAAAGGACTAGGCCTATTATTACAAGGCATATAATTCGGCTATATAGAGGTGGTATCTAAGTAACTTAATTACTCTTATCTCGCGAGCTATAATATTATAATAATATAACCTTCCGGTTTATATTACTTCCTATATTAATATCTCTGCCTTTTTTTAGTATTCCAGATTACCTATATAGTTTGGGACCACTATTTAGTATAATAATAGCTGGGTGTTTAAGGATAGAACTTTAATAATATATATTCTCGGGCATTTAATAGATAGATAGATGGACGGATGAGTGGATAAACGGATAGACGGATAGATATATGGATATATGAATGGATTATTTTTTTCCTTTATTAATTTCCTTTTTGTTTTTAGATACTTTATTATACTAGCTTCTCTCGAGTGGACCACCATGCTACCGGAGTAGTATCTTTCTCCTGGAAGGGGGGGGAGATGTTGGGTGACGTATGGGGGTGGTGACGCCACCAGGGAAGGAACCAGCTAGCCGTTAGTCAGCCAAGCCATTTAGGGCTTCGAGCTTAGATACCAATAGAGTCGTCTTGCCTCTGTCTGCCTTCTCCTTACAAGTTTTGATGCTTATACCGCGAAGATGGTTCTCACAATCTACACTTTCCCCGTACTCCCAAGCACACCCATCCTGGTGATCTGCCTTCCACTGCCTCCAAATTTTCTTCGTCCCCACCTCCACGAACTCCATCAGCGGCACCGTCCCCGGATTCTCCTTCAGACACCCGCTAGAATCGCTCAAAACCAGCTCACTGAAGTTTATCCTTGTTATGCCTCACTCGACACGTTTCCTAGTGACCTCATTAGGAAAACCATTCGTCTTATGCAACACTAGAGTTACATTCCCCGTTGTCACCTCCCTAGCACTCTCCAACCCGCCATACTGAAGCCTTATTATTCTTCCCGCACCAACATCGGGCAGAAATCACACTCAATACTTTGATATATTATCTTACTGCAGAGTGCTTTGTTTCAATTAAACAGTCGTACAACACTATTCCATGCTATGCTGGGGTGAGGAAGTCGATCCTCGTATCTACAAATCGCTTCGGCTCGACCATCAGAACCGCAACCTGCTGTCCCGTCCGCGGCGCCATTTCGCTCTCCTGCGTGTACCATTCAGCGATCCCCGGTGTCTGGATTACTCTTTTCTGTACATGGATAGCGCCCTCCATGACATTGCTGTCGTCTACACTCCACTCCAAGCAGGGGATGACTTCGACGAGTATGGTTACGTGGGCTTCAATGCATATGATGTGGGGATGGCGCACGAGAGTTCGGATCCGCCGGCTTCATCCCCAAGTTTGAGTGGCACTCTCACAACGAAATCGGTGGCCGATGGCACTGGGCGGAGCAGCGGTTCCGCAGTGAACTCGTCAACAGCTGGGAGCACACCGAGCAATAACGCGATGGCGAATCCAGGAAATATCACCAGTACATCATTCACGTCCTCCACGCTATCCGGATCTTCCACATCGATCCCAACAATGTCCGTTGTTTCAGCGGCGAAAGGGATATTGATGACAACAATCGCAATTGCAGTTATGGTACCTTTTTCGATTTTGGCCTTCGCGGGGATGTTTTATATGTGGTGGAGGTATCGATGGCAACGAAAGAACAATTGCCATGCCCATGAAATGGGTACCCATGTTGCGAATGAGTACGAGTTAGACAGCAAGCATGTTAGGAAGGTGAAAATGGGGGTGCTTTCAGGGAATGCGAGAAGGATTTCAGTTTATGCTGTGCTGCCTGCTAACGGACGAGGATAGGTTTCGCAGTTGACTCGTGAGTATTAATGTCTGGCTCAAAGAGACACTTGTAGATGGCGACGAGATTGAATGAGGACTTTGTGGATATATACAATTGCAAGTATCACGTGACTACACACACCGACGAGATTCTCATTGAATCTGAGTGTCCTCGAACATTTGGTCAAGAGAAGAGAGATTTGAGTGGTGCAAGACAATCTAAATGTCAATTCTTCAAAGACTTCATTGTAGGGACTGTTATTGATTGTTCATTGAACTGGTGGTCTGATGTCTTGACCGCGTTCGTGGAGATATTTAAGGAAGAGAGATGGATTACTACCGAAATACGGAAAGACAAAATATTGAACCCGCTTGTAGGTCGGTCACCGCCTAAAAACATTTGTCAGCTCGCTCCCTGCATCGCAATACAGGACGACTACACAAGTGAAGACAATTAGGATGATCTCGTGAGTATCCCGCGACTCTCGAAGCTTGAGCTGATCAAGAGTTGGACTGCAATAGCCAAAATAACCAAGTAATGTGACTCGATCACCTTCGAGATGAGGAGTAAAAGTACAGTCAGCTTACTCAAACGCCCATCGTTGTTGAACGCAGCCTATCGGATGCTTGCAGTTGTAACAATGTTTTGTATGGTTAATTACAATTCAGCCTAACTTCATATACGGGAAGGTTTTTGATTGCATGCTTCAAAAGCATGCAAACTCCGTGTAACATTGTCGGGAATTTCGCAGTACAAGATGCATTCAGAATAGCAGAATGGGCCAACGACCACTTGGCCAACATGAAGACTGGCGTATACAGTTCTTGGAGGAAGTGGGACTGAAATGCAAGTCGTAGGGCTGCGGAAGTCTCGGACCCAAGGCACAACAGAAACCAAGGATTCCTCGTGTGACTCGGATCGAGGTTTCAGAGCATGGTAGAACCTGCAATCTGCACTCTTGCGATAATGGCAAAGTTCATGTGTGGTCCAGGAGTGTAGCATCACTAGCATACCCTCTTGGCCCTGCATAGAACTCCTATTCGGGACGCTGGTCCCTGATCTCACAGCATCCCCTTAGTAAAGTTGATATTAACAGTGGCAAAAGATGCAACATCTGACAATAGTCAAATGGGGAAATTGCAGAGCCTTGATCAGGTACTTGAACTGCCGATTACGTCGCGGGAGCCCGGATCGACAAATGCAGGAGTCAAATGAAGGATATGGGGCAACCAACAAGGAGCGCCCGTAGCTCCAAACCTCAGATACTCTGTGGTTGTGATCAGCCCTAGGCATTTTCTTGAAGTAGAAAAAACCGGCGAAAGCCAATTACGGTCGGAGGGAGCAGTTCTTGAAGCATTCAGTAAGTCGGCTTCGGCTGGATGAGTCCATGCATCCTGACGCGGCAAGATGGCCTCCACTCTTGCCCGCACTGGCGGAGATTGTTTGAGCAAAGTTGCGAAGCACGACCGGGGAGCTCGGATTAGTAAGACAGCCAGTCCTCCAGATGTGGGCGTCGAGGTTCTTTTCGAGAGCGCAGATGTGAGTGGTGTGCCAATACGACCGCGGAGTTCGGGTCGTGAGAGGGAGGGTTAAAGCCGACGATTTATGATTGATATGTAAGCAACAGCCCGCCCAGTTGATTAGTTCGGCCGCAGCTTGCCCCTCGACGAATAAAGTGATGGGGGATTGCCCCTAATAAGCAAGACGAGACGTGCGCGACACGCCGACAAGCACTACTAACGACTTATTAATCAGTCGGGCTTTTGGTCGGGTGCGTTATAATTCAGAGATATCCATTCTGGGAAGCCGCATTCTCCGCTGAAGAGGAACAGGGCGACGCTGCTTTGTGCTTTGCTCTGGTCACGTGGTGGTGGTCCCGGCGTACCGAGCATCAGACATCGAGGTCATCAAATCATCGATTGCATCACGCTTTCCCCAGCCAAGCCCGCGCCAGCCAAGCCAGTCCCAGCCCCGGCCGTTTCCATACCACAGTAGTCCATAGTCCAGGGTCTGGGAAGTCAGAGCATCGTCAAATCGAGGCATCGCTGCCCCCAAGGCCCTCTCCGTCCTCCGCTTGTCTTCTGCACCCTTTATTTTCTCACCGAGACTACGCGGTCGAAGTCCATCATCATGCAGTCAATCGCGCCAGCTCCCGTGCCTCAGAGCATGCAGAATCAGGTACAGTAACCTACCCCTCCCCCCCTCCCCATTGTCACAGTCCCTTCCCATCCCAAACCCAACCCGTTGCTGCCCCATCAGCCGGCAAGGGAGGGCAGCAGATCGCATTCGTAATCCGAAGCTTGCCCATCTTGAAGCGGCTGCCAGATTCGAAGACATTGCCTCCACTTCCCACACGCCTTCTTGACCACACGAGCTGACTCACTCTGACTTCTGCCACAGGACATGAGCGCTGATAATGGTACTGTCTCCCCTCTGCTCGTGCTCTTGCCCGCTCTCCGCTCTTGCGCCAAGCAGACAGTAATCCCACGCACACCCTACTATCATTGCTGACATGATACTCCCCCCTTTGGCAGACTTAAGAGCACAGCTCGCGGCCGTTATCAACACTTCCCAACACGGTCCTCATGGCTACAACGACGTGCAGGCATCGAGCAGCGCAAGTCCCCACGACCACAACATCGACCCGGCGATCGGCGGCCCAGGAGGAATGATGAGCACAGGCGGAGACAGCGGCGGAGACGACAGTTTGGGTGACGGGCGCAAAGGGGGTGGAAAGCGCGAGCTGTCGCAGTCGAAGCGCGCTGCGCAGAATCGAGCAGCCCAGGTACGTTCCGTTGCTTGCGATGGCCCGTTCTGTCGTGTGTTCGCTTTTCACGATGATCATTGTTTATTGAAGTTGGGGATACCTCGTTAAGGTTTCTTGATGGTCTCCTTGCTTTGTCAATTCTCATGTCATCCAGAGACCCCAAGCTTACGTAACCTCCCATCACAGCGTGCGTTCAGACAACGAAAGGAAGGATATATCAAGAAGCTTGAGGAGCAGGTCCGAGAGTTACACAATCTGGAGGACAATTTTAAAGCGATCCAGGCGGAGAATTATTCGTTGAGGGAGTACATCATCCATCTCCAATCGCGCCTCATCGAGTCGCAAGGCGACTATCCGCAACCACCACCCAACGTCAACCTTAGCCATCCCCATGCTCGACATGAACATCTTGATCATCTCCAACGACGTGATGGAGCACCCGTAGCACCTATGGCACCAATGAGTCAGCTCCAGGCCTCAGCAGCTCGGACTTTAGCTGCGGCTGGACTTCAATCTGCAAAGCATGGACAGGAGGAGCACAGTTATGATCATGCCAAGAGATACAAGGAATCAGCAGAAGATACTGCAGCCGACGAAGAGATCATCCGTTCTCAGCTTCAGGCGAGTGCGGAAGGTCCAAATACTATGTCAATGTAAAAACTGTTTTTGGTTGATGGCGTTGTTGGAGGATATGGCGTTGCCTTGTAATACTGGCTCTGGCTTCACTCACGAGTGCATGCGTTTTGGGAGGTTCTGTCTGACATTGCTCATCATTAAAACGGTTAGACAAAGGTTATAGCAAATCAACTGTAGCAAAGCGAGTTGTTTTTATTCTTCCTTTTATGACGCCTAAGAAGCAAGTCTCGTGAACCCCTTGTTGACGCCATTCAAGAATACGCATTGCCAAGATCATGTTCCTAAAAAAAACGTTAGTTCTGACAACTCTGAAGTTTAATATAGACTCACCTTCATGTACTCTGAGCCCTTCTCAAGATACTCCTCCCTAGTAATAGCAGCATTCTTCCACGCACTACCTCCCGCCCACTTCGCAGCACCTTTCCAAGCATCCAAGATAGGATCCTTTGCTCTTCGTAGCGCCAACGGAGAACCAGCTGGCAGGGAAGCCCTTAAGCCATCTCTCAACCTCTCATCGAAATTCTGGAACATCGAGCTTCCACCTGTCAAAAAGATGTCCTTCAAAAATTCTTCCTGCCTTGCAACGCCATTCAATCGGTGCGTCAGGATATCAGCTGCAATCTCAACAATTCCAGCTTGATCCAGACCTGCGATCGATGGTTGGAAAATGACTTCAGGAACCCGAATGCGCTCGACGTTTAGGTGGAGTTGGTGAGCTTCTGCTTGGCTTTTTGGGTCGAAAGGCCGTGGTCCACGGAGGAAAGCATGAACAAGACTCTTCGTCCAGTCAGTTTGTGCATCAAGAGTATGCTGGTCCGTAAAGTCCGGATCGTATTTCAACAGATCGGTTTCAAGCGTCTTTAAACTTGCACCAAGATCTTCCTCTTCTTCGTCGTCGCTACCTTCTCCCGTGGCTATCTGACGATACACACCCCAATCATCATCGTTAGCACCAAAATTGTCATCATCACCTCCGCGTCTGCGTTTCTTAGTTGGGTTATCTGAGGCTAGGTTCGCAATGCTCTTCATTCGGATCTGGCTTGCAAGAGATTTGCGGTTACCCAAATCAGCCTTTAGACGTTCTCTATCTTTCATCTTCTGGATAAGGTCTGCACGAGCGTTGCGCCGCTCTTGCAGCCACCCTTCGAGATCCTTTTCTCGCTTCTCTTCGTCAAGTCGTCGCTCTTCTGCTACTCGGGCTTTCTCCTTTTCTTTCTCCGCTTTGGCTCGGGCTCGAGCTTCGTGGTTGGATTTCATGAGGCGTTGATGACGTTTTTGTTTGAGTCCTGCTTCGTCGAGTTGGTCGTCGGGGATTTCAAGGAGGCTGAAATCGGGCTCTTCTACTTCCTCTTCCACTTCTGGGCCTCCCACATCCTTCGTTCTGGCTTTGCGAATGGATTTGTCGAGCTCTTTAATTGTTCTTTCGAGCGCTGCTTCATCTTTCAAATCCTCAGAATCCAGCAACCGCTTGACTTCCTTCTTACTCTCGTTTGCAAGTTTCGATTGCAAATCCCTGTAGTAATCGAGTTCTTGCTCCTTTCTGATTAATTTCTCGAGTCTCATCTTAGCCGCTTGCTCTTGTAATCGTCTCCCGCTCTCCTTTCTCTTTTCCGCTATTCGGGCAAGCTCTTCTTCGCTCTTTTGAACGATTATTTCTTCGGTGTAAGGGTATTGGATGACATGGTCACGGTCTTCCAGCCCCGTCCAGTCAAGGCATGTGCTTAATTCTTTGTCGTAGCCTTTGGACAGGTAACAGTGATCGCGGATCATGTACTCAGTTTGAGAAGAGTTGAGCTTTCCAGGGAACGTGGGGTATTTTAATCGGATGAGCTTGAGCAGGTATTCGGCACTTTGTGAGCCACCCCAATTCAAACGTGTTGCTTGAGTCAAGAGAGCTTTGGAGTTAAGTACTGGAATGAGGTGTGTCGAACTGTGGGAAGAGGATACGACAAGTCCAGTCTTGCCGTTGTTGTAGTCGTATGAGAAAAGGGAGTCGATGCCATACGCTAGGGAGGGTGCAGAATAGCACTCAAAGATGATCTCGGTCATAGCTAGAATTTTGTGTCAGTGAGGCTTGCATTCTGAAGGAGGAGAATTATACATTTGCGAGAGTATGGGAGGTTGGCCACGGCTTCTGTCATGACAATGGGCACATCGACTCCCCCATTTGACCCTTCAACCCCCATCTTGATGAAAACGTAGTCCAATAACGACTCCATCACATCCCAATTACTCACTATCCCACTCCCTGCCTCGAAGGCATTTCTCATATGTCCGCGAGCAGTTGTGTCGGCAAGCACATCATTCCCGACAAAGGAGTACGTCTTGCCCAGCTTTCGGTCTCGGTATTTGGAGAAGATAGGTGTGATATTGAACCGAGGTGCATCTTCAAAGGACCAGCCAGCTCGAGTTCCAGACGAACCTGTGCATTAGGTATTAGCAAACGTGTTCTTGATGTCGGCGCAAAGGTGCAGCATTACCATTGTCAATCACAATTGCTGCACGGTCGCCACCGCGCGACTTCGCTTTTTGGTATCCATCTGGCTGGGGCTCGATGAATTTCTCAAAATGAGCTTCTCGAGGCGGGTACAGTTGTGGTGGCGGGACATTATTCTCTGGTTCAGCATCATGCATCGGGGTGTCGATCGCAGAGGGCGCCATTTTGGAGGTTTGTGGAACTTTCGCTGTTGGGAAGATGTTAGGTCATGGTGGATGGTTGTAGATATTATATGTTGAAGTTGAAAATAGATTAGGTTTGATGTTGCGAATTATAGCAGCGTCGACTAAGCAATTCGTACTTTGGTTTCGTGGCTGGTAGTTCATGTTTTCGGCAAGGCTGCAAGTTGGCGATCCGACAAGGCTGTCGTGGAGGGAGACGCTGCTTTTAACTTGAAGACAAACTATACTTTTCAATTCACTTCTTTTGGTTTTGCAGGTTGTATTTGGTATCATTCATCATTCATCGCTGTCAAGACTCTATTCTATGCACATTCCTTCAACTCCCTGTAACCTAAACCCAACCCATCCCTTCAAGTACACAATCATGAGGGATCCTTTAGAGAGTCCGTTGCTTTTAAATGATCAGTATGAAGATCTTGGAGAAAAGAGGTGAGGAAGCAACCTTCTAGATGGAAAAGCACGTTTGATTGATAATTCTTAAACATCTGGGCGACCAACTCGACATTCATATTCTGGATGTTGATTTCCTACATTATATTAGATATTTGCATCAAGCAGAAAAGTTCTTGATTCAAGACTCTTACTTGAAGACTCTTGTTCAAGAGCATGATGGCTTCATTGAGCTTCTCCTGCTCAAAATCAGTGGTTGCTTATAACAGTGTTGACGGGCTCTTCATACCACATTCGTGATGATACGGGAGAGCAGCAAATTCTGCTGATGCTCGTGAGGGCTTTCCTGTTCTTCAGTCAACATAAAACACTCGAAGAAATGGTCTACTTTGCTCACCATGGTTTTTGCTTGATGTTCTTGATTCCAAGTCGCGAGATCCGACGCGTCGGGATGATTCAAATACGGTGGATTCTCGGACACAAATACCACTCCATGAAGCCAGAAAAAGCGGCATCCCCACGTGATGGTCTCCACCACAGCTCAAGCTCCCTTTGCGAGGACCTCCCCAACCAAAAACAACCTCCATTCCAATACATCTCCATACCTCCAACAAAAAGTCTAACCTGAGCCCATCATGGCCCCCGCGACTCCAGACGCTGACGCCCATCAGCAGCTCATCGACCAGCTCGACATCCATTCCATCCACAAATCCTTCCGAAATCACCATTGGAAACCCAACCAACGTCGTAACAAGAACATCAAAACCATACTTGGCGATGCAGTTCGTAAGGAAGCTTCTCTCATGCCAACTCAAGACAACAGCGGCGCTGTAACTCCCAACCAAGACGAATCCAGCACCTCCACTGATGGAGACTCTACGCCAGCCGTCTCCACTCCGGGCTCTATCCAACTGCCCAATCTGGCACAAGCATCGAGGAACCTGTCAAAGCTCGTATTAGAGAGGAATATGAGGTCTAATGGGTTCTCGACTGCGCCGAATGCTACATATACAAATATCGAGTCTGCACCTTCACTGGCGCATCCGAAGCACTATTGTGACATTACGGGATTGTCAGCCCCGTATACGGACCCGAAGACTAGGTTGAGGTATCATGATAAGGAGATCTTTGGGGTCATCAGGTCATTGGGGCAGGGTGTTGCAGAGCAGTATTTGGAGGCTCGCGGGGCGCATACGATCTTGAAGTGAGGGAAGAGAGGGAATTCAGTGCATTTGCACTGTAGAATATACAATTGGGGCTTGCAGAAGAGGGTTCATAGGCAAAGGGAGACAGGAACCTCAAGCAATAGGAGAGAGGGCCGGGGAATGGATGTTACGCCCTTGTTTGTGGAAATCTTGCCAACTGCCAGCCCACACTTCACTCCAGCTCAGCCTGCTCAAAGACGACCTCAATAGCAACACAACAGAGCACCACATCCAGCATGTCCGACCGACAAAGTCAAGCTCCTTCCACCCACTGATCACCTCTCGATGACCAGTTCAAGAAGACGCTCCGGCTTAATCGCGATCTCAAACCTCAATATCTGCCTTGGAACGACGGGCTACCGAGAGAATATTGAATAATAAACTCAGTCATCAGAACATGACGCTCTGATCGTCTTGGCAATTACCTTTCCTTCCCCCCCTCAAAAAGCCGTGCTCGAGGGACTTTGAAGAGGCTTGTGACGCTTTGTGAAACGCTGCTGCTCCAGAAATAAACCTAAATAGTCCTCATTGTTGAAATACACTGCCTTTATGCCCTAATCATTAAACAAAAGCCACTCCCGAGTGCTGAATGGATCTTCGTACTCCTCAATTCACTGTTGTGGAAGGCAAATATTGAGTTGGAGAATTGATCGTCGAAGCCAGAGAAAAATCACAAGCTAAAAAAGCTCTCCCTCGAGTTCGCGGGAAACGTGGCGCGTTGTGGCCCGCGTCTCCTTTTTAAAAGATTCCCAACCATCGAGGCCAGCTCTCCACTACCAAGAAGTCTGCGCACACGAGCAAGTCAAATAGTCAAATTTCTCCACTTCCTGTCGTACTTGGTCCGGAAGGATATAATTCAAGATGCCTACCATGTGGCTCTCAGATTCCCAAAGTACGTTCCCCTTCCCGTTCCGCCAAATCCGGGCCTCGAGTCTATGAATGCGCCGAGAGGAATTTACGCAGCACAAGTTGATAGTGCAAGAACATTGGCTAATGGATATACTCTGCAGAGATTGGTGTAGCGTTCTGCTCAGGTGGTAGGTATGCGGGCTTCCTATGTGCTTCGGCGCATTGCTCCGTGCTAACTGTGCTCCTCCAGGTGGATTCTTCTTGATTGGAGGCGTGATTATGTTTTTTGATAGAGCTATGTATGTTCCTCTTCTCCCCCTCCCAAATTCCTAGCTAACTTCGGCTCACAGGCTTGCAATGGGCAACGGATGTCCTCCCCGCTCGGCTTCAACAACACCACTAACAACCAACAGATCCTCTTCCTCATCGGCCTCACAATAATCATCGGGCCCCAAAAGACCGCTCTCTTCTTCGCCCGCCGGCAGAAACTAAAAGGCACCGCCGCTTTCTTCGGAGGCCTCTTCTTGATCCTCATGCGCTGGGCGCTGGTCGGTTTCTTGGTCGAGCTCTACGGGATATTTATACTGTTTGGAGATTTCTTGGGGACGATTGCAGGATTTGCCAGGAGTACACCGGTGATTGGGCCGTGGATAGGGGTGTTGGTTGATAGGGCGGGGGTGTCTGTTAGGGGGAGTGAGTTACCTGTTTGAGGGAGAGAAGAAATGTTGGGAAATGGAAGATTTTCTCGGGAAATAAGGAATGCGAGGCGAGGACCCATGAAGATGAAACTTGGGAAAGATGTTGTGAACAGGGAATATATGACGAGACATGGCGTTAGATTGTATATTACAGGAGTTGGAATCTTCTTGCTAGCTGGCGTTTGGGCTTAGACACTGGCTGCTAAGCTTCACAGGAAAACTAATACTCCTCGAGGAGAGAGAAGTTGTGGAATATATACCCAATAATGCCAGAATCTTTACCTTCAGGGTAATTTCTGTTGAAATGTTCGGTTTGATTGAGTCTTCGCCGAATATGGTGCTGAAGCCATGGAATTCTGAAAATGTGAAAAAGACAAAACATAGAGAAATCGTAGAGCAATGCGTTTGTTATAAAGTCCATTCACTCATCACCTATGCAAAGCTTTCCCAAACGCTTTCCTGCAAGGTCATCAACTTCCACCAGATGTACCACTCTGCCCGTGATCGTAAAGACACTATTCTAGTATCTGTCTTATGAATGCCGAAAGAAGGTCCCCCCCCATTGTGTGATTATTCGCTTCCCTGCCCTACAATATCACCCCGCAACTCTGACATACAATCTCCTCGCCCACCATCATTGCACCACTAGTAACCCGTCTTGATGAGATAATCCGCCAGTTGCTCGACCGTTGTAGCTGTGTTCCCCGCAATCATACCATCTTTGTAGTGGGCAATGAGGATAGCCATCTTGGTCTTGACAATGACAACGCCTTCTCTGCCCTGTATTCCAAAAACGTCAGCCAGACTCGCAATGATGCTGACAGATTCATCGCTCGAGGCCATCCAGGTGGAAGGCGAATAGGCGGTAAGAAAAGAGACCCCACCTTTCTGGCGTAAAGACTTCTATCCTCAGCCTTTGTCAGAACGTATCTCTCACCAGCAACGTGCAGCCCATCGGCAAATAACTTCTCGGGCTTTCCAGACAGACCGGTAATCACTTCTTGGATCTCAGCCGGTGACAACTATCCCATGGTCAGCTCATCCTCTTCATCCATGCCGTCCTTCCCGTATCCAATTCCAAACTTTCTCAACTATAGCTTCAAGTCCTGGGATATAGAGGAAATAAGTGCTGGTCAGACGTACTTCGAAGCCAGTGCTGCCTGCCCATTTGCTGTCGCCTGCGATGCTGTAGATTGCTCCTTTATTGACATGACCACTGCCCACCATGCTGTCTTTCCATTAACTCAATCCCATACGCTATATCTAGCTTGACTTTCGAGATCGAGACATACCTAGAGTCAACATATGCTATTATCTCCAAGTCAGCCTAGCTCAGGGAGGGGTAATGATCGGGGAGCTTCACGCACCCTGCCACGACATCGTCAGTGTTTTTGGTGCAAATTAATGACTAATCGAGGTAGCCGCTGATTTTCGAAAGTGAGATTGAACAGCAGAGTTTGGATTCAACCCGTGTCTGATGGGAAGATGTGGTTGTAGTTGTGATGTGATCTGCTCTCGCGCGTAACAGGATTTAGCGAGCGAAACCTTGGTGGGGTCGCCGTGTCAACAATTTTGACGGCACGGTAAAGCAGATCTGGGAATGCTCAGGCGCATTGAGGATTGAGTGCCACTCAAGATCTGCCGAGTCTGTTCTCCAAGTGGGAGCCTCAAAAGCAGCCCAGTTACAAAACAGTGTGAGGTAGATTGGAGGCAACAAGATTTCTCTGAAGTCACGTTTATTTGTGGAGCTGTGCGAGTCAGGGGTACCTCCACTGTTGTTTTTCCCACGTGAGCAATGCACCTCGACGGCATAACTTGCACATTTATGCCTCTAACACAGTCAACAGCGTGTCTGAGGATGTTGTTGTAGAGTACTGCTTCGCCACTTAATATAATATCTGCCTGGTGGCGAGGACCATGTCCCTGAACTTCTGAAGATACCTGGCCAGCCAAGGTAAGAGGATTCTCGCAAATTAACAGGCTCACCTTTTCATGTGCGGCAGGCTGGTCTCGAGAGCCCTGGTTCCGGAGGCAGTCTTCGCGTCGGCAATATCCAGACGAGCTTCCCCAGAGTTTGAGAGCAGGCCTCCGTTGTATGAACTTCTGGAAGCCTCATTCCCTGCGAGGGTCAAACGTCTCACTGATCTTGGCAGAGGGTTGCACGTGACTAAACGGAATCCCTTCCTCTCCTGACAGATGTACCTCAACGCCCGTTCACCTGACGTGTTGATGAAGTATAAACGTGGTGATCGTACCAAGGAGCTCAGATCCTCCGAATATTTCGAGTGACAGCGGACTATGGAGATCACATTCTTGCTAAGAGGGAAGCATTGCGGAGATGGAGAATTATCGGCATCGTCTAGTGGGGCTCTCCTTGTTACAGATACTTATGAAACTGGGACCACCAACAGATATAGTCATTCGTACGGAGGACGACATCAGACGATCTGTTACGATGGATGGAATGCCAGCCATCAACTGAAGTCTAACGCAAAGGAGCTCGCACAACATGCGGCCTCGGGCCGGTGAGCCAGTTCTTGGGGTACTTTGCTGCATTATTAGAAGCAGTTGTCCTGACCAGAGATCGCGCTGCGTCTGTTTCTATCCTCGGTTTCGTTTTGTTCTCAATTCGTCATTCAGCTCTCAACTCCGGGGGGAAGGCCCTCCTCGACCGAGGCCAGGACGTCGGACAATTTTGCAGCACATACTCTTTGTTTGGATACGATTGTTACGAAGGCGCACAGCCGTGGGTGGGACGTGAGTGCCTTACCATTTGAGTAAAGGAAGTTGGTGCCTCACGAAACCTTTGCCATACGGATAATACAGTACGAAAGGTACAGTACTTGGTAATCGGATCTCTTTGTTTCATGTCCCTCTGGCCCCTCCCCGACCCGCCACATTTTTGATCACAGCCGGCATGAAGCGGACTTGTCCCGCATCGGCTGCCCACAGCAACGGAGCTCACCACCACCTCCAAAAGGGACACATCCATCCACTTCCCAGCTTCCTAACTTCCCATTCCCAACTTCCCGAAAACGTCGTTCCGTGGAATTGGATTGTGCAACGGCCATGAGACCATCTTTCCATACAAGCGGTCGTCCTCAACATAATCTCGACACCAGCAATTTTAGCTGTATTGTTCATTGATGAGGCAGGTCGGTAGCCCCTGCAATTGGGCCCTCCTTAAGATTAATGCGGTCCCTCTTCCCCCTGTCTGATACAGCCAGGTCTCAGGGTCAGCCCTTCTTGACCTTCTCTCTTTCCAGAACCCGCCGCAAACTCACGTCTTCCCTGGTCGTTGCCCAACGATATCTCCGCAATCTGCTGATGTGATCCTGGCGGCGATCAACCCTCTTCCACCTGTAATGAAATTGTCATCCCATCAACCTCAAACAAGCCAATCGCTTGCGCAAGTGCAGGGCTGAGATTTGGTACGACAGGTAGATAAGTCATTTGCCTGCTCTATCCTCTCTTCTTCCAAGCTTTCTGTCAACTTCTCGTTCGCGACTCTCTTTTCTTTCAGTTCATCAGTATACATATCAAGGGTTTCCTGGTGAACCTGTCCACTCCTTTTCATCATCCTTTGTAATAAGCATAAATTTCTCGGCCGGCGGTTTCATCAGTTTCTCTCGACACGGAGGCGAATCCTGTACCTCCACCAATCATCCTTCGATAGATCCCACCATGTTTAAGCAGAAGTCGAAGTGGGCCGGGCTTGGGATGGGTGCGAAAGGCCGTGACGGGAATGGAACTAGTGCGCCAATACCTGTGTCAGAAGATGCACAGGCCAAAAATACCAGAGATGCTGGACCAGGACTGCTGATGGAGTTCGCACCGCAAAGTCGGGATCGGAGTCTTCTTCCTCAAAGACCTAGCACTTCCGCCGGGCCTGCCTCGAGCTTCACGAAGCGGAAGAACGCTGAGAAGAGAGAAACAAAAGACGATCTTCACTTCAACCCGTTAGCCGCACATGGGAAAGGGACGACGTTTTATAATTTTCCCCTCCCAGGAGCGCTTCCCACTCCCACCACCACGCCAAGATCGTCTCCTCCACCACCTCGAGAAGCTGAACTGGCACGGCCTTCGACACCAGACTCTATGGAGATAGCACCTGGGAAGATAGAGCCATCACCAACGGAAATCGGGATGGCACTTGGTAGTCCAGCACATCCGCCCACGATGTATCAATCTGATCCTGCTGATGCATACCACGAGTACATGCGGAATAATTCGCCAGGTCATACAGATGGCGACTCTGTCGATGGATGGGTCAACTCGCCGCCGATCCCCAAGCGAAAACCTAGTAAATGGAAAACTTTAGGGGGCTTGTTTGGAGGAAAGAAGAATACACAAGCATTCTATCAACTTCAACCTGAGCCACCTCAACCACCCCCGGCGCCACCAGTGGAACAGTACGTCCATTTCGATGAACCTCAGAGCGACAAATCCTCCATGTATCGCGGGCGTACGAAGTCTGAGAGGAAGAGTAAGAAGAATAAGCCAGACATGAAAAGAGCAAACACTGCCCCACTCAATTTCGAGTTAGCGAACCCGAACCAATATCAGCATCAACCTCCAGAGATCACTCTTGATGGAGAGCGTCTAGGTGATAGTGGATCTGCTCACACGACCCATTCCGGAGGCCTGCTTGATATTGACATCCCTACCATTCAGATGGAGAGATACAGCATCATGTTCAGCGGCGTTCTTCAGAAATCAGGTTCAACTACTACGTCATCTCTTCTTGCGAGACGACAAGCAACGCTTGACAAACTCAAGACCGTCAATGAAGCTATTGCTTCGAAGGTTAGCCTTCATGTCCACTGGGTACCTTCAAATGACTGGTTCTAACGGCCCATGACAGGAACAAGAATTATTAGCCACAATGAAGCAACAAAGATCCCGAAGAGCGAGTTCACCTCAGGCGAAAAGTCCAGCGTTCTCGTTGTTTCCATCCACGCCATCTCGAGTGAGAGAACCATCTCCAAGTCCTTATCGAGCAAATCTGCAGCGCTCAAACACATCACCTGCTATGTTATCGCCTGCTCGACCATCATTTGCGCCAGGCCCAGAAAATGATGCACACGCTCAGATTCTAGCTGCTGCCACTGAAGTTGCCGCAAGGGAAGACACGGAGAAGCGAATGCGGAGGGCAGAAGTTCGGATTCCAAACTTGCGAAGAAGGGAGCCGATGCCAGAACCTGAAGCTGAACCAGTGAAAGAGCAGGTGAAGAAACCAGTAAGATATGAAATCATGGATTCTCCGACGATCGTTTCGCCAAATCCAAAATGGTCAACCGAGGAATCTCACCTAACCTTGGACTCACCCACTGATGAAGAGGGTGAAGTGGAGGAAGCCTATGATCCGGCACCTCTACCCATGAAGCCTGTACTCCCTGAGCCTAACTGGCAAATGATTACACCTGCCCACGGTCATGTTGCAACATCTTCAGCCTCGGGATCAACAACTTCCCGCTCTGATCACTCTACCTCAACCTCAGCATCTAGCATCATGACTTCACCTAGTGTTGCCTCACCACAACCATCAAAAACAATACTATCACCTCCTTCAGGACGCCCTCGTGCGGCAACGACAGGAGCACCACCAAACACAGGCCGCATGCGCAGCGCCACCACCTCTAGCACCTCCCAAATCCCACGCCGCGGTCCAAACCACCAGACAGCCTACGCTGACGAGGACGAAGAGCTTCGCCTCAAGACCGCAGCCGACGTCTCTATCGCCCGTCAAATCTCGGTCTCGAGATCCCAACGCCAACTTCTCGTGCCCATTAAATCTGCTCTCAAGCAGCCGAAAAATCCAAATCTTACTATTGAGCCGAGAAATTTCCCGGTTTCAGCGAGCGGCATTGATATTATCGGTGTGGGGAGAGTAGCCAGTCCGCTCGGTGCAGTAGCCGTCGCTGCTCAGGAAGAGAGGGAGAGAGGCGGGAGTCCGTTTGCAGACAGAGGAGAGAGAGGACGCATGGCTAGAGAGAAGAAGCCAGCTGAGAGATTGGTCGAAGGTGTGAAACCTGCTACGCCAACACTCGTCGTTGTCGGTAATTCTCTAGACCAAAAAGAGAAATTGTGGCAAGGTGCTACGCAACAGCATCTGGCGCACAGTACTCCTGTGGAACCTGCGGAGCGCAGGAGAGGAAACGATAACGGACATTTGCATCTCAGTAATACAGGGGAGATCAAAGTTGGGTTGGCTGTTGAGGCGGCGCAGGCGAAGGAGCTGCAGAACAGGAAAAGTGAGAGGGTTGTTGTGGAGATTATTAGCGCTGCTTCGAATTAGGGAAATAGGAGGGTTTGGGATGGGATGGGTTCTCTTCGGATTCAAAATGCTCTGGAAGTATTGTTTATAGGGTAGGGTCACGGCATTTTGCTGGTTTTGAGACGGTCCCATCAAATGTCGGCAAGATTGTTTATGGTTGCATGATAGAGTAGATAGGATGATACCAATTTTATTTGACTGATGACCTTGATTCACCAGCAGTGAGGACTTTTCCATTTGGAAAGTTTAAAGTGGCTTTATCTCATTGATTACTTGTTCGATGAACATTCAATACATTGAAATGCGAGCTCAGCGAAGTTTAAAGTCCCAGCCACTACAAAAGTTGATGGAGTGGTATATCCTGTCCCCTGACAGAACATCAAAGCACGCCTGTACTGGGGGATCTCTAGCTCTACAACATCATGAAAAGAAAGCCCAAATACACACCCGATCTAAGGCATCCATGCTCAGGTCCTCGTGCACCTGCCGAAAGTGATGTTAGGTCAGGTAGAAGCCGAGAATATGCAAAGGTCGCTGATCTGACAGACCAAAGTTTTGATAAGCCGAGTTGAGTGCTTGCTAGAGGCTCGCAAGTTCAAAAAGACTCCCTGAAACTTTTGGATACTCCAGAGGCGGCCCTTGGACTCACTGCCGAAGGTTGGATGGCTTTCTCTTGTCGTAGTTATCGAAGTAGTTCCATTGCCTGGGGCCAAGAGGCGTCTGGTTTGCATGTGTTGGTGCTCCACTAGACTTCTCGTCCTTCGTCTTCGCTCTCTTCGCACTATTGCCTTGGCCACTATCTTCTTCGACCCATCTGCCTCTCCGACTGTCGTTGAGCTGCGATAGTATTGGTTCCTCTGGGGGGGTTGATGCTCGAGGGGCTGTTCTGTCTGTCATACTCATTCTCTTTACCCCATTGCTAAATCCACCATCTTCTTCCAGCTTAATCGGCGCTCTACTGGATTCAGCACGCTGATTTCGTCCTTTGGAATCACCGGCTCGCTTTTCGAGATCCTCTTCACTGTAGACCGGAGCGCCGGCGTCGAATTTCATCTGAGCAAGGTACTTGGCTGTCAGACTGACCTTCATCGAACTCATGAGCTCTTGCTTCATTCCGTAACTCAGGCAAGAGATTTGGTTGATCATGGAGTTGATGGGGAGGGTGAAGTTCGTCCAGGATGGTTTGCCCTTCAGAGGATCTCCGAGGGGACGGATTGCCCACTTGAGTTCGGAAAATGTACCGGGTGATGATTGCTCGAGGTAGCAATATACTGGAATGGACATGTCTTCCCAGTGCTGGCCGATATGTAGACGTGGATACCTAGGAGCAAGCGTGTCAGTACACTATAAACGCCGGTTGACAAGTAGGACGCGGAAGTGAAGTGGAATCGAAGCGAACGAAAACCAACCATTCTGCCTCTGAAGGACGCCAAGTCTTTGGATCAGGGACCTGAGACGCCATTTTGGCTACTGAGTGGCGATCATTTGAGACGTAATAGGTATGGATGGGTTGCTCGCTGAAAGACGAGAAGGTTTGCGACTCGATAAAGGTCTTAGTGGTCTGTCGCTGAAGAGTGCAATGAAGGTGAACCCGAGATGGACGACCGGCCGATTGAAGTCCGGTCGCCTTTAATCAACAATGTGGTCAATGCTACGGAGAGTACAAACCCACCGAGTGAGCTCGAGGAATGATGTGAGATCTTGCTGAGCGGTCAAATGGATTTTGGATGTGGGCAATGGAGAGATCGAAGTGGACCAACTTAACTCGCCAAAGGGAAAGAGAGAATCACGTGGAGAAGATTGAAAGTTAGCTTGAATTTCAGAGCAGTGAATGTCGAAATCCAAAAAAGACAGTTGTGCAGTCACTTCATCCGAATTTTAGTCCCATCCCTCTTCTGTCTTGCACTTCAGGGTTGAGCCGCTCTCGGGACAACCACCAGTGGGCCTATTTTAGCGAGAATCCTCACCAAAAATCGATAAAAGTCACTTACTTTAACAAATTATAGAATTGCAACGCAGTGTTGTATAAATCTAGTTCTTTAGATATAGATATATATTGTTCTACTTGTTAGTTTATTTGTATTGAATTTACTTGAATTTCTAATCGTCTTATAAGTAGAGTCTAAGGATATTTGGGAAGTAAAGTTTACTTAAGGCTTAGAGGTTCAAATTCGTCTCAGTCAAATTATTGTTAGAATATAGTCATCACATAATTGTTAATTTAAGAGTATTTTATAAAAAGGTTGTGTATTTGTAATTTCCTCAAGATGGTGACTTTTGGTCGTGGACATGGTCAGTGCGACACGAATTCAGACACCCACTGGTGAACCAAGACAATCAACCCAGCAAATACTTCACATGATCTGAACACTCGAATAGTGCTGAGTTTGGAAGGTTCTGAGGCATTCCTGAACGTTTAAAGACCCAACTTTGTGTTCAACCATTTGAAAAGGATTCGCTTATTTTAACAGCTCTTCTCTGAGAACTAGTTTGAACTCCAGATTCTCAATCCTTGAATAACCGTCTCTCCTCCGTAGATATTCTCAAAGTTTTTCATAAAACGGAACTCTTGAAGAGTAAACTCACTATTCTCCTACACTAGCCTACGGAGCTTACGGCGCATATCGAGTGTCGCTTGTCGTGCAAAATTTCTCGATCCACGAGAGCTACCTCGTTGAGGTCCGATAGTTAAGGCTCGAGACTGGGTTTTATCTTTCTTGGGCTGGCTGAGAGCACCAAAGGTCTAATATTCTGTCATCTATTCGCAAAACTTTACCCAGCCATCTTAGCAGAGCTGTCCCCAAGCTCCTTGCCATCACCGGGCTTATCCTTCTTCCCATCATCGACAATCTTCGGTGCATCGGGAATCTCCACCCCCTTGATCTTATACACCATCCCCAGATATCCATCACTGACAACCAAAACATCAACCTTTCTGCCATCCTTCAGCGTGCCATCTTCCTCTATCGGCAACTTAATCACAGCCCTAGCGCTGACTCTCCCACCTTGGTTTCTGTTCTGACCTTTCGAAGAATCACCAGTATTCCACCCAAGTCTCTTGATCGCCACGATCTCATCCTTGTCCTCCACGCATAGCACCACAAACCATCCTTCCGTCTGCGATTTTGGAAATCGGGGAGCATACATTTTGCCATCCCTGTCCGCTAGCTGGTTCTGACGATTCAGAAGGACTGTCAGCGACAAGGCGGTAATGTCTCGAACATCAATTTTCAGATTCGGGATGCTGTCTGCAGCTTTCTTAAAGCGGGAGAGGATTGCTGGCGGAAGACTGAGCGCAGAGATTGTGCGCTGGTATGCAGCATCCGACTGAGCGGAGAATTCTTGGAGGGTGGCAGGCAGTTCCTTAATTGACGGTCGAGTTGCCGGCACTCCAGGTAAGATCCCCAGGGGATAATCGGATGGCCAGCAAGCGCTTTTGATGCACTGTAATAGAGTGATCATTTGCATGCAGCTTGAGAGATACCCTATCTCGGTCAAGACATCAATACTGGCTTGGATGACACGAATTGCTTGGTCGAGAACACTGGTCTGATCACCAACATAGTCGGTGATCGGAAGGTCGATGCGTGACATATGGGCTTGGAGAAGGAGGAATGCTTTGACATGCGGATCCCACATTGGTAGGCCGTCAAAATGAGATGCCGGGATTGGCAAATTCTTTGAAAGCTCGGCGTTGATGAGATCTTCGTTATGGCGAACGGGGAGTTCGTCGTATTCTGTTGCGCTAGACATCCATGAGAGCACATCGTCGAACGATGCATTACGCTTGGCGTGCTTGACTAGATGCCGAATCGTGCGGTGGGAAAGATAATAGTAGCTCATAATCTTTCCAAGCGGTGTGGAGTAAACATCGCCATTTGGGTGCATTTCGAGACACTTAGACTCCTCAAGCTCGCCCAGGGATTTATCTACCATAGATATCATGTAGTTGTTTGCTAACTGTTGAGCAACGATCGTGTTATGTTCTTCGGCTGAGATCTCTAGGCCATAGTAAGAGGGATTCTTGTGCAGGCGGCGGAAGAAGAATGTCCAGGTTAGATAATCTAGAGCATCTTGCTTCGTCGCAATGGTTTCAGCTGAGACTTCGGCACCTAAATGGTTGTCCAGAACATTATGCAGGGACGACTCGACGGGGAATCCTGTATGAAGGAAGTGCTTGTAGAAAGCTTTTTTTGAGTCTTGAGTGAAGATGCGAGCAATTCCCGAGGTGTCGAATTGTGGGCGCCCCGCACGACCAAGCATTTGCAGCACATCTGTGAGGTCCATGTCTTTGTATCCTTCGATCTTAGCGTCGAAGAACTGAGTTCCCTTCACTACGACCAGATGGGCTGGAAGATTGACACCCCATGCTAGAGTACTCGTCGCAACGAGGATCTGGATCTTGTTGTTTGCGAACAACTCTTCAGCAAGAGAGCGATCCGACTCGATGAGACCGGCGTGATGGAGTCCAATACCGAAGCTCAGTGCCTCTTTCAAGGCATCATCCTTCACTCGGGTAAGGTTCAATTGCAGGTCTTCTTCGGACGTCTTCACGAATCGACGCGGATTTTCCTCCATGCCACAGAAATTGATTAAGTCTTTGGCTGTCAGGCGGGTTTGTCTGCGAGAGGCAACAAATACGATGACGGGCTTCTCTGGACTATGAGACTTGATCGCAAGGAAGGTTGGTCGATTCATCGACTGCATCAATGGACAGAACCCACGGACCTCTGGAAAGCCGTCAATGAAGGTCTCAAGAGGTACTGGACGAACACTGTGACGGAAGTTGAACAGTCCCTCCTTGACTCCAAGCCAGTTGCCCAAGTCCATAGCGTTGGCACACGCTGTCGACATGCCCATGAGTCTAACCGAATTCTTGGACTGCGCGGCAATATAATTCATACGCGAGACAATGATTTCCAGAATCGGTCCTCTGTCTCCGCCTAGCAGGTGGATCTCATCGATGATTACCAAGCTCACCTGTCTCACATATCCTCTGGTCTGCCACGAACGCGATATACCATCCCACTTCTCGGGAGTAGTGATGATAATATCAGCGTCCCGGATTGTGCGAGTATCGGGCGTATTATCACCGGTCAATTCAACAAGTTTCAGTCCCATTTGTTGAGTAAGTCGAGCACCCCAATCTTTGACACGCTCACGGACAAGAGCCTTCATTGGTGCAATGTAGACCACTTTTGATCCTGGATTTTCGCGGAAAGCCCACCACATGGCGAGCTCGCATGCAATAGTCTTTCCAGATCCTGTGGGTGAGCCAAGAAGGACGTTTGCAGATGTATGGTACAAACAATGAAATATTTGAGTCTGCATAGGATTGAAATATTGGAACCGTTTACCATAAATTTCTTCCAGTGCGGGATTCTTCAGAGCAGTGATCGGTAGCGGCTGAAGGTTCAAGAGGTCGGTATAGACACTCTCTGTGTCTGGTCTGATCAAGTGCTGGAAAGATATCGCGTGGACTGTCTCAGCCCCCAGCCATCGATCCGAAACTGCCCTGACATAGATCTGAGTAGGCAGGGGATCCGAGAGTGGAATTGTAAAGTTCAGCTCGTGATCGTCGTACAACTTCCTACGATTCAGGATGAAAAATTCGTGGTGGTATATCTCCGAAGTCTCTGAATTTTCAACCCAGATCCAGTAACTCTCAGATGATCCGTGGTATTTGTCGTTCCAGCGAAACTCGGGAGTCAAATACAGTTTGATTCTCAGAACGTCCCTGTTCAGAGGGGCGATCTCAGACTCTACGCTGAGAGTGGGGAAGTTGTCCAGAATCTTAGAAATTGTCTTGCCAGCGGCGTGATTGTGGACCATAGAGCCGATCTCGGCCGGCTCCATATCTCTCAAGGTCTCGATTGAGACTGCATCCTTCGAATCGAGTTGATTTAGGACGGGCTTTGGCAAATCGAATTGATGCAAAGGATGTTGGAAAGCCCAGATCCTCTTTTCAATAGATTTGCAGAGCGAAATAAGGACTAGACATTGGTGGCCCCATCGACGATTCAGAGCGATCATGAACAGTGCTCGGCAAATTCTGGCAGATTGCTGGGCAACGTAATTTGAATCGTTGGCAAGTGCAAAGTCCTCAAGATACGCGCGAGAGATGTAGGATTGTAAGAGGATGTTGGTTTTCGCCTGTGGCGTATCGTTGCCCTTTCCAACATCACAAGGAGCAGACTCCTCCCTCAGTTTTGTCAACTCTTTGGATTCGTTGTCCCTTGATTGAATGTTGTCAAATTCTCCACTCGCAGCGATCATCGTCAACACATCAGCCTCGGTGGCTTGAGGCTTCATCAGATTGTTAAAGATCTGAATGCTGGTGTGGAGAATATAGTATTGACTTGCGATTCTACCAACGTCTTTACTTCGAAGCACTTCTGTTGCCTCGTTGAAGATGATCATTTGGCTTTTCTGAAGAGTTCTCGCAGCTTGAATTATGAGAAGACGTCGACGTTGGACTAATTCTGGATCATCACGAATCTCTGCCCAATCGATACCATAGGTCAGAGGATTTCGCTGCATTCTCACGAAAAGGTACGAGTATCCAAGCCATTCGACAGCTTCCGGGACAGAGGAGACGGTACCTAACGCAATCTCGGCATTCAGATTGTCCACAATGTGTTTCGAAAATCGAGATTCGATTGGCACCTGTGAAGTGACGGCCATCAGGTAATGGGCAAGTTTGTCTTGCGTGGTGCAGATCATCCCGATACCTGTGTCCTCGAATTGGGGTCGGCCAGCACGACCGAAGATCTGGAGCACATCCAGGATCCCAAGATCGATGAATTTACCATCTTGGGCACTATACACTTGTGTACCTGCACTAAAGTTAGCACAAATATTCCCACATTGAGGTTAGCAGGGCTTGAGAGCTGGAACCGGATATCAAGGACTCCTAGAGATGGCCTACCCTTAATGATGACTGCTGCAGCCGGTAAATTTACACCCCAAGCTAGAGTGGCGGTACAGCAAAGAATTTTCAGAACCCCATTTCCAAAGAGCTTCTCCATTAGGTTCCGGTCTGATCTGGCCATTCCAGCATGATGGATACCAATACCCTTAGGAAGCAGCTCACGTAGTTCTCGACCTCGAGAGCTTTTCATCTCTTTTGCCGCAGCTTCGTAGAGGGGATGGCTCGTGTTCTCGAAAAGATCAGCACAGAAGTTGTCGATTGCCTTTTCGTACAACATCTTCGCAGTATTGAAAGTATCCTTTCTTGAGTGCACAAATACCATGACCTGGTGATCTTGTTCGAGCATCTCGCGGACCTTCTCGAATGCAGTTGTATCGATATTGTCCCTCGAAGCCTTAGTGCCAGGCTTGCCCTTGACACCGATAAAGTGTTGCTCAAGCGGTACAGGTCTGAAGCTTGCGTCAAAATAGAATAACCCGGCAGATCTGTTTACTTGGAGAAAGTCGGCAACATCTATATAATTTGGAAGGGTAGCTGAAAGTCCAACAATGCGAATAAGAGATTGAGTGCTCTCAACTTGGCGTTCCGTTCGAGCGACCAACGACTCGAGAACAGATCCACGATCATCATGAAGCATGTGAACTTCATCAATAATCAGTAGTCGAACTTTCTGAACGAGTTCAGTATCGCCTGTTCCTTTTCGAGTAACAACATCCCATTTTTCGGGAGTCGTCACAATGATCTGAGTCTGGACGATCTCCTTCTTCGTAAGGTGCATATCTCCAGTCAATTCTCGCGCTTGGATACCCAACCAGGCAAGACGGCTGCCGAGTTTCTGGGTGATCTCTGCAGCCAAAGCCTTCATTGGAGCAACATAGACTATTTTGAAGTCGTCGAGGTTAACCACGAAGTCTGATGCTTCTGGAATTTCGGCAGGATTCGGTGTAATATTTTGACGGATGGCATGCAAGATCGCGAGCATTGCCGCATCAGTCTTACCAGCACCAGTAGGTGCGCAAATCAGCATGTTCACACTGGTCTGGTATGCTACAGGGTAGACGAGACTCTGCATTCGGTTCAAAGACTTGTAGCCTTTGAACGTTCGCCTGCAAAGACCGTCCATCTCCTTGATTTGGACCAGCTTGCGGCCTTTCCCAAGCACGCCAACCTTGGCGGCTGGAATTGAATACTCTTCATATCTCTGTAGTAAATCAGAAAGACGAACATTTTCAAATATTGAAACAAAATGATCTTACTTCGTGGTCTTTCCGCTCGCTTCCCACAGGTAATGCGTACTTCTTCCCTCTCGAATCTAGGGTGTTGCCAGCAGTAGGATGAGCCTTGTAAACATGAGGATATTGGATCTCATCTCTATTCAGAGCTGGTCCAAGTTCAGCATGCTTATGCTCATAATCTCTCTGCCTCAAAGCCTCCTCGCGCTGACGCTTCGTCTGGAGTCGCCCCAGGACTCCTTCTTTGTTCGTGTCGAGAGACCCGCGTTTTATGATCTCCTTCCGATGAGAAATGAGTTCGATTACAAAGTCCAAATCACCAAAACCAACGATATCAGTGAGCGTGGACTGCAGCTCCTCTTCCACGCTATCCGAGGCCAAGAGCGCCATGATCTGCTCGTGAAGATCCTCTCCAGAGAGACCCTGCTTCTTTGCTGCAAAGCCAATACATTTGATCTTTAACCACTGAGGGCCGTATCCTTGCGTTGGTTCTTCTGGGACAATATCCTCGTTGAGATCACTGCTGTAAAGGGCTTCATTGTCGTCGGTGATGAAGTCCCACACATCATCCCCGCTGTTCCCAGAAGTAAAATCGTCGTCGTCATCAAAGGGTATATCAGATCCGTAAGCTGCCATCTCTCTATTTTCACTTTGGGGTAATTTCAGATCTGCTAGGGCAGCCCTCATTGCTGCAAGTTGCGTTTGCCATTCTGCTTCGGCGGTGGCCAAAGCTGCGGGAGACATTTTCGTTGATGTTGGGAGTGATTTGCTTCGATACAAACGAATTTCGACGACCGCGGCCCCTATCCAGATCTTCCCTCCGCCAAAAATCTACCGCTTCACTTTGCTGATCAGGAAGAGGTTGACTCGTTGAGTATGAGTCAAGACGTCGTTGATGAAGTTCGTTTGAGGCTAGCGCACTTGCAGGGGTTAACATCCTCACGGTGGGCGAAAAGCGGCACTCATTTTCAATGTCCCAAGTCCAGTTGGGGTAAATACGTTCCTTGGATGTTCCCTCGAATTACGATACATTCAAAAAGTCTCCCCTTTAAAATCTTAGGAGTTCTACACTATTCAAGTCCTACGGAAAGGACAAGGTTGAGAGCAGTTCGGCCGGACAGAAGCAATCTCGAATTATCATTATATTATTGCCAGACTGACTGACTGACTACTGAGTAACATTTATGCCTCGCGCCCTTTAAAACGCCGAACCCATGCTTGGTATCTTACAACGATCTCATCGCCATAAAAGGCAACTATAACTATGTACACTAAAATCTCTTTCAAACATCCACTTCAACTCCGCATCTCGCTAAAGATGAAGGGGAAAATCACCACACAGGCCTTCCAGAAAACAAGAAGACTCTGCTCAATCGCCACTGGGAATTTCCACAGTCCCAGAAGACCACCCACGGTATCTGAAATTACTATCCATATTGACAGGAAGGCGACGGCGAAGAAGTGGTAAAATAGGATAAAGGGCTGTCTAATGATGCCGGCGAGAAGACCGACCGGGCCGTCGATGCAGTTGCCACCTTTCTGGAAATATTCGAAGCATCCTTTTTGTAGAGATTTGAGCTGGCGATCGTTGGCGGCGAACAGGCTATACAGCGCCATTGCGAGGATGTTGATGATGGATGACAGGCGCTTGCGCTTCCAGTGGAACTCTTTCATTGCCTTCTGAATAGCTGCCGTATCGCCGAGATTTGGAATTCGCTCGGGAGCTAATAATCTTGAGAGCAAGACAACATCGTTGAATGCAACAGTCATTCCACCACCAGTCAAGGGGTGACGCATGTTCATTGCATCCCCGAGAATCACTATTCCCTTCTCCAGTTGCGTGGTGGGTGGAAGGAAGCTGTTGGGCATACTTCGAGGGATTTTGCCATCCTCAAGAGCCTTCTCGAAGCAGGGCTGTACTTGCTTGGGCAGTGAAGGAAGAATAACATTTCTCATGTGGCCTCGCACGCCTCCAACCTCGACAGAAGCGGTTGGGCAGTGCTCAGGAACATCGATCAGCGCACGCGTTTCGTGAGTACCGATTTGGTAGAGCAGAACGGGTGCTGCATCGCCGAGTACGACAGTCCCATGATTTGGAGAAGGTAGAGGGCAATCGATCAGTTCAAGCGCGTAGAATTTGCTCTTGACAATTGGCGATTTGCCAATGTACTGCTTCCGGAACTTCGATGCGTACCCATCGGCGACGATGGTGAGCTGTCCGAAATAGAAGTCATCCTCCTTCTCTCCCGTTGCCGGGTTCAACGTCCTCGAGACAACGCCAAGGACTTGTGGGTTGTGTGTGCTAGTAACTGTGTCCGTGACCTCAGTTTCGACAATAGTTATATTCGGTTGACTTGCGCAAGCTTTTCGTAGTTGAGTGATGAATCGACCATGGTGGAAAGCCCTTCCTTCTGGTCTGCCTCCCTTCTCGTTCGTATATTCCTGCGTGTCGCCATTCGCTGCACCAGCATTCATAGGATATGGAATCTCAACTCCCTGCCCATAGTATATCACCTCGTATCCCTTGACGGTAATTGAGTCAATGCCTTCGAGACAATGTGCAAGACCAAGCTTCTCCAGAGCAGAAACACCACCGGGTTGCAATAACTCTCCTACTATACGATCCGGTTCCTTCAACCACCGCTCAAGGAGAAGCACACTTCGACCTTGCTTCGCGAGCGCGAACGCAGCAGCGCAACCAAATATGCCCGCACCAACAACTACCACATCTGCTTCATGATTCAGCCGTCGCCGCTGCTCGTTCGATGCCTGCAATACACTGTCGGACATCGTGGGGAGGTTATCAGGGGTAGTTGAGGGATCGAGGAGGCAACAAGTATATCTCGTAAACGTAGCGCTTAGTCGGGGTGGAATTGATCAAGTGAGTGGATTAGGAGGGAACTGGACCGGTATTTGTCGGGCTCGGGTCATGGTAAATCAGAGGAGAGGGGAATGGGTCGATGGCCATCAACTGAGGGTAAAAAAATGTTCGCAGACAATCTCGGAGCGGGGACCAGGCGATGGGCCGTTGGTACGATTCTGCCCTTGCATCGGGCCATCCACCCGCATGTGAAAAGGACGGTGAAATGCAGCCACAAGGACGAGTCCTTTAGATTTTCGTGTTCGTATTGGCAGCCGCTATTCCATCCAATTGAAAATGCGAATTGACATCCAGCATTGTTCCTGCATAGCCACAGTCCATTGCCACTGACGCGTTTGCTCACGTGATGTTCTGACCCCTGTCTTCCCCTGGCCGGCAGCGCGGTTGCCGTGTGGTGCGATCCAGTGAATGGTCAGCACCTAAAATATTAAACGCAGTCAAATCCCCGTTTCTTCCCTCAACAACTCCTGACAACCCCATTTCTCTCTCTCGCGTGCGCTCAGCAATGTCGTTCCTGTCAAACTCCACCTTGGCGGCGGCTCCAGATACCTATTTAGGTATCTACAATGAGCTGTCCAAATACAATGTTCACCTAAATTTGTTCGAGCGTCTTTGGGCTGTAAGTCAATCGCCCAGACCGCCACATCGCGAATGCTAACAGACCACGCAGAGTTGGTACCAATACATGCAGAATGATGTCCTCGCGACCGGGATCTTGAGCTTCGTCATGCATGAGGTTGTTTACTTTGGACGAAGCATTCCGTGGATCATCATCGACCGAATCCCCTATTTCAACAAGTACAAGATCCAGAACCAAAAGATCCCCACCGTCGCTGAACAATGGCAATGCACGAAACTCGTTCTCCTCAGCCACTTCACTGTCGAGCTTCCTCAAATCTGGCTTTTCCACCCAATGGCAAAATACTGTGGCATGGACACAGGCGTCCCGTTCCCAAGTTGGCAAACAATGGCTTTCCAAATCGCGGTTTTCTTTGTCCTTGAGGATGCTTGGCATTACTGGTTACATCGCGCAATGCACTGGGGTCCTCTCTACAAGAGCGTTCACAAAATCCACCACCAATACTCTGCTCCGTTCGGACTAGCTGCCGAGTACGCATCTCCCATTGAAGTCATGGTCCTCGGGTTTGGCACTGTTATCGTCCCCATTGTTTGGGTTCTGTGTACTGGTCAACTCCACGTCCTGACAATGTATCTCTGGATTGTCTTCCGTCTCTTCCAAGCTATCGATGCTCACAGCGGTTACGAGTTCCCATGGAGCTTGCACCACTTCCTCCCGTTCTGGGCTGGTGCTGAGCATCATGACGTCCACCACGAGCGTTTCATTGGCAACTATGCGAGCAGTTTCAGATGGTGGGATTATGTCATGGACACTGAGTCTGGACCAGAGGCTGCCAAAAAGAGACGTGAGCGGAAGCTCGCAAAGGAAGGCAAGAAGGTCCAATAGACATACCATGGCGGATGAGGTGTACATATTGCAGTGCAGAGGAGTAATGTACATTGAAGCTGACAAGAGCCATTTTGGGGCTGAAAAGCTGCCAATTCAGGACAGCAAATAAGATGAGAGATCATGGAGACAGCATCGTGGTACAGGCGGAACAAAGTCAGTGGGTGCCAAAATCCAGCATGACCTCCGCGTCTGACCACGCGGAGTTTTGAATTGGGCGTAACGGGGGTTTTCTCATAGAGTACCTTACAATGGCTTCCTATATGGTGCCAACCTTAATTAATACAAGAACTTCGCTTCCTTCAAGATTCAGAACCTTCCTGCCTTCAAGCTCGATTCCGTCAAGTTCGCATCCTTCATATTGATTACACAATCTGTCCGTACCCCCTCCTCAGGAACTCTCATCCATCAACCACTCTTCTTCTTAGGAACACAACAATCCGCCCCCTCCGCAGCAACCCGATCCGCCAACCCACTTCCCATGTCCCCCTCCTTCCCCTCCTCAACTTCAAGCTCCCCACACTCCCCCGCCTTCTCATCACAGAACCTAGCCATCAGGACATCTTTCTCCGACAATCCAGGTGGAGAATGTGTCGTCCATCTGATAAACGTTGTATTGTAGACCTATTCCCATAATTAGTAAACGTCTTGCAAACTTAAATGAGTCATGTGATGAGCCTCACATTCGACCATTCAGGATGGTGTTTCTTCACTGCACACTCTGCTGCTACGATGTTCATGAATTCCTTCCACACTTTGTCAGCTCAACTCCCTTGGTATCCAGTCCTTTGCACCTCGTAAATCGATGAAAAGGAGAGGATGTGAGCAGGAGACAAACCCAAGTCTTCTTAAAAGTCTTAAACTTAAAACTCCTCTCAACGCCTTTTCCACTCTCTGTCAGGACCCATTTCCCTCCATTAGCCTTTAGAAGTGGTGAGAGATCTTTGGTTCCTTGCTCGGGAGAATAATTCGATGAGAATGTGGGGGAGGGTTGGGATGACATTTTGCGGGATGAGGTGAGGAAGAGGGCTAGTTTTGCGTGGGGCTTGGAGTGTTGGAAGGATGTGGGAAGTCCGGAATTCCTGGAGATGGAAAGGCGGATGAGCATCATTGATGGGAGTGAGAGAGAGATGGAGCGAGATGATGGGTGATGTCGAAATTGAGTGTGCATGGCGATTGGCTGTGAAGATCTCGCCAATCTTCAATCTTCAAAAGCTTCTCTTCTGCTTACGCCAATTTGATACTTCCTCCCTCGTTGATAATCTTCAACTTACAACAACACCATGTTGAACCATCCTTTCCAGTATCGTGCCCATGTGTTTACGTTCTTCCTCAGCCGCCTCCTGAGGTGTATCTTCGAATATGGCGAGACTGCTTTCGCAGTCCTTGCGAAGTCTACCTGGAGCCTACTAGATCGTATCCGTATAGACGCAAGGCCTATCGATAGGGAAAGTTCCCATCACGCTGTCCATAAACCAAAAGAGCCGTCACGAAATACTTAAACGTTACTTCATTGTGCCCCGCGACCCATTCGATCGTGGACAGCGATCAAGTACTTGAATCCTAGCATCGACCCCGTCAATGTGACGCTCGCGGGTCTTGTCTGGCCTGAAGTTGGGAACGAATGGATTCAAGAAACACTCAACAGAATAGCAGGTCTCTTCAGAGCTATCAAAACGCTTGAAATCCAGGATGGATCTGAATTCATGAAGGAAATTGTGGATACCACATTATATCCGAAACAAGATAGAAGCGCTTTCCTTTTCACTTGTCTGAAAGACGTTGCATCCTGGCCCTACAATTATTACCACGGCCAAGGCGATCTACGATATATGTTGGACAGACCATACGCAAGCTGGATTGAGGTAACGGGGAAGGTTGTGTTAGAGTTTGAGCTGCTTTTCAAACGCTAAAAAGGGTGGATCCAAAGGTTGCTGATCCAAGAGTTATCTTGTGCCGACCAGTTCTTTACAAGTGCCCCAAGCTTAAGACAATCGAGAAAGGTATGCCCACCGATATCAGACCCGCATATACCGTTGGCCCGAGGAATGTCTCGAGAACTGTAGTCGTTCTAGTCTCTCCATATTCCTCTGCATTGTCGAAAGCAGCCCCATAGTTGTGTCATATTAATATGTCAATTCCTATTGCACAGTGATTATGCGATCTCCTTGACCCAGCGAAATATGCGTGGGGGATTCGTGAAAGGGAGAAGGAGGAAAGGGGAAAGGGGAAAGGGGTGACCCTTCTTTCCTTCCCTTTATTAAATAGTCACGTCTCGCTAGCTTTATAGTTCTGCTGTTCCAAAATTTGTACAGATCGTACCTTTTCCTCTTCTCTGTTGCCTTAGCTTTAAAGAATAGCCAGATGGGAAAGAAAAAAGGAGGATGCGAGTCGAGCCGAAAACGGCTCAAAACGGCCCCTTTCCGTCCGGTCGGTATAATATCGAATAACCCGATTTTCGTCTAACATCTGTCTTGTCCAGGCTGCTTTATTATCTTTTTCTTCACCTTTAAAAGAGCTTTCACTAACGTTTCTTCGAATCGAAGCCAGGTAGTCTCCCTCATCACGAGACTAAACCGAGCAAAAAAACTACAAAAACAAGCCTTTATTATTTCCTAGGTGTGAAGTAAGTACTCTCGCTTCGCCTTCTTGAAATCATGTGCTAATTAGTAGTCAAACATCTCTCCTTGTGAGAGCTCTTGACCGAAGCTGCTGCGGAATGTAGCAGAACATACATTCTCCTAGCTTCTGGTTATGGATACCAAAAACCACTATATTCCCCACACCAGAGCCGCCTCCAATCCCACCCAAATCGTGGAAGAGAAAGTCTGCCTAGCCAAAGGTACTTATTCCATTATCTTAAAGACAGCAACCACTAACATTTGTTCACAGTTCTGTCGGATCCAAGACCTCGTCCGTTCACGAGTCGCTGACTCGATCGATGTTGCGCATAGACGCAATCTCGTGCGAGGATTTGATGATAGGGAGTACAAGTAAGTATTCTCGCAGCGAGGACAGACAGACACGTATTTTTTTTGCTAATATTTCTTAAGGTAAGAAGTGAAGGAGAGACGGCCCGTCTAATAACTAGAAGACCGAGGTATGCTTCTACTTTTATATGACTTAAACTCTTTAATGGACGTGTCTAGTCTTCTCGATAGTATTAAGAGACTCGATATTTGCTTCGCATAAGTCGGAGCAAGAATAATTCCGAGCTTCGAAGAAAGCTATTTTGAACTCGGAATTTCCAAGAACCGTTGAGACATTCAGATACGGAAAGAAGAGCCTAAGGATACAAAACCCCAAAGAAACACGCAGATAGAAAGATATGAACTGCGCAGTGGGGCATAGATGCTCAAGTTGTGATATTTTCAGCCATTTGGCTGTGCCAGCCGCAATCTCCAGCCATATATACAACATACTTAGTGCTGTACCAACTTCCTCCCGAGCAATCGGGGCCTCATAATACAACCAGCCTCAAATCTTTCACTCATGCCTTTCCATTTGCAGCCTGCTACCGCCGCCTATAAACACCCACCATCCAACTCGCCCTCAAAATGGCCAATCCCCATGCCATTTCCAAACTGGCCCACAGAACGTTCAATTTACCTCCGGCAACCTCCTTCCACCCAATGGGGACCTCGGCAACCTTGATCGCAGAACCTGTACCGGAGTTTTCCTTTTCCCCACTGGCAGTAACGGAGGGAGCACTTTCAGCTAACATCAACATCTCGACGTCGAAGATCCAGCCTTCGGTATGCATGTAGGGTATAATGTGTGGTAATGAGCTGCGAGAAAAGAGCTTGAATCCGCACTGTGTATCTCGGACTTGGGAGGTAGCGGGAGGTGTGAGGAGACGGAGGAGAAGATGGAAGGAGCGCATTAAAGCATTTCGGACAACAGAGCGCTGATGTGTAGTGTGTAAGCATAGTCTTTGGAGTCAAATGCGAAAGAGAGACTTGCCTTGACCACAGCCTCACTACCCACTAAGTAAGCTCGACTACCCACCGCAATCCCGCGATTCGACTCATCAGCAATCTCCTTACATCCCTCAACCAATTTCGCCAGATCCTCGAATTTGGAGGCTCCGTCTGCGTCCGCAAAAATGGCGTATTCTCCCCTCACATGTCTAAAGCCATGTGTGACAGCGCCTCCCTTCCCCCGATTTTGCTTCAACGTGCACACCCTCAGCACATCATGCAGCCGATTCTTCCTCGAAAACTCCAGCGCAACATCAACGGTCCTGTCTCTACTCCCATCATTCACAATCAGAATCTCATAGCCTCCCCTCACGACCTCGGCAGGTTTATGCGCACTTCCGTTCTGCCTACCCTTGCCTTTCCTCTGCCGTCCGTACTCGGCATCCAGAAACGCAACAGCTTCTTCCAGCATAATCTCGAGTCGCTCTTCTTCGTTGAACGCAGGAATCACAACACTCATCTCCACCTCCGCCTCCTCAATTGTGCCTGTGTGTTTATCTGAGAAATCGCCAATCTTCTCGGCTTCTTTTCGGTGGGCCAGCCATTCGTCATGCCAGCAAGGGAGTAGCTTCGGGGTTGTGGTAGATCCATCTGGCTGGGTGGTAATGTACAATTTTTCTGATGGGAACGGTGGGCGCGGCGTAGGTGCGAGGACGTAAATAGCGGCATAGATCTATTATTCTGGGTCAGCTTGTTATTCTTGGGGAAGAGGGGGCGGGTTCGCATATGCGAGGCGGGCCTACGAAAGCTAGCGTAGTGACAACTGTCGTAAGAAGCAGTGTCAGAAGAATTGGCAATGGCGTCGCCTTCGCAGTCTCATAGCCAGTCCAAAGTAAAGTTTGCCCCATCTCCAGAAGTGATGCCATGTTCAGAGCTGCGTTGCCGGTAGTTGGTGTATATTTTATGAAATTCGGAAGGAATGGGTGAGTTTTAACATTTGGAGGCGCCAAGCGCAAAGACTGGGTATCGTCGACTATTCGTACATTGGCCCAGGGTCAGTTCGAAAGTGTACAGGAGAAGTGGAGTTTAAGAGAATGTTGTCGTAAACACTGTCGTGGTCCCTGCGAGGCGCAATTCAGTTGTGATATGAACACGTTCACGCAAGGCGAAGCTTCGGCAGGCGGTTTTGGCGTGCATGGACCAGGGACCCTTGTAGCTGCAAGGCTACGATGACAAGGCTGAGTCAATGCCTACATTTCTCTTCTTCTCATCACATAAAACTAATAGATTGACTAATTTGGGAGGTCAATCAAGGTCAGATCTTCGGAGGCCAGGGTTGGGGTCTATTTTGTTGCCAATTTTCCCGCGATCGAATTCCAGTTTCGGTGCCTCCAAAGTTTTCAAGGGATAAGGACCAGGGTCTCGAACTGGCGGTACATCTTTCCATCTTTATTACTTTTGGCCTGACATCCGATTCCTATATTTAATAAACTTCTCACACAATAATCTCAGATACCTTTTTGCTGATATTTCAATGGCTTCCAACTTCCTGCAGGAAATCAGGCAGGAGCATCTCCTCTTACTAAGGGACCAACTTTCACTTACATAGTTATTCTTCTTGGCATATTAATTGTGGAGTCTATTTGCTTTTAATACTTTACCTAAACTGTTCTCTCTACTCAGACACATAGCCGTGACAGACCCTTGGGATTGACCTGTGAGTCTGGCACCTCGCTTCGCACTACGCGAGCTCGCTACCCCTTTTCAACGCTCGACAGCGTTGAGTTGGTTTAGAATTTGTGGAATGTATGCCCGGTCCAAATAAAAGTAATCTATAGGTTTCCTGGTTAGTTGCAAATGTCCAGAGTTCTTAAGTGTACTAATTATTTATCAACAAAGCGATTTCCTGTCTCGTCTTAACTTTAAACCCAGACTGACAAGGGTCAAAAATTTATGCTAGACCAGATCACAAAGAACATTAGCGGAAAGTAAAGTTTATTATAACAAGAAGTCTAGTGAAATGTTCACATTGGGGCAAAGTAAAGTTCTTTGAAAACACAAATTCAGCGGAAAGCGAACACAAACTGAGGGTGACGTTCTCGAGAAGACAAGTTCGGCGGAAAGTAAACATGACCATTAAGCCAACCGTTATATTCGGCCACTTCGCCTTAGCAGGAGGTCACATCTGAACCAGTCTACCTAAAATCCTTTCCCAGTGTGCTCGCACTCGCCAATTCACCTCCAGACCACAAAATTTTGTATTTATTTCTGAAGCCCCCTCCCCTTCAAACCTCTCCAACTCCGACACAAACCGATGCTACCCACCACAACAAAGACAACGCCTCCAGCCAGACATGGATTTCAATATGGGAGATCACATTTCACCACAGTCTCACTACGAACGCGAGCGACAGCAGCAAATACTTATTCAAGTACAAGCGCTGCACAACCAAATCGGTCACAAGCTGTTCACCCTCGAAGTTGTTTCCAGCATCCACCACCAATTGTTCAATGCAACCTCCTCTAACAACACCAACAACGAAGTACTCGACAGATACATGAGATCACTTGTAAGAGGAACAGAACATCGACTCCGCAACGAACTGCAAATCTTCAACTCCGCAGGTCAAGTCTCCAGCTACTTCGTCCACAACCAGCAACTCGATACCTTTACTGCAGATGAGCTGTCAGAGGTTGTCAAAGAGTGGGCAATGGTTTCTAGGGGATCCTTTGCTGTTACAACTGTTGCAAAGGAGGAAATGGCATTCCAGTTACTGAGCAGATTCGACATATTTAGAATGACGGGACGATTTGAGACTTGGACACAGCAGAACTTGAGAGATTTCCGCTGTTCCTTGCGACGAGAAGAAACTGCCCAGGAGAAGATGGAGAGACAAATCGAAGAAGGTTAGTTGCTACTCTATTCATTGTCGTCCGTTAAGCTAACAAAAAGGAACAGACGTTACCAAAGTAAGCGCTGAGCAGCAGTTAGTTTCGTCGCCAATCGTCCAGTGTTGTAAGATGGGCGGAAAGAGAAAGTTGAGTGCTGCGTCGGGTAAGTATCGTCCCTAAGAGTTGCTTGACTTTCCGCTGATGAACATGGAATTAGACGAATGTCCTGAACCAAAGCGAGTGAGGGAGTTCAATGACCTGTATGATGCAAGCCCCAAACGAAAGCTTCAACCGCAAGCAACTGTTGAAAGTATTGAGAATGCTGAGACGGATGATATGGATTTGAGTTAAATGCACAAATCAACCAGCGTTTCGTCTGGCAATTGGAGCCTTGTTTGTTGGTATAACGGCACACCAGGAGTTGGTTCCTTAGAATAAATAATTGGACATAATCTTCAATCTTCCATCTCGGTCTCAAATCCTTACCAAATTGTATGAAGTGACTGGCAAACTTGAATAATCAATTGACTGTATCGCCAACTTTGCCTCTGCCTCTGCCTCTCATTTGGGACGAAAATAAGAGAGAACACTCAAGCAGGATAGAGGGAAATCTTGATTTGAGAACACTCCCCTTCAATGACGTGACGAGAAGATTGAAGTTGTACATTTTTTCTCTGGCTATAATACTTTTCCGATATCAAAGATACGACGAGAAAGTTGAAGTTTGACGTTTTTATCTTTTCGCTATAATGGTTGTGATTATTCTATCTCTTCCTAGTTATTGTGTGCAGCCTCCTTCTTACCTAACCTGGTCTTAACCACCTTCCACCCTGTTCTCCCCTTGGTAGAATATTTCCTGCCACTATGGGTAAATTAGCCTTCTATTCAACTACAGACTTCTCGCATGTATTCTTCTAGCGACAAGGAAATCAGGGACGTTTCGAGGAGAGCGTTTCGAGAAAAAAAAGAGAACTTTGCTTACAAGTTGAATTTTGTGGTATGTCTGAACAAAGAGTACAGGCTAGCAAGAGCCAAAGCTATTGTACAAATCCGACAATGATTCGGCGACGGGTGGGAAAGAGAAAGATCAGTGGATTGATTGAGTGATCTAGAGAAAGAGGGATCATTAGCCAAAAGTAGAGGATTGTTGCTGTTGCTTTGTCTCGTACTCGGGCTTTTGCTTTTGCAGCATCAAGTTAGGATTGAGTTTGGATTGAGTATAAAATAGACCAACTCTAGAAGGTCTGGCGGGAATGCAAAAAGACATAGTATGGGCGATCTGCTTACTGATATCTGTGCTTGGTCTTCACTCCCTCAATATCCGATGGATTCCGTTTCCTTGCTCTATTCGCGCTCTGGCGCTGCTGTGAGCATCAAGTTGATGTCCGTGACGCAAGGCGCTCCGAGGAAACTACTCACTAATCCCAAAACCTCTTCTGTTCGTATCTCTATCACCATTTTTGTTCTCTCGTCCTCCAATGAATATGAATTTCCTCTCTTGATGATGGGAGGGATATTTTTCTGCCGGGCTTCCCACCCGCGTGTGCTGTCGTCTTCTGCGTCTCTGCCTTCGCACTCGAACTTATTGTCACGCTATTGGAAATAAACAGTTAGCAAATGTCTAACTCATTAGATGAACTTTGAGAGAAGGACACTGCTCGCCCTTCTAGTTGACACTCTGTAAATAGCCTCGGCTGCTAGGACAAGAAGAGAATCATGGAGATGGGAGTCTATTTTCCAGGTTGCGTCCTGATGGCATCAGACCTTGCAAGGGAGGCGTAGAAGATTCTACCTGCTGGCTACCGTATGAAACCATTGAGGACACTTACGAATTGATCTGCTGCGTCTGGAATTCCGTACTTCGTCTTTGGCACCGCGTACTCTGTGTACGGAGAATGATGCAAAGGCTTCTCCATCTTGAACCTAGAGGTCAAAAGGAAGCAGTTAGCTACGGATTAGGTACTCAATAATACTGCTCTTACCGATTGGTGGTCATGTTTATAGCTTTCAAACAGTGATGGATCGAACTGGCGAGGAGATGGGAGAATAATCAAACCCTCCGGACCCTGACCTCGGGGAACATTTTGAATATCGTTAATCTCATTCCCGCAAATGAGACGGGTATAAGAACCATCCTCGTGCTGGATACCATAGGCAGAAGAGTAGCCTTGTTGTTACGATCTGCTGAGGCTAAGCCGCGTTTCTTTCGATCTTATGGATAGTAGAGCGCGGCCACCTGCTCTGGGGCCAGCGATCTGTGGTATCGAGTGCGTAGCCAAGGAATAAGAAACTTGTTTGTGGAGAGTGCGCTCGAGGTGCTTGCTGTGAGGTGGAGGTGGTCAGCAAGTGTTTATATGAATCCTCGGAGATGTTTGAAGCATACATACATGATTTTGAGAAGGCTTGTCTGGTATAGAGCGGTGGATGGACTGTGTTGAGATGGAAGAGACCACAGCAGTAGACAAAGCAAAATGGAATTGTCAGGCACGACTTCTTTTGCGGGCAACGACGACTAATCGACGACTCAGCAAAGGAAACCACGTGACGCCCCTTTCCGAAGCGAAATCAGAAATCACAAATCTGATAGGCAAAACAAGTAAATGCATAGCAAGTTGTGTGCTCCAAGGTTCATTTCTCTACGTCTGTGGGACGTATGCGGTATCATCTTCTCTCTCTCAACTCACGCCCACCCGGTCCCTCTATAATACAATGTAGCAATCGCGTCCGTGATCCATAAAACCATGGCCCAAATGCTTCGCTCCAGATTTGCTCGTTTCGCCCCTTAGCAAAGCTCAAAGCTCAGCTTAAATTGGGGAATTCTCTTGTAATACCAACAACATCATGTCATCCGTAACTCCGTACACCACACGCCTTCATGCCACTTTGCTTGCCCGCCTTCAAGTCTCTATGACATTGAGGAACAGGCTTTTCAACTTCCGCTGTCCCCACTACCTGGGCTCTCTCCACCAGACTTAATCGCTGGCGATAGACTGATGGCGATTTTGTTGGCTTTGCCACCTGACCCTCCCGTTGTATGAGAGGTGTTGGTAAAGCTTTTCTTTCTTCTCAACACACTGCCGGTGTTCGAACCCACAGAACTGCTCGAGTTTCTGCGCTTAGGTTGCAAAAGCTTGGTCATCTCGTCATCATCTTCCTCCTCGCGCCGACGTTTCTCTGACACCTTTTCAGGTGGGGAAGACAAGAGCGTGGAGGGTAGTAACGGGCTCTTTTCTGCGTCTTTCGTTACTGATGTTGGTGGTGTGTTTTCGTCAGCACCCTCTAGAGTACCAGCAGACAAATCCGTTTCCATATTCTCGTTTTCCTCATCAGATGGATAATCAACCAGGGGCTTCGAAAGGGGCGATGCGCCATTCACGGAAGCTCGACTCGACTCGGCCTTGCCCGGGACATCATCCTCATCATCTGATGTATTGAAATACTCTTCCTCCTGAGCATCGAGATCTTTGATGCCCGACTCCCATCTATTTCCTCTACCAGTCTCCGGTCGTTTGGGCGTATCTTCTTCGGTGTCCAGAAAAGACGTTTCCATACTCGGGGCAAATCCTTGTGTCTGGTCGTATCTGATAATGAAATTGCTGAAAATATCCACGTAGGTTATTTCCTTCAATTTATCCCGATAGTTCTCGACCAGATGGCTGATGATGTTCTTGATATTCTCCCTCTTGATGAAATCGAAGAATTCCAGACATGCGGAGTTTAAGAGATTGTCTCTTGGCATCGTTTCAATAACTAAGTTTAAGATCGGCTCGAAAAGCTTTCCTTGAGTCATCTGCTGATTGTAGAATTCGTCCTGTAATCCAATAAGGTTCCGGAAGAACTTCAATGCGGCTGGTAATGGTTAGCACCATTTCAAAAGGGGAGGGGGTTTAAGATACTTACTTAGCTTTAAATATTTCTCTGGACTCGAGAGGAGCTGAGCAATTCGCTGGCCAAGTTTCTCAGACAAGACGAAATATTTGCTGTGATGAGTGTGCTGGCGAACGAAGAAGCAGAGGATTTCAATCAAGTAGATGAACAGAGACACTTGATGAACACTGAAATCCATGTGGTCTCGATCTTTCAGATCAACAAGAGGCTTGAATAGCTTCTTGGCCGAGTCGTCGTAGAAATCCTTCACAAATTCAGCTTGCTGGGGGTCAGGTTGAGCCCGTGATCGGGCTGCCAAATCGCCGTTTGCCCTGGTCAATCCATCAAGAGGTCCATTCTGGGAGCCAGGGTCTAGGAGAACCTTGATCGCATCAGCAATTTGTGCTTTGACACCGAGATCTGCCTCTACGAGCAGGAGATCTATCAGAGAATCCGTCAGAGGGGTCTGTTTCTCGTTGATTTGCCGGAATATTGTTTGCCTGATCATTTGTGGATCATGGTCAATCATAGAAACCAGTACATCAGTAGCCCCTACACGCACGCCTACATCCGCATGGCGAAGAGCAAAGTTGATCACAGATAAGAGGCCATGTACTAGGAAGTTGTTGTACAGCTGTTGTCTTGCTGGTTGCTGCAAGTTCTTAGCGATTGCGCAGCATTGCTGGATAAACAAGACAGCCTCCTTCCTACGCTCTTGGTCCGTTTCCTGGGGTCCAAAAATGCCGAATAATTCTTTGAGGAACGCCGGGTTCGTTTGTAAATGCTGAACAATATCCACCTGGTTGAAGAAGATCAGAGAATTAAGCACAGAGAAAGTAGGATCGTCCAGGATCCGAGCAAGGACCACGTCCTTCAAGTACTGCAGACGGTATGTGGCATGGATCTTTTTACGAATCCCTTCGTCGTCAATCCGCACAACCTCCTTGTATCGACCTTCCTTGCCTAACCACTGTCGATGGTTGGCCTTGTGACTGGGAAAGTCCGGATCATATTCTAAAGCTCCCACAACCCCAAGAACCAAGTCATCGGTGACTGCAAGCTCAATGATGGCCGTGTCATTTAGCAATATCATCGTCTTCATGATGTTGCATAGTCGATGCAAGCTCGCCAGATCTTCCATATCCTCGGCCATTTCCACGAGGGGTATTAACTTTTGTATGTAATCCTCCGTGATGACATACTTGGTCAAAGCTTCCCGACCCGGCTGGGTATTGTGTAGGCCGCGCATTTGCGCTTCGATATCCGGCAGACTTCCAAGTGCAGGTACAGGTAGGGATATGGGACTGTTGAATGGGTCTATGGCTATGTCGTCTGATAAGGCGTCGTCTGGAGAAAATATATTAGTGAATGTCTCAGGACGGGCGAACGACCCGGAAAAGAAGCAGAATTTCTTGACATACCAGGTCCACCAATCGCCAACAGCTGCTGCTGAATGTTGTTCACGAACTTCCTGCAGACCCAGATATGTTAGCATGAATTCCCTTTCTAACACACCAGATATTGTACTGACCATATAGCTGCGCAGCCCTCAGATTCTTGAAAACTGAGAGCCATGTCCACGCCATTAGTCGGCTCCGTCCAGACTATGAGAGTATCTAGGGGGTTGTCAGCCTTTGCCTCAGAACCGATGCGGGGTGTTTTACCTTGCTGCTTCTGGAATCCATCCTCCTTGCAGATCCTGGTCTCCAGCAACATTCGATCGGGCTGGTCTTCGGACTGCACGAGCACGCGCGGTTCTTCCTGACGGCTGGCCTCATTCTAGAAACGCGGTAGGTCAGCCAACCGCCCGTTTACTTGCGGCCCCCCAGATAAGGGAGTCGGCGCAAGGTGTGAGAGACGCGTAAAGCAAGAAAATGAGGCACATACAAATATGAATGCAGCCGTGCAGAAGCCGGTGCCTCTGTCGAACCAGTCATTGTTGCGCAACTCGTAGACCTTGACTCTCTTCTTGTCGTTCGGCGGATTAGGCACCGCTTGTGCCATTATCAAAGGTTGTAGTTCCCCCTCTAGTTCCTCCTCCGAGCAATTTAGGATGTCCGGCGCGATGTCTAGATGTTGTTGGAGGGAAAGCTGAGCCTGGCTCTGGGTAACGATCGTGAGCGCCACTTTCAAATCCTGCGCCCGAGATCGCGCGCGCCGGGCAGAAAGGGAGGGGCGGGGAGGATGGGCTCTTTGCAAAGAGCTGTTACAGGGACCAAGGCGACATGTACTCTGGAGGTCGTGAGGCCGTCGAGGCGCGAAGTCGTGTGCTGCGGGCGTCGTCGGGTTGTTGAATGACGCTGCCGTTGGCTGACGAGAGGATTTGCCGTTCGTAGGCTGCCGATGGAGGCTCTCGCTAAATGCCAGGTTGGGGACTTGGGGTTTTCATCGGATAAGCCCAAAGCAGAGGTTGATGAAGAGACAATTGAGGGTCCTTGAAAGCTTAGGATAATAAGGGACGCCGCTCAAAATTGTCATCTCAAGTCTCGTCTTTACTGTTATCGACGGATTCACTGGCGACGCGAAAAGAACAGGATTTGCTTAAGAACACGTGACCGCATCTAAAAAAGAAAACGCGGCCTGATTGGACCAGAGACTTCTGCAGCGAACCTCGGCGGAGGGGGAGGCGTGGAAATGCGTCATTCGTTTCAAAGTAGCATTCCTTGAGCTTAAATCCCACGGTTCATCGGCTGGACCTGTCATCCATTCCTTGTACCTCCCCAGCTGAGATCTGAATACCCTCATTTCTCTCCATTTTGGTGCTTTCTCCAGTCTGCTGGTCCACTGATCAGAACATAATAGCGTTAACCCTTGGAAGAAACGTGTTGCATCTTGGGAACTGTTGGGGTACTTCATCTCTACGTGACTCTGGGGACAGGCTTTTGAGTCTTAGAGCCCTGGTTAATATAATCTAGATGTCTATTCATACCCCAACCGCAGGGCGACAGTTGTTATGCTTCTAGTCAGGTGCCATGAGGCTCAGTTTGGAGTAGGAGAAGTCTCCCCGCTTCCAGACCAAGGGTTGAGGTTGTGTCGATTCTCGAAGGAGGATGGGTCCCATGAAGTTCACGAGCCCCCCCCGCGTTCAAAGGGCGTCAAGTAAGGGCCTCGTCGATCGTTCCCGAGCCGCACGCTCAAGCTGCCCTTTCTAAGAATAGCGCAACACGGAGTGGCATCTTTAAGCGGATATCAGAGCGGATATCAGAATGGACACAAATTCAAGTTCCGGCAGCTGATGGCAAACCACGACTGCGGTCCACCTAGTAAAGTGAGCTACAATGTGTCAATAGTCGGATAATCGTGCTGACAGCATCGAAATGTGTACAAGTGTTATTTTGCAGGAACGGAGCTTTTTCTTTTAAGTTCAGAGATAGGCTTCACTCGGCCTCCGGATGCACCGGCACTACATCTCGTTCAGACCAGTACCACCAACTCGTGGTATCTAAGAAGTACGCATACGGTGAGTTAGAGTCGCCAAATCAGACGGGGTTGCGGTCCACAAAGAGGGCCCAGCACTGATAAGGGACTCGACTTTAGAAGCTTTCATGCTTCAGAGAGGGGGCTTCTCTCAGACATACAGCTTGACAGTGGGTGCATGATTTCTGCCCGACCGCTTCGAGGTGTGGACTTTCCCACTGATGGTGCTGGCAATATGCACCCTGCACTGTGCAATAATGAAGGCGAGATGCACTCTGACTTGCAGGATCACCTCGATCTCGTCGTCTCTGCTCCGAGCGAGACGTGGCGATTGTGCGGAAACTCGAGTGGGGTTCAGGGTTGGATGGTGATGACTGAGAACCTCGTCAGGGCGGTCAGGCCCGCTGCAGGTCAAGCCCATGATTCTCATCAGGCTGACTGCGACCCTGAGCGGGAACTTCTTGGCGGAAGACTCACATTGGCTCTAAATGAAACGTCTACTGGTTTATGTTTTTCTAGCCCTCCCTTGGCCGAAGGACTGAATCACAACCAAGATCGTAGAACAGACCTTCACCTCTCACCTGGATCACGAGGAGGCTGGTGCTCAAGCAATGATGCGACAGAACCCTGGAGAGAATCCTCAAGCGACAAGGTTACGGACGATTACAAACCTCCAGCGCTTGTCTCAGAAGAAGCCTTGCGGCGTGAAGAGGCGCCATCGAGATAAGAAGTCACACCCCAGCTTCTTCTCTCGGAGCCCGAAGAAGTTGCCTCTTTCTCGGTCGGTCGGTCGGTCGGGAGGCAGCATTACATATAGAGGTTTTAATGTGGCAATGAGGGGTTGACCAACTCTTGTTCAGCGTCTTCAGATGAATGGGCCCGCTGAACCTTGGGGTTCTCCAGCCTGCAGTCAGTCGGAGAAGACATGGATGGTGGATTCTTTTATTTATTGTTGCAGGTATTCAGGCCAGGGGCAGCCCTGGTCTTCCCAACTCGGCTTGATTCCGTGCCTGGCTGGGCTGAGTCGTAGTGGGAAATTTGCTGGCATCAAGCCTCCTTTTCCACGTTTGCCAGGTTCGCCAACCTCGCGTAGAATACACCACTCAGAGGGAGCCAGCGCCGCCATAATCATGTTTCTTGCTCCCTTTGATCTCTTCACTTTCGGAAGGAAGTTAATTTTAGATTCGAGGAAGGGGGTTTTGTCCGACCCGACACGGCCGATCTTGACCGACACTGTCAGACAGTCCTTCGGTTCATCGAGGCGATTTGTTCAGGGTGAGTGATTGATTGCTGGACAATCGGGTCCTCAAACCTCATGTCTCTCGACTGGTGGTACAATTGAAGAAGAAAACACGATTCCCATGCCGTCAGAGCGCGCGGCTGACAGAACAACTTTCCCGTGAGATTGTCTGGCTTGCTTTTCAGCCTCCCCCCTCGGGCCACACTTCAAAAGTTGAGACAGGGCTCACTAAAGGAGACTTTTTGGCCCCAATACACTGTGGCAAAAGCCGCAAAACACTGCATACCGTATTGCCGCTTGATATCGAAGGCTCCCTGAGTCCCTTCTTAGGGCAACGGTCAGACCGGAAATTTGAAGGTCTGAGGTGTGCCTTGGGATGCGTAGAAGATGCTACAGAGCCAAAGGAGAGGCACACTCGAGAGCAGGTTTCCTCCAGGAGATATCTACTCCTTAAGTAGATTTCCTTGACGTATCGCCGCGGATCTGATATTGCCAAGCATTTGCGCCTCGACAGACCCCTGGAAGGAGAGGATCCACAGATCAACAAACGGCCGCCCAAAGAGTCTTTTTCAGGACCTTCAGGCAGATACGATTTGCTGGGATTGTTTCCTTCGCGGTCAAACCTGCGGCGGTGATACAGGGTTGCGACAGCTCTGGCACCCCCGTAGCCACGAGCCTGGGAAGGTCTGGGAAGGTTTGGGAAAAGAGCAGCTGGGCCGATTCAAAGAGCGTGCTGCCTGCACGGGATCGCAGTCTGCGGATTCGCTCGGCTGCAGCCTTGGGGCTTGCTTGCTTGCCATGCTTTGCCTTGCCTTCCCTTCCCTGCACTGCCCTGCTTGCCTCCCTGCCTTCCGTCACTCCGTGAATCTGTTGTTGCTTAGTTGCTGCTTACTTGCTGGTGCATGCACTGCAACACGCCTGCAAGCAATGAGTACAGTATTGGCCCCTTTCAGCCCAAATTCCGTGGGCACAGCAGGCGCGCCCTTTCTCACTCGCAGATAAGGGCCAGGACTCAGGAGCCGAGTCCGCCGAGTCCGCCCAGCCATGCCAAGCCGCCACAAAGCCCCAGCCAGAGCGGCCTCCCAAGTTCCATCGACACTGCTAAGCTATGCCCCTTCGAGGCCGCAGCCCTGGCGTTTCTGTGTCTACGTTGTATTATTTCGCTCCCTCGTTCCGAAGCACATGTTGGGCCATGCTAGGCCATGCTGGACGCATGCTGGCAGACCCCCCTTCCCTCTTCGAGCCTTCAGCTGAGGAGATCTGGCAAGGACGCACAGTGGAATAGCGGCTGGAACGGAGAGAAAAAGTACTTGCCTTAAATCGCGCCTTCGTATCCCTCCCAGTCCCATCTACTCCGCTCCGCCCTCTTGCCTTGTCATAGCCAGCACTTTTCTTATTCTGCTACCACTTTATCACCTTCTCACCCCTCTCTTTTTTCCTCCAGCTTCCTCTCTAATTGTTCGACCATCTCCCTACTCAAACTTCGCCAGTCCATATCCACAACACAACTATCCGATAATAGGCTACCAACGGTTGCCCCTCTCGCTTCATGTAGGTCAATCGATAGTCTGTTTTTATTGTCAAAATTGGCACTGCGCCAGGCCTAGACTTAAACTAAACAATTGGCCACAGACAGCGTCTCTACTATCATCATTTGGTCGTCCCACGGCCTTTATCCACGCGGATCGATAGCTCTTTCTCTCCATGCGGTATTGAACTAGAAGCCACCCCAACATTTGATAGCAGCCAGAAGCTCCTGGCAACAAAGGCCTCACAGGTCTAGAAACCGAACAGCCCCCGCTGGGCCACGCTGGAATTCTGGTTCTTAAACCTCTCTCATCCACAGCCGACTGTTCCTCCCACAGGAACTTGTCCCAACAACCAGAATGTCGGTATTTTCGAAAATCATGATGTCGAGGAAGGCGGCGAAGGAGGCCAAGGATCACAAGACGGTGGTGAAGCAGAAGGAGGAGGCCGTTGCCAAAGTCCCATATAAGCATGTCCCCACACACGCAGCTGTGGATGCCCTGAGCGGGGCACCATCAACTTGGAAGGTTGACGACAGATCCAAGATCAAGGAGCACCACAAGAGGAGGAGCCAGATGGTGATCAGCAGAACAGGAAGCTCTCTCTCAAATGTCTCATACTTGAACGCTGCAGCCGGACCAAGTTCAATTCCTCCACTCCCACGAAATAGCAGCTATAATAGCTACAACCCAACCTGGTTTGACCGAGGCGGAGACGTATACTATGCCAGCGATACCACACATCCAAAGCGACAAAAACCATCGAGAGGCCACTCATATCATGACTCCGGAATTGGGCCCAGTCCCTTGGCGAGCAATTTGCAATCCGAAGGTACATCTTCCAACAATTCTTTGCAACAAGTCACAAACGCAACATTTCAAAAACAACTCGACAATCGGCTGACTTCCTATGCAGAAGTTTCTCCCGTTGTCAGCTCTGGCAATAGTACCACTTCAAACTCATCCGACAACCTTGAGATTGCCGCCACACAAAATTCCAAACGTGTCTCACAACGACCACAGCCTATCGTTTATGCAGAGCAAGATATTTTTGATCGACTTCACACGAGTACCACCCGAAAGCTGGGCGAAGCACCTCTCTATGACAGCCCTCCTATTCGTGAGAAAGCACCTGTGGCAGCTGTCGTCGCACAGGAAGTGAAGGCCAAGAAGCAAAGGTGGAGCCTGCTTGGAAAGAAGAATGCAGCTGCCATCCAGGCCTAATCCCGAGGGCCCGGCGACCTACCATGTCATGTCGGAGCACGCGAAATACGGCAGGTTGCATACAATATTGGGGAAACTGCACATACATCTTCTTCGCCGAACTCACTGCGGGACTGGGAGCGCGCATATATTTACGTTACGTTTGCATACACTTGCAAAACTCGTGTGCTGAACAGCACATTTGGATCGCACGTCATTCGCTTGACATTTTCCTCGGTCCGAAACTTTCCTTTGTTACGGTTCTCATCAGCGCTCTTGCCCCGGAGGATTGTTCTATTTAGCGATGCGATGCGTTTGCCTTGTCTCTCAGCGCCATGGAGTTTTGTCTCGTGGGAAAGCTTTTTGCCTCATGGAGACATGGGTCTTACCACAATCCTTGTGTATCTTGGGAGGAAGAAAGCATGCTTACGCAGCGAAAGCATCCCATGGCACTGAAACATGGAGGACTGGAGTGCTTCCAAGTCCTTTCTTGAAATTTTGGGTGGAGTTATTCTAGATTGGCTGGGCTGGACTACAGGAATTTCGATTCTGCATCTTCAAGATAAGATGGAAGGTGGAATTGGATAATATTGATGATTGCTTCGACCGGAAAGGGTTCCGGATACACATCCATATGCGCCACTCGCATATCTGTAGTTCCAAAAAATATATGGAAATTGGAGCTAGGATTACGCGTTCGTCCCATAGCATGTGAAGATCCCAATGCAAGGCATTTCCCAGACTGACACGCCTCACAAGCCTCAATGATGCCCTCCGATTCCCAGTGTAGAGGTATTAGATCGACAACGCGTTATCTGCTCACCGTCCCTCGTCGGTGAGCGAGCCTCCACCTTCATCCCGTGCTTTGCTTGCTTCAGCCGCGAACGAGTCCCGAGTCATCCCGCCAGTGTTGCCACGCACTCATGCACGCAGGTAGCAAAGCCTCCATCGCAACGCACAGCGCACACTCGTACGAGCTGAACCACTCCCCTTCCCGCTCCCGAATGCATCTGCATCCTTATCTCTGTCTGACACTATTTCGAGGCACGGAGCCAGAGCCCGCTGCTCACAAATCCGTATTCTAGACGAAAGGACCCGAGTGTGAACCCAAATCTGAACCCAAGCTCAAACTCAATCCCCGTGACTCAGAAAAACACGAAATCAAGACATGAATTTCCCTATCAAGTTTAAACTCAACGTGAGGTCGTACAGCACCTGTAGGTCAGCTCATTCTCAACCTCATTTTGATAAATAAAAAAAAGATCTTCACCGTGAGACATCCAGCCATCTCATCAGCGGGGAACAATCAAGCTCAAGCACAAGCTTTCCATATCCCCAAGCTACCCCGCTCGTCATTGGAACAGTTCCTCCACCACTCACGCTTCGCTAAGACCGTACCAGTGGTTTCGGAAAGAAAAAGGTCAAGCGCCAGCCACCCTTCTCTTAGCTTCCGAGGCCCCCTTCAAAAAACAAAAACAAAAACTGAAGGAAACTCGGATCGGACATTTCTGGAACCCGTGTCTTAGGGAGAGGGGGAGCGGCGCGTGGGATGCGCGGGATGTGGTGTTCTGGATCAGGAAACATGGCGCTGCGAAATATTGAAAACGGCTTGCGTTTTTCGACGAAAATCGACAAGTGGAAACCGGCGGCTTGGCGCTCGTCCTACGTGAATTTCAAAGAAACCATTTAGTTTATTCTGGAATGAGGTGCTGGGGGGTTAGTCTCTGACTTAGAGGTAGAGCTAGGCGTTTATGGGGCAAATACGAAGTAATTGCTGAGGAATCAGGTCTTGCCTTTTGTGGTTTCTGGTTCAGGTGGCGACTGGCGATGAAACCCATGGATGGCGTCTTGGCCCATCCCCTTTTGGGTTTTGACGGAGAAGAGAAAGGGGGTCGAGACCATCCTGATTCGATCACGTGTGCAGGAGGTGAAAGTCTCTCCGAGTGATTTCCACGACATTCTTGGATCGGTGTTTGCCATCTCCCGAGTGCGAAGAAGCTGCCAAGAGCTTCGAGACCGCAATATACGTTAATAGTCGGACTTCTTACGTTTCTCACTGCAGATCGGCGTCTGGTGACTTTGGTCCCTTTGGGTCAGATACCCGTAGGCTCAATTCGAATGTCATCCAAGCCCAGGTTTGTCACCTCCCTTGGAAAGAGGATATGGCAAGCTCCAAGAAGTCTATGGAGCCAGGTGGGCCAGATTGGAGGGCTGTTCAGGCTGAATGGATCAAGACTCGAGAACGAGGGGCAACGATCTCAGCAATGGCACCCTCAGTCATGCCCTAGATTTTCAAGATCTCGAAGCTGGAAGCCCAACAATTGAGATTTTGGGCATGCCGCTGAGTAGACGCAGCCCATGGTCAGAGCTGACAGAAAAGGCAGAACCTGCTTGAATTGGAGGTCCCTAAACTTCTCCCATCGATACCACCGACGAAGCTCAAGAGTTTGACTGGACGCTCGAAACAAACCATCATTTCTTGTGACGGGAGACAAGTCCAAAATGAGCACGATGAGTCCAAGTATCCTCAAACAAAATTGAACCAAGGCAGGAGAAAGGAGAAAATTGCCATGGATATACGGTTATGAGCGAGTTGTGCGATTGGCAGTACAAAGTTAGGGCGGGAGCTCGTACTAAGATTGTTTTGATTTGAACTTGGAGTTCAGTTTTTTGAATCCTGTTATTCTCCTCTTGAAGGAAGAATGTACAGGGGACTCGGTTCTTTTGAGGCACATCGCATCAATGTTCCAAAAGTTATGGGACGGTGAGAATGATCGAGACAAGTTGGAGTGAATTTATATTCAATTCTTTTGTTTCGGGTTTCCAGTGATGGGACGACAAGTGGGTTTTCATCCGAGGGCATCAGAGGAAAGTGAACATAGAGCCCCTGATATTTTATTGCATAACATAAGCATCTTCGTCGATATCCAGGCGATTTTCATCTGATGGAATGGGAAAAGGTGAATATCATAGTGTTTTGTTGCAGACCACACTCAATGTTCCGGCATCCCTCTGTATAATGACGTTGAACAAAAGGACATGTCCCGACTCCTTCTGAAAAGGCTTTATTGGCAACCAGGGACTGCGTGAAACAAACACCGCCGCCTGGAAGATGGCATGTTTGAGATTTTTTGAGTGTTCTGGAGTCAACAAGAATGAGACTTTTATGTTGAATAAAAGGATGAAATGATCATAGCCACAATGATACAGAAGTTGTGTGAAAGGGTTCATAACTTGGCAGTACAAACAAACTATTTGGCATTTTTGGTAGTTGATACTACTTGCTATCTCGTCTCTATTCTATATGCTGCTTCTAATTATCTTCATCCTCGTCAAGATGCTTCTCCCGGGATTTCTTATTCATAACCATCCCGTCGGTTCATTATTCGCTCTTCCCTTGCCATTCACTTCGCTCCTTTTTTGACATGCACTTCTCTCAACGAGTGAGTTTTTTCCTCATCAGTTTATTGCTTCTGCTTCGACCTTCTGGCAGCAATCTCATAGAAGAGGCTTCCATCATAGATACGTCGAATATCCTCCTTCTTCATCCTCCCATCTTCAGGCCACAACAAGATCCAGGTCGCCATCCCTATCGAAAAAGTCAGCCCCTATTCCCATCTTCTAATTTGAAGCTCCCATTAACTGTTCAAGAACGTCTCACACACATTCAAAAAAAGCTCCACCCCATCCAAACGGATCCAACACCAATCTCTGCCCCTTCATGTAGTTAAATACCTCTCCCAGCGTAATCCCCTGCTTATCACCACCCGCATACTTTGCAAAGATATCCTCAAACTTCTGCGGCACAAACCGTCCCTCGGTATCATAAGTACCCGAATCACTTCCATGCTTATCCTTATGAATGTTTTCCGCATAAACCCTGAAGAATGGGTCAGGAAGCCAGCCAGAGACAGTAGGGTAGCTGAAATTGCCGTGAATGATGATCACTGCTAGGATGCAGAAGATGAGGTTGTAGCCTAGACGGTGGAAACCGTTGAAGGTGTCGAGCGGCCATATCACACCGTCCAAATCGGTGTCAAAAAAGGCGATGTGTTGCTGGAGGACGGTTTGGTCTCCGTGTTGGCGGGCCCAGTCGTCTTGTTGTGTTCCGTTCGGGGCTTCGACGGATGCTGCTTCGTTTGCTCGGGCGGTCCCTGGGATATTTGTCAGTCTTGCCTGTTTTTGAGTTTGCTGGTAGGGTTGGGAATGTAACCTGGGTGCTTCAACTTCTGATCATCATCCTTTTGGATAAATGGTCGTCGTTGTCCTGTGACAGGTACCTCATTGATACAGACGTCAAAGCCATCTTCTTCAGTCCTTGCGGGAGCCATGGCTTCGTGATTGAGCACTGGATTGGATCGAAAGACTGGGACGGAAAGAAAGAAAGGAGATTGAAGTTATGAGAGGAGTTTCTGTAATGTCAAGGCTCACCTCTGTTTGATGGCCGTTCCTGTCCTATGCATTTTAAGTAGAAGATAACTTTTATGACGTAGTGAGAATAAGGACTTTGCATGTGAAAGACTGACCTGACTTGGATGCAGTCGTCATGCTGGATAGCTCCAAATATGCCAGGAAAGGGGGAAAGAAGAAACTGGTGAATACGAAATGATGAAATCAATACGAAATGGTGGGGAGACAAGTGGGTGGGGAGGATGTGGGAGGAGGGGTCGCTCGTGGAGAAATGCATGATCAGGTACTACCCACGCAGTCCGCAGCGCACGCTCAAAGCTTGTTCCTAACGCTGAAGGAACAATGGCGAAAACTTGCAGGAACTCCATGATTATTTCGTGTCTATGATCTATTCTGTGTATGGGTATCGAAAGCAAGTTCCTCCATCTAATCCACATCTCCCGTGGCGCCAGCTCCCCATCGCTTATATCCATCAAGCAACTCCGGCGTAATTTGCTTCTTGACCTGGCCAATAGCCTTCAAGAAATCTTCCATGTGAATCTGTTGTTCCTGTCCTTGAATTTCGCACTGCTCGATCACGTCGTCACAAGCTGTCTGGCAAATGCCAACTAATTCAGCTCCTGAATAACCGTCGGTCAACCTAGCGAGTTCTTGTATGTCAACATCTTCTGCGAAGTCCATTTTTCGTTGTTTGACTTTTAGGATTGCAACTCGGCCGTCAAAATCGGGTGGTTCCACATATAATAGCTTGTCGAAACGGCCAGGGCGAAGGAGAGCTAGGTCCAAAGCTTGAGGTTGATTAGTAGCAGCAAGTACAGTAACTCCTTTTAGAGTTTCAATACCATCCATTTCATTCAACAATGTCGTGAGAACGTTGACGCCATTATTTCGGCCTCCTCGTTCCCTCTTGCTTCCAATGGATTCGATCTCATCGAAGAAGATGATACTTGGACTTGCTGCTCGTGCTCTCGCGAAGATATCTCGTACTGCCCGTTCTGATTCGCCGACGTACATGTTGAGCAACTCTGCGCCCTTGACAGCGAAGAAGTTGAAGCCGATCTCTGTAGCCATGGCTTGGGCACTGAGCGTCTTGGAACAACCTGGAGGGCCGTAGAGGAGGAGGCCTTTTTTGGCAGATCCACCCATTCTCTTCATCCGTTCGGGATGCTGAATCGCATTAGCAATATTAGAGACAATGGGGTCTTGGAGACTTACTAGGAGAGGTGTCTCAACAGCGCGGCGGAGTGCATTCTTCACGCTGTCCTGTCCGCCAATATCTTCCCATCTTACACTTGGTGGTTGAAGCGTGATATCATGCATGGCAGTAGGCCGAACGAGGAGAAGAGCTTGATCAAGATCATCCTGTTTCAGGAAACACTCTTCTTCATGAGTTGCACAGTCACCAGCCTCAAACCTCTCCTCAGCAATCTCACACGCTGTATCTAGCAATGAAACAAGATCCTCTGCTGTATAAGCATGTGTTCGATCTCCAAGTTTGTCAAGCATCTCGTCCCGAGTACTGGGATCAACAGGTGGTACCAGCGACTTGAGAATTGCCTTGCGTGCCGCCGCATCGGGAATCGGTAATGGGATGTCCGTCCGGAATCGCCCTCTCTTTCTTAGAGATAATGGAATACTGCCCGCATCAAGAGTGGCTGCAACCACCAAAACTCGTGGTAAGGAAGTACCGCCGTTGCCTTGAGATAAGCCATCAAGTTCTTCCCCGAGTGCCTTTGCAACGCTTTGGGACGTCGCATCCTCCTTCGAAACAATCGATTCGAGCTCGTCGACGACAATGATGCATGGTTGACAGAGTCTAGCATCTTTGAAGATGGTCCGAATTGTTGCTGGTTTGATATCACTCTCGATTCGGATAACCTTGCCCCAACCTGTGCCAATAATCTTGTTCAGGATGAAAGTCTTGCCAGTACCATGGCCGCCGTGTAAAAGAACTGCACAAGATCTTTGCGCCCACGTAAACTTGAACTGTCGACCGAAGTTGCTTAGAAATCGGTTGAGTTTCTTGAGTGCTTGATCAATGCCGGCGATATTGACAACCTCAAGTGGTGACACTGGTCCATTTGTCTGCGCTGAAGGTAGGTTTTCTAACGGACTTGATATTGTGACTGATGAGGACTCATCATATCTTCCCAAGCTAGTCAGTTTGCCATTGACAAAGTCAACGGTGAAAGTCCGCTTGGGGCCCCTAAGAGATAGATGCTTGAAGGTCATACCCGGAAAGATAACTTCTGCACGACCTGGGAAATATTAGCCTGACTGGCCGGAGGAGGGAAACCGGAGCCTGCAAGCTGCGCCAGCCGAGAGTTGGGACCGGGGAGGGTATTAATTTTACTGAAAATAACCATTAATCTTTTCTCTTGCCGGTACTTACCCGGTTGGGGGAGACGACCTGAGATCCGAAGGGACGACAAAGTACCCACCGAGGCTTTCCCGAAGAAACCATTCCCAGTGTGGCTTATCTTGAGCTCCCAGCTCTAGAGCGGTATCGAGCTCTTGAGCTGTGATATCTCTCAGCACAATAGATGTAGCAACCTCAATATCTCCTCCAGCGGAGATTTTCACATCATCCCCTAACTTGAAGCCACAAGCGTCCTGGAACGACTTCGACATCTGGACGACCTTCTTGCTCAAAGACTTCTCCGCTGTCAGCCAAGCAAGAGCCTCTCTCCTCTCACTCTCTGGCACGTTCACCCTCGAAATGTAGCAGACCTGTCCCGACTCCAGCTTCAGGTCAAGAAGTGCCTCTCTGCAAAGATGGACACGTGATGCCCCCTTCTGATCTGGTCTCTCTTGGCTGTTCTGGTTGGAATATGGTCGTATTTTGACCTCCAAGGTCTTCTGCGTATCCTGAGGTATATTCGGCATGGTGAATGGGCCGTGGAAGTTTCTCGCATTGTGTTAAGGGAGAAATGGCGAGTTACAAAGTCTTTCGCTTCAGATGAAAACTGGAGCTCGGCAAATTCAGCCTCGAAGCATCCAGCTCTGAAATCGCGAAATCTTTCAACGCCGATTCAGCAAACAGCGAAGCACACCCCAATTGGACAACATTAATGCGGCTGACGCGCTCCCTGCCTCCGCAGTTCTTGTTGCCAGCATGGAGCGTGCGACAATTAGCCCAGGCCTCGCAGCGAGTGCCAACAGCTTTCAGTACTTATGATGGTTACTCTCCGAAACCAACAGGATCTCGAAGAGGTCCGTTTCGAAAAGTCGTCCAAAAAGACAACAAGTTCGTCAGGAAGCAGGTGGTTGCAGATGATCCAGATTTGAAACCAGAAGCTCGAAGACCTGGCGAACCAGACACGGAATCCGTATCTCACAGGACTGTCACCGCAGATGTCCATCTGGGGCCGACGCAGACGGAACCCGAGCAGCCGAAAACTCATCGTTCAAAGTCATTGTCACTGTTCGACGAGCTGTTTCCTGAGGAGAGTCAAGCTAGGAGTAAACGGGAGAAGGCGGCAGAGAAGAGATTAGACAAGCTGCCTGCGTTTATATGGAATTCTACGAACTCTGCGCCCAGTGCTACGGATCGAAGGGAGCGGAAGAGGGAAGAGAGGAGGGTAAAGCACAAGACGATTCCTCAACGAGGAGAGCTTGTACGAGCGGAGCAAGTTCAATACCCTCCGACGAGACTCAACATTCAGCGTCTTAGGGATGATCTTGGGCGAGAAGCAGGGGCGGTGACTTTGCCAAGCTTGATGGTGTTGAATGCCTGCAGTAAGAACCTGGAGGAGAGCGATTTCTTCCGGTTGAGTTCTAGAGGAGAGCACATTCAGGGATGGGCAAGCGGTATTATCAAAGGTATGATCTTGTGGTGTAGGCACTATGACCTCGAAGCTTACATTTGGCAGTCATCCAAGCCAGAGATAGAAACTCTCTGGAGAAATTGGGTCATTACTTTATCCTCTGCTCCAATGATGCTGCTGCTCGAGCATACCAAGACCGAACAAATATATTACACAAATTGGCTAGATCAATGAAGATAATGGAAGACTCAGGTGTTCCAATTCCGCCAGCATACCTGCAAGAGGGTGAGGATCCAGCGACGCTGCTGCAAGGTTTCTCGCTGGTTCCAGCGTGCGGCCAGGTGTCATTGAGGATTCTAAGGAAGCCTTATATGCCACCCGTGCTTAGGCTGCTGAAAGAAGGCGGAGAGGCTGCTCGTATTACAAAGGAGAGCAAGGCAGGAGAAATGGTGATATTTTCTGTAGACATTGGGCACATAACTCAGTATGACCTTGAGGAAGCGCTGAAAAACGATGGAAGACGGCGGAATTTGCACTGGAAACTTGGAAGGGAAGAAACAGGTCAAATCGTCAAGCTCACGTATGATGATCATGGCAATAGCCCGGAAGAGCCAGGAGAGAGGACCGAAGAGTCCGTCGAAGCGTATCGGGCTCGGAAGAAGGAAGAATATCGAAGACCATCGAGGTATGTGATCTCCTTCAGGGACCGCAACGAAGCTCGGAGATTTGTCAGGGAATGGCATCGGCGTCCGTTTCCTATGAACCGCCAACACAACCCAGGAGATGAGCCAATTCCTATAATAAATGCAGAAATCCTGTGGTAGCACCAAGCTTGGATGCCCTTTCACAAATGCTGATTTAAATATGCCGTGGCATCCCAGCATGACCTGAGACTGAACATGACTCGCAAAAGGCACGCCTTAACATTGTAATACAATATGATACGACCAAACTCCGCCCATAATCTGCTCTTAAACAAACGGAAAGCTTGACCCCTCATCAACCCATTATCTAGCAGCACTTGCCTCCTCCAAACCCACTTCCAGTTCCTTGCGCTCCAACATCGACGCCTCCTTGAGCCGATGAATCTGTTTTCGCCGTGTCGATGATCCTCTTCTTGATATCTCCCGCCAAGCTGTAAAATGCCTTCTCAACATTGATGTTGCTCTTCGCTGAGACCTCGAGGAAGGGGATGCCGAGCTCGTCCGCCAATTCTTGACCCCGTTCCGTGGATACTACACGTCTATCTTCCCAATCACACTTATTTCCAATAAGGATCTTGTTCACGCCTTCTGTAGCATGTTGCTCTACGTTTGAGAACCAAGTTCGGATATCTAAAAGAGAGGTTAGCAGGGCCGAGGTTCGCTTCAAGGTACTTCATACTGTTGAAAGAGCGCTCATCGGTGACATCGTAGACCAGTAATATGCCCATAGCACCTCTATAGTAAGCGGTTGTAATGGTTCTGAATCTTTCTTGTCCCGCCGTGTCCCATATCTGCAGCTTGACTCGCTTCCCATCCAGTTCAATTGTCCGGATCTTGAAGTCGATACCTATGGTTGTGATGAACGAGGGTGTAAAGGAATCTTCACTGAATCGCAAAAGGCAGCAGGACTTGCCCACACCCGAGTCCCCAATTAGCAACAGCTTGATCTATGGTTTTGGTAAGCCGGCGAGTACTGAGCAATTGTTGAGTGTCATATGTACCAGGAAGTCATAATTACGCGTCCCAGCCATCTCGGATTCGGTCGCGTAGAGGTAGGAAATGAAGGCAGCCTTCTCAGAGACGTCGACCGTGCGAAGAGGAGGTAGAGGCTGTGGGGTAGAGTGCGGGTCGGTGTAGTTGACAGCCTAGGGTTTGCGGCGTGGATGACGACGGACGACGTTGACAGATGGAATGGGTGGTTGGCAAAGGTGATCGCACAGCGCAGCACAATCTGAATGCAGGCTTTCCTTTCGCCGTGGTCGAGGGCAGGCGAAGATATCGTTAATCGTAATTGCGTCGAATCTGTTCAAGACTGGAGGAATTAAGAAGTTGCTACTCTAGCGGCTCGTGATGCGCGGCTGCGAACTTTCGCTACGAATACGTTTGGCGAGGGAAGGAGGCTGTGGCGTTGAGTGTAAGTGCAGGTGCAAGGTGGGCAAGGCAATGAATTTCCAGGGTTTCCGAGTTCCCAAGATTCGGGAAGGGACATTCAAGATTCCCAGTCATCCGTGAACAATACTCCAGTGACATCTCAGTTACATCACTACGAATGGTGGCAGTTTTCTTCCTTTAATGTTTCCCTCCAAAGGTTTAATTTTTGATTTTTGCACGTTTTCCTTCTATCTTAACCACCTTGCGTAACCCCATCTAATGCGGTCAAGAACCTTGAGCTGTGCCTGGATACCGCTGTTGATGTTACACAGATCAGCGACATCCTCCAGGAATTCCCTCTCTATGTTCCCAGGGAATAGCCTCTTCGCCGAGTTCCGCAACACATGAACCTCGCACAAGAGGAGACCGTGATCTTTGTATGAGAGCAGGTTGTTTTGAGTTGGTGTGGCTAGTGTAAGGATCCGATCGATATTTCGAAGGACCCGGATGGTCTGTCCTGCCTTCTGACCTTTCTGCAATCCTCTCCGACTTCCAAGCACCCCCCCTAGGTACCGGAAAGCTGCAAAACAGACCAGGATGCCTGGAGTCAGGCCGACAAAGCCAAATACCAGCTCCTGGCTTTTCAATAACGCATCGATGCCACTGATTGCAACTTCAACATCAACCTTCGTCTTCTGGATTTGGATTAACATGGTCCGCACCAAATCGCCTCGAACAGTACCGATAAATGGTTTGCGAAGGTCATTCTCGTACGCTCGAAGGACTGGCGTGAGATCCCCTTCCTTGACCTTGACTCTGATATCTGCAATCTGAGCTTCACTTAGTACAGAGTCCCCAGTTGAAACCCGGGGATGATCGATGGCAAAATCAACAACCATCCGCTCCAAGCTATCTCTGTCACCCTTCAGGCTCTCTTTGCTCATGATAGCAACCTCGCTTTCTTTGTCGTGGCGTATGGTGCCAATAATTTTCTTCACTGGTTCGATCACCCAATTCAGCCAAAAATCTCGTACTGTTGTTCCGAGATCCCTGATCCAGGTAATGATTTCCGCTTCTCGATTGACGAATATTCGTAGTATTGTAGTTGAGGATAAGAGCAAGATACTAGCTGGGAGCCAATATCGAACAAGTTTGGATGGACGACCGTACTGGGAAGTAAGTTTCTGCGACGTGATGATGTGATTAGGAATATGGACTTTGAGGATATGCTGGAGTCTCCTGGATAGCTTTGCCGGTCGTGCCACTTGCGGAACATCAGCGTCCCTTGTCGAGATCTCCGGATCATCTTCGACGCTGGCAAATACTGTATCCTCGAAATCAGATACGCCGGTGTCCAGAGTCGTGACATTCGATAGTACCGTATCCATCAAGGCAACGCTTCGCTCAACGACGACTTTCCATTCATGACTATCAGTCTCGTCGGTCTTTGCAAGCTCGGCACCCTCATCATTGATGTCGAAGCTCAGGCCCTCATCCATGAGCACACCCAGCCCGCTTGCACCCATTTCTCGTAGTCGACGCAACTTGGCCTGGTTATGTCTTGCTTCAGAGCGACAAAGCGCGATTGGAGACAGAACTCTCCGTTGAATATCCGCAACAGATCTCTCCCGTATGCTCTCCCTGACCAGACCGTAGAACTGCTTCCATTGATCCGTTAAACTTGTCCCAATCTCCCTCGGAGAAATGGCATCTCCAGGTGACTCTCTCAACCGTCCAAATCTTGACCTTGTGTCACTGTAGATATCTTTCGACCAAGCCCAGAACCTTAGCGGTGACGTTTGGACGGTGTAAAGGCTCGAATACGTATATGATCCTAGCACTTCATCCCAATACCAAATGTCATCCGTTACCGGTATCGTTTGCTCCAGTAAAGTGTTCAGCAGCAAGCCATACGTCTGCACTGTAGCCTTGCTAACTAGTAGCCATTCCAATTCTGTCTCATAGGTGCTCATCATCTCTCTTTCATCTTGTTCCACCACAACCCCCTCCGAGAGAGCAGCTTCCTCCAGCAGCATCGAAATCCTCCATGACGGCAAAAGTGGGCTTGAAGAGGACGTGGTAGATAAAGACTTCACTATATTTTGTAGTTCAGCGATTCGAAGGGAGGACAAGGCTTTGTGGCTCTGCTCGAAGAAGGTATCTTGGTTCGGGCGTGGGACGAGGTGGACGCGGTCAAGTTGGCTGTCCACGCGCCGTAACTGACTTTGGGATGTTAACACTGCTTGGATCCAGAGTAGAAAGGAAAACCTTACTCAGTCACGATTGACATTGCGGTTTAAGTGACATTGACTTGGGAAGTGAGGTGTCCTCTTTCAAAGGTCTTTCAGAGGAAGTTGTTTGACCACCAGAAAATAAACAATGACGTTGAAAATCTTGGCAGGGATCTCAGCTCGGACGCGACCGGAATTCTGGAAGTCGGGATTCAAGCCACCTCAGGCCAGCCTCAAAATTGCAAATGCCTTGTTGTATCACATTACAACTGGTTGTCATATTTACATAATTTCAATTGGGGTTTTATGGATTTTAATGTTGAGTTCCATAATTAAGAAGGTTGCTCACAACAGGCTTGGAAATTAAGCCCAAGGGGAGTCAATGAAATCAAAAAGGAAGTGGCGGGGAGCCCGCCAGATTCACAGGGTCCGAATATATTTTCACCTTATGTATCCACTATTTATTTACACATCACCCTGCACCGACTTCAACGAGAATTTGAGGCGACGGTATATCCATTTCATGATGACCTCCCCCGTCGTTTTGCGCTATCCACGGTTCCAAAGCGTCGATGGATGAAGTCTGCGAGAGTGTCTCTAGTACAATTTCAGTACTTTCCTCGAATGCTTCAGGAGAGTCCGAGGAACCACGTTCTTGCCTCGCTGCTTCTTCAACGATTGCCTTCTCAATGATCTGGATCGTCTTGAACATGACACCTCTCCTTTCTTCCGCGGCCTCTTCTCTCAACAACCTGGTTGCTTCAATGGCTTCAACCAGAACATCCAAGAAATGAAGCATATTCTCGGAATACTCGCCCGATCTCAGGAGGTTGGTCGTCTCCCGGCGGGCGTTTTTGAGGTAGAGCCGAAATCGTGGGTCAGGACATAACTTATTGGCTGACAGCGTCTTGACAACCCATTGGATACCAACGTGATCTCGAAGTCCAATGTATGCCTTGAGAAGCACAGTTAGGGTAAAGAGGTCGAATGACGATGGCTCAAAATTCAAACGATGAGACAAAGAATTCCACACGTCTACACAAAGACGATTGTGGCCCCGTTTCTCGAGAATGCTCACTGCATGCGTTACCACGATTGGCGAGACCTTCAATCCGGCTTTCTCGAACGTGGTTACGGTTTTTTGAGTTAGCTCAGTGACCAGCCGACTGTCCTCGTTGCCTTCTTCATATGTGGCCGTCATCTGATGGATGATGATGATACCGATCGCGTTGCTGACATCTACCCCAACTGCTTGCGCATCCTGAATATGGCGTAAAGTTTCTTCGGTGGTGTTCGGATGCAGCTGCAAGGATGCTCTGACAGCCAGATGGAGATGTTTTGAATCGAGAAGAACCCGGTCCTTCTGAGCACGCTTGTAAATTTTCAGTGTCGCAATAGGGTTGTCTTTGGCCATTGTGACTGCCATGGTGCGCAAAATGGCTTTGCTATCAAGAGCATCGTCAGGCGTCCTGTCCAACTTCTTCAGGACTTTCAGTCTTCGGAGTAGCTCCTCCTGAGGGGGTGATCCCAGAATTGCGAGTCGGCGGAGGGTTGGTACAGTCTCTTCGTCTATGAACCTGGAATGAATAGAATCCAGCGAACACACAGCTCTGTAGAGGCGATATATCTCCCAGTACGGAAAGCCCCAGCTTTGATAACATTTCCTAAGAATCGTGTTGAAGGTTACCGAGTCGATGGGGCAGCCAGCAGCAGCAGAGTAATCTATCAATTTGGTCAGAGAATCGATCTCTTTTGCCTTTCCATAGGCCTCAACCATGGTACGCGTCAGATTTTTCGTTATCTTGATGCCTATTTCGTCCACGAAATAGCGAATGAATTCTTCGGTATCACTAATAGTATGACACCGAATGTAGAGTTGCAATATCGGATGAAAAGAGGAAGCCAACTCCTTGATATATGCACTTCCAGGGCTGGTTCTCTTCATCTTCAAGAAATCATCCTTCACACCAAGCCAATCATTGCGCTTTGCCTTCGCAAAGGCAAAATGCCCGTAGATTCGTACATCGCCAGGTACGGGAGGATATGATCGTCTCATTGTATCATAGTAACATTGAGCCAGAGGCTCATCATTTGCCTCGATACAGAATTGGATCATTGCCCCGTAGAATGCCTGGGGGTGTTGTGCAACGTGAAGGAAAGGCTCCAGGCGTCCAAATAATGACGTTGTCTGTTCAAGGTCCCGATGTGTTCTCCATACGTGTCCAAGAACCTTTAGAAACCATGTCGTCGAAGTTAAAATCCTGCTCTTTTCAGCCATTTCACAAGCAGCAATCAAAGTCTTTTCTGCTCTGTCTATCCTTCCGGTCTTCAAGATAGACTCGATCGCTAGGCCGCCGGTATTGAAAAATTCAAGCTGATCTGGCGTCGTTTGAAGATAATACTTGTGAAAGTACTGAAACACTTTCTTGTGGTGCCCTTTCATATGGGTAGCAATTATTAAAGGAGCAACAGCCTCTATAGTGCCATTTTCTCGACAGGATTGTAGGCGGGAGTACAGGTCCAGGGTGAGGTCGTACATTCCCGATTGGCATGTCTCTGCACAAAGCCTTTCCCCAAGTGAAAACATGCGCTTCGATAGGGGTTTCGGCTTCTCCTTAAACTTCGTGAGGAAGATAGCGGACGCCTTTCTCAACGAGTTTTGGTCCAACGAGCTTCGGTCCGAGCTTGGACGATGAAGCAAGCGACAAATGATTGCTTCTGGGTGAAATAAATGAAAGTGTTCCTCGTGTAGTGCTCCCGAGCCGAGTATTATATCGAACACTTTCTCCGAGTTTTCAAACTTCAACTGCGCTTCGCAAGCATTCGCAAGCTGGATTGCAGCTTCCAAAAGGCGCTGTGAAATACCAACCCCATCAATTGACAACCCTTCCTCAAAAGCTTCAAAGAATCGAGATGCAGCTTCGTGGATACTGTCCGGATCTTGAAGAAGGTTTGTAACATCCGTCGCGAGTTTTCCTTGTCGATTGTGCAATCCCTGCTTAGGCACTTTGGGAGGCTCAGGACGGGTGTTCCCTAACGCATGTTGGGATGTCTTAGTTTTTAAAAATGGTAAGGAAGAAGGCTTTGGAGGTAGAACATCCGTTCGAGATCCAGGTTCGTATCTTGAAATGCGCACGGGCGTCGGCATTGGCGGATGTGATGGAGAAAGATTATGAGCTGCACCGCCATTGTTCGTCTCTTTCGACGCTGTGGCCTTCGGGGGCGTGCTCTTCAACACGTTGCTTGGTAGCCAAAATGCATCTTCCCGGTACCGCAGAAGCTGGGCTTCGAACGTCTCGATAACTGTGTTGCCCGTATTATGGTACTTTCTTGACGATTTGAGCTTCTTGGCGTTGTCGTGTACCTCTCGGGCTGCACGTATACGACGTCGACGATCTTCTGTCAACAGACCGGCGCCGAGAGCAAGTGTGCAAGAGGTGCCGAGTGCAAGATTCCGAAGGGCTCGAAGTGCGCCTTTCGAGGGCGCAGGAAGAGTTGTCGGCATTTGAATCTAACAATGGATCTGCCATCTCATTAATTGAATCGTGGCGGGATTCGCCAGATTGTTTTCGGCATGCTCGGTGAAGGGGCGGGGCGTGGTCGTAGAAACAGAGAATAATTTCATCTGAAGCGTCGTTCTCGGATGACCTGATATGGAGGACTGGTCGGTAGAACTATTGGCCGCAAGGTGCACCGTAGCTCATTCGATACGGGGGCCGAAATATTGCCCCTGAGCGCACTTTTGTCTCGAAGCAGATTAGCGCTAGTGTAACAGGCAACGACTTCCTACTGAAAAGAAGTTAACGCGATTGCAAGAACAATTTCGAAGTCGGAAGATGCGAGACGAGGGTCAACATTCTCTATGTTTAACCCTGGGTTCATAGCTCAGACAACCACTCGAATAAGGGAAACACATAAGCAATGGACAACATTATATGCACCAAAAGTGAAGATATATAGTCTATCCAGCATGCCATGCATACTCAAACGCCGCCCAATGCTCTTGATATACATACACCTACAAGTCACATATCCGTTCCACATGTCATCCCGTAAGTAATAATCGTCAACCATCATACAACAGACTCCTCGTCTTTTATAGAGGCAGAATAAATCTCTAGCTGCCCTTTAATTGACTGATACAAGACCAGCATGCACCCGCTTTGTACACTCGTCCAAACAAATCTCGGGCCCACTCCCCGAAACCAGCCTCCGATACCCTCAGTCTTGTAGATAAGCCTGAGACCCTTGAATAACGAGGATGTGTCCAGATTTATTGCTCCAGGACGAGGTGTGTGGGTTGATGGTGAGGACGTCGATATTTTTCGGATTTGCTGTTTGAGTGAGGTAGTGGGTTCTATCTTCCCCTGAGCAGGCATGGAGCCTCCTGGTGTGTGCTTTGCAACTGGTCTGGCTGATGGATTTACTTGGGTTTGAATCCTTGTCTTCACGACGTCAAGGGGACAAGTGATTACTCCTGACAACCCTCCAGCTGCTGCACCAGTAAGAAGCTCCAATGGCAATCCTATATCTCTGCTCTTCTTCCATTCTCTCGCCCAGGTCTGTCCCTGCTCATAAAAGGCGAATTGTAGTGCTGAAAAGGGGAGGTCTCGTAATATGGTAGCCTTATAGCCATAAAACAGAGCCGAGAAACCTTCCTGGCGGATTATTGTTCTTGCGGCATGAACCGTTGACTTATAGTTGTACCCTGACTTGAAGAACGGATTGTTGTATCGGCCTTGGAGCTGAAGTCGAGTTTTCAAGACTTCTGACGGAACGTACACAAACGAAGCCGCAAAATCGGCCACAAAGCCTACAAGTGGTCAGCACCGATCAATGATAATTCTCCAATGTGGCCATACCACTTGCAAGGTATGCAATCCATGGTGTGGTGCCATAATCTATCAGGTGCCTCTTGCTGTATTCATAGGTCCCAAAGAATATCACAGTGCCTGGAAAAGATCCAAGCATAGCAGGCAACCATCCTCCATATAATCCTCTGCGCAGTCCTTCTTGTCGTAGGATTGTTGCATAGGATGATGACATCGAAGTATACTTTGGTGGAATATGCGGATCACCTTGTTGGCGCGTCTTGACCGTGTCCAAAGAGTGCATCAACATATCACCTGTCGTACCTCCAAGTCCTCCGGCTATCATACACTACACAAATTAGCTGATGGACCTTTTATCCCATGTAGGGTATCCCACATGAAGGTAAGGAGACCGTCCCTCCTCTTCGACCGCTTTCGATGCCATGATTTCCGACGCGATGCCCTCTGGTCCCAGCTTAACATCAGCGAAAGTGTCTTTCCCTCCTGATAGTCCATCCTCGGAAAAGCCAAAGCCGTTGCGATTCGTTTGGGAGTTCGTTGATCCAGAGGAGAACAAATTGGCAACCTTCGAGGCAAGGGACATGGCCCTTCCTCGCTTTTCCGCAAGAGCCGCCTTCAGGGCTTCTCGACGGAAGATCCGATAGCAGAACTTGAGCGCGGCGTTGAGAATTGTGAGCAGTGTTGAGTGGTCTAGGAAAATAAATCACTAGATTTGGATGGGCTTGAAAACCTGACGCTTAGGTAAGGCGCAAGGCAAGGCTGACAAACGAGGCTGCGTATGCTCGTGATTCGTCAAGGAGGCGGAATAATCTGATATCTTCAGACATAAAATATATCGGAGGTTTCTTTAAAAACTATTTTGCCTTGATATTGTTGCAAAGACTTAGATTATGTGATTAAATTGCATCTTACAACTAGCTAAGAACGAAAACCGATACAATCCTGCACCTCTTGAGCTGGTTTCCTCAGTAAACTTGTTTGATACGCTTTTAAGATGATATTTTGATAATGTTTGGAAATTGACTATCGGGAATTGGTTTCCCAAGAAAGTCGAAATGTAGTTTACTACAAGAAAGGCCGCTGGCGTACAGCCAGAGGCGATTTACAAAGCCGCCGGACCCGGGATGATATTTGTGCACGAAACACTTGGCCTGAGAGCATTCCCCTCACAATACTCACCAAACCCGGAGAGGTGGAACAAAAATATCCGATAATATTTACACCGTCTATGTGGAGACAAATTTCGTCTCATCCATACATGCAGTCGACACAGGCAGCAGTTCCTCGACGTTCAGGAGCCGTGATTTCTCAACGGCGGCTCTGTTCTCGGTCCATCTGAGAGTTACTCAGCGCAGCAGCTCAATAATGATGCACTGACCGCGCTGCTCTCCCTGACCAAGTGGTGTATATGACTCATGTGATCCTGAGTGCCTTGACGTACAGTGATATTTCATTCGAATTGTGATTAATCCCACTGTGAAGCGATTACACTTATATCCTATTCGAGAGCAGTTCAATTCAGAACAACAGATCAGCCAGGGAAATGCCAGTTCGTTTGGCTCGGGTTGTTTTTGTTTGAGGCCAATGAATTGCAGCTGCACTCCACGCAGGTGGTCTGGAGCTAGAGCGTAATAAGCACCGCTTGCTAATTGTCTGCCAAAATGCGGAGATCACCAAGAAGACAAAGATGATCAAAGATACGCTGTCCATTCCTTCAAAAGAGTAATCCATTCGGCACAATTGCAATTGATCGACTTTAATGTGCTGAAAGTAGACGCCCAAAGGGTTTAATTCCAGATGCCCTGCCAAATTCAAGTGAAGAGTGGCGCGTGGAGGCTCATCTGAAGCTGTATCTTAGGACCTATAGAATAGGCGGCGAGGCGATTGAGGGAGGGGAAATCCCATCCAGGGGGAGTGCGGAGGGGGGTGTTGTTCGAAACATGTCTAATCCCAATTTGGCGCGTCCTGCCTTCGGCCTCTTATCACTCTCGTCTTTCCTTTGAATTGCCTCCAATGTATCGGACCCGAGCTCTTCCACGGCCACAAAATGTAGGTAAGTTTTCCTTGGATCAGACTTTTGGGAAGCGGCCCGTAGGTGTTGCTATCCCGCGACCTGTCACGATTATCCCCTTCCACCCAGACATGGTTGACAGGAACTTGCACCGTTGGTAGAGGGCACGGCGCGCGCGTGTGCACGATATCCCCCTCGATGGCAATGACGCGCTTTATGGCCAGCCTTTCGGGATTATTTGGGCTTCTATCGTTCATTGTCAATACTGTGACGCAGTTCTCTTCCGGAAAGCTTACTGAAACGAGACAAGCATTCCTCTCTCTAAAGTTCGAGTCGGATTCCATTTGCTCACCCAGCACAAATCTTTCTTAAGGTCTTCATCGTAGGTGGTGTTCAAGTAAGGGTACATCGAAGGGCCATTGATCCGACACAATTCCCCAACATTTCCATTGAAGAAGATTACGGCGGGAATCCATGTGACGAAGCTAAACAAGTAATAATTGAATTCGGGGACGAATTTGCCCTTAGTTGCTTTTCGGTTGAATATGGAAAAGAGGCGACTTGATGCCATGGTGGTGGCTTTCAGACTCCGTTGACAAAGTTGGGGGTCAGGATGAGCTTTTGAGGTTCCCTCAAATCTCGCTACTGTCTCGGCTCAGCCTTGCGATCCAGCCTCGCATTTGAAAAAGCAATCAAACAAAGGCTGAAGAGTTTGACGATTTTTCATACCTTATGGCTTCTTACAAAACTTAAGATGGACTAGTCTACTGCGTCATTGGCTCTATAGCCCTTCTTTACGCCCGCAATGCAAGCCTTAATCACAATGCTTTTGATTCATCCCCTAGAACCCTCTACATCACCTCCACCACATTCTCGTCACTTTCACTCATGCTCTCGTCTCCGCTGACCTCTGCATTTTCTCTCTCCCGCTTCTCCATCAGTGCCTGCAGCTCAGCATCATCATTCTCTGTGACCGCCTTAGGTTCCATCTTCACGATACAGTTGCCACCCGCTCCCTCGATATTGCTCCGGATATCAACGATCGCCGCTTCTAGTGTTTGGATTCCGACAGCCTTCTCTAGACATGTACTTGTAAGGACGTATAGCGGTGGCGAGACGAGCTTAACCTTCACCTGATTATCAGGGGTATTTCGGGCCTCAGCAGTTCGGAGTGCAGTCTTGACGGCATCGATTCCTTCATATCCAAAACACGTAACCTCGACATCTGCTCGAACTTTTGTAGGTTGGGGTGTAAGACGCTTTCCGATATAGGATTTCAGTTCCTCGGCAACAACATCGTTCGGAAATGACACTTCTTGCCACACATCAGGATTTCTTCATGAATATTAGTAAGATCCCCTGCTTCATGATCACTGTACCTACGTTATTGAGAGCTTGAAAGCATCTACCGCATGTCCGTACTTCTTGTTCAGTGGCCAGCCAATGCGCTCATAAAGATCTTCGATTGGGTGTTGAGTCTTTTCAGCTACATGTCGCATAATCGAGTGGACCATCTTGCTCTTGTTGTACCTCTCCTCGCATTTGATGATATCTTCTGGAGACACCCTTCGCTTTGAGAGATCAATATACCCTGCAATTCCGCTCGATCAGCATTTGTTTAGGAGTCATCCTTGGGCTGATGCTCACCCTTCTCTTTGTCTACTCTTAGAACCACCACAACCTCATTGCGCCCAACTCTGATAAGCTTTTGGATACTTCGGATACGACGTCTCGATAGTTCGGAGAGCAGAATCATGCCATCGATGTTGTCGTATTCGAGAAGTTTGACATAGGCTCCCATTTCCGCAATCTAAGTGATCAGGTCAACATTTGCCCACACTGTTTGCGCGGCGTAGAGCTCCCACCTGCTTTACGTTGACCATGACAAAACTGTCAATCTCCGGATACTTCTCCTCATAGAATCGGCAATTTGTCAAAGACATATTTGCGGTCGTTGCGCTGCGGGGTGCAGATTGATTGGGATCCTGTTCTTGGGCTTCGTCGCCAACGGTCGCGGGATTGAGGTAGATAATCTACCAGACAGCTGATGTAGAGTATTTGGGATCGTAAGGGACTGCTTCGAGGGTTTCGTCGATGTCTTGTCAAGATTGTTGGTAGGAGGAGTCACAGTCGCACACAATCTTTACGTCTCGATTTTTGGTGATGGTGGGCTGCGCCATATCAGGCTTAGCGCCAGTCTTGCGCCACCAGTGGCTTGAGCTCCCTTGCTTGGCTGATGATCGAAAGATTCGGCCATGGAACTTGACTTACACTCCAAGGAGCTCACGACCTCGGCACAAGAAATGTGCTCAACATTCATTGAGAACTGAGCTGTCATCATGGCGGTCAGTTCTGCTCATGTTGAAAATGTTCAGCATTCCATCGAGTCACTTTCAGGGACGGTTTCTTCAGCCATGGAGAGCTTAGCCAACTCGATGGCTTCTTCAATGCCTTCAACTGCGGCTCTAGTCAACGGAACCACCATGGAGCACATGGAAGTTCAGAGTTCTTGGGCATGGAGCTTTGTCCGAATGATCATGTTCCTGATCAAAGTCTTTCCGGGCATTCTGTTCTGGATCATCACATTTACTACCATTACCTTACCAACCTTTCTCTTCACACTATTGTCAACCAGCTTGACTGTCACTATGAATGCGACGACTTTGTACGTGTTTACGCCATGTATGCTAAACTGCTACTGACTCGTTATATAGAATGTTAATTGTCGCTGCTCTCGTATCCACCGTTAGCTGGTTCGTTCGCTATAGAGTTCTGAACATGTACGCGCGCCTTCCTCCCGAACCTCAACGAAAAGAGCCGGAGATAGATCTATATCCGGACACACAAGAAGAAGATTCTAAATCTGGGTTCTCCAACTATCTGGACGAGTTTTTAAGCGCAATCAAGGTGTTTGGGTACTTGGAACGACCCGTCTTTCACGAACTCACTCGGAGCATGCAAACTAGGAAACTCATAGCAGGAGAGACATTGAATCTGGAAGAAGAAAAGGGGTTCTGCTTAGTCGTGGACGGCTTGGTGGAGATCTTTGTCAAATCTTCCCGTGAGAGCGGCGAGTCGGATTCTGAGCCTTCCAATTTTCACCCAGACGATTCATCAGATAGTGGGGACGGACAGCAACGGCGAAGTGCGACTCAAGGTTACCAATTATTAACCGAAGTCAAGAATGGTGCCCCTATGTCATCACTCTTCTCCATTTTGTCCTTATTTACCGAGGATGTTAAGCTGAGACACAGCGAAGATGATTACTTAGAGAATACTGCCTCAAGTGCTGGGTTCAATCGTCGACGATATCCCTCAAGCGCTGGCTTTGGATATGTCCCTAGCCACGAGACCCCACCGTCGCTTCCAACAAGTCCAATATACGGTGTTCCAAGTCAAAATGGGGAGCCTATCAATCGGGAGCATCGGTCATCAACGTTAGCCAGTGAGACTGCTGGTGGTACTCTTCCGAGAGTTCCTCCCCTCTCTCTCGACTCTTCACATGATCATCCAAGACAGCGGCCGCGGCCCAGACGGGTGCAGACAACTTCGGTTCATCCCGATATAGTTGCACGAGCTACCGTGGACACAACCATTGCAATCATTCCTGCGAGTGCTTTCCGTCGTCTTACCCGAGTCTACCCAAAAGCTACTGCACATATTGTTCAGGTCATCTTGACTCGACTTCAAAGAGTAACTCTGGCAACCGGTCATTCATATCTCGGACTTACAAGTGAGGTCCTTCGCACAGAAAAGCACATGAACAAATACACCACGTACGAACTTCCCAACTTCTTGCGAGGCGATGCTCTAGAGCGTTTGAAGGAGAAGTTCACTCGCGAGCGAGAGAGGATTGGTGCCGAAGAGGGCAGTAAAGGCATTGCCTTACACAACGCTGGAGTTGGACGAAGGCGGAGATCCAGTAATAGTCTCCGGAAAGAGGCAACACTTCACGCTGTGTCTGCAAAGGGGGCACCAGCTGTCACTAACTCGACATTTGAATCACCTCTTAAACGAGAGCCTAGTGCCAATCCAAGCCCGGGGGATCTGCTCACAAACATTCAAATGTCTCGCAATGGTGGCAGAAGAAATACGCCAATGATCCAGGGGTCCTTCTCTGGTCAAGCCGAGGAGTCTCCTGAAGTGTGGCAACATGACACGCAGAGTCCACTTGCACAAAAATCGTTCAATCCATTTGGTGCTCAAGTACACCCACGGCGGACTCTACATCGGCAGGAGTCTATTGATGAGGATGGCATGTTTCGTGGATCCATTTTAGAATGCATCTTCAAGGCTATTGGCTTGACCAACACCAAAAATGCTTTGAGAATGTCGGACTCCGTCGAAGCATCTCCGAGGCTTGTTTCCTATGACCAGAGAAAACAAAAGGCAATCTTCACTAACAACGCGTTTGGAATCATTGACCCATATGAAGGCTCTGGGGATGGCGATACGGAATCTATGACATCCGGAGGCATAAGCACAGGTGGATTTCCGAGTACGCAAGGTCTGGCGCACGAGCTCAAGGATGAAGTGGAAATTGTATACTTCCCAAAAGGCTCTGTTCTCGTTGAGCAGGGTGAGCGCAATCCTGGATTGTACTATGTTATCGACGGATTTTTAGATGTCAGCGTCCCCACAGATGAAACGTCAGAATCAACCGTCTTAGGTAGTTTGTCACAACGAAATTCGAACTCTAGAGAAAGTAGGGACGAATCACTAGCTCCACTCTCGCGGACTCGAACAGGGTCTTCGAAAGCCTCTGGCTCTGGGTCGGGGATCAATACTACCGAAGGAAAGAAGCGAAAATCCACAGGTCGAAGGAGCCTTGCATTGATCAAACCAGGTGGAATTGCTGGCTACATTGGGACAATATCATCTTATAGGTCATTCATCGATGTCATAGCTAAAACAGATGTCTATGTTGGCTTTCTGCCAAGGTCTTCCTTGGAGAGAATCGTGGAAAAATATCCGGTGGTGTTATTGACGATGGCTAAACGCCTGACAAGCCTTTTACCACGACTTATTCTACATATTGACTTTGCTCTGGAATGGGTTCAAGTCAATGCTGGACAAGTGATTTATCATCAAGGCGATGATAGCGATGCAATCTATATCGTTTTGAATGGTCGCCTCCGGCTAGTCCTCAATAACGAAGAGGCGGGTATGAAAGTGGTTGGCGAGTATGGCCAAGGTGAAAGTGTTGGAGAGCTTGAGGTTATGACTGAATCCGTTCGCCCTGCGACACTTCACGCAATTCGAGATACGGAACTTGCGAAATTTCCCAAGACTTTGTTCAACAGTCTCGCGCAGGAACACCCAGGAATTACCATCAAAATCTCCAAGATCATCGCGTCTCGTATGCGAGCTTTAGTTGAAGATCCTGTCTTCGTCCAAGGCAAAGAGAAGGTGACCGGTGCAACGAACAACAAAGTCTCATCGACTGTCAATTTAAGAACCGTGGCTATCTTGCCCGTCACGGCTGGCGTACCAGTGGTGGAATTTGGTAGTAGGTTGATGAATGCCTTGACGCAGATTGGCGCAACAAAAGGAGTCACCTCTCTCAACCAAGCCGCTATCCTTAATCATCTGGGAAGACATGCGTTCAGCAGGATGGGAAAGTTGAAGCTCTCGCAGTACCTTGCTGATCTCGAAGAGAAGTATGGACTGGTGCTATACGTTGCGGGTGAGTTTGAAAATTACTTTTTGTTACTTTGGACTTTGGCAGGTGATGTTTTCTTTTTTAACTCCGAGTTCTTCTATGAAGACCAAAAACAACAACAACTCTAATTTTTTCCTGATGCCACAACTTGATTTTCAAGACTTTATAGGACCAACTTGAATTCTCTCGCTGACTTCCAATATTTAGACACCAATGTTAACTCCCCTTGGACTCAGACGTGCATTAGCCAGGCTGATTGTATCCTCCTTGTTGGCTTGGCCGAAGGGTCACCGGCTATTGGTGAGTATGAACGTTTCCTGCTTGGCATGAAGACTACTGCGCGAAAAGAATTGGTCCTGCTGCATGCCGATCGATTTTCTCCGCCGGGTCTTACACGAGCATGGCTCAGAAACCGCGTGTGGATCAATGGTGGTCACCATCACATTCAAATGGCCTTCCGAACATCCGTGCCTGTTCATCCCCAGACTCGTAAATTTGGTTCGGCATTGAAGCAGCGAGTTCAAGTCCTCCAGGCTGAAATACAGAAATACACTTCCCGGAAGGTGCGACAGACTCCCCTGTATTCAGCGGAAACGCCTTTCAAGGGAGATTTTCATAGGATTGCAAGACGGCTTTGTGGCAAGTCTATAGGTCTTGTGCTCGGCGGCGGAGGTGCCCGAGGTATCTCTCAAGTTGGGATTATCAGGGCTTTGGAGGAAGCAGGTATTCCCATCGATATCATTGGTGGTACCTCGATTGGAGCCTTCATTGGCGCCTTGTACGCTAGGGATGCCGATGTGGTCCCAATGTACGGCCGCGCGAAGAAGTTTGCTGGGAGGATGGCGAGTATGTGGCGCTTTGCGCTCGACTTGACATATCCCTCCGCCTCATACACAACTGGCCATGAGTTCAACCGCGGAATCTTCAAAACCTTTGGGGATACTCAGATCGAGGACTTCTGGCTTGAGTTCTACTGCAACACTACCAACATTAGCAAGAGTCGGTCAGAGATACACACCAGCGGGTATGCCTGGAGGTATGTAAGGGCATCAATGTCACTTGCCGGCCTCCTTCCACCTCTGTGCGACGAAGGAAGCATGCTCCTGGACGGAGGATATGTTGACAACTTGACCGTCTCACACATGAAATCGTTAGGAGCAGACGTAATTTTCGCAATCGACGTTGGAAGTCTTGATGACGATACGCCTCAGAACTTTGGCGACTCGTTATCTGGGTTTTGGGCATTCCTGAACCGCTGGAACCCGTTTTCGTCATTCCCAAACCCGCCTACGCTGGCTGAGATCCAAGCCCGACTTGCTTATGTTTCCAGCGTCGATGCTTTAGAGAGATCAAAGCGCACACCTGGGTGTCTCTACATGAGACCACCCATCGATGCTTATGGGACCTTGGACTTTGGCAAATTTGATGATATTTATCAGTTGGGATATAAATATGGCCAAGAGTTCTTGGCGAAGATGAGGGACCAAGGAGTCCTACCTTTGGTAGACGAGACGGAAGAGAAGAAGGCTCTTCGGAGAACGATGGCCCCTCGAAGAGCTAGTATATAGCGACTGTATATTATTGTTGGGAGGGAGGTTTGCGGCTGGCGCTTGGGAATACCCGCATCATGGCATAGCATATCATAAGAAAATATAGATGGTAGTGATCTTACAAGACAATAACAGGTAACTGCTAGGGAACATGCTACTTCAGACTCGAGTGCATCTTCCAAGTTGGTGACCATCATTCGCAAGGCCTCGCCCGCCATCAAGCGGAACACGACGTTCGGGGTGCGCCTATGACCGCAGCCAGCCGCTTGGCCATGCCCAATCGGGACGTAGTGGGGCAAAAGGTCCAACACTTCGTGAGTATTGGTCCAACTTAAGAAAAACAACAATATTTTATGGACGCTTGCTGCCGAGATGGTAACTGATAAGGGCCTATAAAGACCTAGTGAATCCTCACCTTGCTCAAATCAAAATCAAAAAAATAGATCGAGCAGATACCAAGCTTATCATGTCACACCACCCCACAGGAAAGTCGCTCTTTTTGGGGAGCTTCATCCACAGCAAGAGCTTGGATGAGCTTGAGTACTTGCATGATTCAGCCGTTCTCGTCAATGAGCATGGGGCTATTGTTGCGATTGAGAAAGGATGTGATCTAAAGAAGGCAGAGGAGACGCTCTTTCCAAAACTTGGCTGGTCTGCTGGAGATGTCATGGTGAAGACCACAAAACCTGGACAGTTCTTCTTTCCCGGATTCATTGGTTAGCAATCTCTTCGCCTTTGGGAATATCGCTAACTGATGTAGATACGCATATCCATGCTTCTCAATACCCAAACGCCGGTATTTTTGGCAAGACCACTTTGCTCGACTGGCTGAACACCTATACTTTCCCCATGGAAAGCAGTCTATCCGTAGAGTCAAAAGCCAAGACAGTTTATACTCGCTGTATCCAACGGACACTCTCAAACGGAACAACCACCGCCTCCTATTACGCCACCATTTCCGTGCCCTCCACCAACTTGCTAGCAGACCTCTGCCTCGAATATGGCCAACGAGCATTCATCGGCCGCTGCTGCATGGACAGCCTCTCCCCAGACTTCTACCGCGACGAGTCCCCCGCCACAGCACTGGCCGACACCCGCGCAACAATCTCCCACATCGCCAGCATCGACCCCTCCCACTCCCTCATTACGCCCATCATCACGCCCCGTTTCGCTCCCAGCTGTTCCAGCGAACTGATGCACGGTCTCGGCGCTCTACAGAAGGAAACCAATCTCCCAGTACAAACCCACATCGCCGAGAACCCCAAAGAAGTCGCGCTGGTGAAATCTCTGTTCCCGGAGCACGAGAGCTATACTCATGTGTACGACAACCATGGGCTTTTGGGACCCAAGACAATCCTGGCTCATGCGGTGCATTTGAGTGAGGTGGAGGTGAATCTGATTAAGGAGCGAGAGGGCAAAATTAGTCATTGTCCGGCCAGCAATTCGGCGATCACGAGTGGGACGGCGAAGGTTAGGTGGTTATTGAATAAGGGGGTTGAGGTTGGTCTGGGGACGGATATGAGTGGTGGGTACAGTCCTAGTATTTTGGAGGCTGTGAGGCAGGCGAGCTTGGTTAGTAGGCATGTGGCAATGGGTGGGGAGGATGAGGCGAAGTTAAGTATTGAGGAGGTATTGTATTTGGGGACGAAGGGAGGTGCGAAGGTTGTTGGGTTGGGAGATAAGATTGGCGGGTTTGGCGTGGGTATGGAGTGGGATGCGCAGTTGATTGGGTTGGGAGGTGTAGATGGGGATTTGGGCTTTGGTGATGAGGGACCAGTGGATATCTTTGGTTGGGAGACTTGGGAGGAGAGGGTTGCAAAGTGGGTTTTCAACGGCGATGATAGGAATACGCAAGCGGTTTGGGTAAAGGGACGATTGGTCCATGAGAGGAAGATTTGAAATCTGCTGTACGATATCTTGGGGATATGCACGCTGGGCATGGATTGATAGGAGACTGGATTTGTAGATTGTAGAAGGACCTGGGTTTGATGGGGAGTCTGGACTGTGTATTCCAATTAGTCTATCCCAAAACTTTTACGGCCGTCTATTCTATAATGAATCATTGGCTTGCCCAATTTCTCATCTCAATGTCATGTCGGAGAATCAATGTTCTCTGATACTGCTAAGTCTCAACGGGGAAAACCTCCTTCCAGCTCTCCCACCCCAGCACATCTCCCCAGAACAACTTCCCTCCAAATGCAAAATGCAAATCCCTCGCACAAGCCTCCGCCTCCCTACCCCTCTGACCAACCATCTCAGGAAGCCTAATGACCCTCTCAAACCTCCCTCCGCTCTCACCAGTCCGGAACCCCTCCAACAGCTCATCATACTGCCTCGCTCTCGCCATTGGAATCTGCCTTGCCAAATCCATCAGACGTTTAAACTGATCCTCATCCCATACCAACGTCAGTCTGCGGAAATGGCCGTAGCGCGCCCTAGACGCGAGGACGTTGAGCGTTTTGCTTATAACTCTGGTGCTCTCGGTGAAGCAGTCCATTTGTATAGTAACTGATGTTATGAGCCGGGAGGAGACTTGTCCCATCATTTTCATTGTCCGAATTACGCCTGCATTCGCATTCGAGAAATAGAAGGTATTGAATTCCCAGAACAGGGATTGTGTCTCTTCATATATTTGGCGACATGTTCGTGGAAGGGAGAGGGAGATGTATGGGTGCTTGTCCCGCCAGGTTCCAGATTCGAATTCTCTGTTCGGACATAGTTTTGGCGGGTTCGTGTAGAGGCGAAAGCGCCCTATGGGCTGGGAGGATGAGGATGAGGTTGAGGTTGAAGTTGTGGAAGAAGGGGGAGGGGACGCTTTTGGTGAGCCCGCTTTCGAGATTCGGGGTGGGATCAAGTGGGGGGAGATCACCCCGGATGGGCTGATCAGGGCGCAGGCGTAGATCTCATCACGAAGTTCTCGTGGGAGATCGAGGAAGGAGGTTGGCATTGGGTGTGGATGATGACAAAAGTTCGGAGAACTTGAGATGTGGAGCTGGGGGTTTTCGCGTCGGACCGCTAGCGCGGTTTTCTAGGACAGGGGGTGAAGTTTGAGATTGAGACAAGCTTCGCTAGCTCATGGGAAGTTGAAATTCCCTTAAATGAGAATAAAACAAGGAGTTTGGAATTTCAATCAATCGTTCATCTGTCTTACCGGCGGTGACGATGACTTTTCACAACGCTGCGCAACTCCCTTCACATGGGCTCAAATTTCAAGACCGACTTAGTGTCACCACCGAATGATGAAAATGACATTTAATGCTGGCTATCCCACATCCATGTACATCCCGTACGTGACTCTCCCTTTCAGAAGAGTGCAATCCTCCGGAGGCTTCCCCAAGCGCTAGCCTCCGCGACGCATTTATTTTCCCTCCTATTCCAATCCTCCTTGGCCCAATGACTCCATCTGACCAACCTCGGAGCCAGCTTTCTCATCAAGCGGGGCAGAGACATTCATCTCAGGCAACACTTCTTTTGAATCCCCAAATACCTTCGTCGAGCCCCAATACAGCTCTCCTCCCAAACTTTCTTGCATGTCCCGTAAAGGTGCATCAAGATTCCCTGCGATAGAGTATTCGTGGACTTCTTGTGCCGTTGCTAATTCACGCGCATGGGTGATAACAAGAATTTTCTCCATATTTTGTAGGCGGTGCGCCTGTTGCAAGCATGGTAGAGCCTTCTCACGCCAGTTTGAGCGTTTGATGTGGAGGTTGAAGTACCAGTGCTGGGTCTGAGAGCTAGCCATTTGCTCAATTGAATCTATGTCGATCAATAACTCTAAACGTCGAATTGAGCAGTGTTTTCCCTGGAAGATCAAAAGCTTCAAAATCCGATCGAGCCACTCGATGTCGTTTCCCAGAAGTGGAGTAATGCAGAGGCGGATCGAAGAAATGCATCGCTGTGGATATCTCCCCATCAAATTGAAGGTTTGCAGGAGGCTGTGTGGTGATGGGAAATGGAAGGTATTGCTGGTCCAGAAAAGGTTATTAGTCTCCTCGTATATTTTCCGGCAGGTTCTGGGAAGCGAGAGGGAGATGGTCGGCTGCCTTTCGTCACCATAATGTTGACCCATGATAAGATTTGTATTGTCGACCAGAAGATAGAAGAAAGGCCCAGATTGGGAACAACTGCGGGGAAAGCCGGAATAAAATGCGTCACGTCGACAGACCGGTTTAAGTGTTCTGGTTGGAGATACGAGACACAGGTCCCATATCTGGTTCCGGATCTCCCCTGGAAGGTCGAAAAGGGACACCATAGTGGTTGAAATGATATTGATGTTTGAGGTGCCGAGAAAGATGAATGTTGAGAAGCCAGAAGATGTTCAAGATTGAGTGGAAGTGGGATGAGCTAGACTTGTTAGCCTTGACCGTAGTTTTTGGTGACGGGGCAACGCACTTTGACCACTTCAAGTTTAGCAGTACCAACTTTGCTCAGATCTAATCTCATGTGGAGAGAATCGGATTTCGCAAGGAATTTGATGCTCACAATCAGTCGTGCGAAGTCCCCTCCAGGGTGGGAACTCGAGGCTGACCCAGATGTCCCATTCACAATGGAAATTTCTCAGCGCAAATACTTTAGTATTTAGAAGCTTTGCAAATTTCCCATTCACCAAGGGATTCCTCGAAGAAGAATGTTCCGAGGATCACCGGAAAGGGAACTTGCAAATGCAGACTGGAAAGGTGAAAGTAACGGCGACCAAACCCCCACTCCTTGGGAGGGAATAGATCTTTTCAAGCCAAAAAAAAATCAACTTCTCTGCGCCACCGGTTGTTCAGAAGAAGCGTCGAGCTTCTCTTGTGGTCAGGCCTTCTAATTTTCAGGCGTCCTCACTTCACAATGCTGGAGTGTTCCTCCAGACTCCTGATCAGTCAAAGTCGTAACTTGCAAGCTTGTCTGATTTCAGCTTTTGAGGCACTCCCACTGTATTCTTACTGTCTCTCTCAAACAACATGAGTCTAGCTATGAATAGAAACGCGAAATGAAGTAAACAAAGAGTGATATTGAGCTTCAGCCACTTGACTCTTCAGGAATGACTGCTGGTCGAGACGCGCGCGATGGCGGCGACTCACTCGCCCTGCGGAGTAAGTCATGTTGAATCCCTCAGTTTGAAGCAAGCCCACTTACTGGCCAACTTAAGCGCGAGATTGTTTCAGCTATCAATAGAAATAGAAATGCTTCGGTAATTCTTTGGATGACGGTTGCCGAGCGTCAAATTCACGCGCAGCCCACCAGACGATCTCCACAATAACTTCTAAGCGCGACCACACGGTTACGCGACACGGCGGTGGCCTTCACGCAGCCAGACGCAGGGGCGGACAGGGAGTGTGTGGGAGTATGCTGTGATCCAATCGTCTACCTGTTTCTGACATCACCCTGCGTTTCGAAACGGTTCCTTGTAAGGAATTCCTGTCACCACTTCACCACGTTCATCCACGCTCATCCCGCGAATCACCTTGTGGCTGGTTGTACCAAGTCCCTTGCAAACGACCCCCCCTTGGCCAACTTTGTGATCCATATGAGGGCCCGATATAACCTCCCTCTTCACTCCCTTCACTCCCTTCTTTCTTGCTCTTAAGCACCTCTTAATCTTCGATATTAACTTAGCATTGAGCCTGTCGATCGAACCCTCAACCGCACGCGACACCTTGCAAGTCGAGGTCGACATCCTTTTCATGTCTCGATAGTTTGAAAGGCCCAGACCAGCGTCAAAATGTCTTCGACCACGAGCTCTTCGAGCGCTGCGACGACCTCAGCAACCTTCGGGCAAGGACAGGCGACTCAGGGAATCAGCCTGGTGGCTTTCCTTACTGCCCTAGCCACTTCGTTGGTCATTTTTGGCATTCAAATGCTTGCATTCATCCTCCTGAAGAACAAGCTGGCCCGAATATTGTGAGTCCGCATATTGATTATATGCGCAAAAGTGGCTGTTCTCTAAACCTTGAGCCCTGCTAACAACAGACAGCAAACCCAAGACATACCTAGTCCCTGAGCGAGAACGAACAGAACCCCCACCGAGAAGCCCATGGGGCTGGTTGTTTGCAATATTCAGATTCAGAGACCGTGAAATCATCAACAAATGTGGCCTCGACGCCTATTTCTTTCTGCGATACCTCCAAACCCTCCTTGTCATCTTCATACCTCTGGCACTAGTGATACTCCCAATTCTGGTTCCAATCAACTACATTGGTGGCAGAGGTTCAGCTTACGCTTTGGAGTTCGGAAATTCGTCCGCTTCAAATCACGCCAATGTCAGTGGGCTAGATACTGTCGCATGGGGTAACGTAAGACCAGAAAAAACACATCGATACTGGGCACACTTGATACTTGCTCTTTTCGTTATTGTCTGGGTTTGTGGGGTATTCTTCGCGGAGTTGAGAGTCTACATTAAGGTCCGACAGGACTATTTAACATCAGCAGAACACCGATTGAGGGCTTCAGCAACGACCGTGCTCGTAAGCGCCATTCCTCGAAAATGGCTTACGAGAGAAGCTCTGGCTGGGTTGTACGATGTGTTCCCTGGAGGAATTCGAAATATTTGGATCAACCGAAATTATGATGAATTACTTGACAAGATCCACCAACGAGACAAAATCTTCCAACAACTCGAGAGTGCCGAAACGGAGCTGATTAGAAAAGCAAAGAAGGCACAGAGAAAGCAGGCTGGGAAGGACGCGAAAGTTGGCGCAAAGAAGGCCAAGCTCAAGCCAAAGACCATGACGAAAGAGGAGAGGGAGCAGAAGATCAAAGACGACAATGCAGAAGCGGAGAGGCTCGCCCAGAGTGGAGGAGTAAGCGCCGGGGATCCTCACCAAGTACCTCATACAGTCGATGATGCGATAGAAGAAGAAGAGGAAAGATCTAGGCATGATCAAACTGAGCGTAAAGGTACCTTTAAAATTCCTGTCATTGGTGGAGGTCTGGCTGCTGTGGGGCAGGGCTTGGATGTGGTGGGTCAAGGCCTTGGAAAGGGGCTTGGCGCTGCAGGAAAAGCTGGGGGGACGGTCATTGGAGGTGCTAGGAAAGTTGGTAGAGGACTCGACAACCAACTTGAGACTACGAACGGTTTCATTACGATGGACGACGGATCACCCGTAGATGGTGATTTATACGACCAGTATGGACGCTACCGTGGCAATCCTCGGGTTGCAAACGGAGGGCCTTATGGTGCTGGTTCAGAAGACAGGGCAGAGGAGATTAGAGATGCAGAAAAGCAGTTGGAGACAGTTGAATCGACAACTCCTCCGGGAACTCGAGATGGTCAAGGTAATAGGCTACCGGGAAACACAACTCGGAAGGCAACGTTCCACTATGGAGTTGACGGTGCTAATGATATTCCCCGGAACAACGGCTGGTGGAAATTCTGGAAGGGGCCCGCGGGAGGATTCGCATCGCCATTACCCACTGGCTATGAAGAAGGCGACGAATTTCCCTTGACTCAACATGATGGAACGGGAGATTCGTCGTTGTCAAAGCGTAGTGGGGACAGTAGGGGACAGAAGAACGGGCTATGGGGCAAAATCACAGCTGCCATCCCATTCCTCAACACGGAAATAGTGCAGCCTCAGGAGTATCCAGTGGCGTACGATCCTGCATACAAGGAAGATGCACACGGGGCCATGTGGGAGAGGTATCTCAGGGCAAAAGACCGACCGACACACCGATTGTCCAAGTTCAGCTGGACCCCTGGGTGGTTGCCAGGCTTGCCACTTATTAACGAGAAGGTCGACACTATATACTGGTGCCGCGGGGAGCTTGCCCGTCTTAATCTCGAAATTGAGATAGACCAGAAGGAGCCAGAACGCTTCCCGCTGATGAATTCTGCTTTTATACAATTCAATCATCAGGTTGCAGCTCACATGGCTTGCCAGGCTATTACCCATCATGTGCCCAAGCAAATGGCTCCTAGAACTGTCGAAATTTCACCCAATGATGTGGTTTGGGACAACATGTCGATCAAGTGGTGGGAATCTTGGTTTAGAACTGCCCTTGTGACAGGTGCTGTTGCTGGAATGGTCATTCTCTGGTCGTTTCCCGTGGCCTGGACAGCCTCTCTGGCTCAGATTTCCGACTTGGCCGCGAAGTATTCCTGGCTCCACTGGCTTCAACGCATTCCCCCAAAGGTGCTTCAGGCAATTGCAGGTGTTCTGCCAGCCCTCGTACTGTCAATTTTGCTCGCGCTGGTTCCTGCGATTCTAACCTACCTCGCGTTTCTTCAAGGCGCACAAACTGGCATGGAAAAGCAAGGGTCTGTCCAGAACTACTATTTTGCCTTTCTATTCGTCCAAGTGTTCTTGGTCGTCTCCATTTCCGGAAGTGCTTTAGCAACTCTTGGATCAGCAACTGAAATCACTGCAATTCCCAACACATTAGCGACTCAACTTCCAAAGGCGGCAAACTACTTCTTCTCATACATGATCCTGCAAGCCTTGTCGACTAGTTCCGGAACATTGCTGCAGATATTTACTTTGATCCTGTGGTATGTACTGCCTAAGCTCTTTGACAATACTGCTCGACAAAAGTGGAAGCGGAACACCACTCTTCCCTCAGTGACCTGGGGTACCTTCTTTCCGGTGTACACCAACTTCGCCTGTATTGCTCTGATTTACAGCGTTGTTTCGCCGATCATCGCGATCTTTGCGATCATAACCTTCACACTGCTCTGGATCGCCAACAGATACAATATGCTCTACGTGTCCAGATTTCAACTGGATACTGGTGGTCTGCTGTATCCAAGGGCCATCAACCAAACCTTCACGGGCCTCTATGTTATGGAGCTTTGCATGATTGGCTTATTCTTTCTCGTTCGAGACGAGAACAATAATGCCGCCTGCGTGCCGCAAGCCATTATCATGATCGTCGCCGGACTCCTCACCTTTCTCTACCAAATACTGCTGAACATGTCATTCGGCCCTCTCTTCCGCCATCTTCCAATCACATTTGAAGATGAAGCTGTCCTCCGTGATGAGGCTTTCGAAAGAGCACAGGCACGCCGCCTTGGCCTAGAGGACGATATTGCAGACCTGCCTCAGCATGATGGCGGGATAGAGATGTCCAAACTCAACGCAACCAGCAAGTTCGCAAAGTTTAATCCGGTCAACGTTGCCCATGAAGCTGGTTCCTGGGCAGCCAGATCAGGGCGAAAAATCAGACAAAACACTTTCGGCCGTGGTTCCGGCAACGATGCTGCCCCCACTGCATCAAATCAACCTCATCTGCAACGCAAACGCAAGCATCGTGATATCGAAGCCCAGAAGAAGATTGCCGATGCTCTTTATGGCGGCTACAATGACGAAATCGAGGATCTGACACCTGATGAGAGAGATATTCTTGTGAAGCATGCCTTCCAGCATTATGCGCTGCGGGCACGCCGTCCTACTGTGTGGATTCCCAGGGATGATATCGGAGTCAGTGATGATGAGGTGAAGAGAACGAGAGAGTTCGCTGGCAACAATATTTGGATCAGCAATGTGGGTGCGGCTTTAGATGGGAAGTCAAGAGTTGTCTATGGAAGAAACCCGCCAGACTTCTCGGAGATCGATTTAATCAATCTGTGAGCTGGATCTCTAGTTCACGTATGCAGATAGAGGACGCGGGGTGGAGGCATGTATCATTGTTTTGGATTTAGCGGCATTACGGCGTTGGACACCCCATAGCATAGTGTCGCACAGAAGTGCCTACACTCTTTCTGGTTTTATTTCGGATACCAAGAAACGAATTCATCGCTGGTATTCCCATTTTTCTAACGCACCCTTTTCACAAATGAGAACAACCACAAGGCGTCTCCCTCTCACTCATCAGCACCCAAATCCGCACCTAACACCCACCTACAGACCTCCCTAACCACGTCCTTTGCCCCCTCAGAATCCTGCTCCTTAACTACATCCCTACTACCTTCCCACACCAAGCCGCTAACCCTCCCACCCTCCCCCTCCTTCCCAACCAAAATCTCCATCGTACTTATCTTGCGCCCGGTCCAACTTCGATAAAAATTCAAGTTTACAGTCTCCCCTTCCTTCACTTCTCCCTCGGAACACACAAACCACTTATCCTCCATCTCGCGCGGCTTGAAGCCGTTTATCAACGCGGTGAGTTGCGGGGGAGTGATTGACACAGACCAAGGTGTGGTGATGACGGAGCGTGTGAAGGGCTTGGTTTTCCAGGCTGTGGGGAGGACGCGGTGTTCTGTGGGAGCGCCAGACTGGCCATACATTACGAAGTGGGCTAAATCGAGGGGGTCGACTCCGCCTGGGTTATGGCTTTGGATCATGGTTCCGTCAGGAGGCAAAGAGTCGGTTGGAGGTTTTCGTTTTTGTTTCCAAGGAAACAGTTTTGAGAAGAATTTTGAGATGATGGAAAACATTTGGGGGGTTTGGAGAGAGGGTAGAAGCGCGGGTCTGAGGAGACTTTTAAGGTATGGGGAGGTGGAGGCAGCTGTCATACCCTTCCATGTTCGGAGTTAAGCCTTGTGAGGCTGCGGCCGGAGGCGTCTGAGTGGAGCGAATCATAGCGGGTTCGTGACTGAATACGAGGTTGTGTCAACTCGGTAACTCTTGCAGGAACGTTTAAAAATATCAAGTGAGTACATGTCTCGTATTTCCTAATATTTGTTTGCAAAGTAAACCATCATCGTTACCTGGTTATGTAAGGATTCATGGCACTCCTCACTCAACCCAACCCGTATTCAAGCTCTTTGCGCACGCAAGGCCATGAAAAAAAAAAGTTAACTGGCAATCTACTCTTCCCCAACTTCCAAAATCATTAAATTTCATGACTGCTGGCCCTATTCTTTTCCGGCCCTACAAGAAGCGCAAATGGCAAGTAAATCTGGGAGACGCTGATGAGATCGACGGTTCGCTCGCTTAAAAGAAAGGGGTGGTACTACAGGCAAATCTAAGCTCTCAACTTTGCGAGCTCAGCTTCCCACGCATTCACTTCCAGATGCGTGAGCAATAGAGTCCCAAAAACGAAACTCACAGGGAAGCGTGACAGTGAGAAGAATAAAAGCCACCAAAAAAATCCTTCCGACGTAAAATATTGGTAATGAGGCGCTACTGCGCAACTATATTAGTGCAGTTGGCGTTGCCGGGAGTTGATGTTCCTATAAATACGACCTGAACAGCAGCATATCTATCCAAGTATCAATATCTAAATCTCTTCTAGTATCAAGCTTTACTTACGTTGCGGTTGCAGCAAATATGTCCGCCATTCCAGCACGCGTTGTGGCAATCAGTGCCAGTGAAAAAAGTACTGTGAAGACGGCCATCGTCCAAAGACGTTTGGCCACACTCGCAATAGTATACAGCAGAATTGTTGAAGTGATTGGCAATACACATGCTAGAAGTGTGCTTATGGCCCAAGTCAGACGAAGGATAGTTGCTCTTTCGTAGACCACTGTTCCCGCGTGGTGCTCCTCACAACCAGGCTTCTTGGACAAGATTAGAGCAAGTTCCCCTTATCAGCTATAATTTTTACTTACTTTTGTTCGGTAGCCAAGATTTCTATGATACCAATGGGTCAGACTATCGGATATCCACGAAAACAAAGGACTTTCATCGGCCCATGGGTTCAGGGAGACGAGATCCGCTCGCCACTCATCACTTGACCAAGTTCGATTGTCCGAGCCGTAGAGACGCACGTTGCCCATTCCTGCGCGCTCCATCCACTCGTTTAGAAACCCCAAGTCCTGCTTTTTCGGTGCCGACAGCTTATTGAGCTTTGTGTGTCGAGGAAGGGCATTTTCTATAGCCGTAAGTCCCTCACTTAACTAATTACCCCTTGATCACGCACCGTATTCTTCCAACTTATCCCTGATTGCTAGCATCGTCTCCCATCGATGCCCATCATTCCCTTTTTCTACATGATCTTCGCAAGACTCCTTTAACGCCAACCAATCAAGCGAGTAGACTTTCCTATCCGGGTGGTCGGAAGCATCATCGGCTTTTGCGTATTTTTGCAAGTCAAGCTCAAGATCTCTTAATTCAGCCTGCAAGTAAAGTAGGTTCAATGCACTAAGAGCAGAATAACGACGTAATATAGCAACCTCGGGGTGCTCTCCCATAAGCAAGCCTATTTTTGCGTACCCTGTCATGGTGAACTGCCTCCTTCTGAAGGCTCTGGGCTTAAGCAGCAGTGGCTGCGAGTACAGTTTGTCTATTTTCGTACAATAAAATTTTTGTCGTTCGTTTATACGATGGCGACACTAGCTCTTGAATAGTTTGACCACGGTGAAGGAGAATCAAGCGCTATCGCTGGAGAAGCCTCGATTTGATCAAATGAGAGCGGCTTTCAACACTATGTACCTTCCCGCACCGGGTGGGAGTAAATTGTGATTCCATGTGCTCAAAACGGTCCAGTCTAGCAATGCATTGAGCCCCTGACTCCTTACTCACTGTGGCCGGGCGTAGCTTAACCATCAGTTCTCTCCCGCCGCAGAATCAAAGAGTCGGGGGCCATGGTCATTGGCTATCAGTGCAGAGTGCACATCAGGAAAACGCCGCAAATGCATGTTGGGTTGGCATCACCCTACCTGCGTTAAAAAGCGATTTTTTACACAGACTCGGGGTTGCCTGGTCGAAACCCTTGTTTGTCTCTTCGGGCCTGTTTCAATGATTGGGCACCAGGCAAGGCAACTGCACTTCAATCCCGAATGGCTCTAGACCGGAGGACTGCATGGGGGCTCAGCTCTTGCCCAGCAACCAAACGATCAGATAGTTAGAATTATCAGGCTGAAATACCTTCGCCCTTCTCATAATTACTCCTGACGCCTTTGGTTCTTCCTGTGATCACCGCTTACATTCCAAGTGGTAAATTTCTTCAAATGCTGTGACAAAAAGATGGCATCACGTTCATCACGCAGGACCAAATACTCAAAGGAAGAGAGGGTCCCCGCACAATGGAGTGACTGGGAGTGGGCACAGGATTATGGCATGTACATGAGATATCGGTTGGACAAATATGGTCAGTATTCAGTGCACAATAAACGATAAGAAAGCCTTCCTTATAACCTCTTTGCTAGGGAATTACGAATTCAAAGATACCGATGGCAATGAAGAAACCACTTCTTCGAACCACCAATCTTCGAACAACAACCCCTCCTCGACAAGTAATCAGTATGGGGCTGGTACAGAAACATACCTCCCCAACCAAGATAATAGCTATGGCCTTTCAACACTCAATATTAATTCGCCACAGCTGGATGCGAAAGCGTCCGTTCGCCAGGTCCTTGGTCCAGCACCCTCTAAACCAGCGGGGCAGTATTATCCATCCAATCCATATTCGCTGGGTGCAACTTTAATTATGAGTGCCTTTGGCTGGAGCGCAAATGGGGAATATCCAGGCTCTTCAGGAACTTACAATTCTGGTCTCTCTTCGCGCGAGCCAATATATCGCTCACATTCAGAGCCCGCCTATCAGACGGTGAGTCTGCCATGCCCCATCGGTGTCGGTGAGATTTTCCACTTTTTGGAGCTAGAACTGACCTAGACAACTCGTCAGAGACATGAACGGCCGACCCTTGACATATTCTTCGGTGACAAATTGGGACAAGAGATAAGGTATATAGCACTTCTAGATTCCCAATCAACCTACGACTGGATATCCGATCGCATTCCCTTAAAGCTACAACTCCCAACATCTGAGCCAAGTATCCACTCATCGACAGGCGCCGAGGGAAATGTGGTCAGATCAATAGGACGTGTGAATTTGAGATGGAGGAAAGCCCCAAATGGCTCCAGAATCTACGAAGATGATTTCGATATCTTCCAAGACCCGAACATCGACGTTATATTTGGCTGGAGCACGTGCATAAAGTACGATCTTCTCAATGATAACTCCTCAAAACTTATCCCATTGATATCATACAACGCCGAGACTGAAGGTATAGATTGTGAGGCCCCGCTTTTATTATTCCGGGCTAACAACCGTTCTCTTCAGATGAAAGACGGCAGGGCAAAATAGAAGACACCAAACAGAGAAATGGACAGCGCGATTCTGAAGCTAGGAAACAGAGAAGTGAGACAAGGAAGCCAGACCAAAGGTTAGACAAGGGGCCGGATAGGGGGAAATCGAAATCATGAGGCGGTTCTCAGGCCACCTGGTTTTGTTCATCCAAGCGAAGGAGCACTTGGCCTCTTCTCGACAACCCCTTCGTTCTTCTTGAGAATCCAGATTCGGTCTCCGTAATCGTGCCATCAACACGTCACCAAAGGAATGGTTTGCAGATGTTTTGAAACTTGGACATCTGAACAGTTCCCAGCCTTTCAAAGAAATCCCTCTCTCCTTCGAAAGCTTCAACTCCAATCGATACCACACACCTTTTTTCCATTGCGTTGACTGGAAGGAGAGTCTCTCATTCTGACTCTATATTTGAAGCACTTGCCAAACCCACTCGCGAAATATCAGTTATGGACTTGTCATTTTTGGGCCAGCCAAGAATTTTGAGGAGCTGACAACTCCAAATGGAACGCTGAGCCATGCATTTCTAAAGTCGGTAGTAGCTCAAACCATCCACAGGACAGACCAACTCAGGTATCCTTCAATCTCCCAAACTGTGGCTCAATAGAAACAACTCCATCATCATCTAGAACTTTGCCCCTATCCCATTCCCTGCCCTCTCCCTTCTTCGCCCATCGAACATCTTCCTCCCGCTTCGCGCCACCATTTTCCCATCGCTTAACCTCGTCCTCTGTGAATCCAGCAGCTCTCAGACGATCAGCACCTAGCTCCTTATATTTCTTACGAGCTCTCATTGCCTCTAAAGCTTGATCCCAAGGGTCATCCTCATCGGAATCTAGCCGGACGTCAGTTGTCGGGTCGTAGTTTGCTGAGAATCTGGCATCGATACCGGAAGCTTGAGATATGGTGCCGCGGCCTTTGGTTCGTACTTGAGGAACAGCTGGAGGGCGAGGACCGATAATGTCATCTAGAGGATCTGAATAATAACCCTCCTGTGTCTTTGCTTCTGCTTCCTTGACATCCTTCTTTGGTTTCTTTGATTCGGACTCGGGATTTTCCCGCTCAGATCGATGCGACTTCCCTCGTGCTTTATCTGCCTCGGGAGATCTCGACCGCTTCCTTCTTGGTGATCTTTCACGATGTCTACTCTCTTTGCTCCGGTATTCCCCGGGAGATGCCGACCGTGACCTATGCCGTCTTCGTCGGTCTTCGCCATCCTTGCCCCGATCTCTAGAGGTGCTTCTGTGTCTCCGATGGTGACTTCTGTGGCCTCTTGGCCTCCCACACCCTTCCCTGTCCTCTCTGCTATCCCGATTTCTTCGAGACACAAATTTCGGTTTCTCCTCAGGCTCCTCGTCTTCACTAGAAGTGTTCACACGCCTTCCGCCCGCTCCCACCCTTGCTCGCTTCCTCGGTCTACCTCCAAGAATGGCCGCAATATCTCCAAGCTGACGTTTTCTAATATCTCCTCCTCCAACTCGACTTGCTTTCTCCTCACGGTGCTCATTAGATGCTAGACTCTGCAGACGAGCGCGAGATTCTGCAGCTTCTTTGGCGAGTAGTGCTGCATTGTGGCTGTCAGTATCCTTGATGATATTGCGTAGAAAACGTGTATTTGGTTTGGGCTTATTCGCTGGTGGTCTGATATTATTAGACTTACATTTTACATATTTCAGGTAGGTGGGACGTACTTAGATTGCTTGAAAGCGTCAAGGCCCATGGAGGAGTACTTGATGGCGCTTTCCTTTGCATCCTTGGCCAGTAGCTCAGCTACATAATCATCGGTTAAGATCTCGTCGTTGGCCATGGTTACTCAGTTTCGAGCCCGTTGCTTACGAGGACTTAATAAGAGATGTCGGGGTTCAAGGTCGGGTCTTCTGTGCCCTTTGGGAATAATCAAGGTGACGGAACGTGAGTAATAAATTCGTCGGCACGCTGCTTTTAGAAGGCGGTGAAGGATGTCCCGCAAAATTGCCGGAGTCGTTGAAGTACCGCGTAAACAAACGCAAACCACTGTAAAACCTGCGAATCACTCCATACTTCCAGCACGATTACGATTTCTTGAGAGTCCTAGCAACTCGGAAAATCCGACCAACTTGTCAAACATTACCTAGAATTGGGCTTAAAAATCACGGGCGTTCGCGTCAAACACGCTATGTAATCAGGTCCCAAGTAAACACTCCACTCAACATTCAAAATTGATTTGAGAAAATCAGCTTGTTGGGCAATCAACATGGCGCAATCTCACAGCGAGGTTCTGGACGCTCTTTTGGATACCCAAGCTTCTCACGAGCTTTCCATTATCAAACTCAGCGAACCAATTTCGGGACCACTGAAGCAAAATGGCGCAGAACGTACATCTGACGTATCTGCGGAGGTTTTTGAGAATCCAACTCCGGCAAGTTTAGAAGCAGATCTGGCACATTACAAGGCATGTTGATATCTCTTGGTGAAGGTTACAGTTGTTGACCCAGTCACAGGAACTCTTCTCGAAACTCCGATTCTCCTACCTCGAACAAGTCACCAAAGAGAAATTTATACGCGCAATTGTTGGCGATCCACCCCTGGTAGTAGAACACCAAGAGAACGTTGAGCTCGAGGAGTCACTCGCTGTCGCAAAGGCGGCGTTAAAAGCACAGAAGACAGAAGTTGCAGAGCTGGTGGCAGAGTTGGAAGCAAGAGGTCGAGAGTTATGTCGAAAGTACGAGAACATTCAGATGGAGACAACACAGTTGCAAGAACTGCCAGCGAAGATTGGAGCTTTGCAAACTAGTGTTGAGGAACTGAAGGCAGCCCAACAGCCGGGTTCAAATCCGACATTGAACCTGCCTCTGGAGAAGACTCTGGCGTTGGTGGAAGAACGCGAAAGGGAGAGAGCGGAATTGGATAGGCAATTGGAGCAACTTCAGGTTATGGTTCCAAGAAAAACCAGGGAATTAGAGAGGCTGAGTGCTGAATTGCAGCCCCTGGAGGTCAAGAGACTTGGAAGTACCGCTTCGGCTAGAGAAGCCAAGAGAAGGAAGGAGGAGGCCCTTGGCGGTGTTGGAGACGATTTAGAGGAGCGAGGCAGATGGTGGAGAGGTGTCGAAAGTGGATTGAAAGGCATGCTAGGCGTGGAGGGTTAAGTTGGGTTGTTTGAGGAGTAATGGTGAGGGAATACCAGAGGATCAGGGGTCAGGCGTTCTGTGACATTGTCTCGAAATGTTTCCATGGTTTCTGGCGTCAGTAGAAATGTATGTTCGAGTCTCCTTTCGAACGTTTCACACAATTCGTAAGAGAGAGGAAAGGTACTTGTTGATCCATGGAGAGAATGGCCGTTGAGCACTCATGCTTACCTTCCCAATATATGGTCGATTATCGTCAATTGATAACATTGTGGTAGTATTTCTAACCTATCCCAAAGGTACTCTGACCATTGTTTGGAGGACTCCCGAGAGCTATGACAAAATCATCAAGACAATTATGGGCATCCCTAACGGCAAATATGTTGCAAGCAAATAAATTATAAATGCCCTTTGTTAGCCATAGTCAAGAGCTCGCTGAGTGCTTTTCTAAATCGAGCCGAGGTGAGATGAGGTGAACGTGAGCAACGTCATGTGATGACTCGGTCGCTTAATTCGAACTAGCCCACACACCGGAATCAAAAAATCCAAATCATCCCGATCGCGACAAAATCCCAAACCTCAACAAGCTCGTCAGTCAACGTCAACGAGGTATGCTCTTCTGCCCTTGCGATTTCCCCCCCTCCTCCCAAAAAAATTTAAACTAACATCCTACTCTCCAGCCACTCAGCCAAGATGAGTACGTTGCGACCTACATGACTGCCGTCACTTGCATCAAGTTAGCTACTAATATCTTCACTTATAGCGAAAGGCACGAGTTCCTTCGGTAAAAGACATAATAAAACCCACACCCTGTGCAGACGCTGCGGTCAGTAGAATCGATTCCGGAGAGCACTTGGGGGTGGAAGAAAGCTGGAGCATGTTTGGAAATTGGGGCATCAGCAGACTGACATCTCGAACTCCCAGGCCGACGATCTCTTCACATCCAAAAGCACACCTGCTCATCATGCGGATACCCAGCTGCTAAGATTCGGCAATGTACGTTTCTCTCGGCTGCAAACCTTTCGAGGCGCCAATGGCACGCGACTTGGAGGTTCTGAAGCTAACGCGGTATTGCAGACAACTGGGGCGAGAAGGCTAAGCGGAGAAAGACCACTGGTACTGGACGTATGAGACACATGAAGGGCGTTACCAGAAAATTCAAGAATGGCTTCCAGACCGGTGCTCCCAAGGATGCGAAAGGACCATCGACCAAGGCAGAATAAGGGATGCATCTGAGGAGTTGATTTGGGATTGCGGACTGATTGCTTTATGAGATGTCATGACGGCTGCGGTCATACTAGCAAATGCCATCAATTTGCGTCGCAAGTTTTGTTGCAAGATGAACTTTGGGTTTTTTGTGATCCGACTTCCGGAGGCTCTGCATCGATGGCACAACCACGGATATGAGCATACAAATGGCAAGCACCAGGTCTCACAAAGTTTCCGCTTGATCTACTTGTGATAGGAGTGAGGCTCTGAATTGTGGACATGTCCAGTGGAATCTTGCCAGGCAGTTCATTGGCCTCTCTCGAATACCTTCACACCACCGTCCCCTCCCACAAAGTACAGAAGTTCCTTCTCCTCTATCCGCCTCTGGATACCTTGACTACCTTGCTCGATACTGTCCCCGACAGTAACCCTCAGAACTCCACTAACATCCCTTGCCGTACCAGTATCTAACAACCTCAAACTCATTATGAAATCGGCTTCATGTGATATGTTAAGCACCAAAGCCGCATGGTCCTTTTCAAGAGGCGTTTGACTTGTTGATACTAAAGGGTAGTCTGCTGAGATGGACAAGATTGTTGAATGTGCCTCCTAAAGAGATCAATTTTCCTGTTATGTTACATCTGCCCTTGGGATGTCACGTACCTCTCGCAAGCCAATCAACATCTCTCCAAGGTTCACGGCTCCAATTTCGTCTCCACCAGCTGCCAACAATAAATCCAACTGGTCGATGACTAGGACGATGTTTCCTTCATCGGTGTCTTTCAGACTGTGGATGGCACGCTGAATCTCCCTAGATACAGTTGCAAATTCCGGACTGCACAAAACATTCTCTTCGCCCCTTACTGCTGATATCTTCGGAAGGAAAAGTCCAGTTAAACCATCCACAAAAGCAAATCTCTTCTTGGAAGCAAATTTTTCGAGATCGAGACCCTACATCCAAAAAAAATCAAAAAATCAGCCTCATATCCTCGCTCACCTCTACATGAAAAATTCGAAACTGAAATGAGCAACATTGAAAAGATGAAAGATAAAAGAAATGCCTACCAATCTCCTTCCGTTTTCTTTCCAGAAAGCAAAATCTCTCATAAAGCTCACTAGAACCAATTTGGTATCATCTCCTCGCGGTGATACTGACAAGGGCTCGGGTCGAATCAACGTGCTGTGAAGAAATCTGAGGACAAGCCAATTTGAGCTTGCACCTAGGACGCTTGTAAGGAGGATGAGAGATGCTTCTGGAGGAAGCGCGAGATAAGGCTCAAGAAGCGGCGGGATACGTGAAGACATCTTGAATATTGAAGTGAACGAGATGGCCAAACTTTTGCAGGCGAGGAGGACAGCCAAATTTAGGGTTGGTCACGTGACTGTATTTCCATGTCCAACCGTACTTGTCTTCGACTTTGACTTCCCCTCCATCAACCAATTACTTTATCCCATGCATTGGATAACCGTCCAGCCATCCACATAAACCTTTACACTCCCCATCGTCCAAACATCCCATTTAAGAAAATTGTAAACAAATGATTCGTCAAAACCTCTCGGAACAGTCAGATTCGAATCACGGATCATGGATCCATGATTTTGATAATTGTACTGTATTGGATTTCCTTATTCGGAGCACTGGATCTCCGCTATATATTTACCACCAATTGACAACTTCTTCGGCTTAATTGGGCAAATCCGTCTTCACGATACGGGACGATCTCCTCTTGGACGAACACGACAGGGCGGTGGCATCAATTGCCTCCACTATATGCCAGTTTTATGCTCGAAAAAGGCATTTCGGATAGACCATGAATCTACCAACAGCGCTCGACAATCACACTATCAGCGGGATAGGATGGTTGACACTTCGGGTCTATCCAATATACTGAGAGTGGATACTCATACTAAAGCCGCCTTGGTGGAGCCCAATGTTCCCATGGACACTCTTGTTGAAGCTACTCTTCGACACGTTTGGTACCCCCCGTTGTCATGGAGTTTCCAGGAATTACTGTGGGCGGTGGATTTGCTGGAACTAACCTCCGCCCTCTCACTCATTCTACCGAAAAGGGGTAAAACTTCCTCCGGAATGGTTAGAGGATAAACTAGCCAAAAAGCGTTCAAGCTTCAGTCAATATGCTGTTTCACGGAAAGAACTCAGTTCGTCTGGTTTAACGTAGTGTCTACCCACCGGGTTAGGCACCAGAGTTTTGCTGATTTGCACCTTCGGGGTATTTTGGCAGGTGGTGGAAATTGACAAAAGCGAGTTGAGCAAAGGGGGTCTGTTTGCTTTCTGTTCGGAACTGAATACAAGAACATTTACAATCTCGCCACCCTTTTACCTGAAAGTGGCAAGAGTGAATAGCTCCTCTCCTCTTAGGCCTTTTGTTGCACATCATACCGATATTCCAACGATAGTAGTATATTGGTGTCATTCTTGAAGTCGAGAGTGGCTCCCGTAAGTCAAATTATTGGTACGCATGGCATAAATGCTCGGGAGGACCTTGGGACACTGGCAGCGTCAACTCGAAGTCAAATCGTTGCTCCCGCTGTAGTAAACGCTGATAATCTCCTATTACCAGGTATTCCGAAGGCCACTCACTTTCTCATCGGTTGTGTGATGAGCTTTCTTTGCGTTCGAAACATCATACTTTAGCATCTCTAGAGTTCTAGAACAAGTTGACTAGCTGTGGATGTGCAATGTCCAATTCAAAGCAGGTAATGTTTGTCGACATCAAGAATATTGTTGGGCTGCCAACTACATGTAACGGCTATCCAGCCAATAAAAGCATCCAAAGAATCCCGAGTAAGGGTTCAAGAGAAGCGGCAAATTCATTGCATAAAAAGTGTCTGTGTCTCCAGGGGCATGGTATCCCAAACTCCTTGCAATGCTCACGTGAGTTATCCTTCTATCCCAACTCCAATGCTCGCCAGCAAAGCGAACGCTAATCCGTAGCTCAACTGCCTCAAAGTACAGCGAGCTTAAAATTTCTCCATCAAGTTCTTCCTGACGGTCCACATTCTAGCCCTCTTCCCATAAATATACATCGGAATCGAAAAAGTCATCAGAGTGAGTTGAATAGCACCAACGTAGATGAACACTGTCTTCGAGCCATCGTTCTCAAGCCATTTGGTGAAGAACAAGCTGAATACTAAGCCGTGAAAGACGTTCTTGCTAAAGTTGAGTGTCACCAACGCCTCGCCAGCATACTGTCGATAACTGTCAACACAGAACGTGATCGCAGTCGTTGAGCCTAATGAGCATCCGAACGATATTATGCCAAAAAATATTGTAGGGACAATCCAGGCATCGTGCTCATAGGCTGACCAGCCAAAACCCATGAGACCGATCACAGTACTGATAGTAATTGGAATTGCCATAACAAGACGGAATTCGGGCTCATAAAGACCTCCATTACGCTTGGCCATAGCTCGGACAATGATATCGCTAACTTTCCCCGCGACCGCTGTTCCAAGTATACCGCCGATGAAGGGTGAGATGTATATGAGACCAGTTGATAGAGCGGAGAATCCATAGGTAGTGCGGCTGCGGTAGATCACTGCCACGGATTCTGACAACACGATTAACCACCCAACTGAGCAGGAATAGACCACTGCGGACCACAGAACAGAAGGGTATGCAAATAGAATGAATGGTCTGACTGCAACTCGAAACCAACTATCATGGCTCAATCGGCCATTGTAGGGTTTCAAGGTTTGAAGGAATGTTAGGCGAGGACGATTTCTGAGACTGTTGGTATAGACAAGCGCAGGCGGAGGCTGCTCGAGTGGGGATGATGCTCCTCTATCATTGTTCATCTCGCCGTTTTTCTCTTGAAGTCCGGAGGCGATGTAATCATTAGCACCTCTTTCGACATCCTCATACCAAGGAAAATTGAAATTGTGCAGACTTGGCAAAGGGGCAAGGCCACTTTTTGGTGTTACTTGGCCAGCTTCAGCCAGTGCATCTTTCACTACTAGCCAACCATAAGCGTTACGCATTGCCGGTGGCTTTCGCTATCTTACCTGAGGATTCGCCACCCAAAGTGCTCATGGCACCCTCGGGGACAGGGGTGCCGTGATCTGCAGCGGCGTCTTCACCGCCGTGTCTACTCTGTTCGGGAGCAAACCCAACATGACGCATTGAATTGATACGGTGGGCTGGAGTTGGTCTTTTTGGAAGAGTTCCGTTTGCAGATCCAAGGGGTGCTGTCTTCTCCAGGTTTTTTGTATGTTCATCATTTGAGTCAGCTTGGGCTACTGGTAAATCTTTCTGTTGTGTGTGCGAGTGGGAGGAGAAAAGTGAAAATCTGGGGCTATTCTTGGACTGTTTCCGACTCTTCGGAACAGGTGCTCTGTCCCAATATGATTCGGGAACGAAGAAGAAAAGTAGAACTCCACAGAAGCCAACGACGATGGCAACAATCCTTTTCTATGTTAGAATTTCGCAATCGACTCTAGTCAGAGGATTTTCCTTACCAGAATACCCATCTCCATCCCATCGACTGAATAATTGCGGCACTGACCAAAGGTACCAGGTTCTTACCACCAAGAAGCAGGAGAGTGTATATTCCGAGGCGATAGGCGCGCTCGTGGAGGAAGAAAATCTCTGCCACTGTAGCGGATGGCAAACATTCAACAGGGCTGACAGAGATCCCCTGAAATATTCTGGCAACCAAGAGGGAATTATAGCTTGGCGAAGCAGCGCACCAGACAGAAGTGCATATGAATAGTATAGCACTAAAGAGATAGACTGGGCGTTTGCCGAAGAGAATCGCGGTAGGAGAGAAGAGTACGGAGCCTACTCCTAATCCCATCATATACAACCCAGTCGTTAGAGCAACTTTCGACGTTGCAACATTGTAAGTTGCGGCGACATTGGTAAAGCCCGCAGCCAGAATTGGGGTTATGCCTCCTCCAACCATACAATATAAGCCAAGTGAAAAAAGAGCTGCATCTCTTCTCAATGTCGGCCAATTCAAGGGGTCATTAATGGAGTCGTCTGGTTGAGGTTCGAGGATGATCGCTCCATCTTTGGTCGTCTTCTTGTTTTTTGTTGCTTGAGAAGTACGGGGTATACGTCTTTGCACTGCGGGTTGTTGTGGCAAGGAGGAAGCAGACGTTCTGGCTGGGGCATTTCGAAGGCCAAGAGGCTCATTACGCTGACCGGCCAGGAGAAGGACGGATCCTGTAGCGTGGCACAATTAGTTTCGTTGATCTATCTTTCCATCCCTCTCTAGAGCTAGCAAACGTACCTGGTACTTCGTTCGTTCTTCGATCGTTTAGAACTCCCAGACCCCATTTTGTTGGTTGTTGGCCCTTCTCTTCTTCAGACTCCTCAATATCCCCCTCTTCGTCGGCATTGCGTCCATTCGAGACCGAATTGCGGGCGAAGAAAGATCGTGGTCGTTCTGAACTAGGTGTGGTAGGTATAGGATCCAGTTCTTCATTGCCAGGCATATTGCTCCGAGAGCCAGCCAACATTTACAAGTGGCAAGGAATCCTTTGCGAGGATGAAGGGCACGGAACGGGTTCTAGCGTTCTGCACAAAGACAACTTTCTCTGCAAGTAATAGTGATATTTGGTAGGTGTAAGGCGGAACGGCTCGTCCGGGAAAGAGAGGCTAGAGGCTACTTAAGATGAGGAGGATGGGGAAGAGAAGAGCTGAGTTAATGAACAACACATGTGTACTAGCACTATCGAGAAAAAAAATCCGAAAGTCAAAGTTTATCGAAGACGGGCAATAAGGAAGGTGCTATACTCTCTCTCAGAAGTGGGAACACGATTCACTCGGGTGGCGGTTGCCAGTTGAGCCTGCTTATATGGGCGGTGAGGATCTTGTCTCTCGATGACGCAGATCCAGGATTTGCACAGCCGTAGAGGACGCAAAGACATGAGGATGCATTAAAATCAAATGAGAGACAGTGCGAATGGTCTGAGAATATTCGTCTAACTGGCAGAGGAGGGGTCTCGTGGTTAGCTCCTCGAACGTGTTGCTGTCAGCTGAGATCGTCCCTTGCTCGGAGCTGCAAGCCATGCAGATTTCAAAGTCGCCTCGGTGAAGCATCCGGAATGACGCAGGCCAAGCAAACAGGGCAAACCATTTCAAATAGGCGCGTTTGCAGCTCTCCAAAACAACGCTTCTGGAGCTGAACCAACGCCTGCATAAAATATGATCACAAGGCTCTCAACACAAATGCCAACATGGCCCAGACTCCCTTTCCCCAGAAATCTTTCGATGGCTGCTCCAATTCGACAGTTCTCCGCCACGAAGCAGAACAAAGCCAAGAATCGCATTTTCACGTCGTGGGTAACCTAGTTTCGTTCCTGAGCTCCTGTGATCTACTATCTTCTTATGGTGCGGATCTGGAAACTTGGAGCACAGCCGTTTGTTGAGGTCTTCTGGGGTATGACAAGGTCACTTTCAAGGAAGCATGTTCCTAAAGTCACACTTCATCGCACATTGGTTCAGCAGCCAGGGCCATTGTTGACACATCACTTTAACGGATGAGAAGTCACCGAATACGGTTCACCTTCAAAATCGGAAGCAAGTGCTGACAAACTTCAGCGTCCGCCGACCCGATGACTTCTCAACCTACCTTCTTCTCTCGACTTCTTCCCGAAAACCCCTCATAACATTCTGGACCGCCTCCTATTGCAATACCTGTCGAATCGTCTCCCCCCTCCTTCAGGAACTGATTTCATCCGGTGTTGGCGAAGCAGAAGGCGCCGTCTCTTTCGCAGAAATTGAGTTCGATTCACAAGATATAATGGACAGTGGATTGGCTATGACTTATATGATCACGAGCATACCTACATTACTGAGTTTCGAGAGAGGAGAGGCACAGACTTACACAAAAGTGACGGATCCGAAATTGATGCGAGATAGAGAGTGGTTGAAGGAGTGGATCAGGACAGAAGCAGGGAGGGGCGGTGGTGCTGGATTGAATGCTGGTGGTGGAATCTTTGGAGGGCTGTGGGGAAACTCCAAGTAGCAAAGCTCCGGCAAATACTCCAAGTATACTGGGCTATTGGGGAACAGGTTGAGTAGTCGTTGGCATTTCTCATCTATCGTCACTTCGTGATAGGGCATGGCCTGGATCATCCGCTAGCCTTCTCCCTCCCGTGATACGCAAAATTCGATATCCAAAACGTATCACCTGTCGAGTCTCACGACTCATGGGTTATAGAACACCTCTTCAACGCCCTTCCACCAAGCCGGTTCGCCCTCCGCACTGCTCTTCGCACCGGGCACGAATGATTCTTGGTAGCTGTCGGTCATTTTCCACCACTCTTGAACTTTTGGGTTGTCCCTCATCCGTTCCATATCACCCGCATAGTTATAGCCCTTTTAATGTCAGGTTGTGTGCTTGAAAGGGAGAGTAAAGAGGACATACTACGTATTTAAATGATGCGAAGAGGATGTGGGTTTCAGGGTCATGGAAAATAGAGTCTGCACAGAACACATTAGCTACAGATTCAAGAAGAAAATGATTCTCGACTCCTAAACCACCCCAACTCCCCAAATGAAAGATAGCATAGCATAGTCTTAAAGAAGAGAAATAGACTCACAATCCTCAATATTGCAGTCCTTAATCTGCTTCAACACCTCCGGCCAGACCTTAGCATGACACTCCTTGTACTTCTCCACACACTCCGGCTTCAGCTTTACAATCTGCGCAACACGGCGCCCTTGATTCTTTAACCGGTATGTTGGCCGCGACGTCGGCGATGTGGGCGAGACGGAGGGGATTTGGGGGGTTGTTGGCGAGGCGGGGTTCGAGGAACTGGTGTTGGACCACATTTTGTCTCTCTGGGGACCGGATAGGTAGGGAGTTGTAGGTTAAAAAGTCTCGAAGGAAGAGAGAGTTTTAGGGGGGTAGAATTCGTAAGGGAGGGCGGAGAGTAAGCGTGTGGTCTGACGAGCGTATTCCTGAAGATCGAATATCTGCGAGGAGCTCCGGGAGTGTGGGGTTCTTCTGTATACGAAATGCCGTACAACGCAGGCAATTGAGCTCGTGATACACCCAAACTTCCCGGACAAAAGTCACCGAGGTTGCAGTTGCAGGTAAGGGGAGGTTTTAAGAGTGAAGGATTGGGAATTGGAAAACTTGGGTTGTGCTTGTGCTTGATGATGCATGGGGATTTCTAAGCTGGGAAGTTTGGGAACAATGATGGTGCCCGAGATGGCCCCGTAAATGCGAGCAGTGCTTTCCTGACACGAATTTATCCGGGGCAATGGGCAATGCACGTCACTTGCGCTTGATTGGATTGGGCGTTTTTCTGTATCTCCGGTAAGGCTAGCAATTTGTCCAGAGTTTGTCCAGAGATCTGTGATATGAGATTCATAGTCGAAATGCGAGTTGTGGTGTTCTGGTCAAGCATATGATATCTGTAAGTCTCCAGATGATCTAACTAATCTTGCCTATTGACTCCACTTATGCCCCAGTCCACATGTACAGTGATCCCACATCCTGTAAAGCTCCAACAAAGGAAACCTTTTCGCTGGCACCAATACCCAACCCTTATTTGTGTCTTAGACCCACCAGGATACAACAGAAATGCAAGTATATTAGAGAAAATGAGCCCGCGGTGGCGAAGAATCGGAACTTTTCTATGTTATAGTACAACACACAAGTATCGCTCAGGCGTAGTAGAACGCTTCTACGAGGTAGATGACCCCGAAAATTAGGAAAGCTATCGCACCCCCTAATGTTACTGTGTAGCGTTAGATTATGCTTCCGCGGTGAAGTGCGTGGATACTTACCAACTCTTAAGCTCACTTTTCCAGCAATTGCCCGCCCGCCAATGACTGCGACACCTGTACATACAGCATGGCCACTTACTGCTCCACCTGTGACCCACCAGTAGTCCTGTCCGGCAGCCATTGCGATTGTCGCAATTTGACTGCGATCCCCCCACTCTCCCAAAAAGGTCATCACAAATGTCTGCACCCAGGCGGGAGAGAGCAGTAGGGAGAGGAGATTGTTGAGACCGATCATGATCCCTGTCAAATTCGATCGTCTGGGAGAGGGTGAGCGTTCAGGCGATGAAGATGGACTCCGAGGCGGGGATGGTAATCTTGAGCCAGACCTCGACTTTCTTGTACTTGTTCGTCCAAGTCCCATCTCAAGGGCGTAAGGGGAGATTGACGACCTTCGTCGTCCTTGCTGGCGTGCCAGGTGCTCCTTCTCCTCTAACTCTTGCTCAACCTCCTGCATTTCCGCAGTTACTCCTTCGTCCGGACTCATTGCCAACCCCTCTCGTAGCATACGCGCGCCGAACACGAGAAACAGGGCCGCAGCCAGGAAATTGGTAAATCGTTTTGGGATTAATGTCGGGACTGCGTGGCCGAGAACTGCAGACAGGATCGTCATAGCAATCAATGCTGAGAAAGCGGCTGAGAAGACAAGAAGTCTATCGTGCTTCATAGCCATGAGGGCAGCGATTAAGAACGTTTTGTCGCCAATCTCGGAGAAGAGAATCATGGTGAGTGAAAGAATATATGAATGGAAAGGCTGAATGAGGCCCTCGGCACTTTCGTCCTCTGGTAAATTGTATTTGGGTGAAGATTTCGTGGTATCTGGCTTTGAAATGTCTAAGTGATCTTTGTTCGCAGAGTTCGGGAGAGGATGTGGAAGATTATTAGGCTTGTTTGGGAGATCGTTTGGTTTCTGTTGCGCAAGTTAGCCCAGTTCAATATATAGTGTTCTAGCAAGCCAACCTCGAGCCCGCCAATATCATCGTCGTCGTCGTCGGTGTCCTTCGCTTTGGTCTTTTCGCTCTTCAAGTTGGCCTGTTCGCTCACAGGCATCGGTGGTGCTTCTTTTGGCGAGTCGGGCTTCTTCTCTAGCTTCTCCCCGGTTTGGCCTTCCTTTGCTTTACGAGCTTTGTCCTTCTCGCTCACTCCTCCCTCGGTGCCGGTCGTGCCCTGTTTTGGCAACTCTCGATTTGGATCGTCCATAACCCCGTCATTGACTGGAGGTATCTTCCCTCCATCCGGTGCTTTCAGGTCTGCATGTTCCTCCTTCCCCAACACTAGCTCTCCATCCTCAGAGGTTGTCTTGGGTTTGTCCTTGGATTTCTTGGAATCCTTCTCGGAGCCGACGAAAGGGCCAGCATGCGGTTTGCCATCCTTGCCATCTACTGGCGCATCCTTTGTCCCTATATCGTACTTTGACTTAGTATTCAGGTCAACAATGGGCGATGAATTCGTTTCTATTTTTGTGTCTCGAGGTTGTGTAGCTTTGGAGAGAGTCGATTTGGTGCCGTCTTGGGCAGCAGCAACAAGCACTGTAGCCAGCGACGGTAAAAGAAGGAGGAGGAGCGGTGAGGGCCGCCTTCTGAACTTCATTGTCGTATATATTCAGTTCTGCCTCCTTGATCGACGAGTGCGACGGTTTGGTGTGGCCAAATCTCACGAGGGAGACGAAGCAATGATGAGGGCACAGGACTCAATGACGTGGCTCCTTGAAACTGTACTCGAAACTCGATGCCCAGATCTCCGCAATTGAGAGCAAAGACTGTCAAGATTGTGCCAGAGGAGGATAGGAAGCGCTGGAATGGGACGGATTATTTTGCACGAGTTGAAATGTCGAAGGGGGTAAAGAGCTAGTCCGTCATTCAGGTTCGCTGGGGTAGGGATTCAGTTTCTAGGCCCTCATGCGTTGACAAGGGGGGCGCCGAAAAGGGGCCAGCTGCGGCCACGAATATTGGACAAGGACAAGGTGAAGGCGAACGAACCAATCTAAAAAGCAACATTGCCCATATCGGGAGAATTGTGATCGGTGAAATCCAGGTTTGCTGAGTAATTCCGGTTGTGCAAGAGCTTTCCAAATTCCATCCGTGGCTTCTAGATTTGGCGTGGACCGCTAAGGTACAGTACCCTCTGCCCCACCGAACGCGGATCACGTGCTGCGGTGTTTGCTTCAGGCGAAATGTGGGGAAGTCGCATACGTAACAAAACATCGCTTCGGATCGCGTCAAAACAAGCAACCGCATGCAGACTTTGAGACGACAATCTATTGACGCCTATCTCTAAGCTCCTTCGAAATGGCACGAATATCAGCTCGCTCATCCGCGACTCGCGATCTGGCATCGTCACCACCAAAACAATCCAATGATCGTCAATCGAGAAGCCCCGTCGGTCGCAGAACAAGATCAACCCGGAGCCGGAGTGCAGACCTAGGTGAAAGCGATATACCAACGAGTGCAAGACGGGGAGGCAAAAGAGGTGCCAGACAAGTCAGCGTGGAAAGCATTGAGAGCAATACAAGTGCGGCGTCAAGCCGGGGTGGCCGCACGAGGAAGGTGACTCGCGCAGCTGCTGGAGCTCGAGGTCTAAGCTCTGCCTCTTGAATCCTCCCTTGCAATTGGCTAACCTCTAATTTAGACTTGTCCATGGTCGCTGAAGATCGAGAAGAGAATGAGGACAATGAAGACGAAGACGAAGATGATGATGAAGCACACCAAGGCACCAGGCGAGCCCAACGTTCCCACTCTCCTGGTGGCATGTCTCAAATATCAGGAACCACGGCTATCTCTTCATTTTCTGCTAGGACATCACATTCTCAGGGCGAGATTGTGGCTCTTGATCCAATGGTAGCGGAAATGCTTCCAGATTTGTGGAACGATTCCTATAGGATCATGAATCTACTTGCACCAGCGGACGCCTCCGAAGAGCAAGTGGAATCAATTGTAAGAGAATTGAAGGTTTCGGGTTCAAGGCTGGCAAAGCTTTTGAGGCAAAATGAGAAAAGATTTGCGGTCACCCGGGAACATTACGGAAACGAGCCTTATATCAAGACGGCCTTGATTTTCCAAAGATTGCTTGGTAGTCCGGACCCCGCAGAAACCAGCTCTCGACCAGATGCGATCATTCAGGTCGCAAATCTTGCCACGCTAGTGAAAGACTTTTTGGTTATGGAAAAGGAAAGTCAAAGTTCGCAGAGCATCCTCGGGGGACTTGATAGCTATTTCCCGCAGGTGTTCATTACCAAATTCGAAAACAATATACAGTCTGGGAACAGTACTTTACTGGATGAGAGCTTTGAATTAGCCCTGGATATTCGCACGCAGTTAACAATCGTTGCACTTGGATTTCAAAAGGAGCAGGAATCATGGGATCCAGACCAAATATTGCTCGCGACTTTCTATGATCCCCCTCAACATCGAAGCCCCCCCCTATCCGACTTTGAGGATACCATCAGAAATGGGCAGCCAAAGGATCTCATGGGTGCTAGCTTAGAACTGACTGACGATCAAACGGTTGAAGTCCTTCAACGAGTAAGAGATATTCGTTCTGCTTTTCGTCAAAGCAATGATGCAATTGAGCTAGGCGATCTAGTTGATTTTGATCAACTCGGAGAAAATTTCTCCTGGGTCAAATTCCTCACGGATCTCGTACATTGGAGTCGAATGCGGTTGGATGAGATTTCCGAAGGCATCAAGCAACAAGGTGGCGTGACAATTATCACGCAAGCTTTTATAGAAGCCATCAAAAATAACGACAGTCAAGTCGACATCAACTTCGATCCACCACCACCATCATCGGTCGTAGCACCTCGCCGGCTTCAACCTGCTGCGGAAATTATGCCAGGCGCTTCGGGACAAAGGTATGAATTCGATCTTAAGATTTTATAATCATCCGTCCTTACTTTACTCTGGGATGTTGGGGCATCGCAAGGCTCCAAGCACCGAAGTCAAGTATCTTCTTGTCTAACTTTGCTAACTCACACAGTCTTTACAACGGTGACCGAGGCATGGTCAGGTTGCTCGAGAAGTTTAAACGCACAAGTTCTTCAAACGACGGTCCTGCCCCAATCCAGCAGAAGGCCACTGTTGCCTCATCATCTGCTCCTCAACCAAAATCTAAAGAACAAGGAGCCTCTCGAGCCAAGGCATCAAAAACTGCTCAAGAAGTATCTCCGGATGACCTTGACAACAATGACGTGGATGGTGGATTTGAAGAACAACCTCGTTCTACCGAAGAATATGCCCAAATTTGGGTTGGCTATAGCAATGAAAGAAACAAGGAGAACCGCCCTGCGCCGAAACGTCGCCTGGTCGATCGCCAACCCGGTGCTCGACAAATGCAATGGGAAGATAGTCAGGACAATACGCCGGGTCCGTCGACCAACAAAAGGAAATACCAAGAATCTGTTGGAGAAGAAAATGAAGACGAACGACGAGAAGAGGAAGAGGAAGAGGAAGAGGAAGAGGAACCAAGTGAAGACGAAGGGTTTCAAGAGGACCACAGAGTCCCCGATCCTGCTAGACGAGCAGCAGCGCCGATAGCTCGGCGGCAACCCCCGGTGCAAGATGCACCATCACCTCCAGAACGACGAGAAATTGAACGCCCTGGGAATAACACAGACCGTGAAGTTGTCCGCAAACGACAGCAACGAGCAGAATCGGCGGCGAGGGCTAATACGAGACGTGAAGTTGTCAATGAAGAAGATAATGATGAAGATGACGAGGCTTACCCTCCACCAACGTTCCCCCAGGCTTCTCTTGTTGCCAAGCTGAACGTCGCTCATTCTCGGTCGAGGATGGAAAGAGAGCCCCAAAGGCGAGTACCGTGGTCAGAAGCAGATTCCCAACGCTTGATTGACGGGATAGAACAATTTGGTTGCAGCTGGAGTCTGATCGCCAAGAACATTGACTTCGACCATCCTCGAGATCAGGTCGCGTTGAAGGACAAAGCCCGGAACATGAAGGTCACCTTCTTAAAGTGAGTGCGATCCTGCAGACCATGGACTGAACGCACGGCTAACTTAAAGCTAGAGCGGGTATTGTCCTTCCTCTAAATCTTGAGAATGTGCCACTAGGGAAGAAGGAAATTGACGTTGTCAGAAGAGTCTTCCCTAACTATGAGCCATGAACATAGTTTTTGCAGGGCGTTGGGGCTGGCTTTTTGAACGGATTTGATACCCATCTTGCGACCCAGGGGAGTTGAAGGCAATCGGTTGTTTTAGGTCGAATTGTATATATATCAACAGGGCGAATCGCATTTAACACTTTCATATAGTTATTCCACCAGGTCGTGGGAAACAATAGATCCTTTTTCTGGTTTTCCCATCCCAGATCTCTCATTTCAAGGTTACCCTGCGATTCCAGCCAATCGGCAACCATCCCCACCTCTGAAGCCTGCTGCAGGGACGCGCTAAATGCGTGAAAGCTTGTCTTCGTCATCAACTCGCTTTCTCGGGCATGCTGAAGCCCCATTTACTACCATCGGTACATCGCTCCCTTGCGACACGTTCGCCACGAACAGTATGGGTGGTCTAACTGAGTCCAGCACTACCAACGTGGACTCCGAATTGCATGCACGAACCGGCTCTGCATGATCTGCCTTTAGCTCCCGTGCTCCCCCGAGTCATTCTCATACCTCTTCCCGAGCCTCTCCAAATACCGAACAAATCCATGAGCTTCCAGGTTTGGTAGACTAGACGTTCGGACCCGACATTACCAAGAGGTTCACGCCGCATGCCAGGCAGACAACGCGTCTTGGCACGTACGAATGGGGAAACCGGAGACGTCAGTCACTTGGGGGAAGATGATGAGCGGAGCGGAGAAAGGGGAGCTTCTCCATGTCCGAGTAGAGGACGTCAAGATTCCAAGATGGAAGGCTACGGGCTCGAGGACATATTACTGCAAGGTGCTTCCTCAATTTTCCGCAATCTCATGAACATACACTGATTTGACTCCCAAGATCATGGTGGCCCTCCTTCTCTTGATACTAGTATTGCAACATGCACTATCTGTTTTCGCACGAACACCACGAATCGCTCGCCAGGTAGCTGGAGTGCCCCAATATGTTCTGGATTATGGTACGCAATGACCACTCACTTCGTTCCGAGCGAGAGCCTTAATCCTCTACAGCACCCTTGGTTTGGCTCGACATCGGGGAAGAGTATTTCCCTTCCGACATGTATGCGCAAGTCACCAACACCCACCCGGAGATCAACTTGACCAGTATCGCCGATCCTCCTGCACCTCTCACGCTTCATAACCTCCATGTTCTCAACGATTATGGAAATGACGGCATGAATGTCTACCTCACGTCGAACATGGATGTCACTGAAGGTCCCAAATGGTTGGATGGTGTTGTGCCGGACTCCAGGGGAAAGACAAAAAGGGCCATCAGCTGCGCTATCATTGTTAACGACCACGGCTCTGGAAACCTTGACACCTTTTATATGTATTTCTATGCTTATAATCTCGGAAATACCGTACTCGGCCGTGAACTCGGAGACCACATCGGGGACTGGGAACATAACATGATCCGCTTCGAAGACGGCGTACCACAGGCCATCTGGTATAGTCAGCACGCAAATGGCCAGGCGTTTACGTACAAAGCCGTGGAAAAGGAAGGCTTGCGACCCATCACCTACTCCGCCGTCGGTAGCCATGCAAACTATGCCATAGTTGGGGCACATGACCACGCGATCCCCGACCTGAACCTCCCTGTCGGTTTCTTGCTTGACTTTACTAGTCAAGGAACGCTCTGGGACCCTACTCTCAGCACTTATTTCTACAATTACCAGGCGGAAACGGGCTCTTTCGAGTCCGTCAATGGAAGCCCATTAGGAGCCATGCATTTCAAGGGCAAGTGGGGAGATCAACAGTACCCCGATTCGGACCCCAAACAACCGCCTCCTTTCTTTGGATTCAGAAAATTTGTTGGCGGCCCATCGGGCCCCTGGGATAAGCAGTTGAACAGGACGAATGTCTGTCCCGAGACGGGAATCCCGTGTATCGTTAGGGACATCTTGGGACCTTGAAGGATCGCATGAGCGCGTTCCATATATACATAGATTGGATACATACGAGACATGGTTCAAGGAGTTTTGGCTTTAGGTGTAAGAACGGATTCGTTTGATCATCAGGGGTTCTGGACTGGCTGGGGGGACGGTTGGCATGGGCTACGGAACCTGTATTTATGGGTTAGGACGGTTCGATAGATTGGTATTGATGAGAATCGACACACGGTCTCTTGCATAGTCTTCGCCTTCGTTGTACTCGTACTGTTTTGAGACTTCACACTGACCCGCAAATGAACGTTCATGGGAGGCAGGTACCCCGTCACGGGGCGTTGATTCATGCTCGATTCTTCCACACTTGTGCTCTCATATGAAGATGGCGATCTCAAGACTCTGACAATTCAAAAGCGTTCTCCTCTACGAGACAATATGGTATCCTCACGACTATGCTTACAACCGCAACTCGAGATAGCGGCGAGACAACTGACGATAAAAAAAATGTAAACGAGTGGTATGCGCCTTCGCTGTGCACCGATCCGATCCGCCCTCCCAAACCCTCCCTATACACCCAAGCAGAAAGCTCTCCGGTAACAGTAAAAAAAGTCTATCGGTCTCGATCTTCTTGAGGTGGCCTTGGACTTCGTGATGTTGATCCAAGACTGCTGGCCAGTAGACCTCTCCAACTTCCTGTTCGGTCCGTTCTTTGTGGACGGTTGGGTGTTGGAGAAACAATGCCTTGTTCTACATCCTCCTCATCAAGAGTGCCATCGATAGGGAGTGCAGAGGTTGAAGAGTTATTTACTGTCTCAGCTGCTTGGGCCTGGATATCGTCGTCACTGTCATCATGATACGGTTCGTAGCGAGGACTCGATGGGGAGCCCCGGGCAAGAGAACGAACGACGTCGCCTTTGCATATGGGGCAAGTCCTCCGTCGAGTGGTTAGCCACGGTGTACTGCAAGTTTGTTAGTAAGGTACCAAAGCAACAGGCTGAGATCCAACTTACATGCAATCAACATGGAACTCGTGACCACAAGGCAGACTCATCACCCGACTGACCCCATCGACATACTCTTCAAGACAAACGACGCACTCCACTTGTTTGTTCATGTGCTTTCTCCACTCACTCGATTCGCTCGCATTCTTCTCGTGCTCTGGAGGTCGAGGTGTTTGTGATGGTATTTGCAGGGGGTGTGAATTGACGCGAATTAAATCTCCAGGCTCTGGTATTCCCGTCGTCGTTCTGGATCGTGGTCGTGGTCTCATAGGAGATGAGCTTTGAAGGAGCGGGGTTGTGACAGATGAGCTTGTCGGGCTTGGTAATCTAGGAGATTGGTTTCCAGGTGACTGAATGGTCTGGTAAGTCCTCACTGGGAGTCTTTCGACGACAGACTTCGGTGCTCTCCATCGGCGTCTTCGGATACGAGATCGAATCAGGAGCAGAGCATAGACTATCGTTAGAGTGACCAAAGGGCTCACTACTAACACCAATAGTGTGTCGAGGAAAGGGCTTGCACCACTCGTAGGTGTTAGAGTAACCCACAATCCCTCATACTCATCATCGCCATCCCCCTCATTATCATCAAGAGAGACGTTGTCTTCGGCCTCACTCGAGGTGCTTGTCACAAATTCCACGTCTTCCTCATCATCGCCGAAAATGGTTGTAAGAAGTCCTTTCGATTTGGTTCCAGATGTAGTCACACCTTTCAAGTCGTCCTTTTTTGAAGACTTGTCATCTGGTGGCGAACTCTTTGTGTTGTACTCCCCACTTCCTGGGGTAATGCTACCGCCACGAAGAGGAGGCACGTGCTCGGGAACTTCTTGGAGAGCTCCTCCAGCAGTCTTCTTCCCCGGCGAAGTCGGCCGAGGAGAAGAATTCTTGGTACCATCTGATTTCCCATCTGCCTTTATTGCGGATCCTTTGGCATTCGTGTCGGCATCTTTGCTCCCTGAAGATCCTACAAGATCAGGATCTCTCCAATCTTGAACACCAATTACAAAATCATCCCCATTGGCTGGTTTAGACTTGCCCTTTTGCGACGTCTTCTTGCTGGAATCTGCTTTCTTGTTTGGCTTCGTCGATATCTTCTCAGACCCAGGTCCATGCTCATCCTTCCAATCATCAACTAGAACCCAATCTAATTGCCCGCTACTCGGTGGTCGGCTGCTCTCTGACTTTGAACCCCCTCTGTTCGGACCAAAAAAAAGAGACTTAAACCACCCTGGTCTTTCTGTGGTGATCCCTGACGGTTTCTCTTCTGTTCTAGTTGATGTCTTCTTCCGCGCCTTAGACGTGGCTGTTGCTTTGGTGGCTGGGGCTGTGACTGTAAAGGTAGGCTGAGAATCATGCTTCTTCTTTGCCTTCTTTGGCTTGTCTGTATGTTGGACCTTCAAAGCTGGCTTTCCATTTTCATCAATGATGTCTTCGATAAAGCTTCCTGGGCCGATCAGAGAAGATAAAAGATGTGCTGTAGTCCACGATGTGAAAACAGCTGGTATCGTCACATTCGATGTGTCTCCTCGGGCGTACATCTGCACCAATCCTTCACCCTTTATGTTGTCGCCGACAATGAGAGCAATTGCCCCCCGGCGCTGTGCCCACTTGACTTTTTCCAGAAAGCCACAGCCACCGCGACTCAAAAGCACGACTTTCCCGGAAATCTCTGCCCCTTCTTGTATTGACTGAATGTCCGCGTGGTCCGCTCTCGAATCCGTAGGTTTGTCTGTCGACTTCGATACGGTTGAGTCGGGCAAGGGATGGTGAAGGTAGTCATCAGTACCATCGTCCGCAGAAGGCTTTGAATTGTCTTCTATCGCTCCCTTCTCCGGCACTGCAGCCCGGTCATCGAAGGGGCCATCTTCACCCCTTTTGTGTAATTTCGACCTTGCTGTAATCGTCGCAGACTTACCATCCCCGGATTTTCCTCCTTCAGATATCGCAGCGCCAGATTTTGCATCGCTCTCCACCCACCCTGGCACATCACTGCAGCCTAACTCGCCCTCGGCCCCTGCGGCGACTGCACCTTGTCGAAGGCTATCATCTCCAAATCCACTCCCTATCCACACTTGTCCCTTAAGTCCAGCTGTTGGCAAATACGGCCCAAATGCAGCCGGCCGAGCTAGAAAAGCGGTAGTGTTATCGTGTGTCAAGGTGATGACGGCATTCGGTGGGAAGAGAGAGAAGGGCGCTCGAAAGGCGAAGAGTGCTTGTAGGCCCGTCTTCGGTGCCGCTGGCGCTGTTGTCGTAATGGTGTGAGGGGGGTGCGAGGATCGTAGGGACAGGAATGTCAAGAATACCGTGGTCAGGAAGAAGGCCACGGCTATGATGATTCTTGGGGGGCGCATGTTGTAAGGAGAGATGGAAATGCCGCAGCAGGCCCCTAATCAGCTCTGCGGCTGCAAAACGCAAAGATGGCGCGCATCCGATGTTCGGGGCAGGAGTGCTCTGTACAAGTAGTGTTGGGACACGAGCGGACGCAATCGTGGAATTGTGTGAACAGGAGGGCCGTCGTCTGAGGTAGAAGTCATGAACGGGGAGGTAGGGGTTGTCTGTGGCTCGAGCGGACTGGGGGTGTGGCTTGGGAACAAGTCATCAAGTCATGGATAAGAGCAAGCAGTTTTGAATAACCAACACGTCAGGATATTCTGGCAAAAAAGCAAGTGCAGGCCCAACAACCAGTTTTCCTCTGCTGAAAGATTAAATGTCAGAAATCTCCAGACGTACCTCACTTCCATTGTCCAGTTTCGTCCCAGCTGGAGCCAAAGGAGCCTGGAAAGCTTGTTTCTGGATCACGTGAGACCGCGTCTTCCTTGTGATGAAGAGCTGATAGTTGGGTTGAACCATTCTGACATGTGTATCGGAGAGCCATTGTGGCTGTTTTGTCAAGGGATTGCTTTTCTATTTCGGTTGGAATTCATTGGTATCACGAGGCTGCGGTTTGCGGGTCTCACTACCTCGCGTCGCTACAGATGTCCAAGGTTCCAGAACATGTCAGTTCACTCAGCACGGCATGAACATCGCCAGATAAATTAGCAGCAGATCTTGTCCTGCCAAATTACACGTGCGCTGCGGCCTCGACTCGAGAACTGGCGTCTCGGATTTTCAGGCGGCTACTATGTGGCCGAGAGCTTTCAAGTGAAGTGAAGAGTGACAAACTCCTATCGATTTACTCTCCGACGTCAATAGTCTGGACGCTCTGGCGAGTGGCGGGTCTTTGAGCATGATAACATGTGCATGCCTACCTCTTCCGCCACCGATGTGATGACCTCTTTTCGAAGTTTGGCAGTCTTCAGTCGTCAAGTCTCTCCTCTCCCGTGCGGATCGCCAGATCTGAGCAGGGACTTTATTCCTCTTGCCAATGAAACACAACAGCCCCGGGAATCACCCTATGCTAAAAAAAGCTTCAATCCCTAAGTAGGAGTTTTGGTGCGCTGCAGGAAATCTAATCTTCGATTGGGCTGCAGCCGGGTAAGGAGCTACCACCCGCCATGACCTAAATAGAGGCGAATGTGAATCGCGAAGCAGTCGAGGGCGAGATTTGCTCAAACCTGCCTCTCTTCAAGCACCAGCTACTACTTCAAGGAGTTACTGCTGCCACAACCCGTCATGACTTTCCCCTAGTGTTCCATCTTTGTCTCTTCTGAGCCTTCGTATTACTACATATTCAGGGACACGGCGATGACATTGTTGCTCCTCCTTCTCCTACCAAAGTTAAGTCATCGATGCCTATAATACTCCCTGTTATTGGCTCCTCTCTATCCTCTCACTTGATTGCTTTTTCTTCTCGCCAACAGCTCAGGTGAGCCCCTTTCAACCTACAAGATGAATATCAACGCGTCTTCTGATAAACCTGGATTCGTCCTCCCATTCTTCCACGAGGACACCAAACGAAGAAGTGCCGGAGCAAGTTCTTTGAAATCAACCCGGCCGCCCCCCTTTGAGTGTGTCTTATCGGTGCGCTCCCTTATGTTCGAGGGTTATTTCTCACCATTGCCCAAATCCTCGGAGGCATTGCAGCTGCCGCCATACGTTCTGCCCTCTTCCCCGGTTTATTGACAGTCCGCACATATTTCGGTGGCGGCACACCCGTCATCCAAGGTCTATTCATCGAAATGTTCCTCTCAGCCGAACTGGTATTCACAATCTTCATGCTTGAAGGAGAGAAGCACAAAGGCATATTCATCGCTCCCGTCGGCATTTGTCTATCCCTCTTCATAGTAGAGCTCACAAGCGTCTACTTCACGGGAGGGTCCGTCAATCTAGCACGTTCCTTCGGCCCGTCCGCCGCGAGCCACAGGCTCCACTCATATCGCGGTTAGCCCCATCCTCGGCGAATTACTTGCACCCGGCTTCTACAAGTTCATCAAGATGCTCGAATACGAGACCGCGAATCCAAATCAAGATGCTTCCAGACCCATAAGGCGACCATTTCAACCCCGACGACCACGCAAGCAACCCTCGCACCTCCTTCGCGCCGGAAGACTATACCGACGCTGCTGCCAACATGGAAAATGGAAGACTTCACGGGACGCCAAGGGAATACGGTGCAGGAAGAAGACCATACGGTGAGAGCCCGGCGCCACCGCAACCGAATGATCAATTTGCCGGCTTGGCTGAGGGACGCATGCATGCTGATGAGATTGTAAACCTTACTTACAGTCTTGGAGGCGGTTCGGATCGCGCCTTAGCGTCGCCGGTTGGGAACCAGGTGCACAAATCTGCCATGAAGCCGGGATCGTTCAATATCAGTACAAATGGGAATGGGAATTGACATCGAGGGGAGAGGTCAGTGAGGAATAATACTTACGCAAATCGGTAGTTGAACCAGGGGTTACCTGATGATGAGGATTTTTATGAGAAGCATGGTGTTTGATGTGGAGGGTTGATTCGTGAATGGAGAGTGTTTGGAAATATGATGTTATGATGAGCATATACGAAAGCGTTGGAGTTGGTTTGTATATAGCAATGTATAATACAATACTATTTATAAAGACGACGTACATCTTTAATGGCCGTGTGAAATGATCTTGCTCGCGTGTTTCGCCATGGCCAATATTTTAGGGCTTCCTGGCCACAATCTCCATAGCCCAAATCAGGAAGTATTTCTGCCCCTTCTTGGGACACTTCCGCCCTGTTAATACTCGAAACCGAGGAAAGGCCCAGTCGCGGTGTCCGGGACGGCAAGCAGGCCCGGGATGAGAAAATACTGACAGTAAAATTTCGTTGACAACAATGCAGAAATGTCACCACTGCTGGCATACCGGTACTACTTTCTCACTGGATCGGAGATGGTCTCGCACCCAAAATGTTTTGATCTTCTGATCTCTAGGAGTCCTGCAAAGGGATGGGGACTTTCATCTGCTGACACTGTGGACGTCCTCTAACGGGTAGACCTCCTTGTTATGGACCTCTTCAATTAGCTTAGTCAAGTGTTTGACTTCTCGTCGTTATGGCAAACTTTCGTTTGAACGTGTCGTGAAACCTGTGCTTTATCACTTGTTATAACAGAATATCGGCGCTTGTCTTCATCGGATTTTCCTTTTATGATTGCTATGTTGAAGATCCAAGCTGCACACAATAGCACAGAATATACTATTTGAAAACAGGAAGCTAAGCGGCGTCTTGTTCAGCCGATTATGGTTGAGTGACCAGCTCAGAAGTGGCTGCTGGCATAGGTTTCCTGCCATATATAATGAAACTGCTGAGTATTAGCACCACCATCACCGAATGCCATTGGTAGTACGTACATCGGGATATATGCGTGTAGCCAATTCGAGTTGATATCATTCTTCACCTCCATCAGCAAGATCTCAACCTCCTGAGACGACATGCCGAGGCCTCTCGTCAGTACGGCAGCACTCCACCCATGCAACCCAGAACGCACATCTTCCCTACTCCTCCTACCAAGCATCTTCATCCGTGGTCTCTCGCCTAACTTCCAATCGGCCAAGTCAACTGCTTCTCAACGACATCCACGAAGCCGTCTTGCTCGAAGTACGACTTGTAATTTGGGACTTTTTCCAAAAGCCCCGCCGAGTGCATTTGCCGCCTATTTCGCAAGTCCCAGCCACCGTTCGAATGCTGTGCCTTTCATTGAATCGTCTATACATCGAAAAGGGATGACGACGCCTTGCACTTCGAAATAACCCCCTGAACGTAAGGCATTGAAAGCGGATTGGAAAACAGGTGCGTGGTCTTTAAAGCAGGTTGCTAGAGCCCGGTCATGGATGTAGTCAAAGGGATATGGGAAGGACCACTCGTCTTCTGCATCTTCTATTTCAAAGCGGCAATTGGGAGGAACACTGAGTCAAGTCAGCAGTGAGGAATTAATCGTGAAACAAATCTCGAAATCTCACTAAAGGGGCTGGATCGGACTCAAGTCCGTCCCGACGACGTTTGCTGATGGAAAAGTACTGGCTAGATAAATGAGTTAGAGGTGCGTGAAAGTCTATAGACGGAAAGTTCGCGGTGGTACCAAAATCAGTAGCCCACATTCCAGTCCCCACCGAAGGGACATGCATTCAGAGGGCAGTCCTCAAAAATTGTCTTTTCTAGCGGGATACATATATATATCAACACGGCGAAGATCACATCGGAGAGATAATTTTATCAGTAATGGTGTGTCCCATGTCGTCGTCGACAAGTAAGTGAGCCTCAGAATTCATGAAAAGCTGGCTAATGTTGTTTTTGCCAGTTTCCTCGGTGACTCACAACCCCAGACGCTCCATCATGTCGACCGCCTTTCCCTTCGAGCCAAAACACCATTAGCGCAAAAAGCACCACTTCGACTCCGAACAATGGATCTGAAAGTCTGTCCAGTGGGATGAAGACCGGAATTTGTGTTGGTATTGTGGGCGGGGATTATTTTGGTTATCCTGGCTGTCTGGGGAATTTCGTGTGTTTACGGGAAACGACGCTCGAGAGCAGGACGAGAGAGTCACCATCACGGGATGATAAAATTGGGAGAGTCGGATGACACTTCACCACATATGTTGGCACAATTAGCGGCCGTTGAATTCAAGAGAGAGATGAGCACGAATTCCCAGCACGAGTTGCCGCAGTTGGAAAGGAAGGGATCTCCTGTTGGGGTACCTGCTGGGCATTTCTTCCACCACGAAATAGGGGGGCACGTTTTGATGGATTGCTGTGGTCTTATGTTTGTATGATTTATTGAAAGATAAAATGACACCTTGGAATGGACGAAAGCGATCCATCCATCGCGCGAAAAAACTTGAACCAATAATCGTACTCGTACACCACCAACACACTGGAAAGAAATCCATCAACCAACCAACCAATCAACTACAAGTACACGCACAAGGCTTCGAGCCCCAAAAATGGAAAAGTAGACAAAAGCGAACCAGAATGCCAAAACGACCAGCCATGCAAATTCAGGAAGGGCGCGAGCCCTGGGGCAATTTTATTCTAGGTATCATAAACCAAAACACTCCGTTCCCATCCATCTATGCAAATCAATGCGATCCAACCAAAAAGAAACAAGAAATGGACTCTGACACAGCCACCGAGAAAGGTCGGAGCGGCGCAGAAAGGGCGCGAGGCTCGTGTAACGTGGGGGCGAGGCGATGAGGCTGAGGCAGCTGAGCGCAATGACGTGGTGACGTGCTGTTCGAGCCAAGCCAGGGGCTTGCTGGCAGAGAAGATTGATTGAAAATCAGGGGTGTGTGTCGCAAGAGTTCGTGATCTCGAGGGACAGTGGTGACGGTGATTGAAAGCCAGCAAGCCAGCAAGCAAGCAAGCAAGGCAGATTCGAGGCAGATTCGAGGCAAAAGACGAGACTGGTAATCGGGAGACGTGCGGACGGGTCTTATCGGGTCGAAAACGGGGTCAGGAAAGCCGGGAGGGAGGGGCTGTCATGCGACATTGGGACGGCGATGCGTGGCTCAATTGCTCGGCGCTTAAAGTATGACGGATTGTGCAAGTTTCGAGTGTACCTGGAAGGAGAACGTGTTAGTGAGTGAAGAAAAAGGGGGGGGGGCGAACAGGATCAGGTAGCGAAGCGGCCGCTTGGCTCCGAGTCGCCAAGGCAAACGCTGAGCCACCATTGGGCGGCAAGGCAAATACAAAATCAACCTAGGACTGACTCACCCAGGCAGAATATTGAGATTTGTTGATTTGTTGGGTTGGGCAGTGATGTCCTTGACTTCAGGACCCGTAGCCTGAAGGGGGGTGTTAGAGTTGTTTTGAGATTTTCGAAGATTTCTAGGTGTTGGAGCATACCCGTGTCTCTTTTGCCCTTATCCCCATCCGTACCCGTATCCTGCATGGTCTTGCCACACTTTCCACCGTAGACTGGAGAAAAGAATTTAGCATTGGTCTTCCAAAGGCAGAACATTGCAACAGAGTTGTTGCTGAAGGATTCTTCAAGGAAAGAGCATGGATTTGGAATTGGGGAGTCATACTAGGATCGCGGGTGCCAGGTTTCGGCTTGGGCTTGTCCCAAGCGAGGCAGGATGTTGTTGATGTTGGAATTTGCATGGTGAATGTGAATGTAAAACGACTTGAATGGAGGATGATGGTAGGTAACAGAGTTTGAATTGAGATCTGGATCTTTGTCTCACGTTGATTGACGAATATTCGTTGTGTGAAGAGGAGAATGCCTGGGAAGCAAGTCTTCCATAGATATATATATGTAGGCAACTGGAACTTACTGAAGGTACAACCGTTGACCAGCTGGGCGCGCCAGATGTGGCTATGTGCCCTGTCCCAGCGGCAGTCCTTGCAAGTGAGGTGCACATGGTGAATCAAACAAGCTTAACGCTGTTTAAAGTAAAGCCTTAAGGTCAGCCTCGCTGGCGCATATCATGGATTTTCAGGATGCCCAAAAGGGGCTCAGTGGTCGCCTAACAGACGGGGCCTCCTGGCCACTCGTGAGGATCTCGGTCGGCCAGGCCCCCCGTTTCGCCACCCGCTCGCTGCACATGCCTGGGGCCAAGGACTGATCCGACTGAGTCCTTTTGGCAATGCAATGCCGAAGCGTGAAGATCCACCGACCGATTGCAGATTTCACATTGGGACATGAACATTGGGCATTGGACATTGCACATTGCACATTGCGCCGCCACCACCACTGGGCGTGCAGGCCCCTGGTCGACTGAGTCCATGACTCCATGCGGCCATTGTTCTTTTGTTCTCTTCTCCTGTCCTCGGCTCACCAGACCATCCCTGGCCGACCCGAGATTTCGCAGGGCGAGCGAACGCCACCCACGCACGATCTTCAGACGCCTCCAGATCGAATCAAATCCCCAATCCGCTCCCCCCCCCCCCTCGAATTGTCGAATAACGGCGGCGAGCTGGGCCCACGGCCGTCCTGTTCGTCCGCATCAAGGTTATCATCATCAAGGTTATCATCATCAAGGTTATCATCATCAAGGTTGTCCCCTGACGGACCGTGGACGGGTCACGGGCGTGACGACGTCGAGGGTCCCCGTCGATCGGTGCGCCTGCTTTCAAGATAAGATAGGGTTGGTCGCTGGCTGGCCTGGCCCCCCCCCCTTCAACGCTCAACCTGCACCTGCAGCCACCTGGCGCCGCGGAACCGGTCATGCATTTTACTACTTTACAGCCGCTGTCGATCTCCGGAAGATTGGCGTCGTCGCATCGTAGGCATCAGGGACGTCATACCCATCCGTTGTCCGTGATCGCCGGTGAGGCCTCTCACACTCACGCTCCATGCGCTCCAGGCTTCAGGCTTCAGGCTTCAGCGAAACGAAACGAAACGAAACGAAACGCCCTTCGCTCCGTGTGGCCTGCGGTTCCAGGTTCGCCCCGTCGACTACGCTTGCAGCGCGCTCACCGGTCGAGCAACGCCCCCCCTCAAAGGACGACCCGGCCCCGAATAATATGGCGCATACAAAACTCTCCACTGAGTCATTTCGAGTTCCTGGCGGCAATAATCCGTTCACCGCGGCGAGTGTCCCCCTGTGCTCGTGTTCGCACCAAGCGATCGATCTCTGTAAGGCTGAAGAACGAAGATGGTCAAATTCGACAACTCGGTGAGAGAGAGAGCAGGCTGTGCCACCACAAGTGGCTTTGCTGTGCGGATGCGGGCGGGCCTCGCCACGCCTCCTACATCAGCGCCGCTTGCAGGGGCTTCGCTCCGTGGTGACAGCGTGCGTACCTGACAGTTTGACGTATGCGGGGAGGTGGGGAGGTGGTGACAGTTTCGCCATCCAACACACCAAGCATTGCCAATCCACTCTGGCCCAAGGCCCGCTGGGCCTGCTTGCGGAGTATTTGTACCGAGTAGGAGCCAGGGACGAGTGAGGCTTCAGCGTGCGTCATGACGATCTCGAGCCTTTATTACTGCCTTCAATACGAGAAGAGTCATACATAGTTTTGTTTTTGTTTTCCTTGCAGTCAAGAGTCATGGTTGGTTTTGTTTTTATGCAGCAATCGAGAAGAGTCATAAATTTTGGGTTTTCTGCCGTTTAAGTACACAGCTTCTACCAAGATCACCAACGTGTATAGAGAAGATCTGGTAAATACAGGAGAATAAGATCTCAAAAAGCTCTGTGGTATGTAATCGCTCCAATCCCAGCCCCAAAAGACAAGTCATAGTCATTCATAATCATCATAATGCCCATCAGATCCGAACTTTGGAGACTGGATCTTCTCAGCGACCCAAAAAGTCATCCAAGAATATGCACGCCAATCGCCCGTCGTCTGTGTATAATGACTCGGACTCCGGGTCGGATCTGTGCGAGCGGATTTCTTTTTCTGCGGGATGTTAGCCTTGAGCTCTCCGAATGATCTGAACCAATCTTACCGTAATCAACAACAATCGCCTGTAAATCCCAAACGAGGCCACTCACACTTCCGTCGACCGACGCCAGTTTCGATTTGCTTTGGAATGCCTCGGTGCCATCCCGAATCGGATTGCAGGCCTCCTTCCCGCCCTTTCGAGTCTTGAATTTCCAGTGAAAGATCTCCTTGCACCTTTCGAATAATTCCTTCTCTGTCAACGCAACCAGCGTTTGGAACTGCCTGCGCTCCGAGATTGGATCATGCCGTCGATGCGTGATGTTTGCTTCGCAGAAGTACCACGCGGCGCCCAAGATCTTGTCAGTAACGAGGATCATCATGAGGAAGACGCTAAAGGCGGTTGCCCATTCGTTGTCTTTGCTTGTGTGGTTGCTGGTTGACCACATCATGTTTCCCCAGTCCTTGAGTACTTTCAAGATTCGTTTTTCTTGCAGGAAGTAGAAGGCGAGTTTGATTTGTCGTTGCGCGCATCTTGGGGCGGATCCTTCCGGGTATATCTCTTGGAGTTGCTGTTGGACTTGGCTCTGGGACTCGTCGTCGAGGGTCAGGCTTCTTTCGAGGATGACGGCAGTTACGTGCATCTCGATGGCCTGACGGAGGAGGTCGGACTGGAAAAGGTCAGTAAGAATGCGATAGAATTGCGAATGGAAGTAAGAAATACTTCGTTGTCATTCTCGCGAGTGGCACCATAAAAGGAGCAGATCGCACGCAGAAGCTTCTCTGGGAGCTCTGAGCCCTGGTCGATATATCCACAGGGAACATACTCCATAATGTCATTCTGAACAATACTTCGAACGTACCGGGTATATTCGTTCTGCAGTTCGTCTACATCGGCCAGTGGAATTCCTAGGGGGGGGCTGTTCATCCGTTTAAACGTCGGCCGGGTGATCATTTCGTTAGTAGCTTCCGCTTGATGGTGGAAGCCCATCTCAGAATTGGGCCGTAGATCTAGAGTAACCACTTCAACGCCGATGGGGTCTTGATATCCCCAGCTCAAGCGAACAGGCATGAGTCGTTTGCCCCATCCAGTTGCATTGGCCGTCACAAAATTCTCAACGTTGGCCTTGGTGAAGTGTCCGTTGAGGTACTTGGGGATGAGCAAGGTTGTCAAGGACTCAAGCGGATCATTGAAGCAAGAGAAGAGACAGAATCGCCTCTTACCGGCAAGTCTTGCACACTGCTCACAAGGCTTACCAGGCGAACACGGAGAACATTTGGTCTTCGAAATGTGGCAAGCCCAGCAAGCTTTTGCCTCTCGCACATCCCTGGCCTGCCTTTTCTCCAGCTCGGTGAGACCTCTTTGACGACCACGTGGAAGTTTGACTTTAGGAGCATCTGGTCTGGAACTGAAGATATGCTGGTGCTCCATTTCATCCTGTGAAGGTGAAGGGGGGTGTGAGGCCGGAGACCCATGAGAATGTGGTGAGCCATGGGATGCTGCATACGCATCACTGTTCGCGTAGGAAGGGACGAGTGCCCAACTCCCATTCTCGCTCTCAGCACTGGGGGTGACTGCTTCCGGAGCAAGGGCCTTGTCAATTGGTTGACCAACGTCAAGGAATTCCTGCCTCTTCACGTGTGTGGCGTAATTAGGGCCGGGAGGTTGTTGGAAAGTGACAACACCGGGAGTCGCGTTGTACTGCAAGTTGCTGGCTTGATTTTGAGAATGCCATGGGATTGGGGGATTGATCGTAAGAGTTATCGGCTCTCCTAGTTGTGGGCTTGGGATCTGTTGTGGAACGAGGGTCGTTGACGGCGAGGGCCATTGGATTGTGTCCTCTGTATAAACTTCTCCATAATTGTGGTTCCACTCCGGCAGTTGAAAGAATTCATTATCGAGCGGCAAGTTTTCGATATACTGAGGAGAGCCCGGATTAACAGCACCTGGAGAAGGGGAATCAAACTTCTGTTTGTACCATTCGTCTAAGCAGTAATAATCAGTTTCGAAGATCTAGGGGAGGAATAGAGAGGTAGGACTTGGAAACACCAAACACGCAAGAAGATCGCTCAAAGGGGTAGGGAGAGCTGAATGAAGAGCGGTTTACCTGGTAGAGCCAGGCCAGTCATTGGATCGGTGGTCCCTGATGGGCCGAATGTCTGGTCAACGATAGGGAATACAAAGTCCTCCGAGTGCATCGAGGAGGTCGCCGTATCGGGAGTCGACAATCCCATGCTGCCATCCAAGCTCCCAAAGCTTCCGTGATGTAAGTCTGACATCTGCATATCCTCAAAGCCAGAAGTTAGGGGAGCATTCCCGGAAGGTAGTCCATCCCACATAAAGTCCTGGTCATACATTTGCGGCCGTCCACTGAGGGGGGAATGCGAATCGTTGCCATCAAACATTAGATGAGGAGACCTCGGTGGATTAGGACCTAACGTATAAGAGGAAAGAGAAAAGAATGAGTTCTCAATAGAACTAGGGCCTTGTTGATGAATTACATTGTCAAAATTCGAGTCCTGGTTTCCGGCGCCTGGCTTCGGAACGGGGAAGTAATTATCGACATATCCCAGATTGGCGGTCTGGACTGCCGGAGGCTGATATCGCTCATTGTGCTGCGCTGAATCTCTGGGCGACGATGCTGGACTGGGGATGCGACGAGTTGAGTAGCCGGGAGCAGTGTGATAGACAACCTTGGACTCCCTCCTCCTCCACGCGCGCCTGGTGTTGCCAGGCCATTCTGGCCCGGCGTGCGGACTCGTGCCTTCCTTCATCTCATCCTCAGGACTGCAAGTTCAGCGTCGCACTCAAAGCAGTGTCGTGGGCATCGCGGGGCGGCAAGTTGAGCTGGACCTGGACCTGATCTGATCTGATCTGATCTGACCGCCCACCATGGTTTGGAGGATCCTTATGAAGTGCTCGCCCACCTTCTTGGAGGTGTGCGAAGTGCTCTTGCGGCTCTGCGAGCTTCGCTGGCACTCCTCAGGCCGCAAGCAGTGAAATGCCCGCGGCGATGCTGGGGGCAGGGCGGCGGTCATTGGTGGGGCAGGCTCGGCTAGCCTACTCGGTGTTCCAAAGGGGCATAGCCCGGCCGTAACCAGCACTACACGGCCAGCGTGCTTCGAAGACCGAGTATGGCCGTGTGAGAGTGACGCGCGAATGGGGTGCGGCCGTGGGTTCCGCGGTACATGCAGCGGGGGGGTTTTGTGTATCGAAGAGACGAAGGGTTGGACTGACGTGCAGCGCGAGATGCACTCATGATTCGCGCCGGGGCTTGAAGTGCTGCTCTGCCCCACTGTACAGGGCTGAGTGCAGGCCACAAGCGACTCCCGTCGCGGGAGGGGGATGGAGGGGAAGCACGTGGGGTTTGTGTTACGAGATATCTTCAAGATGCTCATTTGCAGAAGGCATGACGAACGGAAGTCCTGTATCTGTTTACCGATTAGGTGGCAGTGATATACCAGGAATATAAAGGAGAAACCAAGGAGAACTCTCTCTTTTCGCATTTTACCCTCCGTAATAGGTGCAAATGCCCCCAACAGAACTTGATTAAATCCACCACCAGCCCCAGGCTCCAACAATATGCACCAGATCCCCATGTCTTCACATTGTGAGCAGAAATTCAGTGCCTGTGACTCTCTCCATCATCGCGCCACTCGTTCCCGCTATCCAGTAGTGATGATTGCACAACTCGGGGGCCTTCCTCATGATGCTCAGAACTGGCTTCTAGTGCCCGAGGCGAGAACCCTTCACTGGGCTCGTCTTGGTACGTTTCCGCTCCAATACCCTCTTCGATCAGTCTTCTCATATTTGCTCTATTATCACCTTCGGGCTCCTCTGCAGCTTGATTTCTGAACTGGTTGAAAAGACGGACCCATTTTGAGTGAGTCCAAGAGGAGCCGCTAAGGAGAGCGATGACTGAAATCACCTGTATCCAAGCTATCAGCTCTGCCTTGCGAAGACCGCGATCATGGTGGTCATACTTTCAGTACAAACACAACCACAGCCACCAGTAACAGTAGGCCCGCATTTACCTGCTCTGCTTTCCTCCAAGCTTTCAAGCAACTTTTGGTGTAATGAAAGATATCCTGACATGGTGAAGGTTTCCCCCAAGGGAAGGCGTTGTCCTTGACTGTTTTGAATCCGCAGCACTTGAAGCTGTCCTGGATTGCCCTTACAGCATCGCCGTCATCGGCCACAACCAGCTTCATCCACCTATCGCGAAGACCACAAACCAACGCATCCGGTGGCAGAATGTGAGTCAATGCGAGAGTTGTAACCACTGTCTCGTAGATGAGCTGGAACCCGATAACGGCAATCAGGGGTATGGTGAGTCGGTTCTGCTCATTCCTCGAGGATCGCTGGATCAAGCTGTACACGACTATTGTCGAGAAACCGGTCAAGAGCGGTAGGACGACCGTGAAGAGCGCAAGAGATTGTGGGATAGGTAGGGATAGGAATTTGATCTGTGAGTAAGCGAAGCTACATTGTTCAAGTTAGCTGTGATTGAGACAATGAATCTTTCGAACTTCGACGGTTGCTCACCCTGCCACGCCTGTCAACAATAGAAGCAACTAGATGTATTAGCTGAAGTAACAAGAGCCGCAGATCGCAGGGCTCACGAGCGGGCCGACCAGCAGAGCGACTTTTACAAACGTCGTCATCTCAAAGAACGTTGAATCAATAAATAATTATCGCAGAGCTGCTATGCCACTTGACCATGCAAAAACCACAAATGCAAAGACGTAGGAGAACGCAAGTCGTGCAGATAACTGTACCACCGTGATTTCATCCCAAGTAGGCAGAAAATGGGACGATCGCGAGGAGAACCTTGAAATGATCCCAAAGGCACGTGATCTCAAAGCTGCCCCGCGCCTCTCAAAGAAGAAAGTGCTTTGGCATTCAGTGACTTCCTCGTATCACAGCGTTCCTTTTTTCTGAGACCTGCTCTATCACGCGACCTTTCAACAATCTTCCAAATTCACGGTTGAAGCTTCTCCCCTCAATATACAAGACAAGGACACGGATTGCAAGAAGGACAAGGCTCGCGCCACCAAGGAACCGCAACGATGCAGGCAATGCCAGATTCGCGCCAGCAGAGCTTCGAAGAGATCTATGGCCCGCCAGAGAACTTCCTCGAAATTGAGGTGAGCTCCCAATCCCCAAGCCCTGCACCGAACCGCAGACTTCCTCACCTCTCCCTCGGTCCCAATAACAACACCGACTAACACCCGCCTCAGGTGAAGAACCCGCGCACCCACGGCATGGGCCGCAACATGTACACCGACTACGAGATCGTGTGCAGAACCAACATCCCCGCCTTCAAGCTCCACCACAGTGTTGTGCGCCGACGTTACTCAGACTTTGAGTACTTCCGCGACATTCTGGAGAGAGAGAGCGCTCGTGTTACGATCCCACCGCTGCCTGGGAAGGTGTTTACGAACCGGTTTAGTGATGATGTTATTGAGCATAGACGGGAGGGTCTTCAGCGGTTTCTGCAGATTGTTGTAGGACATCCACTTTTGCAGACGGGAAGCAAGGTCCTGGCGGGTTTCGTTCAAGGTGAGTTTGGTCTTTCTTGTCTCGAGAGCCCAGAGCGTGAAGCTCTTGATCTTGGATAGAGCAGAAGGGCATGCGATGGCATTGAAAGAGTAACTTTACTAACAAGCTCTTTCGCAGATCCCAATTGGGACCGTAATGCATGGTGAAGCCCACCAGACCGAGAAGTCGGCTCACGCAGACCTCGAAAACTACAAAAGCCACGCCCGACCACAATGATAATGAGCAATCATGACCTTTCTATGTTACAAAGATCGCATACGGTATGAGTGTATGAATGGAGCAGGGGAGCGGTACTCGGTGTAAGGGGGAGCTCTTCCATTCCTGTGCGTTACTAGGGGAATAATGGGACTTCGCAGTTCACAGGCGTTCTAATTACCAAGCGTTGCTCTTCTTGCCTTTGCTTGCTCTCTGTTTATGGAGGAAAAGTGCAGCGGTCTTTTATGCGGGTTACTATCACTGCAGCTCACAAGCACGTTTATGAATGAAGAAGGTTTCGATGTGCTCATCTCTTCATTATTGTTGTCAAGAGCTGTATGTATACCCAGTCTACCCAAATACTCGAGATTCATACAACCGTCCCAATGCAACGCCGATGCCCCTTCGCCATTTGTTTTACATCCATATCTTATCCAAGAGTGAAGTCGGTGCCGTTATACACAGAAGCGAAGTGAAGTGCTTTGGTACCAACGCCGAAGTTCCTTCCCAGATATTTTACAAGGTTGCCCTGATTCTCTTTCTATTGCACATCTACGATGGTGCATGTAATAGCTTTAATATTCCTTCGTACATCCCGAACATGATGGCAGCGCTGGGGACGGTTCTTAAGAGGTGAGGTGTGAGGCCGCCGTACATGGCTACCATGCCTTCTTCTTTCCAGATCAGCTTGAAGCATTGGACGAGGCCGGTATATTTGAGGTGACCGTTTTCAGTAGGTGCTTGACGAAGACGTGTGCGTGCGACCTAGGATACAATTAGCTTGATGTTTGAAGGATGGAAGGGCGAGGCTCACCTCATGAGGGTAGGTCGCAAGAGCTGCAACAAGCTTCGCACCGCCAGCAGCTCCAACATTGCCAGTCCATTCCAAAGTTCTATCCCAAATATTCTTCGGCCGCCCACTGAGTAGGATTCGTTCTTCTCTCTTCGCCAAGGATTTCTTCATCTGCTCGTAAAGTACCCATTGCAGCGTGCTCTCCGTTACACCCAGATAACTCGCGCTCATGCCCTTATACAACCCTCGAATCCCCTCCTGCCCTACGACCTGCTTTATACAATCCCACGAGTTCCTGTACTTCCTGACAGCTACGCCACCCGTCTTCTCCACAATATTCTTGTCCAGCTGTAGCCTCGTCTTAATCAACCAAATCGGATTCGTAACCGTTGATGTCACTATTCCTGCCAGTGCAGCCGCACATAAAACAACCCAAGCAGATTCCTCCCCTTTGTTTCCATAGTCGGCGATTATCCTCTTCCCATTTCCAACGACGAAGAAATTGATTGATCGGGCGGGCACCACTCCAAGAAGATTTGGCCCGAGTCCCTTGAACAGTGCCCGCCATCCTTCAACTCTGTGAACAGAGCCCAATATTTGGAAAGTTTCGCGGAAATGTAGGAGCCCGCTGCGGAGAGGGGAGAGGTGTGCGTGTGGTGAGATGCCTTTCATAAGACGAGTTTGAGCGAGCTGAGCTTGGTAGAAGTCGGATTGTAGACGCGTTTTTAGGACATCAAGAGGCGCCGTCAGTGTTGCTGCTGTCATGCCACCAATTCTGTGAATGAAATGTCAGCATCGCCTGAAAAAGGCAGAACGGAATAGGTGCCTACCCTCCAGCTACAAAATGCGCCCATGACTTCGCAACCGGCGCAGGGCGCGCTGCTATCGAGGTAGCATATCTGGTCTGCGGAGGTCTAGGTTCACCCGTCTCCCGCGACTGAAGAAGTTGTGTGGAGTTGAGGGGATTTCTAGGCTGGAGATCAGGCGGTGCTGGACAACTTTTGGTATTCATGAAGGGGTTATTCCGAGAACACTGGGTTCTCCAACGCGAGCAATCGAAGGAAATGAAATGGGTCTTAAGAGGATTCTAGTTAGGTATCATGTCATGGAAGTGAAGATTGTCGTTGGACGTATTCGGCGTGAGTGAGATACCCCAGGTGAAAAAATGTACAAAATGTTTGTCCAAATGACGATTCTCTCACACATGCGAGTCACGATGAAATTCAAGCCAGGCGCGGGAGCTAGCGTGCCAAAACGCGCTAATCAGAATAGGGGCTTTCGAGACAGCCCCTTTAGAAGCTCGAGCCCACGCCCAGAGGATGAATTCAATACCGTCTTGGAACTGATCATTGCAAAGCTCGTATGATTCGATACTAACTAAGTTGCTGCAGCTTCCCCTTCAACGCCGAGAATCACGCACTATGCTCCAGCCCGAAGAAACCCCCAAGTTTTTAGGAAAAACGTATGCGCCATGCTCTCGCAACCAAGGAATTAGGTAGATAATCATACAGAGACTCTTGTTGAAGAAGAGTCACGGCAAAGGAAATAGCCATCAATTCCCAGGAAATACCGTTAGAGTATCATCTGTAACTCGTCGTTTCATATCTTTGCGTGGACCTATTTTTCGTCCCCGCCAGCAACGCTGATCACACGGATAGTACCCTCACTTGCAGCTCGTGGTCCTCCTTTGGTCGGACGCACACTTCGAACCACATTCTTCTTGGTGCTCCGCTTTCCTAGACTCGAGACCTTTGCCTTTCCACGCTTAGGACTTCCATCTGTTGCAACGATGGTCAAGCTCGAGTTTCTCGAGGAGATCTGGGTCTTGCGGTTGCCGTAAACCTTCAATGAACTGCCCTTCATTGTCTTCTTGATGACTCGCTTTGGTCCGACGGCCCGACGAGCGTTGAGAAGCTGAGCAGAGATAGTTCTCTTAACAGCCTTTGCAGCTCCTTTCGCCATCTTCATGCTCGCCGACGAAGCTGATCTCTTGAGGCCCTTCGCTTGCTTGATCTTCCTCTTCTTGGGACTGCGCGAGTTCTCCCTATCGTCTTCATCCCCACCAAGAAGTTCCTTCAACTTTCTCTTTCCTGCCTTCACGCCCGCCTTCACGGCCTCCTTGATGCTTTCTTTGACTGGAGGCTTAGGTTTTGGTCCAAGAACACCTCGGCAATTGTCGCTACCACACCGGCACTCCTGAACGTTCTTGGCAGAGAAAGGGTCAAAGTTGTAGTCGTAGGTCAATTCCTCGCCAGTCATGATGGGTCCATCACCAGCAAAAAGGGCCATCCGCGGCTTGCCTCCAACAATCCATTTCACCATTCGGCAGTTGGGTTTGCAAGAGTGGTTGACAAAGCGGGCAATGCTTCCTTTGGTGGCATCAATGATCATGTTCTGATCGAAAGACATCAAGTAGTAGCACTGCAAATGAATAGATTAGCCCAGTACCTTTTTCACCCATCTATGGACCCTCACCTCATTGTTCTTGTAATCTTCATTCATTCGTCGATCACACTCATCTTCAGTGATAATCTCACCAGTGTATTCAACAATGATTTGATGAGCATCAAAGCAACGGTTAGTTCGAACACCATAACCACGGTCCTCGGTCTTGATGACTTCAACTCCAATTCTGTACTTGCCACCACCTTTCCGACGCTCTTGTAGATCAGCAAATGCACGGTTTGTGCACTTGTCACGGCCAGCTGCACAGTTTGTATCATCACACTCATAAAGCATGATTCTGTTTTGACAGTCTTCGTCACAGCCGCCTTCCGGCGTGCAAACACACTTGGATGAAAAACTGTCGAAAAGACTTGACTTCTTCCACATGGCTGCAGCGTCGCCAACAAATCGGTCTTGTAAATTCCATTAGTACAGTACATGGACAACCACATAAAGTGGATACTTACTACTCGAGGTTTTCCGCCACTCATCTGGCTTCGGTTGTCCGGGGGGAAGTGGTGAGCACACATCGAAAGGGAGTTTGAAGTGTCTTCCAATGTGCAACAATCGCTGGCCATGCCACATGGGCAAAGGCATAAACTTGTTTGGTTGGTAGGGTGTAGCATCAACAATATCTTTCCTCGTCTTACCGGACTGGTCGGCAAACCAATCGAAGTTTCGGTGCTCTTGTCCCGCATAGAGGCCCTTGTTGAGCCAAACCTTTTCTCTCTTGCCATCTTTGAATTTTGGGGGATCTGGCCTCTTGTCGGTTTCCGGTGTGAGTTTCTTCTTCTCCACAGCCACTTCTTCAACCTTCTTCTTCTTCCTTGGGGGCTCTGCTATAACCAACTTTCCATTGCTCCACACCTCGTGTACGACAGGCTTCGTATCGATTTTCGCATACTCAGGAGTGTCTGCCAGATTTCGCAGCTCTCGTTTGGCCTTTGACAGTCCAGCTAGACCATCTTCAAGGGTCTTTCGGCTTCTCTTGCCCAACACGCTCAGCTTCTTGGTCAGGCTCTCGATCTGCTCGCCGGAGGAGCGGGTGGACCGCCGTCTATCCAGGTCTCGTTTGGCTGATTTTTTAGGACTGCCTCCCAGACCAATCTGGCTTCTCGATTTCGGTAATCCCTTGACGGACCATTGCAAGTCCAGTGCTTCAATCCCGTCTCGCACAAGTCGGTTCGCATCCTTCTCTACGGTCTCGGTTGACGAATTGTTCGATGCCAGTGCACTAACAAGTGTGTCGCCCGATATAGTTCTTCTACGCGACTCAATGGCTGACGGGTCCTTGCTGTACTTCTTAGGAGCATGTATCGCGGTGCCGCTGAGGACCTTGACATTGTAAGTGCCAATGCTGGAGCGGGCACGGCGACTACGTTCAGTAGACGGCTCCGCAGATGCTCGTTCGTTTGGTTCGATATTCTCGAGCTTCAAAGAGGTCGAGGAGATGCTGACGCTGTCACCAATGCTGGTTGGGGGCGTGGAGGACGAGGATTGCCCAAGCGGGGAGTCGTCGACGGTGATAGCACTAAGCAGAGATTCTGACGGCGAGGCACGCGTCGCACCATCGCGAGATGTTGGTCGAGACGGCGATCCCATTCTTTCTAGGAGAGTAGAGAACATTGCAACGCTTAGAGGTCGCGTTGCATAAGAGGGATTGTTGTGATGAACGCGAGCAGAGGCAGTAGCGAGATGAAAACGGCGATTGCTTATTCGTCGTGGGAGACAGGGAGGCAGCGGGACTCTCAAGGGACTACTGGATCCGTATGTCGCGAGAAGCAACTTCAGTATAAAGAGTCAAGAAGTGTAGAACAGAGCTCTCAGACCGCAGATCAGATATGGGCAGGGAATGCGGCTGTGAAGGTCTTGTTGTTGTGGTGGGGAAGTGGAGGGAAGGAGGTGCGAGCAATAAAAGAAGTGGCTGGGGCCAAACAATGAGAGACGAGCATGCCTTTGACGAATTACACGGAGCTGCCCGTTCCAGAGTCTCCCGAGGGAGGGCTCACACTCGAATCAAATATAATTCGACTTTTACTCTTTTGCCAGAAAACTCTACGGACATAGTCAAGACATTCTCCTCGCCGGTTGTCCCCCTTCCAATACCAAATTATTCCCAAGCTCCTACGTACATTTCCCAATGATGCAGCATCGAGCCTGATCCATCCGGACAGTCCTTGTGCCATTCTTGAGCTTTGGATTGCGTGCTCCCCGGTTGGGGTGCAAACGGGACACATGTGAAGTATTAGTAGCTGCGGGCACTATACAACTATTGCATCGCCTCACGAGAAACTGAGAACTGTTGATTCTTTCCCACTTTGTGGGTGAGACATGCAGATTCCATTACCAATTGCGGCACATCTACAAAGTTGACATGTTCAGCAGGTATTACGCGTGTCCTCAAGAAGGTGTGGCCACTGAAGGACGACGAAATGTGTGCAAAACTATGAGTGTAGACGTGTGAAAAATATACCGAGTGTATCTTCATGAACAACGTTTGTGCTCGTCATAACTAACCACTGAACGGTTTCAAAAGTGGTGATTTGTGTTTGAGTAGGGGGCCTCACGCCGTTACGACACTTGAGCATTATGGCAGCCTCGGCATTGGGGAGTGAAATTGCACCACCTCAGATGTTTCCCCAACACAAAAAACACTGGTAAGATACTCAGACCGTCCTAGATTCATGTTTTAAAGTCTACCGCAATTCAATGAACTCTTCCGTTGGATTTCCGGCCGGATTGGTTGAGAGGAGAACCAATCTCGTGCGGCTTCATTATCTCAGGTCAATGGGAAAGTGAAAAGCATGATGGTGTTCAACAGAGCAGTCTGTATTCTTATTTCTATGAGTTTAGGTATCTGCCAATTATCATGTTTTGTTTTCCAACATGACGGGCGGCTGTTGAGATTGTCAGGTACTTTATGGACGGAGCTTCGGCTACGAGGGCCTCGTCAGAATCCTGAGCTCCCCGTGCTGAGAGCCAAGCAAGATTCTATAAAGTCCCTGATTATACCTTAAAGTATTTCTCTCCGGTTGGCGGAAATGTAGCAGCTAAGTTTGGACTGGACCCAAAGACCTATCTTGAATTGAATTGCCTAGAAACACTGGGTGTGCTCGGCTGAGTTTAGTTGGAGACGCTGGGTTTTCGATATCTTCCAAAATGACGTGGAACATTGGAGCGACACTTAAATGCACAGAACAGAAAGTTTCGAGCACTTCAAAAACTGCCCCGACAAACTTAGATTTGAAGATGTAGCAGGGCGGAAGATCATTTGAAGTGTTTCGCTGCTTCCTGTAATACTTTATAAAGATAGGAAGTCGGCGATCACTTTGATAATTTCCACTTTTGGGACAAAACTTATCAAAATTGAGCCAGTAGCAAACTAAGAACCTCTTCGAAAGGTGTGGCTTCATTCAAGTTCAAATGATTGAGCTTATTGGTGCATTGTCGGTCATGGCTTCGACAAGCTAGAGGTGCGGCGGAAGTCAGCCCGCATTTAAATATCCTCACCGCCAACTCGACCAAGTCAAACCGCTAACCAATGTATCAGAAGTCTAATGAAACAATTATCTCCGAGTTTCAAGTGTGACGGACTAAGGCCACAAGATCTGGTCGCTTTCATTGAGAATCTCGTGAAACCCCTGACTTCGCTTCGTTAACGGGTGATGAATCTGGCCATAAGCGGACAAACAGCGCACTTAACGACGAGCAGCACATCCACTACCACACGGATAAAACATCATTGGTGTCTGCAAAGCTCGCAGGCTATCGTACGATTCAAGATGGAAATTTATGCTTAAGCACCCCAGATGGCGATACCTTCCCCAGTGTTCTTCGAACGCTTTCACAAAAACGCAAGTGATCTCAACTCAAAATACAATCAAAGAATAATTTGCTGTCTCAAACCTCCTAAGAGCGATAGTGACGCTAATGTGTCAGTATGGGCCTCTCCGCTATGGTGGAAATTAAAGCTGAAGTTGCTCCAGATGCTCTTCCTTTCCTGATTTCCAGCTTAGCTGCTTTGACACTTTACTTGGATGAAAAGCAAACAGGGTTCTCTCTAAATGTTGCCAATGCCTCGGGGGATATTTCCTTTCACTTTGATTCTCCAGCTCGGCATGCATGGGTCGCTCTAGGAGGTGGAGATAAAATGAAAGGAGCTCTTACGCTCTTCGTATACCTTTCAAAAGACAACAAACGCAAGTATTTTCATGCTGGGGGATTCTAAAAAGATAGCTAATACATTCTTGAAGATTCAACCTTCAGCCTAAGGTTGTCAATGTAAGAGTTCTTTGCTTCATTTAGACCACTTTCTAATCAAGTATTCAGAGGAGATGTGGAATCAACCCACTCCAAAGATATCGATGTTAAAGTTCTCGATGGCTCAAGCATTCAGAATGGCCGAATGGTTCTCAACGCCATGTGTCAAAATTGCCGCTCCTGAAATTGAAGCTCGCTCAATGTCTCGTCCGTTGTTGAACCTTGGATGTACTTTACGCTTTGGAGCAATAGCCAACCTCGTGTCTGATTCGGTGACCGCAGATGTAACCCAGCATTCTTTCTACGGTAGAAATTCTCCAATTCTCTCCATAAATTTTGCTAATTGACTTTGCAGGCAGGTTTACAATGAACATGGTCCAAGCAACTGGCCCAGGAGGAGTACCAGCAGTTGTTTCCGTCTCGTCAGGTTTTACTTTCGAAGGCGAAAAGTACGTCAATGACGAAGACTTTGTTTCAATGACACACGGATACCTCATGGCTGCGTTGGTACTTATCTGCACGCCTCTTTTAATGCACCATCTTCTCTCCGGCGCCAGATTACGGTTGATGAACTACACCTTCTTCATTCTTGTTCTACTCACTGGTTGGGCTTTGGGGATTTTTGATTCCAACATTTACGATTGGGTACGCTCGAGAGCTGAGATGATTCTGATCTCAACACGGACTCCAGTATGACACAAACTGTAGACTACAAGACTGGTCATCAAAATATCGGACATGTAGTCATCCTCTTCCTGCTCATTCTGGCAATGTGGCGTATCTTACAACACACAAGATTTTGACCTGATTGCAGCTGGCTTGTTCATGGTGGTACCGGGCTTGGAGGGATCATCTGGATCCTGTCCCTTGTTGATGGTTTCTTGTCAGCTCACCCCGCGGAACATTAGGTAGGTGTACGGAGCCAATGAAGATCCAGGGGAATCAAACTTGCTTACTCGAAGAATTTTTTCCACGGTATCTACACAGGTTGCATTGTTGCAGCGCTTGTGGCAGTCCCGTTGATGTGGGTTGTGAAAAGGAGACAGGACAGGAGCGAGTGCCGAGCAGCACGTAAAGGATCCTAATGGGGCTGGAATCATTCCCACAAACGGATCATGAGGACTGGCAAGCGATGGTGAACATATGCAAATTTTTTCGGATGAGCGAGCGTTGTTGGAAAAGGTGTAAATAAGCATGGCGCAAAGGGTTCTAGGGATTAGACAGTTTTTGGAGGTGGGTTGGAATTTTTTTTTGTAACATAGTGGGGATAATGAATAGAACGACTAATTAAATGCCCCCACTTGGTTCGGGACAACAAACGAAGATTCAGATCTGCAAAGAAGTCAAGTGAATTCTGAGAGTAAGATAAATTGCGCGATGACCACTTGACCAACGATTCCGACTTCACCACCAAATCAGCAAAGATGGAAACCGCGCAATATTCGAGCATATGTTTGCCACAGCTTGGTCAGCATGTGCTATTAAATAGTAGAAAGTAACTGGGTATCCCAACTGCCAAAGATATACACATACTACCCCTTTTCCTTGCCGTTCCTATCCCTCCCTTCAGTCTTTTCCCTCCACTGTTATGATACAAAGAAAGCCAGGTCGTCAGACCGCCACTCTCAGGATGTCATAAAAACACATTAACCCGAGCCAGACTCGAACTAGAAAATATCCAAGAAGCCGCCCATCTTTTTATAATAGAAACAGCAATCGCTAAAAGGCACAGGACAAAATTGATAATCGCACAAAAGTAAAAGGTAGAGGACCCTTTTCATCATCTGGATCCTCTTAGGGCGGAAGGACCCTGGAAAGATCGATCGGGACCCTGAACGGCTTGCATCTCCATCGCCACACCAGCTCCTCCACCCTGTACTTCTTTCGTAAGAGGGGCAACGCGCTTCCCTCTCCTTTCGCCAAAGCGTTGATCCCCTTCTTCATATTTGCGCTTGAAGTGAAGGTAGGTCGGTGGCCGAGGCCTGCAGAGAACCACCCACCAGTTTTTGAGAATACTTCCTTGTGTGAAAGGTCTATGTCGATCTTTCTTAAGGAATTTGTGGGAATTTAAATACTCTCTTGTTGTCTCTCCTCGGGCCATCAGGAATAAGTGGTAAACGAACAGCGCCATTGGATAAGGAGTAGCAAGAGCGGCGTAGATGACCATGGCGAAGGGGACACGGAAATGGTTTATTGAGGATCCAAAGGAGATGTGTTGTCGGTGCATGTAGACGAGGATCTGGGCGAGATTTGCACCCAGGACGAAGAGACCCAATATTGTACTGAAGGTAAGGAATGTGAAGAAATATCGGTAGTTTCGGCGTCCGACGCAATTGTTGATCCAAACACAATGGTGGTCTTGGGTCTCGATACAGTTGTCGCAAATTCGACAGTGGTGACCTCGAGGCGGACGCCAGATGTTGCAAGTTTTGCAGTATTTGGTTGGCACTTCCATAGCAGCGGTGGAAGATTGTGCGGACTTGATCATGGTCCAATCGTTCGTTGGGGGTGCCAGTCTAAGAGGGTCTTCGTTCTCGTCCGCAGGCGGCATTGGATGAAGATTTCGAGGAAGAATCTGGCAAAGTTAGTAGGGAATTGAGCATGTAGATATCTAGTAGCTTACCCCAGGATCTGAGACCGAAGCATGAACAAAAGAAGATATGCAGATATAAAAAACATATGCAAATACAACGGGTATCGAGGGTGAAATATTGTGCCAGAACCATGACGCAGAAAATACAAAGAAGAGAACTCCGGGGATAGCAACGAACAATCCTGTGGCAATGTTGATTGGCTTTTCCCGAGTATTCTGGAGTCGACCTCCCAACCAGAATACAGTATTACCAGTAAAGTATTGGTGATTAGCGCCAAGCTTCTGCTTTGGAGCAGGTTTAGGCGCGTCGATTGGTGTCAAACCAGGTGAAGATGCAACGGAAGATAACTTTTCCCTCCCTTGCGTGCTGCGATTAGGGCTATGCGGAATAGCATCACCTCTTGTTGGTAATAGAAAGCTGGAGCGGAAGGAACGTGGTGATTTAGATGGAGTTGGCAATCCACCTCCATTTTTATAACTCTTATCAATGGTAAGACTGAGTCCTTTGGCATTGGCAAGATTTCGTTGGAGAGGTCGTACGCTTTCAGACAGACTTCCGGTAGGGTGGTGACCGTGTGTAGGACTTGTGTTGGCCGTCACTCTTTCCATCGTCTCTTGTTCCGTCATCTCAGTCCCTCGAGAAATAGGACGAGTTCCATCAGCGTCTTCGCCATGTCTAGCCGTGTGATTCGAGTTGACGCTTTGCCTGGCCACACTGCTCCCACCCTCCGCAGATCCATCTTCACTCATACCCTGCTGCACTAAGGCAGCCGGCCGGGTGCCTCCACGCTGTGCTTGAAGTCGTTGGGAACTCATGGGTCGGAAAAAGGCGTGGGAGGTCAAGGAGGGAACGTGAGTTCGACTTGTAGCACTCTGTGGCCGCGCAGCGGTTGAACCAGAGACACTACCAAGTGTGCTCCCTCGTTGCGTGGCATTGGAGGAGACGTAACCTCGTCGGGACGGAGGCGCTGCTTGAGGCCATGCACCTCGTTGTGACGAAACCCCCGTATTCGGCCTTGAAGTTGTTTGTATGCTTCGCCGCTGACCGGTACTTTGAGCAGTAGATGTATTTGCCGGATCCACGGGGTGTTCTCCTCCATCATCTGAAGCAATATCGCTCATTCGCGAGGACAGTATACTTGCTACATCGCCAGCTTCGGACTGGGGGGCAACCTCTGGGTTTGGGTTTGTACTGTTATTCGGCGCATGCGGCGTCGTGGTTGAAGTGTCTCGAGAAGCCATCGCCACAGCTGAGGACCTGTCCTTCTCTTCCAACGAGTCTGCTATCTCATAGTATCGCTCAGACCGTCATGACACGCGAAGTAAAGGCCGTGTTTTTATTGGCGCGCGGAAGGTCGAAGTCGAGAAATTAGATTATGGTAAGGGACGAAACGGAGGTTGATTATTGTGACGTGATGGATGAATCGAAGGGGTAGAAATTGTTTCTTGGAAAAGAGTGTACGATCTGAGGGTCGATGTGTTGGAGATCTCGTCGAAGAGTTCGGAAAGCTTCTCTGCCAAAGGGGAGGAGCGCTTGGACGCTTTCTCAGCCCAGTCTGGAGATGTCGAAGCTCAATCGGGTCAGAAAAGCCAGGGTCGTCAAATTAGCACCGAATAAAAAACCAGTGGTGCATAAATTGTACAATTTCAAGATGCATAGAAGGAAACGATTATGACGTTGCCTTCCTGTGTGATGGGCTTCGAGATCATGCAGCACAGAGGGAGGGCATTCAGGAGGAGTTCAAGTCACGAGGCGGTTTGGGCTAAGGGGGCTATTGAAGCTCATTAACCGCGGCCCTGTCAGTTGGCAGGCCACTGACAGGTAAAGCAGCTGGACTATGATCTGTGCTCGAGTAAAAAAAACTTTGGGACATGCATCAAAGTATCTTGAGTTGCAGGTGCAAAGCCCGTTTTGCCGCCCTTTCGATTCTCCGTGGCTGAACCTGGAAGGAGCTTTGGATCACGTGAAATTACATAAACTAATCCTGCTTCCGAGCCTTTGAACCTCACTATCGTACCATCGATCCGAGCTCTCCCAAACGTCAAAAAAGCACAACTTCAATCCAGAATGTCAGCACCAATTGCAAGAGCTGCTACACAAGCAGGCAAGGCCGCCGCTAAGAGTGCGGAAGGCAATGTATTGAACAAGGGAGCAAAGAGGGATCCTGAGTTATACGTATGACGAGCTTCTTCTCTCAAATCTCCCACGGACTGACCACTCCGTAGGTCCTCCTCGCCGTCATGTCCGGAGCTTTCGGACTCGCAGGATTCTATTTCGGTGATTAATACCATCCCAAACCTTGCACAGCGAGCTCAATTGACCATCTTCCAGGCCGCAAGCCCACATCTGCCACTTCAGAATCGAAAGTCAGCATGGTCCAAGGCAGCATGCCATGGCAGACCGACAGCACTAAAGGTGACGAAGCCAGGGAGCATTTCAAGTACCAGTATGGATGAACGGTCAACTTTTCGGGACAAGTAGTGTTGATACTCTGAATAGATACCACCCTGGCGGAGATCCAAGAAACCCCCCGAAAGATGCCCCGAGCGCTCTGCACAGCGTCATTGTGCCCAATGTCAATCTGCCAAAGGTAAGCGATACCTTGTTGCTAGCCCCGGCTCAATGGAGAGGAACACGGTTGGGATGTTGTGCCCAGGAAAGTGGGGCCAGATCCTTGATTCCGAGTGAGAATCATGAGAGGAAACGTTTTGTAGAGAGAAGGCCAGCATTGATAGACGAAGCTAATATCATATATCCAGGAGCTGCATGACAAATACAACAAGTGGGGCAAGGATGGCTATTAGAAGGGTGCAAAGACTGAACATTAGATGGGCCATGGGAGGAATGTGGAAGGGTGTGTATTGTAGATAACTACCGCGAATTTCCTTCTTGAATCAGAGAACTGATTGATCGTACACCGAAACGAGTTCGCAGCATTGACCTAAGTCTATCACCAGTTGCAAAATTCCTCTCTCCAGAATTATCCGCTCCGCTCAAGTAAAGCTTGCCATGCAGCTTGTGAGTCCGGCATATACAATTGGTAGCCCACAATCGGAATATATTAGAATGTTGCTTGCGACCTTCAGAATTCGTTCAAAGTAATTTCAACTGCGAGAGTGAGATCATACGGTATCAAATCTTTACTGCAACTACTAAGAAAAAATGTCCCAGCTTGTCGAGTACAATTACGGAAAGTTTTTGTTCTGCCCACACAAAAAACTCTAGCTTGCGATAAATAATACTAGGAGTATAGACACTTTCTAAAGGAACATATCATCCTCTTACAGGGGAAGCTTCAATACCATCATGGAGAGAAGCGGATAAACGTTGTTCCTCCCGCCCTCCATGGATCCGCTTTACCTAATTAGGACCCCTGACGTTTCCAACCTTTTCTATTTTCAGACATGTGCTCTGAATCTTTTTCCGGGGATTGAAAGTTTACGAAGGGTATTGGTTGAATGAAGAATAGATGAACTAAAAGCCACATCGTGATTGATTCTAGTTAAAAAGGAGATAAGAACGAAAGATAATTGTGGATTTTGTAAACAAATTTATGTTCAACTGCAGGCTTGCCCTGGTGCCGTTGGCCAGCAGCTCAGCCGAAGATCTGGCTTCTAGCTGGAGAAAAGGGATGCCATACGCGCACCTTTCCTGCTCTCCCACCTCAAGCGGTCACCCAACCCTTCGATAGCCCGCTTTTCTCTCCTCAACTTCGATGTTACACTTTTAATATCTTTGCGACTTCTTGTCCACATTCGTTAAGTGATTGCGAGAAGTGTACCGGTGCTGAACGAGTGGTATCGCGTTCGAGAGCGCGCGAGCTCTACTCATCTACAGCCTTCCTCGTACCACAGTCAAATACCGCTGCAAATATGGCCAAATCAGCAAAGTCAGGAAATTCGACGCCTGCGAAGGTCTCGCAGAGCGCCGAACGCCCAACAATTGTCAAAAAGCCCGAGGACTACACCTCGGAAGGTGTCGAAGATCATGATGTCTTCCTCCTCCCAGGATCCGACTACCAGGCTATGATTGCCGTCACAGTCCTGGCAACAATTGTCAGGCTGTTCAGGATATACCAACCTAGTAGTGTAGTCTTCGATGAGGTCCAGTGCGTGTCTCCCCTTGTGTGCAATATCTTGACAACTATTGACTTACCTTCAATAGTTTCGGCGGGTTCGCAACGAAATACATTAAGGGGAAATTTTTTATGGATGTCCATCCCCCTCTTGCGAAACTACTCATCACACTTGCCGGATGGCTAGCTGGATTCGATGGAGAATTTGACTTCAAGGATATTGGAAAAGACTACCTCGAGCCCGGAGTTCCATACGTGGCCATGAGAATGCTGCCAGCTATCTGTGGTATCCTTCTGGTTCCTACTATGTTTCTGACGCTTAAAGCTGCGGGATGCAGAACAATGACTGCCGTTATGGGTTCCTGCTTGATTGTCTTCGGTAAGAATTCGTGGACCCAGCTCAGCTCAATTATCTAATGATTTTCTAGAAAACGGTCTCCTTACCCAGGCTCGATTGATTCTCCTCGATTCCCCTCTCATGATCATGACAGCCTTCACTGGACTGGCATTCACATCGTTCACAAATCAGCATGAGCAGGGTCCTTCGAAAGCGTTCCAGCCAACTTGGTGGTTCTGGCTTGCCATGACAGGTCTTGGACTTGGTGCGACTGCCAGTATCAAATGGGTTGGACTTTTCACAATTGCCTGGGTCGGATCCTTGACTATCTTGCAGCTATGGGTTTTGCTTGGAGACGTCAAGACAGTGACTCCTGTGAGTTGTTCGTTCTGTAGGGAGAATGTTACTGACCGGAATAGCGCCTGTTTACCAAGCATCTGGTTGCTAGAATCTTTTGCCTTATTGTCATTCCTGTTTCATTCTACATGGCCATGTTTGGAATTCACTTCCTCTGCCTCGTCAACCCGGGAGACGGCGATGGATTCATGAGTTCGGAATTCCAGGCGACTCTCAACTCGAAGGCTATGCAGGATGTTCCAGTGGATGTGGCATTCGGAAGTCGAGTCAGCATAAGACATCACAATACTCAAGGAGGATATCTGCATTCGCACAACCTCATGTACCCAACTGGCAGCAAACAGCAACAGATCACTCTCTACCCCCATAAGGATGAGAACAACCTTTGGCTCCTCGAGAATATGACCCAACCTCTTGATATCAATGGAGAGCCTATCAATGGCTCGCTTGCTTGGGACGCCCTTCCCTCACCCGAGTTCATCAAAGATGGTGACACCGTCAAGCTTTACCACATGACCACCCATCGCAGACTTCACTCTCACGATGTTCGTCCTCCGGTCACAGAGGCAGATTGGCAAAGCGAAGTATCGGCGTATGGTTATGAAGGTTTCGAGGGAGATGCCAATGATTATTTCCGAGTCGAAATCATCAAGAAGTCGTCTGACGGCGAGGAAGCGAAGAAACGCCTCCGAACTATTGAGACCAAGTTCAAGCTCGTACATGTAATGACTGGCTGTGTTCTGTTCTCGCACAAGGTTAAGTTACCTGAGTGGGCATCCGAGCAACAAGAAGTTACCTGCGCAAAGGGAGGCACTCTTCCCAACAGCATCTGGTATGTTGAACAGAATGAGCATCCACAACTTGGTGAGACCGCCGAGAAAGTCAACTACAAGAACCCTGGCTTCTTTGGAAAATTCTGGGAGCTGCAAAAGGTCATGTGGCACACCAATGCTGGTCTTGTTGAGTCTCACGCTTGGGATTCTCGACCACCCTCTTGGCCTATCCTCAGACGCGGTATCAACTTCTGGGGTAAAGACAATCGCCAAATTTACCTCATTGGAAACCCAATTGTTTGGTGGACCTCCACCTTGGCCGTTGCTATCTTCGTTGTCTTCAAGGGCATCGCAGTTCTCCGCTGGCAACGAGGATTCAAGGACTACAATAACACCATCTTCAAGCGTTTCGATTACGAAATTGGTACTATGGTCTTGGCATGGGCGTTCCATTACTTCCCATTCTACTTGATGCAACGTCAACTATTCCTGCATCACTACTTCCCAGCTCTCTACTTCGCAGTCATGGCCCTGTGCCAAGTATACGACTATGTCACCGCTCGTGTTCCTGGTATTGGTCTCCGTGAAAATCCTCTCTTCGGCCGTCTTGGAGCTATTATCTTTTTGGCACTCACCATAGTGGCATTTGCCATTTACTCTCCTCTGGCCTACGGCAATCCATGGACTCAAGCTGCTTGCAAGCAAGCCAAACTGTTCGAGACATGGGACTGGGATTGCAATACTTTCCTTACCGAAGTAAGCGTTTCTCATGTTCCTCCCCCGGGCCTCCCGAATCGGCGAAGAGGTGGCTAGAGCTCAATGCTGACTTACCTAGTACTCTCAATACTCCACTCAGTCTATCAACGCAAATGCCGATGTTCACAAGACAGATTCACCTTTGATTCCAACCAACGCTCCTGTGGCTCCAGCTGGTGACCAAGCTGCACAGCAACCTCTCATGGAAGATCGCGCAGGCATATCCGAAGCCCCCCCCCCAGCAGTGTCTGCTCCTCCTGTCGCTTTACCAGCTGGGCAGAGCATCCTCTCTCGAGAAGAGAAGGTTGAGTACAGAGACCAAGACGGTAATCTCTTGGATCCGGAACAAGTCAAAGCCCTCGAAGGAAAAGTCAGCTTCAAAACCCGCTATGAAACCAGAACTCGCCTGGTCGATGCCCATGGCAACGAAATTCCTCAACCAGACGGAGCAGGTGTCGCTCCACCTCATCCCGATGTCGAGGGTGTTGATTCTTCGACCGTCGGTAAACCAGAGCCGGAATCTCAAGATGCACCAGTCGCCCAAAAGGAGGTTCGCGCTGATGAGAGCAAGGAGGAGAGTATCGCAAAGTCGGATAAGGGTGCCGCAAAGCCTGCGAGTGAAGGCAACGACGCAACTGCCGCATAAGATGGTAAATTTCCTTGTGTTTGGTGAAGGAGATGGCGTGGGTTATGGACATCTTGGGAGACGCATCGACGCCTTTGTATACTAGAAATGCATACAAGGCATCTCACTATTCTGATGGCTTTACGGTCGGATTGGACTTTCTAAATAATGTAGATTCTGTGATTATACCAAGTGGTAGTGTGAGAGACTGCCCAGCAGTCGTGACATTGAGATTACCAAACTCTGGCTTCGAGTTGAAGCGGAGTGGCCTTCTGTTGCAGCAGCCTCGCTCAATGGCATTCCGAACTCCGACAAAGTGAATTTCTCCCGGCTGTTATATACCGAAATAAGGCAAGTTTGTGCAGAGATCTCCAGTCAGCAAACTCTAAGTGAGTTTGAGTGAACACAACTTGTAATTCCTTGCACTAAACTGCTCAAGGTTAAGGATTGTTAGTAACGCCCTATGTAACCGCGAGGTTCGAGCAATATAGGGAACAGCCGGCTTAGAAGAGATATGCTCTGCCACAAGTAAACCAGCGAAAGCGAGTTTCTTGGTCCGAAAGGATTTCTTTTGCCGCTTTGATTTGTTTTGGGGGGGCGTGGTTGAAATTGCTGTTTTTTTAATTTTTTTTGAGCTCGCTTAGATGTAAGCGAGTGAAGATATACACAATACTGGGTTCAGCGCGATCGACAAGTTCTAGCTCTTTCGCATCTCAAAAGAGTATATACATCACTCTGAAGTTGACCTTTAAGGCGCTCTACCAAGAATCGAGTGCTAGCATCAATTTGACTAGGAATTTAACTGAAGTGCTCCATCATACGATACTGGAAGAACACAGTGATCGATGAATTTCAGAGATTCTTACTTAATAATAAGGGCTCTGTTACGGGATCATCAGATAATACTTGTCGTTAGCTTTGTGCTTGTTGCCCTTCTCGAAACAGCTCTATGTTTTGCTCATGTGCTTGTAGTTGTTTTCGCCACCGCTATTTTTTCACCATTTCTTGAGCACCCCAAGTGTAGCCCAATATTTAGCATACCGTCTGCCGCGACGCATGACAGTTCCGAGTCAGCTCGAGAAATTTTCTAAGCAGTTGTTGAGAAGCGAAGGAGCTCTCCGTCTCCTGCTGCCTTACAGGAAATTTCCGACGCGAAATGTGAAATGTCGGGAACTAGCAAATGTTCGTTGCCGCATTCCAGTCCTTCAGATAGTCGATATAATGGAACAGCGAGAGTGGTTAGGTAAAAAGATAAAGTTGCACCACCCCAACTGATTCTAAAATGCGAATCAATATATGTCGAGGTGGGACCTGCACCTTTCGGTGGCTTACGAAAGTAGCGCCTTGCACCTGACTTTGTGCAACTCACCCTTCCATTATCTCTGAACATCGCCCACGACACTTTAAGTCTGGAAGCAATTTTCGGTATCGTCTCTTGCAGCAAGATAACAACGCTTTGTGCCGCGACTCGAGATTTCACTAATTACTTTCTGCTTTTTACCCTGTCTCTACAGAAGTGATTTTTCCCACTGAGTCACCGACCGTGTGATATCCAATCACATGGCGCAATCCACTTCAACGGAATTGCTTCAACGGTTAGATTCAGACTCTTATTCTGATGGTTCAACGAGAAATGTAGCTGTTGCAACTTCTGCCACGAATCAAAATAGTTTCGACGAAGAGATCAGTGAGGAAGACAGATGTCAGATTTGCAACTGGCAGCCCGAGACGGCGGGCTCGAGACCGTTGAAGCAGGCGCTAGTATCAACGTGCCTGCGAGCAAGTACAATGGCAGAACGGCGCTGCAAGCAGCGTCCGAAGGCGCCCACTTGGCCATTGTAAAGAAGGTCTTAGGAATGGAGGCGATCGCCAATGCCGGCCCAGCTCATTATGGAGTTGCAGACTGCCGCAAATGGGCATGCTGAAGTTGTGCGATTTCTTGTACGCATGGGCGCTGATGTCAATACGCACCCCTCTCGGTACTGGGGGCTAACAGCTCTTCAACATGCGGCTCTGGAAGAGAGGCTTGAAGTCGTTGAGGAGCTTCTTCGTGCAGGAACAAATGTCAACGCCCCTGGTGGCTATCTCAGCCCCAAGCTGGATTTGTATGCCGCTGCGGAAGGTGGTCATCTGGATGTTGTTGAGAAACTTCTTGCAGCAGGTGCTCAAGTTGATGCAATTTCAGGGAACAGAAAGCAGACAGTATTACAAGTTGCTTTGAAAAGGGGACATGTAGAGCTTGCGAAAAAATTGAAGATGTCGGGACTAGAAATGAGTTAGGTGAAGACAGGATATTCAAATCTAGTCAATATCCCAATGCAAGCTAGACAAGGGGGCGTTTACAGGTCTAGCTCGGATTTGAGATAGGACTTGATCGCAAATAACTCCTTCCCAATGTATATTGCGCCTCACTTCCTTGGCTCTCGCATCATACAGGAAGAAGTTTGTGTGCCTCCCCCACAACTTTCATCCAGCTGAACCACGATCGTGTTTTGGATTTCAAAGCCAAATTTCTTGTAAAGAGCAACTGACATCGGAGATGCCTCGACCCAGCAGGTCAATCCTTTTTCCTCCGCAAGCTCAGTAGTCCAGGATAAATGCAGGCTTGCACAGCCTCGTCTCTAATACGAGGGTAGAGTTCCCAACATTTTCAACTCTAGTGGGCGTTAGGCTTCTCTCAGAGCTGGGAGGAAGATGACTGACGAAGCTGTGGCCGCTCTCCAAGGATACGATCGCGAGCCTCACGCACCTTTTTCGTAAAGTCTGTTGCGAAAGGATCATTGAGCCCTTTCGGAGTCGAAGATCGCACTGGCTTGAAGTTTTCTGGGAGACCTGTGGGAGTCAACCGGGTCTCTGGCTCACAAATCGAGAGTCCGGACCTGTTGGTGTTCTCAGAGTAGCTCCAGCATCCGTAAAAGCAAATGACCACTTTAAGTAGCTCACAACCTCGCTAGTATCAGTATCAACGACTACTTTGTAATGAGCGGATATGTCGCCGTAGTTGTTTGGCCATCTGGAGATGACGCCTGCAACTTGCTTGTCGAATGGCTTTCCTGGATACAAGCTCTTCTGAAATGGATCGTCGAAGAAAGCACTGATGCAGACGTTGGCGATGGCTTTGCCATCCTTGAAGTCCGCTTCTTGGAACTGGAGAGGCATCTTTTCTGGTGGATTGGGTGTAGCAGAGAGTTTGGCTTAGTTTTAATACTGAATGGTAAAGTGGCTGCCTGGATTTGTTAAGCTTGAAACGTTTCTGAGTGATATCGAACAATATCAGGACCGAGATATACTTCCTTTTCCGGGAGCCTTGAAAAGAGGGGCCCAGCTCTGAGCCTGAGTGGGTTTCGTTCGAATCAAGTACCCCTGAACTGGGCCTACCCATTTAGGGTGGTCACGTGCTAGACGTATTTTGCCAATTCTCGACCTTCGTTTCTAGCTCCTGTTCATATGTACTATCTAATCGAAGGTAGTAGGATACCACCTTGAACATCACAGAATCCATACATCTAAGATGGCCTTAGATGCGGTATCCGCTTCTACAAGCTCTCAATATCAGTACGAAAAGCTCACCGAGCCCGATGCACTTCGACTCGTTCTCCTACGGCCTTCCCGAGAGCTGCAAAATCCTCTAGAATGTTATCTGATTAGTACTACATTATCAAACTGTGAGAATGACCTCCTCGATCACTATACAGCCCTATCCTACGTCTGGGGTGACCAATCGCGCAGAGTTTCGATCAAAGTTGCTGGTCAAGCGCTCTCAATAACCGCATCTTTGGACACAGCTCTTCGTCATCTGAGAGATTCATCAAGGACAAGGAGAATCTGGGCAGATGCTATTTGCATTAATCAGAGTGATTCTGAAGAGCGGAATCAACAGGTACGGCAGATGGCCTCGGTCTATGCAACCGCACAGCATACAGTCATCTGGATCGGGGATGGGAACCCAGAAACAGACCAGCTCTTCAAGACCCTCAAATTCATTGCTTCTCAGAGGCTTCTTGGGAAATCTGCTGGAACCCCTCATGCGATGGAGGTCAGTCAACAAGTTCGATTGTCGGCTTCCCAGACCATACTTGCGCGACATTGGTTCAGAAGAGTCTGGGTCTTGCAGGAATTGGTTCGATCCCGTGATCCATGGGTGCAATGCGGCACGTTTCTTGTCAAATGGCAAGACTTGAAGAACGATATTACGACAAATGCTCGTGATATTGGAGCAGAAAAGGTGCAGCTCGTTGAGGATATGGCGAAGCTGCATTCAGAGCACCATCTGAGCAGATTCCGACACCTGTCAGGATATAATTCTGAGGACCTGATGAGCGTTGCAGGAAGACTCTTGACTTTGTTGATATCCAGAAGAGCTCTTGGAGTGCAGGATCCCAGGGACCGGCTGTTCGCTCATGTCGGTTTACTGGGGAGTGTGAGCCTTGATAAATCGCTTCTCCAACTGATTGAGGTCGATTATGGAAAGGAAGAAAGCTTGGTTTTCTTCGAGATCGCACGTTTCCTCACCAAGGCCTTTCAAGACTATCGTATACTGTCTCTCCTCGAATACGGGCACGCTACGAACTCCACACATCTTCCTTCCTGGGTTCCAGACTGTAGGTGTTGGGAGAAATTCCTTTCCTATTTCCGAAGTTTCATGCTTTCTCCACAGACATTGTTCCATTTCTCTCGGAACAATCTTCATCGAGCAATTGCTGACTTCCCCTTACCTAGGGGGCGTCGAGAATCCGCCAATGTTTGAGAGTCTCTCTTCGGCGCTTAAACTAGAGGATGAGACATCAGCATCATACTTTCCACCAAATCCTCGGTGTCTCAGTTTTTGGGTTCCTGAATTCCGTGTATTGGCTTCTGCCGGATGGTCCGTTGCGCGAATTCATGGCTTGAGCTCTGGAGAAGCCAACCTAAGGCTCGGAAACCCAAAATCCAGGGCGCTATTCGACTCTTTGAAGAAAGAGGTCTTGAATAACCCTAAATATCACTGCAAAATGAAAGAATTGTTATCGTTGTTGGCAGCTGGTATCACAGAAAGTTACGAGAAATGGCAACAAGTACTTAAGGATTGTGACACCCCTGATCCAGCGAAGGTTTTCACAGCCATTGAAATCCAGCTTGGGAAATTTGAGGAGCCGTACGACCCTCAAGCATTTTTGAAAAACTCGAGGCTTTTTCAAAGTACAACAGAAATCTGCCAAACAGAAAAAACTCTTCGACATGGAATCCAAGCCACCTGCGATTACCTCACCGAGGAACTATTGCCACAGAAACAAGTTGCTTTGTTCGGGGGGGCTCAACCTATAAGCAACACTAGAATATTCAAGTTTGAGTCCCAATCCTTGTTAGCCCATCTCACTATGCTGGGCTACGGGAATGAAGTTAAAAATATGTTTTGCTACCGCAAATTGGCAACACTTGAAGATAGCACTCCTGCTCTGGTGCCAAAGTCGACACAACCAGGCGATGTTGTTGCAATACTTATGCGCCACGCAATACCCCTGGTTCTGCGACCAATTGAGGTGGAGAAACCAAGCCTTGAAGAGAATATCCGATCCCAGATTGTCAAGGATGGGTACCATTATCTAAAGCGGAAGAAGATCGAGCACTTTCGAGTGGTTGGGGAGTGCTTTGTTGAGGGCCTCATGTATGGCGAAACCTACAAGAGATATAAGGCAGATCTGAGCAGACAACCAAGAGTACTTGCTCTTCATTGAATTCATCAAAGAAGCTATCCTCCGGGAAATGTGAAGGTCATGGACCCTCAAAGAGCCTGAAGGTTCTTGCGCTGGGTGAGTTAAGTGAAGGATGAAAGGGACCAGGGGATGGTGCAACCTCACAGGCAAAGGCAAGATCAAAGAGCTTTGCGGATCAGGAAAGCGCGACCGCTCCTGAGCAACTCCTCCAATCAACCAATTTTGGAAGGCGTGGGCAACACACATTTTGGCCAGCGCAATCATTGTCTAGGCAAAGTCTTGTATTAACTGGAGCTATCACTAGACTTCCGTTCAAGCCAGACGTTGCATCTCAAGAAAGGAGATTGACATTCGTGGAGATTGTTCCCCATCGTTCAAATATAATCCTAAATGCCCGCTTAGACGGTCTTTTGTAGCGAAACTGCATATAGGAGAAGGAGTCGCCGAGGCTAGATCGGTAGTCATATTGGACGAAAATGCATGCATTTCAACCCAAGCTCCTAACGCCCGCCATCCAAATCCAGAAAATCTCAAAGCAAGCGTGCCCATACCTTATGCCCATTACCCGCCTCCCCAGCTCCAATTTTTCTCGTCGTCGGTCGTTTCCTCCAATGCTTTTGCCCCCAATTTACATTGCAAAAAGGTACACACCGTCTCTCCAACAGTGTTTCAGGTTGGTGAACCTCCAAAGCCCACACCGCCTTAGTCTCATCAAACCAAATATAGCCATCAAACTAACTCGGCAAGATGGCATGGCAGTAATGAGATTGCCTCTCCGTATCGGGACGATAAATCACGCCGATAAATCTACCCAGACACTTCTTCATCAACTCCTGTCTCAACTTCTCATCATACTTTCCCTCTCTGAGATCCAGAAAGAAGCTTTTGATACCCGTTTGACGAACCAAAAACTCATAGCTGTCTGGAAGACTAGGAAGAACTTTCATAATCTGCAAGTCAGCGTCCCACTCATTCGCAGCTGCAACAGTTCCAGTGTGAGTACCGCCTTTCGAGCAAGCTGGCCGAGGTTGAGTTCACTACGGTGCCATCCCATGGAACTCGCTCTGGCATTACCAAGGTGGCTATTGCGAACCCAAACAACCGCCTTTGCGCCTTTGCCTTTGTGGTCGAGGATTCGCTGGAGAGTCTCGAACTTGTGAGGATCACGGAAGTTCCAGGACTCAGCTGAGCTGAAATACATGGCCTTGTAGTACTCCTCTGCATCTATTCGAGTGTCAGAATACTTATTTGCTTCTTGTAAAGGGAACCTAACCGCAACCAACCGCACATTCTGCTCTGAGCTGTGAAACTCCTCTCCATCCTCAATGTGGGACGAGTACTCAATTCTATTCTTGAGTAGCTCCCTCAACATCTTGACCATATCGGTTCTGCAGTCTTTGAAGGGGCAAAGCAAGAAAGCAAGACCGTATTCTTGCGGGTGTTGAACCCACGATTAGAGTGCTCCGTGTCTCTCCTAGCAACCACTACCATCTTCGGGTCAATATGGTCAAGATACTTAATCACAGCACGGATGGAGGCTCCCATGGAATAGAGTTCCAAACCACAGATTGCGGCTTTTTGATCTCTCTTAAGATCTTTGTTGTGCCCTCTCATCAACTTGGATGAAAAGGGAAGCTGCTTCTCGTTATCTACAAGCAACGGCCACCAGGCGCAGGGCATTGAGAAAAGAAAGGCACGTCGAATGCATCACAACCAGGGAGGGCAATGATAATGGGAGACTCGGGGTTTTGGTAGCTTCTCCATCAAGATTGCTTCCGGTCTCTTTCCGAGTGTCTGTCGAAAACCTCATCTTTGACTTGCATACGAAACGCGAGCTTCTTATCGATGATCAGAATCAAAGACGGCGCAATATCTAGGACGACAACGAGCTCCTTTTCTAAACCAAGAATTCTGCCGATATTTGATACCATGCAATACCTCAAAAGATATTATCTGCTGGGGGAAGCTGGTGTGGGGATTGGTTGAATGCACATTTAATGATGGTGACCATATTGAGCCAGGCCAAGAGATCGTGTGGCCCGGGGGGTATGGATCTTTAAGTTGTGCCCTCATGCCCCCCGTGCCCCAATACTTAAGCTAACCAATGGATTCCGTAGTGCAGCTTGTGATTCTCTCCACATCTTGAACTTATAAGACATTGGGCGAACTCTGCGCAGCTCGAGAATGCATAAATATTGTGTTCGAAAACGGCCTCCAAACTGGCATCGATTCAACGCTAATGTTTTCCTCGGTTTTGGCCCTACGAAATTGATGAGAGAGAGAACCAAAGCAAAGATTTTTGTTCGAATCCGACTCCCTCAAAGCCACATGTCTTTCAAGGTTGGGACGAGTCCTCGTGATCATGAAGGCCCGCCGTTTGAAGGCCGATGGAACTCCATACAGGCCTCAGCTCGATCGTGATGATCAGTGACGCCGTTGCACTCGCAGAAGGAAGCTGTGAATCACTCGAAGGTTGACTGTGATGAGGTCAGTTGCGATTCAAGTAACCCGTGAAGGAGGCGCTAGGGGCGAAGCCACAGCTGCCAAGCCCTGATGACGTTGATCATCAGGTCGAAAGTTCTCTCCCTATTCAGGTCATCCACGGAACTTCCAAGAAGCTCCCTCAAAATTACAAAGATTGCTTTCTGATTAATTCTCCCAAGTTTTCAACGACCGAGAAAACGATATTCGCCAACATGTCGAGCAGAATTGATAAAGCCAAGGCTGATGCGAAGGAGGTTGCGTGAGTTGACCCCAGACCGCATATTTTCTCACGCACGTGCTAATAAGTTCATAGTGTGGAGGACTTCAATAAGGCAAAGACCATGGCAACGCAAGCTGCTAAGTCTGGGGCTTACCTGTATCCTATCAAGGTCCTTTATTTTCGATCAGGCCAAAGCTCATCAACTGACGATTTTCAGGGTATCTTCTACTTCCTCAGCCACCGCACATTGTGGAAGCCTCTCCTCTCAAAGTTGGCACCAACGATGACGTTGTCGGTTGGAGTTATTGCTTTTATGTTCATATTTGCATATCTTCCGCAACTTGCTGTGCTCGTCTTCGTCAACGGTCCTCTTGCAGCCTTCACCACAATCCTCCTCACGCTTAGTGAAAGCTCCACGCTCATCACACTGCTTTCGAGAACTTTCTTGATCCAAGATGCTTTGGTGGATACTTTTGATGGAGTCTTGGTCGCAAGAAAACAGACAGCTATTTTGTCTGAAGGTCGTCAACTCAAATCCGGAAACTTCAATGATCCTATTGCAAAGCTGGGAAAACTCATCAAGTCTCCATTTGAAAAGTTTACGCCAAAGGCTTTGATCAGATACGTTATGTATCTTCCACTGAATTTTATCCCTGTGGTGGGAACTGTGATCTTTGTTCTTTTGCAAGGTCGCACGAGAGGAAATTCAGTTCACACCCGAGTAAGAAGCTCATGTTTCTCATCGAGGCTTCGAGTAGCTGACCTTCCGTAGTACTTCCAACTGAAGAAGTGGACTAGACAACAAATTGATGAGTGGCTCAAAGAGAACACAGCCCCGTACACGGCGTAAGTTCCCAAACCAATCTCGATCTCTCGCAAGCTACACTCTGTCTGAAGCCTTCAGGAGGTGGCTGGACGCCACCACGCATTCTCAGCGGTGTTATTTGCTGTGAGTGCAGTAAACAAACGACCATCACCCCTTTAATAGCCCGAACTGCATGTGAACGTCCGGTGTACCGAGTTGGCGTCCTCGGTCAGCCACATCATGTTGTTGGATACCATGCTGACTTTGGAGCAGATTTGGTACAGTCGCCACTTTACTCGAATTGGTTCCAGTTGCCTCAATTCTGTTCTCCTTCACCAACACAGGCAAGTTCTCTCTTCACCGACATTTCTATTTTCGCTGATTTCTTCAGTGGGAGCTGCCCTCTGGGCAGCAGATATTGAGTCGAACAACACCCAGATGACAGAGATGACGACTCCGAAATCTCATGAGGCCAAGAAGGCTGAATAGTGCAGCCTCCCGAGATTAACCCTCGATCTGTGCAATCATCGGCTGATCAGGAGGTTGCATGCAGGTCCCGTCGACTCTCGTGTTACATTTCCGAGTGTACCCAGCCGCAGATCGCTGAGTATCGATCTTCCCTCGGGGCACTCAATCTCCGTACAAACCGTTTGTTTCATGGAACTTTTTCAGCGTGGCGTTGGTAGCGAGGTAGGAAATCGTCTTGAAGAACAGTAGCTTTGTATACACTCTCGGGGGTATCTTTCCGGGTATTTCAAGGATATGCAATGGTACAGGTTGAAGGCCAATTTTGAGGACATGTATGTTGGCAATATCAAATCGAGCCATAGGACCCAAAAAACACAAGTAGTGCATCACCGAGCAAGCTCTCTCTCCAGTTCACCGCATACAAACCCCTGCGTAAGACCTGAGCTTTCAAGCTTAACGGCCCGATGATGATCCCCAACTGTGTTTAACCACATATGCAGCTCCTCGACAACTGTTGGTTGCCCTCCAAACTCTGCCAACGGTGAAAGAAGTTCTCGCAATCTGCCAATGATTTTCCCTTTCATCATGCTTCTCCAAACAGACGTCACCCAAGCGATGCAGCTGCTACCCGAAGTCAACGGTGTGTTTGTACTTGTGCAGCATGAAAGTAATGTGACGCCTGTCGCTGCTGTGATTCTGCAGCCAGGCTACGCGTGGATTACACTGGCAGAAGACCCTGACTTTGCCGAGCTCCTTCGGGTCGAGCTCAGGTGGATGCAGATATCTCCCGCGAAACCTCCAGTCCAGTCCCTGCGCCGCTCTTTGGACCCCTCAAATCAGGTGATATTCATATGCAGGAACCTCCGACAATTGTAGAATATCGCGGAAGGCTGCAGCCTTACCAGCATTGCCCTGTCTCGTCAAAATTGACTCGCTGCAGCCTCCCTTCAGTTGAGCTGCTGTGTAACTCCAACAGATCCTGAAGATAAGAATTGGGACTGAATTGGCAGCCAATTTAGAGAGGTTTCTTGATATCTCTGTCTGCTTGGAGTCGGGAAGTCCCTCGTCCTTCCCCTTTCGAGCAGTCACTTCTCGGGTACTTGCCCTGTACCTCGAACTTGAAACAACACACACGAATGACGGCATAGCCAGTGGAAAATCCTCGAATCTGAATGGACTAGAGCGTGATAACTTCTCCTTTAAAAATTTGCAACGGGAAAGATGAGATGGCCGTGGTTTGGAACGAAACGCCCCCAGTCCCTCCCCTTTTCAAGTCCAGCCAGGACAGTTCCGAATCGTGCACCCGAAGCTAGCGAGACTATGTCGAGCCTCACTCCGTCTGACGTTGATATATCCCATCCTCGCGCTCTCCCCTTGCTTTTGCTTCCTTTGCTCTTCATCTTCCTTCGTTCTGCCACTTCTTTCGGAAGACTTGGCCTTTCGAGATCGAAGAACGCCTCACTAACACCCGGCTTTCCCCTTCACTCGTTCTAGCTTTGTAAGCACCATAGTCTTTGTTCTCGATCTGCTGAGCTCCACGCATCATTGTGTCCATTGACAGTAGTTTGGTCTTCCGAGCTATTGTGGGTTACCTGATCTATTGTCCTGCATACAAGAATATTAAGCATCAACTGACGCGTAGGAACTTAGATCAAGATGGGTGCAAGGACTCTCCTCATCGGCCTTGCGTCGACTTCGATCCTTCTGGGACTTGTTCCTGGAACTCAGGCCTTTCCCAAATTCTTCCAGTCAAACCATGGCGAGGTTGAGGATGCCAATTTCGCTCCACGTGATTACAGCGTCTATGAGAGTGCTCCCTCTACCTATGGTGGCTACACCTATGCTGGTTATGGACCTGCTCCTACAATCTCGTCCAGCTCCGAGGTGTCTGTTTCCACCAACTCTGGCGAAGAGACTTCTGTTTCCTCTGTCCCTACCATTTCTGGTGAGTTACACGTTGAAATAATTTTGGCAAAACTTAACTGACTCGTCTCAAGTCTCAACTTCTGGATCAACCACACCATCGACTTCGATCGTAGGTAGCCAGACGTCGGTAACGGCAAGTGGTGAAGTTACATCGCCCCAGTCAACACCGACAAGTCATGTATCTGGGTCAACGACTGTGTCCTCAGCTGCGACCACAACTTCTGCTTTGAAATGCAACCACGACAGCTGCCTTCGCCAACTTATGCGATCATCCACGGCGGGGTTTTGTGCTTCCTTCACTGCACCGTCACACACTGCTACGACTGGACTTCCAGACTTCGCTTCTAAGTGTGACTCGCCATCAAGAATCTCTTCTGCATGCTCGTGCCTCGAAACCGGTCCCTCTTCTACCCCTCAACTCTCAACACCGACTCCGATAGTTACCTACTCGACGCCGGCAAACTCCCTCTCATCTTCTGCTGAGATCACCTCTTCAGGCATTGGGATTGCAACATCACTGTCACACAGCTCAAGCAGCAGTTCATCTAGTTCTCTTCCCTCGGTCTCAACTTCGAGTCCAGTCGTCATCTACTCCACGCCAACAATATCGGTGTTCAGTTCTGCTCAGAACACATCTACAGGCATAGACTTTGCAACATCCCTGTCACACAGCACACGCAGCAGTGCATCGAGCTCGCTTGTTAGCAGTAGTGAGGGAGTAACCACGGTCTTCTTGACATCGAGCATTATCCAGACAGTCAGCACGTCTGTCAGTGGCCAATATTCTTCCTCCAGTTTGGGAACAGCCTCTTCTGGAATTCTGCTTTCGTCCAGTTCGTCGGTTACTTATCCAAACTCAACATCGAGCGTGGTAACTTCTGTGTCTGGAAGCCTGTCGACAACTCCATCATTGGGCTTCACTAGTTCTTCTGTCCCACAAACAGCACCTTACCAAACCACCAATTCGTCAACACTCGCTGGATCTAGCTCGTCGAACTTGGGAACTCTAACATCTGAAACATCGGTAGGGACTTCGCCATACTCATCCGGGTTTTCGTCAGGTGCTCCATCAAGTTCCTCGACCCCACCATATCCTCTCAACTCGACTTCGAGCGCTATTGGTGTCACGGGAACCAGCTCTGGATCTGTCGCATCCCTTTCGCAGACGTCGGTGATCACAGTGACTCAATCGACCTGGTCAAGTGTCCCATTGGGAACCGGTGTGTCCTCGCAGGTATCCATTTCTGGCACACTGCCTTTCCCATCCAGCAGCGCTCCGTACCCAATCTACAACACTACCTCATCTGTTGTGGGCACTGAAACAGCCCCTTCGCTGACCAGCACCCCTTCATCAGCGATCGTGTCTGGGGGAATCAGCACATCTTCCGGAATCGGTAGAGTTACAACACCGCCGTATTCGAGATCAAACTCGACTGTAACAGTTGGACCGACCAGAACTGGATCTTATCACCATTCTAAGTCGAAGACTAAGTCAACCGAATCCAGAACAGACTCTTTCAGCGTTTCTGGAGGCTGGACTTCCATCATTGGGTCTTCAAGCGCACCGTATCCAACTTACAACCAATCCTCTGTCATTCTCTCAACTGGATCTGGCGTTTTAACGCCTTCGACCAGTTCAGTTGGCCCCTTGAGCACTGGTTCTTCTTCGTCGCCCAGCGTTTCAGGAGGTGTCGTTAGTTCGTCTGTGGGAACTTCCAGCGCCCCTTACCCCACATACAACTCTACTTCTTCCGCTCTGTCAATCGGAACAGGCAGTACAGCATCGCAAACCACGAGCAACAGCGGTTTCGCAACCTCACTCTCGTCTGTTTCCAATTCTACCTCCGTCGCTGGTCCCACAGGAACCGGTAGCCTGTCAAGTTCACTTTCGGCCTCCCAAACCGTCAAAACTCTGCCATATTCGACTCCATTAAACTCCACGTCCACGATTGGACTGACAGGCACCGGATCGTCGACGAGCACAACGCCATCGGCTGGCCCAGAGACCACTTCATGCACATTGGAGCACACTGTTCCGTTGTCCACTGGCACTGGATTAGGTGGCGTTTCCTCTTCGTCGGTAATTTACTCCAACACCACTTCCCAGAGTGCCTCGTTCTCTTCCACTGCTGCAGGTAAGAGCGACCCAACCATCTCACGACTTGTGTGGGCTGACTTATCTTCGTGCAGGCACAATCTCCTCGACCTCCTCAACAACTGAGGTAGATACCACGATCACCCAAACCTCATCGGTCCTCTCAACTGCCGTGACTTCCATTGGTACGGCTTTCAGCACCAGCGCACCAGCTGCCGGCAATAGTTCTTCGGTCTACTACACTCCCCCGACGTCAAGCCTCCCAAGCAGCACAACCGCAAACTCGGGGGCTTTCACGTCTCTCAACTCCAACTCAAGCGCTCTCACAAGCCCTCCGTACACTACGCCGTCGACCCTATCAACTGTCACCTCAGGCTCCGGCGGTGTAGCTTCATCTGTTGGCACCAGCTCCCAACCCTATAACACCCCACCGCCATACTACGGCTACCCTGGCCATCATCAAGAGAGTGAACATGCTCATCGTGTCAAAGGCGGGCGTGGAGGTGGCCGCGGCGGTGGAGTTGGCAACGGAGGCACTGGCCGCTGGTTCTGGTAAACAATGAATGATCTTTACAATCAACACCTCTTCGCTTCTAGACTGCAGTTATTCGCACTGTAGAACATACTCCAATGTTCCTGTTTTGCTTTGCATCTTCTTTCCTATGTCGACATGAATGAAGACTGTCTCCAAGGGCAGTTGGTGTCACCTCACGGTTGTGAGGGAAATGCAAAGAAGAGAGGTTATTGATGACAAATCGTTGTTGAATCAGGAAAGGAAACAATAATAGACCGAACGGTTTCCGGCATCCCTTCCTTCTCTTCGTGATGTTGACAGTTGATGATGAAAATTGTGACTGTTTCACCCACACGTGGTTTCGTGAAAAAGGGCTAATACGAGATACGAGTACGGATACGGCGAAGAAATGCCTCGGCCGAAACAACCTTCAACCTAGATGCTGTGACACGGCAATTTGTTCAATTGAATCCGAAATAGCAGATCTTCTATCCAAATCTCTGTGTAGAAGCTCTGTATTAAATCTGCGGATACGAACACAGCATGGCTGCAGTAAAATCTAAGAAGAGCGTGTTCATCACAGGGTAAGGTGTTGGAGGTGTGGGACACCGCTTCGTGCCAAGCTCGTGATGAGAGATACAGTGTTAACACGACGGCTACAGATGCACTCCCGGAGGCATTGGATACGCGCTGGCAAAGGAGTTCCATTCGAGAGGTACGTCATCCGCCGAATGTTTGAGGAGAGCCTTGGCTGATTGCGAGATGTGCAGGCCTCCATGTCATTGCAACAGCACGGAATAAAGATGCCCTCAAGGATCTTGAGGCCATGGGCATGAGCACGCTGAGTCTGGATGTCACAAACGCAGAAGATATTGAGAATGCGAGGAAAGAGGTGGAGGCGTTGACTGGTGGGAGGCTGGATATACTGGTTAATAATGCGTGAGCATCCTCACTCTCATTCACACATCCTCGTTAACCGCGTATGGACTGGATTGACAACGAGAACAGAGGAAGGAATTACACTATGCCCGCCACAGACGTAGATGTAGACGAAGCGCGCAAGACTTTCGAAACGAACTTCTTCGCTATAGTCGCAATCACGCAAGCCTTCACACCTCTCCTCATCGCTGCCAAAGGATTGATCCTCAATATCGGCTCTCTGGCTGCAATTATTCCTTACGTCTTCGGCTCAATATACAACGCTTCGAAAGCAGCTCTGCACTCATATTCCCAGACCCTGAGATTGGAATTAGAGCCGTACGATGTCAGGGTCCTGGTTGTGGTGACAGGAGGTGTGAAGAGCAATATCGCTAGGACGGAGAGGATTCTGCCGGACAATAGTTTATACTTGGAGATTAAGGGGAACTTTGGGAGGCGGGTGACGCATAGTCAGCAGGGGGCGATGGCTACGGAGGTTTATGCCAGGGGAGTTGTGGAGGAGGCACTGAAGCCGGTCTGGAGACAGAGGAAGTGGCTTTGGAGGGGTCACATGACGCTGGCGGTGTGGTTTGCGAGTCGAGTGCTTGGAGCATGGATTTTCGATCTTGTTCTGCCGAGGATGTTTGGTTTGAATAGGTTGAAGTGGTTGCTTAGGTCGAAGAGGGCGGCGTGAACTTTGGGCTTTGACGTGCTGGCGTATTGCGCTGCATATTGGGCGTTTTGAGAAAGGAGCATTGTTTTTTTGCGAACTTCACGGGGAATAAAAATCTGGAAGGGCTCCGTACTTGGCATGGGCAATCGAGATGACAGTTTTGACAGTCCTTTAGCAGCTTGAATGGGGGGGGGGTCTATTACTATTATGCCTAGATTACTCGTTAAAGGTCTTCTCTCCCAATTCCCCTCGCCCAGGTCGCTGCACTCTCCAGAAACTCCCAACCCGCGGCAGAAGCCCTATCGATCCAACTCTCTTCGACAACTTTCTTATTCAACGGAAACACCCTCCTCCCGCCAACCCACGTCTCCCTAACCACCAGATCCCTCAGACCTTTCCCCAGGTCCGCGGAAATGTCTTTATCAATAACCACCCAATCCGCCCACATACCCTTCTCTATGGCTCCCAACCGTCCCTCTTTGAACCACCCATATGCTGCATTTCTCGTGAATCCTAACAGCGCCTGTTCAACACTAAGCTTCTCTTCTGGATGCCAACCTCCTTCTCCTGCCGGGCTCTCTCCCGTAGCGGGATTTAGACGAGTCACTGCTGCGTACATGCCATGGAAAGGGTTGGGAGGCTCGACTGGGAAGTCGGAACCAAGGACGGGTCCAGGGTAGGTGGATGGTATAGAGGACGAGGGGAAGAGAGAACGCATTCGGTAGGCTGAGTTTGCCAGTCGGTCAGTATCCAGACGGGAAAGAGCATATGCCATGTCGGATGTTGCATGCGTGGGCTAGAGGTGTTAGTTTAGGAATAAAGAGGGCAGGGGCAGGCTGACTTGGATGCTGGGGATTATTCCCATCTTTGAAATTCTTTTCTGGTCATTTGGATGCTGGATTTTGTCAGTCAGGGAGTCAGGGAGACAGCACTTGAGAAACTTGCTATGATTTGTGCATGCTCGATTCTCAATCTCCTCGCTTCGTTGCACCCTTCGCAGTCAGGACCAAGAACATTTTCAAAAGAATCAACTGCTGCACGATTGGCTCTGTCTCCAATGGCATGGATGTTCACCTGGAACCCTGCATCAAACCACTGCCAATATTAGCATTTTTCTCTCCTATTGAACGCAGATACGCACAACTTTCACCACGCTGGTCAAAGCTGTTTCATTTATTAGCATCGTTCCATTTGTCTCAGGCTTGTCAGAATATGGCTCTAACAGCGCAGCTCCCCAAGATCCAAGTGCTCCATCAGCAAAAAGCTTCACGCCTCCCAGCATCAACATATCAGCTCCCATTCCGTCCGGAGAATTCAGGAGCTTCAATCCTTTGGTCTCTTCAGGACAGTAAGTGTTTCTCTCCGCACACTCCAGCATCACATCGATCCGAATCGTGAGCTCATCTTTTTCAACCATCGACTCCAGAATCGAGACATCATCAGGTCTCATCCCCGCATCTCCAATTCCAACTATGCCGACTTTGTTCAACTCAGCCATGGCCGTGTGGAACCATCGAGTCTTTTGTGCAACATCCGGTTTCGGAGCCAATGGATAAATGATGGCGTCCATTGCGTTGTCACAGAAGACTCCGGGACCGGGATCTGTGATTATGACGCCTCCTGGAGGTGCTTCTGGCAGAGGATCGGCGAGAAGATCAAGGACTTTTTGGGAGGTCAGAACGCAGTGGACATCGACGCGGTCTAGCATGATGTAGAGATCTGATAATGATGGGTCTTCTCTTAGCTCTTTCTGTGGCACATGTCAGTCCCTGAAACTTTATAAAAGACAGAATGACCTACAGCAGTAGGCATAATTCCCCCGAAATACTTTTGGTCCCACCCAATGCCTCGAATCCATTTATCGTGTGAACCGTATCCCTCGCCTTGATGCTTCTTTAAAAACTTTTTGATCCTCCTTCTCACTTCCGCGATACTCTCAGCTCCGTACAGCCAGACCGACTCCAACATCTCGCCATATTGCAAGATATGGCCATGCCCGTCGATGAGACCGGGGAGGACGTATCCATCCAAAGACCTGATCCCCTCGCTAGTGTCTGGTATCTCTTCCAAAACGTCTATGAAAATCCCGCCTTGTACACGAAAGCATTTTGCATGTGGAGTCGAGCTGTTAAGCGTGAGAATACGAGATGACGAGGGGTTGGAGACGCAGTAGAGAGTTGACGTTGAGGCCGTGCCGTCTGATATTATAAAACTAGCAACGAGAGCAATGAGACCTGCCCCGAGGACGCCCGCAAGGGACATCATTCTGACTTGAGCCATTTCGAATGTAGGACAAGAAGTGTAAAGAAAAGATGCTTAGTTTTCCTTGTTGATCAGTGGGCCCCACTTTAGCTTTATCGATAAGACCCCTGAATCACGTGAAGTTGTCGCTTTTCTCAGAACTAATAAAGCTCGAGACCCTTATTAAGAATTACAAAGACACTAAAGTCAAAAAGACATTTTGTCGTTATAATATTCTATCTATAGTTTGCGCAACATAGAAATAAGTAAAAGTGATTCACGTGACGTGCTCCCATAAGTCATTAACGTTTAGCCGGCTTATTGTGGAAATTAATATATCTTCACTTCGCTCGCTAAGCGATAATACACCAAAAGGTCTTTACTCTAAAATTCGCTTAAGAAGCACGGCTCAAAAACATACTGGCTCTGATTCTTGAAAGCTTATAGAATCAAAATACTAACTAAAACTTGGCCTCTCCGAAGAGAAGCTTAAGTACAACCAGACGAACTGAGTTGTTTAGTCGGCCACCGCAATTCTCCTCTCAAAGAACGCGTATAGAGATCAACCACTGCAGGTGCCATCCGGCTTTTTACGTCTCTCCTCCACTACCACGGACAGGTCGCTGACTGTCATTGCCATTTTTTGGTTAAGAGCTTGGGTCTCTGAGAGGGCTAGTTTAGTGTCATTGCGGACCACTGCGGATCGTTAGTTACATCACTTTTGAAGGTGCTGGGTTATACTTACCATCAGCGCTGGTTGATGTTGACGACAAATCCCTTATTTTAGTATATACGACTCAACCGTTTGGCGAAGCCGGTATGCGGAATTCTGCCGATTCTACCGATAGCATCGGCGACACGCACTTGGGACATGCCGAGGACGGTAAGGAGTTGTTATGAAGCTTTTCAATTGCATATGCCAAGCTCTGCTGGATTATGCTTTGAGAAGCCCCTAGAAATACAAGTTGACAAACGTCCCAGCATGTCCCAGCATCACCATCAATCATAGTAACAATATTTGGCAAAGCAAGCTGTGCAGTCCCTCGGCAGCGGCTGTCCTGCCTTCATCATAATCGCACATCCCAAGCATGTCCCCCAAGCAGAATCTCCTCCTTGAGTTGCGATCCCCACACCATTGGCAAGCATCTCGTCCGTCTCTGTCTCTGAATACTCGAGCTGATAAGTTGAGGTGTTCGAAGCAAACGTATATTCGCTGTTCGGAAGATAAACGATCATAATCTTATCGGTAGCGTTACAACCAAAAAAAGTTGCTCTCTTATTCAATCCTTGGGATATGAATGTCTCGACGGAAGGAATGAACGGCATCCGCGTAAGACCATGATTGAATGACTGAACGTACGTGGTCAAAATCTCGGTCCCGTTGGGCCAACCGCCAGCATCATTGGAATTGTCATTGACGAGAATGACTGAGACGTTGCGCGCAGGCTGGAGCAAAGGAAAGATAGGGTTGTTCTGCAGAGCTTCGCCGCCATCCACGAGGCTAAGATTCTCCTGTGCTGAGATATTGTTGGCGATATTGGGCGTAGCTGTCGAGGAGATATAGTTGTAGAAAGGGTTCTTGTATGTGGCGTACAGATCTTCGGTAGTGAGCTCATGTACATCATTGATGATTTGAGCAAGGGTTGTGTCCAAATTGGTGCTGGAATTTTCGGCCACTGGAACGTCGAAGCAGACGTTGTTGAAGAGATTACTGGAAGTTCCCAGGATATAGCCAAGGTTATCATAATTCGTTGTGCATTTTCCCGTTGCTCTTCCGCCACTCATTGGGGTTCCTAAGTATTTGGTCGGCGTGAAGGCGCTGACATCACTATCCCAAGAACCGAATTCATAAGGTGTGAACTCGTAGGTTGTGGCATTTGGGCCTGGAATGCAGTCACCAAGCCAGACTTTCGATCCAAGCGAGGTGATGACCAGAAAAGGAACGGAGTATGAGGTAAAGCTCGAAAGGCTACTGACTGACGACAACGTCGTTGAGACTCCGCCGTACGGGCCCAACAGAAGCTGATAACTTAGCAAACGTCCCCAGGGATCGGTGAGTGTGGTGCGATATCCAGCAGCCTCCTTGCCAAAGACGTCGGCGATAATTTCAGCATAAGCGATGGCAACCAGAAGGAACGCAGGATCAAGCAGGCTGTCTTGGAAAGCTTGCTTCCAGAGGATCTCCTTGAGATACGTGATGGTAGGGTAATTGTTGCCAGCCATGGAAGACAGTAGCCAAGATCCTCCGGACAGCCCAGCTTGGTATGTAAGGGCTTGATAGAGGCCAGACGTGCTTACATCACTGTCTCGGCTGTCAAGCCCTTGAATCACACCAGCTCCAGAAAGCAAGCTTCTGTAGCCGCCTCCTGAAGTCGTCAAAGCTACCTGCTCAACGTCAAATCCTCCCGTCTTACTCTCACTCACTCGAAGTACTTACGGCTGGGAGTTCGGCAGTCCCAAAACCTGAATTAGTCTTCGTCAACCAAGCTTTCAAGGACTCATCAGCGATTACTTTTCTCGCCACTCTATACGTTTCTTCGTCGTCAGAAAGGCCGTTGGCAGGTCTCACTAGAGACGTCGTAGGGCAAGTTTCTGACTGAGGCACATATGTTGACAAAACTGAAGATGCGGCAAGCAGCAACGATAGCAGGAGTGGGGCGAGCATTTTAGCAGCAAGCCCTCAAACGAAAGATTGAATTGATAGAGTGGGGGGACGTGGAGAAGAGAGCCAGTAGAGGGGGAAAACCTTTGATATAATGCAACAAGCGACGGTAAGGTCGGAGAAGGAGATTCAAGAAAGGAATGGTATCATATCTGGTTTTTGTGCAACTCAATAAACCCCGCATTAGGGAGTACAGAACTGCCTATGTGATCACGGGCTCCCTCGTCTCGAACAGGCATGCCCCGAATGCACTGCCATCTCCCCACTGGTTCCCCACTGCTGAAGATCACCAGCCCAGTTTGCATATTGAGAGTTGGAACATCCAGGAACGTAGTACACAATGCCGTCTTGGCTTGGCGCCCCGCATATTCCTGAAGGATCTGCTGGACTTATTGGGGAAGTTGGTATGAAAAATGCCATGTGTTAATTGAAGACTAACAGTTTTGAGGGCGATCAGAAGTGTCACAAGGTGTACAAGCCTGGACAGGGAAAGGCGTCGGGATCTGGTGGGGTGGGCCGGAAGCAGGCTCTGCGCCGAGGCGTTGAGTGCAGATAAGCTTTTCTTTTTTGCATTTGATTCTGGACACAAGTCACACAGCTCGCACAAGTTCACACTTGACGTTGAAACTGGCCAGCCGAACCTCGGGTGTGGCAAGTTGTGGCTGAGAGTGGCTTGACCACTTCCAGCAATGCCGAGCTTGAGGCGAAAGACTTCGCCCAGTAAAGAACTGCGTCACTTTAAAATGATGCCTCATGATTAGAAACACAAGCGTAAAATATCTCAGGCATAAATGGTGGATCTATCAAATCTGCGCACCAAACTTTGTCTGCCGGCAACGGAACGACAAAGAATTTTAGGATCCAACCTTCACTTTCACGGCACATCGTTGAGCCCCAAGATTCCTCTCCAAAGGTGGTACCAAACGGAACAAATAGCCTGTTGGCGGTGGCATTGCAAAACTCCCATCGGCTTTCGCATCCAGGGTATCTGATTCCGACGGCCTAAGCAAACGTCATTGATACCATGATATTTGAGCTCTCTCTTACAGCTGATAAGATGTCATCCTTCTTTTCAAATTCAAGACGATCTCGCCCACTCTTCACACAACTGATCACATCTCTCAACATCCCCCTTACATTCAGCCCCCAATCCGCAAACAACTCCAGCCCAAAGTCTAGACTTTCCTCATGTTCTGCATGCACCTCTGCGCTACTTCAATTGACAGTAGTTTACCAGCTCCGCAGCGACACCCCCTGGCTTCAATCCTCAACCATCCCAACCCCCTTTACCTGCCCAAGGTAAATGCCTCCCGCCACGCCGATCGAATACTGTAGGTATAAAATACCACACTCTCAGGGCCCCTAATCCAAACACGCCGTATAACTCAAGACTCCGTGTATAAGTGAAGCGGAGAGTGAGTGTACAGTCGGTCCGACACAACACCGTTAGAACAGTCCACCTTTTACGCCCATAAGAACTTTTTAACCCATAACCGAAATTAATCAATACTAAGTCACGCAGTTACGGAATAGAATAATGAAAATAAAATATATTAACCCGAATTTTGAAGTATATAGACGATTTGTACTTTTTTAATTTTTGACTGTTTAAAAAGTGAAAAATATTATAGGAAAGTCACGTGCGCTTAAGTAAATAGTATATTAAACTTGGATTTATAAGGCCCCTTAAACTTTTATAAGCTTCCTATATATAGTAGAAGCTCAAGTTTCAAGAGTTACTACTAAAGAGAGTATAAAGTATTAAAAGTCCATAATTTTAATCACGTGTGGCCTCGTGACACTATACGAGGCGTGATTTTTAACTACATAAAAACGCGAAAATTTCTATACGAGCTCGTATAAAAATAACCACTTGCTTTATAACTCCCGTAATATTAAAGATTTTAAAAATGGGACAACGGGGAATTAATTGATATAAAATATATGGTAATTCCGATTAATACGATTTAGATTAGTTAGTATTATTGTAGACTTTCTTTCACTTTGTCGTTATTGTTTCGGACCGACTTGTAGCACGATCTCACCGAGGGGCATTTTCGTCCCCTCCAACCCCGCTTTTAGACGACGAAGACTACACGCGAGCTCGATATTCAGGCCCTCGTACTCGATATCTTGAGGTACGAGGATTAGGAGGGTGCTAGAGGTTGGAGAACGTGATTTGAGGTGTGGCGATATATGGGCGGAGATAAATTGTGAAATACACCAGATAGGAATCGGAACCTAAAGGTAATGAAATGAGGATTGTAGTTGAAAGATAGAGTAGAATACAAAAGAGGTTGTTTGAAGAAAGGCATATTGTGCAGTGCGAAGAGATCTAAATCTGAGGTTATTTTGTATTTCAAGTCGAAAGTCAAGCTGGAACTTCATTTTATTTCAAATATCGTTTGGCTGACACTACAAATTTTGATTCAATCACCAAACCTTCAACGGGAATTTGATACTTTTGATTTCTTTATTGCTCTATCAAGCTACGTGCACACTTTAGGTGTGCGCCATTCCGGCATATGTAACTTTTATGCCTTTAATCAGGTAATGCTCTCCGATGCTGGATGAAAGCCATGCAATGCAAACCACATAAAAGCACTCCTCTGGACAAAGATGCGTCTCAAACGAAAGAGGAAAAGGTCTATGCAAGGTACCACCATGCCCATAACGCCATTCATGATCGTCCGTCGTCATGAAAGTATGCACCACCAACGCCATTGCCATGCACGAAAATTATAACCCATACCACCAGCTCCCACCCTCACGCAGTCACAACAATATCCTCAAAGTGCTCCTGCTTAATCTCCACCTGCTCCAGCATCGCCACCAACTCCTGCTGCTGCCGCTTCTGCTCAGCTTCATACAAGAACTGCGCATACTTGCTCCGCTTATTGTGAATCCCGCACTCCGTCTTCGCAGTTCCCTTCCAGCGACCCGCACGCTCGTCCTCACCCTCCTTCACCGGCTCCGTTGAATGCCAATCCCCAACACTCTTGTATCCACGATTCAACAGCTCATTGTATGGTACATTGTTCTCCTTGATGTACTCTTGGACTTGGGCGAAAGACCAGCTGGCGAGAGGGTTGATCTTGATCAGGCCGCCTTCGACAATCTCGATGATGTCGAGCGACTCTCGCTTGGCTCCTTGCGAGCGTCGGCGGCCAGTGAATATTGCGGCGACTGAGAGATCGGCATATGCCCGTTGTGCGGGCTCGACTTTGGCGGTGTAGTCATAATTGTCGGGATTGTGCTTCCAGAGCTCGGTGCCGTGCTTGGCTTCGAACTCAGCGGTGGTGTTGACGCCTTCGGGCTTGTAGACGTGGAGATTGATGTTTGAGTAGCGTGCCTTGATTTTCTCTACCAAATCGAGAGTTTCTTGAAAGTGGTAGAGCGTGTCGAGGAAGATCACGTCAATTGGCGCAGCGGAGGGTGTCTCTTTTTGTAGCTTGGACAGGAGGTCGAGCGTGACAAGGCCGGTCAGGCCGAATGCGGTGGTTTGGTAAAGGTTCGGGAATGTGATTTTTGCCCAGCGGAGGATGTCAATGGGAGCCAGGCCATTGAGCGTGCTGTTCAGAAACTTGAGATGTGGCTTGGTGAGATGAATGGTAGGCAGTTGTCCTGAGGAGGATGAGCTGGACGCGCCAGAGGCGTATCCCGACTCAAGAGTTGAGCCAACGGGTTCATCTTGATGTCCCATTATGCTTATATTTGTTTGATCCTGAGGTTTTGATTGTACTAATATAGGAATTGAATACAAGGCGAGTTGCGTATACGAAAGGCAGAAGTGGGCAATGGTGTAATCCCCTAGATCGATGGCGTGCTTGAGAAGGACTCGCTTGAGAGAGAGAAGGCCCGCGACGAAAGGTGTGAATGAGGACGGACTCTCTCGGCCCGGCTAACAGTGAATAATGGAGAGTTGCAAATATGACGTCTCACAAAGGAATCCCACAAATAAGGAGCGGGCGAAGGGTGTTTATAACAAAACAGCCACGGAAACACAAAGAGGGGAGCTGGGAAATTTGTGGAGCTGGAGCACATCATCTTGCCAATGGGGGTCGGTTTCTAATCAAAATCCCACTTAGCTTTGGCCCCTCAGAGGCCCCCCCGCAGGCCACATTTCTAATGCTTCACTCGAAAGCATTCTGCCGACTTCGCCATCGATGATGGCTTTGCGCCTCAAGCCGTTTTGCATCTCAGTCACGCCATCCACGCTAGGGCGAAAGGGGGATGGACGCTTAGAAATGAACATGAAGCGAGAAAGTCGACAGGGGCAGCAGATTCCTGATTGGGTGGTCGCCACTTCCTTCAACCTCACGCTTTTTGTGCTCCTTCTCTTCAGATAAGGTTGTGGGCGCATTGGACTCTACTCACAAGATCTGCTTGTGTCACCCGTACCTAGAGTATAATAAATAGGCTGCAGCTTTTTCAATTTATTTCAGGCACAATTGGGACATTGAGTTTGGACCTGCAGGGCTTCACTTGGCCTGCTGGGTGGGCTTGCCGAAAATTTCGGCAAATCCAGGAACAGACGGATGCATTTGGAGAGGAAGCACGCAATATCCCGTGACTGAAGCCAGTACGATTGAGGGTCGGAGAAACTCGCAAGGGCGAGTCGAGCGATGTAGCGGGGCAGTTCTGCAAGCCCCAATCAGCCTTGCCCCGCGAGGCTGAAGTGGGGGAGGCTGCGGATGGACTTGCCCGAGCGAGGAAACCCCGGAGAGCACGCAATAATGATTTTGGGTTTGAAGCGAGGGGCTCAAGACTCGATTTCTTCATCAAGACGTAGACCCCATGGATACGAAGGAATCGCAGATGGTGACAGACGAATGAGAGAAAGTTTTGTTTGCGATTTCCCTTGTCTTCAACTCCGTGCTCGATTCATGTCTCCAGATCTCCATCTATCCTTTATTTCAACATCATTGTCTAAGCAGGAAAAGAAAGCCTGATGACAAGCAAAGATGAAACTTCATCTGCAAAGCATGACAGAAACATGTTTTCCAGCATGGCAACCAATTATCGGATCAATGTCTGAACCTCCTCTGCGGTCAATCCAAAGATATGCAAGAGATCCAATAGACTGTCTCCATTCAACCGAGCTTCAGCTTCCATTTGAACAAGCGGCTTGGCATTCCAGGCGACTCCCAGTCCGGCTGCTTTCATCATCAGCAGATCATTTGCGCCATCACCCACAGCAATAACTTGCTCCAATGGCACTTTCTCCTTCTCGGCGATCTCGAGCATCAAATCGCGTTTCCTCTCTGCATTGACAATGGTTCCAACCACTTCTCCAGTCAACAGATTGGTTGTGGGGTCAGAAGCAATCGTGTTTGCAAAAGCGTAGTCGAGTCCTAGGTGGTCTGCAAGCCACTGAGTAAGAGGAATAAAGCCGCCGGAGAAAACGGCAGTCTTGACACCCATTCGCTTCAGCCCTCGAATGAGTTCCTTGACACCCTTCGTTGGGGTGATGACTGTCCTGAGCTTCGTGAAAATATCCGCCTCGACACCTTTCAGCAACATGACCCTCTCCTTGAATGACGAAGAGAAATCCAATTCTCCATTCATAGCCCGTGCTGTGATGGCAGAAACCTTGTCCTCCACTCCAATAGACGCAGCAATAAGATCAATGACTTCCTGCTCGATGAGGGTCGAATCCATATCAAAAACTACCAACCGCGGATATCGTCGGAGCACAGTGTCTGCCTGCAGGATCACATCGACGTTCCATTCTCGCTCAAATCGGTAGATCAATTCATGCTTACGTAGGTCTTCAAGTGTAAGGTATGTGGGGTCAGGAGTTGGCGAGACCGTAAGCTCGACGATGGCGGGATGGGTAGGGTTGTCCAAGCAGCGGTGGGATGAGATCAGCGTCTCGGAGCCTTGCCGGGTTGGCAGAGAGGCGATGAGGTGTAGAAAGGACGTCAGGCATAGAGGAGATATGTAACTGCCGTATAGATGATCGAGTGGTTCTGGGTCTGGTGGAGGAGGTTCGAGTGGGAAGTTGGACAGTGTGCGAACTGGTGCGAGATTTGGAGGAAGTTCGCGCGATTTGGCCGTCAACGCCGGCGATGGTGAGCGGTCGGGTGGATAGTCGGTGATAGTTGCTCGAGGGGCTTTCGTCTTGTAGATCAAGGTTGCGATCAGTCGGTCAGAACGATGTCCGGGAGCAGGCTGACAATTCGTATGCGACAAGGTGTGGTTGAGCCCGCTGTCGATGATCTTTGGAGGAGATTTCGGCGAGGGGACTCCGTTGTAGGGGTGGATAGTCTTTGGAGCATCGATTTTGGCATTTTGAATGCCCTCAACTATGCTGTCAATGCCTTGGTGTCCGTCTTGCTGCGGGGGCCGGTACTGCTGATGTTCCTGCAGATAGGAACGGCTGCGCATGTTCGTACCGAAGCTTGGCCGGCCAGCTCTGGTTGGGGTATCAATATCCGCCATGACGATTTGATTTCACAGCTCTGGCACGATGTTTGGAGAAGGTCGTTGTCGAGGGTTGGCGATGGAGGGGTCGGCGCTTTCATCAGCCAGCTTCGTGTGACGGCTGGGTTCGCTTGCTGGCCCTTGCCCAGGGGGCTGGATCGACAGGGGACTAAGGTGCCGATGACATCGATTTCGGAGTTTTTCCGACTTACTTCTCAGCCTCAGACCCTCTTCTTTTCTTCCTCATTTGTCCGGCCATTGAATCGTAGTGTGCTTGTAGAACCGAGAATGGTTGATTGAAGTTGTTGTGGGACCTAGAACGTGAGTCACGTTGATGCAAGGAGCTGGCAGATGCACGACGTTTCCAACCTCCTCGATTTTGCCTATTCTGATGTCCCACTATGGACTCTTGTGTAAACCACTGCTAAGCACAGAGCCCTATGTCACACGAGTGGGTGGCTTCTGTAGGTAGGGTCTGCTTCCCTCTGCCCTCCTGTCAGACCAGGTGTTTTCGTGGGAGTCTCGTGAACTCGGCCTCTCTGCTGACTTCTCGCCTGATAATCCATCTTCCTCCACCCCCCCGCCCCAAAAAAAGCTTAAGGATGCCGACATCGAGAGTGATGGCGACCAGCTCGCTAAGCCACAAGCACTACAGCAGCTCAGGAAAGCTGTCCATGGCTGTCAATCTACAGGAAGCTATTTTTGCGCTTGTTAACATGACATACGGTAAGTCTCACGTTATTGCGAGCACAGGGCGCATAGGAAGCACATATTATTTCTTACTTCACTTGCAAGCCAGTTTCTCCTTGAGAGAATACTGAGAACAAGACACTGTATCTTCTGTTCGTTGTTTTCTATTAATGTAACACTGATCTGAAATTCCGAGGAAGGTAACGAAGCGGAGTTGAACTGGCATCTTTCGCATGCCGTGATCCTGATCGAGATTCCCTACTTCGCAAGCGGAGTCAGTTTGGCCTGCCGTATGGAAAAGGAACCAACAAGCAACCCGTTCTGTTCATGAGACTTCCTTGTTTCTTTTCTTCCCCCTTTCCCCTGTTGAATTGTAGCCTTGAGTTTATCAATGCTGCTTAAGGTAGGTACTTTCGTAACTACTACCGAATTTTCTCGGTTAATTCGATACAGTCATAAGCCTCCTCGTCTCTCATCTGCATTTGTTACGAGGTAATGATTTACGAACGAGTGAGAACTGATAAAAGGACATTGCTGCCAATGATATGATGATAAGGGATACGCATACATGTGCCCTCTCTATCCTATGCCATAAAATACCTGGAGTGATTTTTATCAAGCACTAGCTCCGTGTTCCTCGCTATCCAAGCCCTTATTTCAATAAATATCAGCTATAAATACATTCCATCAAGGCTCTTGAGTCTCATCATCCATCTTCTCAGCCTCAGCTGCACTCACACTCTCAGAAGTCTCGGTATTTATCGGCTCGGCCGTCTCTACATTCTCGTCGATTTCCCTTAGCTTAGACGCGGTTGGCGGTGGCTTGTCCAACGACTTCTCCAAACCTTCTAACAAATCCAGGTAGTTATCTTCGGCCTCTGCATTCTCAAGTACCGGAGTCGGCTCTGGCTCGGTATTTTCTAGCGATACTGGGTCCTCGGGTTCGGTTTCCTTTGGTGCTTCCCCCATCTCAGTTGGGATCGGTTCGGCAGGACTTTCTGTCCGTGGCATGGGAATTTGTTCTGTGGGGATTTCGGGAGCTGCGATTGGCGACTCTGGCCCTGCAATTTGTGCATTGCTCGCATTTTCCTCCATATCTAGTAGCATCTCCTCTTCTTCCTCTTCTTCACGCAACAATTCTGCAGAAGCAGTGGCTTCGGTTGCAGTGGGTTCTGGAGGTGGCTGAGGAATCTCCGTTGGAGCTGATTCCGCTGTCTCAAGAAGCATCTCTTCGTCAAGGTTTTCTTTCTCCACTGCAATTGCGACAGGGTCCTGTTGTGGTGCAGGAGCAGAGATATCAGAGAACGGGTGGGCCACTGTCGGTGATTCAAGGGGCGATGTAAGAGCAGAAGTAGTTAAAGCAACATTTTTCAATGGACTTCCAGACTGACCTTCTGATTTCACCCGCTCGGTTTGAATCATTGGATGAGGGCGAGGAAATTCAAGCCCGCTCATAGATGTTTCACCAAATCCAAGGCTTGGAACCGTTTTGATGCCTGTAGCCGCCAAGGGAACAGGTGATGTCGGCTGCGGGGGCTTGGAAGGTGAGCTCTGATTATCAACAGAGCCTTCGTCGTCTTCACCATCGTCTCCGTCCTCGCCATCTTCATCGTCATCTGATGCCGCCATCGATCCATCGCCCATTTCTGTGTCTTCATTATTCGTCGGTGTAGCCTCAGCGTCATTCTCAATCTTTCCTCCCTATGGTGGCCGTTAGTAACAATCTCGGAACACATCCAGTGAAGAACTTACATCGGCACCCACAGTACCGTCAGCCCCTTCAATGACTGGAGCCGCCCCCTCCATAGGTAGAGATGTAGGCACGCTAGTAGGGGCAGCGGCCTTCTTCTTTCTGCCTCTTCCAGCTGCTCCTTTAGCTTTCTTTTTGGATGACTTTTTGGATCTAGAAGGCGTAATTTGTTGAACAGCAAACGGATCCACGGGTGCGGCGCTTGGACCTGGGAAGACGGTCTGCGAAATCACCTTTCCTTCCACTTTTTGGCCATGCGAGGCAATCACATCCTGCACATACTCATTTCCAGCCGCATCGATCCTTTTTACTGTATTTTTCGTCAAAGTCGCTGCCGGTGCAGTAGTCTTTGCTGTCATGGTGATCAGACCCTTCCTCCGTTTGGCTAAGTATTCAACATCTGGTCCTTCCATATGCCGGGGTACTTGTTTCCACGCCTTCGCAGTAAAGCCCCTGTCTTTCGTATCGTCATCTTTCTTCTCTGGTTTGTCCCCAAGAACAGCTTCAACATCAGCCTCCTCTTCCTCCGGCGGCGCTGGGCGTTTGTATATCCTCCCTGACCGAGCGGCACGCAAAAGATCCTGGCTGTGTTGGGGTAGTAGATGTGAGTCTTTGGGCATTCCATGCGGAAGTTCTACAGCCCATATATCATTTTGAGATGTGGTGTTCTCTTGAGTCGGTGGCGGTGCTACAATAACATCGTCGCGGCGCCAGTGTCGAACAGGGAGACCCTCAAAAATATCATGATCGACGTAGCCTGTACGATTTTGACGCCTGTCTCGGTTTCTGTTCGAATACTGCATATGCAGATCAGTTGAGGGTTATTGCATATGTTCAATGTGCCACTTACGGTTGGAGCCATGTCTCCGTTCTGGGTGCTATTAACAGACAGCGAGCCGAACCGTTTCGGGGTGGTGACTCGGGCAAGGGGGGACGCTATAACGGACGGCAAGGTAGGTAATGTGACTCGAGAACAAAAATTTCCTAAACCGGGTTTCGAGAACTGTTGACTCCGAAACTGCAGATCAAACGAGCCAACGTAGACTGGCGCAGAGCTTTCGACGGGGTCTTCAGGAACTTTGAGCTGCGAAGAAACAAATGTATCGAGCTTGGGATCCTCGTTTTCGTGGAAAGCTTCAGTGTTCGAAAATGTCAACGGTCGATCCTTAAGACCGGGAACACGTAGAGCCTTGGGTGGCGGCGATGAAGGCTGAGCTATAGCTCCCACAGCATTAAGCCTTTTTTGCCGCAGGTATGGGAATATGGGCACGTCCGAGGCCGATGAGCATGAGCTGCGGTCCGAAAGCTCTCGAAATTTGTGCTTCTGTCCGTCACGGTGAGCGACTATCGGAATGTCGGAGCCAATTCTATCCTCTGATTCTCGACTGGGGTCTTTCCTCAGATGTGAACCTGTGTGTGGATGATAGGGCGCGAAAGGGGCATCCCCTGAATTCGAGGGATCTTGTGTCTGGGGGTTCTCGGCCTTGAACTTCGGAAGGCTATCTTCTCTTTTGCGCTTCGCAACCCGGGAGGGAGAAGGTTGTGGTGATTTGATAGGACCGTCGCTCGAAGAGGAGGGTCCTTTGTAACTTAATAATCTGCGACTTGCTCGCACTTTGCGCCCAGAAGCTGTGGTCGAATCCATGTTAGCAATGACCGAGAGCAATTGATTGAAGAAATGAATTGGGGAAGAGTGAAAACATACCGAACTGGTGAAAAAAAGACGAGAAATTTTAATGATAAATCGCGGAAAGGAAGGAGCGGATGGGGGTCCAATACAGTGGTGTGTGGGGAAGGCGCGACGATATAAACTCTCAGCGGAGGTAATCGCGTCGGATTGACACAGGATAAGGATTACGTAAAATCACGTGATTGATTCTTCAAGAGAGGACTAGAAAATCTACCCAAATAAACTGGACTTTGTGAGATCATTCACGGTAATGCTTGGGCCCGTATGAATGACTACAGTATTGTGGAGAAGGATTGAGCCCATGGGGAAAAGGGAGGATCGAAAATTGATCTCGAATGGCGGAATAGACGAGCCAGATTTGGTGTGACGGAAAGAGTCTACTTAGTATTTATACGCTTTGAACTGCTATCTCTATATGTGAAATGCATTTTAGAGATACCTCATTTAAAATTGGGCTTCAAGTCCGGTAGCGTTGATATTGACAACGCATGAACGGGAACTGAGAGACACTGTCAAGCGGCCAACTGACCGCCCTTTCATTGAGTGGCGATCGCTCTTGAATGCTTGTGATAAAGTCTTGCCTCAAGACCATAATGATATACATCTGTTGTACAAGTTGATGTTTGCGATCTCCCGATATTCTAACATAAATTCGTGGGTCTTTCAGTGGTCACTGCGTCGGTATTAGATTTCTTCCTCAGTCCCATCTAACACAGCATCAGCGAAGTCCTACAGAGCATCCCAATGTAAAGACAACATACCCAGTATCCTTTTGTCTAACCAGATCATTTCTTCGGCCTCCTTGCTTTCCCTATTGCGAGGTTAGTCGGGCTCTGACTTAACTCCATGAAGGTGGAAGAAGTTGGTCAGTCCTACCGATTTACCACCTTCCACCACTAACCGATCCAACTGGAAGAACTGACTGACAACAGCTTGCCTCTGTCGTAAAGAATCAGCCATATTCTGCTAGTTTTTTCTCACAAAATTGTGCCGTTGAAGATGTCACTGCCTCAAGACAGAGGTACCAGAAGAACCACATCCTCCAATGACTCCTCTGCGTACCTTCATCGATTGCAATTCCTTCAGCCCCTTTTGCATCAACTCCTGAATCTCTCTCGGGTCTTGCACATCCTTATGCTCTCTGAACGCATCTCTCGTCCTTCGTTTGGCATACTCTCTGAAGTTGTATGCAGCGAATTGTTCACCTTGTCGTAAGAGCTGACGATACTAGCATTGCCACACAGTTAGCACAGCTCTAAACGATATTCTTCCGCCGAGTTCCTCCTCCTGCCAGCAAGTAATTCGGGATCTCTGAACTTGGAGAGACTGTGGCAAAGGAGAGAGGAGAGCTGCCTAGGAGAGGCCTACCAGTGATCTCGCCTGCTGTGCTGTCTCCCCCTTTGCTCCAGATACCACAGACATGTTAGCAAGGCCTGGTGGTGGTGCTTGCAAGAAGCATGTGTTCTGAGAAGTTGATCCCAAGCTGGCCAAAAATCGATGTCACTTGTGGCTAGCCTCCCGTTTTCTCGGCTTCTGGAAATTTAAGCTCCGGCCCCAACTGATAAGATAGGCGTATTCGTAACGCCGAAGCACGTGACGCTCTTCTTCAGTGCCTTGTCTTGAAGGCGTTTTCCTGCAGAAAGAAATCGCTGCAACGCTGCATGAACAAGGGCTGGACTCCTTTAGGCAAATCTTGCCTGTTCCATGATCGAACTGGCACTGCTTAGTAGGTAGGCTGTCCGTCCAGCAACTTCCTCCATCTTATCAATCAATCAATCCTCTTCTGTGTTCAGTAAACACCGGCCACGCCACAAGATCACCTCGATGGTCCTTTTGTTCATGTGGGAGCAAAGCTGCTCCAAAGAACTTTCTTCGTGAGTTCCATGCACCTCTTCCCGCCATATTAGAAATCATCCGCGGAGGCACTGCGGCAGACGGCGTTGTATCATTATGTGCAGAGGGGCCGATCAGTAGCCACACTAGATCAGGGGCTGGGTGCTTTAGAGATGACACCATCGCTGCTGATAGTTTTTTTGCCGGCCCGCCTTCGGAGCCGGATAACAAAGGCCCATCCTCCTGGTCCTGGGTGAATATCTACTTCCTATCCTTTCTCTTCCGTCCGCTTTTTATTCTTCAATTGCTCTCCGGATCTCTCCTCTCATCTCAAATCCGTAAACATGGCAAACCCTCCACATGGCGGAGAACTGAAGTAAGCTTACAGTGCTCTTGGAATTGTACCGGAATCTAACAGTCAACAGAGATCTCCTTGCACGAGACCAACCGCGACATGCACAGCTCGCTGCAGAGGCCGAGAAGCTTCCAGCCATCGTCCTGACTGAGAGACAGCTCTGCGACTTGGAATTGCTGCTGAGTGGTGGATTCTCTCCCCTTGAAGGTACGCTTGCTTTTTCATGGTGGGGCAGATTTACCCCACATCTCAAACCGACGCGTAACTTGAGACGCAGCAACTGACAATCTATATTAGGATTCATGAGCCAGAAGGATTACGATGGGTACGAGTGGCATCGAGAGTGCGCGAAGTCTTGACTGATATTTACCTAGCGTCGTTGAGAACAATCGCTTGGCAGATGGCAACCTCTTCTCTATGCCAATTACCCTTGACATCTCGAAGGCACATATTGAGGATATCGGTGTGAAGGTTGGAGGCAGAGTCACTCTTCGGGATTTCCGTGATGACCGAAACCTGGCCATTATCACTGTGGAGGATATTTACCAGCCGGACAAGTAGGCGATTCCGATCTGTGAGGGTACAAAGTCTTACACTCTGCAGGAAGAAGGAAGCTAAGGAGGTTTTTGGCGGAGATGAGGAACACCCAGCTGTGAAGTATCTCTTCAATACAGCTCGGGAGTACTATATCGGAGGAAAGTTGGATGCAATTAACCGATTGGAGCATTATGATTATGTCGCACTCAGATGTGAGTGTCGGTGCAAGCTTACCCGACCAACAATCACTGACTTCTGTCCAGATACTCCTGCCGAGCTCCGACTTCACTTTGACAAGCTCGGGTGGTCAAAGGTCGTTGCCTTCCAGACCCGAAATCCCATGCACCGAGCCCACCGAGAGTTGACTGTTCGTGCTGCTCGTGCCCGCCAGGCCAATGTCCTCATCCACCCTGTTGTCGGTCTTACAAAGCCTGGAGATATCGACCATTTCACCCGAGTCCGTGTGTACCAAGCACTTCTCCCGAGATACCCCAATGGCATGGCTGTTCTCGGCCTCCTGCCTCTGGCAATGCGAATGGGCGGTCCTCGTGAAGCTATCTGGCACGCCATTATCCGCAAAAACTTCGGTGCAACCCATTTCATCGTTGGCCGTGATCACGCAGGCCCAGGAAAGAATAGCAAAGGCGAGGAGTTCTACGGTCCATACGATGCACAACACGCAGTTGAGAAGTACAAATCTGAGCTTGGTATCGAAGTCGTCCCCTTCCAGATGATGACATACCTCCCAGACAGTGACGAGTATCGCCCTAAGGATGAGGTCCCAGCTGGTGTCCGCACTCTTGATATCTCCGGTACTGAACTTCGCAGCCGTCTCCGAAACGGTCGTGAGATCCCCGAATGGTTCTCGTATCCAGAGGTCGTTCGTGTCTTGAGAGAATCTCACCCGCCCCGTTCTGCTCAAGGTTTCACTGTATTTCTTACCGGCTACCAGAACAGCGGAAAGGATGCTATTGCTCGAGCTCTTCACGTCACGTTGAACCAGCAAGGTGGCCGATCCGTCTCTCTCCTCCTCGGCGAGACAGTTCGTGCAGAGCTCTCTTCTGAACTCGGCTTCAGCCGCGCTGATCGAACCCGCAACATTGGCCGTATCGCCTTCGTTGCCTCCGAACTCACCCGAGCTCGTGCAGCAGTCATTGCCGCTCCGATTGCTCCTTATGAAGACGCCAGACAACACGCAAGAGAGATAGTTGAGAAATACGGTGATTTCTATCTCGTCCACGTCGCCACTTCCCTCGAGCACGCTGAACGCACCGACAAGAGAGGTATATACGCCAAGGCTAGAAACGGAGAGATTAAGGGCTTCACTGGTGTCGATGATCCCTATGAGATTCCCAGAAAGGCCGACTTGACAGTTGATATCGAGAAGACTAGCGTCCGAAGTGCTGTTCATCAGATCGTTCTCATGCTGGAATCTCAAGGCCTTCTCGATCGTTTGTGATTTCTTTACATTTTGCCTTTTTCTGGTATGAAAGAACCTTTGGGAGATGGACTGGCGTTATTGAAAAGTTTAGATTGTGTGGCATGGTGGCATTTCCAAGCTTTCTGCATTCTCGTTGCGTGCATGATGAGACATAGACAGATGCATGGTCATAAAATAGTTCACGTCTTACGATTGAAGGACCCCTAGCCCCCAGCGCCTGAGAATTGAACAAGGATGCCATACTCCTGCGAGTATGCATTTCTGCTATACGCCTGGTGGTCATGCGTTGTAGTTGATCTTTTACATAATGGACGTACGTGCTTGAAACTAAACCCACATCAAAAGTCGAATTATGTGGCATAACACAGGCAGGAGAGGAGGAGGTTCCAATAGTGGATTGATACCAAAGCCAGCCCCTTCCCAACTGCTAAAAGCCCCTACGCATTCTCGTTGGGTAGCCCCAAAGATTCAAAGAGGCTTTCTCTGCCATTGCATCGCCCCGCCCTGTCGTTGTCAACTTGTCAATCACTGTCAACCTCGTTTCCATTGTCATTTCGTCCTTTCCCCATTGAAGTCTCCTTACGCAACTCAAGCTGTCCATTCTATTTGAGACTGCAACGCGAACGATATTTCCGTTCCAAGCATTTCCATGCAATCATGATCCATAATGTGCTTTCGAAAGCCTATCTGACAGTGATCGAGTTATCGCGTCGCAATTTACTCTTGAGAAGTGCGTCTTCTCTGAGTAGAGAGAGCGGCATTATAACACGGTATCGCTGATGCCCTTGGTCAAAGATGATTGGATGCCATACTTCCATTTTGAGTTGCTTCGCCGTTTCGAATGCCTTCTCTTTTTAAATAGATCACGACTACGGTGTCGACAAATAAGAGGCACATATATTGGGGTGCTTCCCACAAGTTGAGTAAGCCAATTCAAATACGAGGAAATACACCAGATGGTGTCTCAGAGGAAGACTGGATCAAGGCCTACAAAGGTCTCCATTCAAAGATTTATATGGCTGCCCCCTCACCCACCTTTCAACTCTCCTTCGGTCAATCAAGCCAGGTCCCACTACTTCTTCGTCCTCTCCTTCATCCGATCGATCCGCTTCGGCCCAAGCACCGGCGGAAAATAAGTGACAGCAGTGAGTGTTCTGACAAAAATATTGGACTGGGAATTTCTTTGTTGCTCGAACATTCAGAGAAAGGAGATGAGACTCGCATTGGTTATCTCCCCAAAGCCTCGTGAAGATGTCTGCTGTAAAACTACTCGAGTGATTCCTTGCGAGACATCTCGAGATCGTGCTTTGCCACCGGTCGGTACCTCTAGTCTCAGCTTGTTTGTGCCTTAGAAATCTCTGACTATATCCTATATGACTCGAGAATTATGAGAACGGACATCTCTGAAACAGTGATGTAGTGTGCTTCTCTACTTCGTATAGGGTCTCGATACTTTTCCGAAGAACCACCGTCGCAGATAACTTAGGTATTGTCGAGCAAGCAAAGAGCCAACCGAACAATGGGTAAGTTGGTCATTCCAAAGACCGATTAAATTGAAAGTGCTGTTGATGGAACACAAGAGCTGAACATGGGAAAAGAACAACCAAAATTCACTAGTTAGGAGGAAGTCAACCCAAATTTCTTTCATCCTTCTTTATGATCCACCATTCTCATCATTTCTCCCAGAAGATACCCCTCACCGTATTCACTTCACACTACACCAAAAACCAATATGTGTCGGCAATACCAGTATCTATTTGCTGAATGCGGCCATGTCGAAACCTCAGACCACTGGAACTTTCGTTGCTCCCACCCAGGAACCTGTCGAACAGAAACAGTGGTCACCGGATGCCCACAGCATTGCTTCCAATCCTTCAAAGAGATCAGATGCCCGAAAGGCAAGGAGATGTCTACCCTCGCTGCCCAAACCCTGCCAAAGCTGCAACAAGATTTGAGCAAATCCTCAGCCATCATGAACAACATCCTGACGGACCACAAAGCTTTGACAAAGCGGATATTCGATATCTGAGCAGCGTGAATGGGCGACTCGGCGATGATGATCGACGCTATCTTAAACAACTTGATGAGATTTTGGATGCTGCGCTCTGGAAAGAGAAAGAGCAGGTCCAAGACCATCGGACCATGAAAGACAAACGAAACCTTGTTCTTCAGCTGCGATACGCGCATCTCACTGCTCTAGCGCATAAGCGGGAAGTCCTCAGGCGCAGTGTTGAGAAAGCTACGGAAGCCGATATTCAATTTCGCCTTCAATGTTCTGGCAGAATCAAGGCACTCCTAAAGGACGTCAAAGACGAGGAATTAGCCGAGGACGATTCAGAATGCCCCATCTGCTACCAATTACTACAAAATAATGCTTTGCCTGGAGACGCCCCAGTTGGACTTCCTTGCGGCCATGTATTCTGTCGAGAATGTGCGATGGCCTGGCTTTACAAGGATCCTGGAACCTGCCCAACTTGCAGAGCGGATTTTAACCTTGGCCGCGATGCAACCATCGATTTTGTAGCAATCATGACTCCAGTCGTAAATGCTACTACAATTGATTTATTAGACCCGCCAACTCCGTGGTGGATTACGATATTAGGCTAAGTGCGTTGCGAGTGAAGGCTGCCACAGGGAGCTGCTCAAGTGATGCAGTACGGTTATGGGCCTAGAGAATAGGTAGGCAGATAAAGAGACAAAGAGATAGCAATATAGAATCACATCAACAGAGGAATAAGGTGTGCAAAACAATGCAATGTGAGAACCCGTGAACTGACAAATTGATTTGAGGCTGCGGTAAAACCTAGAAAACTCAATACCCGTGATTCAAGTCACCATATTGGTCGGTTCTCGCGACTTGTCGAGGGTTGAGGTAATTGTATCCCTCGCTTAACTTAGCGAACCCCTATTGTGCATATCCCTTATTTTCTAACCAATACCGTCAAACACCAGACAACACCACAATGGCAGACTAAAATAATGTATCCGTCTTAGCTGTAATCTCGCTATATAATTCAAATTTCTCCCCTTTCATTCGAACCTTTCCTTCTTTTCTCTCCAAGCAAGGCAATCCTACAACCACGACTTTGGTCCGTCAACCCACACAAGCAAGCTTTCGTCACTCAAGTGATACACAATCTATCCTGGCCCTTCATTATAGTGTTGTACAGCAATCCGTTTTCGATGAAGAATAGAACACCTGGCCGAAAGCACTGAGTCTGGAAAGTGCGTCGGGAGCAATGTTTGTCTTCCCAGGAATGTGGTGAACTTCTAAGCTGAACTGGGACAGGTATTGCGATGCATGATGTAGGCGCATGTTTGCTCGGTTAGCATCGGATGTTACGAGCGTAACTTGATTGCATACTCCACGGGTGGCGGAGATCGACAGGATCCTATCGTATGCATTATCAGTATTGGCACCGGTAAAACCAACGTCACTGAATTCAAGGCTCCGGGATTCTTCCAGAAGACATTGCCAACGGAACTCATCTATGCGCCGAGAAATATGGCCACTGACTGCGAGACAGTCGAAGGGGAGATTAATCAAAGGTTTTCTGCAAATCCTGGCATCTACTTTCGTTTCAATGTGGAGCACGGCCTGGAGAATGTTTCGGTAGAAGAATGAGAGGAACTTGGAAATATCAAAGCAAAGACGATTGCATATCTTGGAGACGCTCGCTACCACTTACAAATTCTCATCTAATCTCTTTTGGGTTTGATCCTCTGACAATCACTTCTCTCATATCATCTCACCGCTTCCCCCATCCGATGACAACGTAGCGCCAACTCCGCTCGTTCTCTCAACCGATCATCAAAACATTCGCCGACGCCGGGATCAAAGACCAGTTGAAAGACTTCGACCCATCCCTCTCCGCCGAGTCCTGGACACCACTGCCAACCCGCCGCAACTCTCGTCCCGCCAACGTCCGTCCAACAGAGGGAGACAAACAAGCCGCCGTACCAGCTTACGCCAACCGGGCCCTGCGAGCCAACTGCGCACCTCGATTAGGAGGAATCTGGGTTGTGATGAGCAGCGAGGTGCGGGAGGAGATGTGCGCGGAGGAGAGGGAATGAAAGGCCAGACGGGCGGTGAGACTTCGAGCAGAACGGAAGAGGGGGTTGGGACGAGAGAGGAAGAAGCGAGCGTCTTGGGAGGGAGCAAAGGGAAGGTGGTTAGGGCGGGAGAGGTGGTTAGGGCGGGAGAGGTGGTTAGGGCGGGAGAGGTGGTTAGGGCGGGAGAGGTGGTTAGGGCGGGAGAGGTGGTGACGGATGTTAACAGAGTAAGGTGGAAGGTAGAGGGACGATTCAAGCCGAGGGACGTAGGGGTTGTTTTCTGGTTGCGAAGGTTTCGTTCAGCGTTTGCTGTGATAGAGATGATACCAATGAATTTTGTTTCTGACTTCTCCAAATTGTCTTAAAAGTGTTGTGACAAATGCCGCGACTTTGGGGATGAATAGGAGAGCCCACGGGAAAATCAATACTAGTACGGGACTTTGCCTTCGTCTCTCCTCTGGCCATGGCCAATAATTATGACATCTAATCGGGCGAGTTCAGGATGTTGTAGTTTTAGAGGAAATGATGAGTCTAGCATTGACTTCTCCATACATGACACCGTGTTTGTATGTCGTCTCAGCCGCTTCTAGAAATTGGTTTTATTTCCTTCTGGAGACATAAAACCCACTCAATTCTTGTTTATCGGCAGAAAGAAGGAATTTTAGCCCATGATGAAGCCCGCTATTCTGGTCTCCCTTCAGGGGGACAAATACTTTCACCTTTGCTGTCGGCCGCATATTCACAAAACAACACATAACTATTTCCCATCTGCACTCCGATGGAGAATAGCTCGAACACTTGCGAAGCCCTCTTCAGTAGTGAGATTACAAAAACATACACCAAAGGTCAACCAATATTTACACCGCAGCAAACCAAACCTAATCCTCCTCACATCCATTCCCCAGTATTCAGATAGCGTAGAATCTGCGTACCTCTTACGCTGGACGCAGGATCCGGTTCATCGACGACATGCCGGAGGACGTCGAGGCCACCTCTGGGGTGGGGTACGTGAGGTAACCCAGTGGATCGGTCATCGATTGGTGCTGTAGGGATGAGAAGATGATTATTTGGACCGATTTGGTAAAGGGGAGATCTATACCTGTGGTTTTGAAGTTAGCATTACTTGACCTGGGGGAATACAAGGTATTGAAGCAATATTCGAATCGTCCTCGAGTCAGAATACATGCTTAGAGAGTTGAAAGGATTCATGAAGTTTCTGAAAGACGAGGTTTGCAGTAAAGAAATACACTTACTCGGCCGATCTCCTGTATTCAAGTACCGAAGGATCAATCCTTTTTGGCATATGTTCCGTGTAACGCCAATCTGGCGGATCACGAACTGTAGGTTCGAGTGGCCTGTATGCTCCATCTTCCTCAAGAAGTAGGAATATCTGCCGGGCGTTGTGATCACCACGAGCAAGGGTCAGCCTGCGTCTGTTCAGCATCACGGCATCGAACACCACGATGAGCTCTATTGCGAACGCGTCGGCGACCATCTGCCACAGCTCAGGTGTCACGTCATGGATGGGAGATGGGACGCCTGGTGCGTCCGGATTTAGTTGTGCTTGAAGACTAGGAGCACCACGAGCTTGAACAGCTCTATTTAAATCGAAATAAAGCGAATCCCGCGGATGAAGCGCCATCCCAGGTGGACGTGGAGCTCCCACATGGGTGAAATATTGATTCACAGCCGCTTTCGTCTCTGCCCCTATGAAGATTCATCAAGTGAAGAATTGGGCGGACCTGTTTCTGAACTTACATTTCAGATGATGTCCTCCCAGTGCCGAGTTAAGGCTCAACCAAAAGGAATTGGCCCTCTTCCTACAGGAAATGCCCATTGGAGGGAATGAAAAGCTAACCGAAGTACCCTTGACATTGCTTATTTCGGGATTCCATCTGCCCCAAGAAATTCCACCATTAGATAGGAACCTGTCAGCGAGAGGTGGCGGATCACGTGGCCATGGTCTTAGGATCGCTGGGCATGGTGCGGCAAAACCACCTGGAGCAATATTGGCGTTGTACGCATTATTTAGTGCTGGAGTAGAGATTAAGGCCCATGCTGCATTGACGACTCCACATGGTATCAATAAAATTTATCTTTCCAGCAGGATCGACTGAAACTTACAACCTAGAGCTGCGGCTTTTCTTGGACCACAAATACAACCTGATGGCGAAACCGGTCCCAGTTCCACCAGGAGAGCAGCGTAGTTAGTTGCGTGATCTCCATGTGGCTTATACGCTGGCAGCTGGAGAGTATCGTAGACTGTGGCGCTCGGGTATACTGGCACATTGAAGTCTTCAACTGCTTCGATAACGAAATGTGTGACTTGGGCACCCGGCACTACACAAAACGGTATCGCTGCCATTTTGAAAAGCTGCCGTTGAGATTGAATGATAGTAACACAATATGAACCATCTTTTGTTACCTGCGGGCATGCTAGGAATATCAATGTGTCTATGAACAAAGGCCATTGCCCAGATAATGCTGAGATCTCATTTGACAACAGAACAATAAAGAGCAATCATATCGGGTGAAAACGCAAACGGACTCTACAGAGCAACTGAGCATTGACTAGCAAAGTGCTAGAATCATGAAAATTGCTATCTCATCAGTGCTCAAAGAGACAGCAAGCCACTTGTTGATTGTGATCCGCGGACAAAGGAAGTCATTCAAGTGCTCACAAGCTGGGGTCCCGCATATGGGCAACGCCGATAAAGAGATACCAAGAGAGTATGGGAATGTAAAGAGAGGAGATTAGGGATCCCTCGAGTGGTTACTAAAGTCAAAAAGTTTAAGTTCTGGATTCTGAGATTGAAGGTACGTCTTGCCCGGATGTTTAACAGCGGCCGAGTAGGTGTTTTATAGACTTCGACCATGTTCCCCATTCCAACAGGCCCAGCTTTAGCAGTTTGATTCTTGCAATTCGATATTCTCTCTTGAGCATGGCCTCAATGCAGGGGTGGTCCAGCGTCTTCAAGGATGAATAACCAGATCTTCCAGCCGCGCTTTGACCTATTGATACGAAATTGATGATGACAAAGTACACCTACATAGGGAAGAATTGAACCACCCGTTATGGAGGATTTGGAGACGCTAGGCTGCACAGCCCTGTGGGTCATTTGCCGCGCGTATTTGGGCTCGACCGCAGTTCCCGAGTCTGTAGGCAGCATATATCTGGAGCTCACCGCTCTCCATCAATGGCCGATTTTGCTTGCTTCGAAGGCTCATTGAGAGAGAGAGATCTGGCACCGAAATTTGAGAATGGAAGGAATTGACGGCCACAGTGCAGCTTGCTGCAACATTCCACCAGTCATCTCTAAGGGCTATGAGCCGAAAGGGAGGTACGAGACACTCGGTGGTCTAAAGACATGTCAGATCGGAAACTTCAACCCCACTCTCCTGACCAATTTTCTGACGCTTTGACAGATGTTACCGGGTCAGTTTCTGCAAAGAAGGCCATTCTCGTCATCTATGACATCTTTGGCTTCTTTCCTCAGACTATCCAGGGTGCCGACATCCTAGCAGCGTCGGAGGAATATCAAGTCTTCATGCCAGACTTCTTTGAAGGCCAGCCAGCTGATATCGCTTGGTATCTTTGCCGACTCCGTTACGGAACGTAAACACTAAAATCTGGCAGGTATCCACCAGTAACAGAGGAGCAGAAAAGCGCTCTTTACACTTGGTTTCCCTCACGCGTACCCGAGACAGGGGTAGCCAAGATCCCCAAAGTACTTACAGAAGTGGAGTCGGTGTATGAAAAGAAAGACTGGGCTGCTCTCGGCGTATGACTCGCTCGTCCCCGTTTACATCGCCGCTAAAGTTCAAATAGTTCTGCTGGGGCGGCAAAGTTGTTGCTTTGACATCTGGAACTGATACTCGATGGAAGGTCAGCGCACAGAGCCATCCGGGCATGCTTGACGCGGCAGATGGTGCTAAAGTCACCATTCCCATGTGTGTTCTGGGCTCTGAAGAAGAAAAGGCCGAGGATCTTGTGGCTTTTGGAGATGCCCTGAAGGTGGAGAAACACATCGAGAGATTCGATGATCAGTTGCATGGATGGATGTCTGCAAGAGCCGATTTGGAGAATGAGAAGGTTAGGAAGGAGTACGAAAGAGGATATAAGACGGTGCTGGAGTTCTTTGGAAAGCACTTTTGACGGAGACTGCGAGTATTAGCTGGTTTTGCACCCAATTCAAAATGGTGAAGCTCATCGGTAGCGGTAGAGAAGACCATTATGTCGTTGAACTGAAGTGCCAATTGCTAGTGATCAAAACGAGAAGATGGATCAGCAAGACTTCCAATGGCTAGACCTTATGAACCACCAACAGTTGAAGTTCTAAACCTTTGCCGTTGCCTGCAATACAATTTGAGGTGGTGCCAGCATTCCTGGTTAGATTGTTTGCAGCACTTCAAACAAGGAGATGCATCCAAGCGCTTACGATGCTGCAGGTAAACAAAATGCAACTGACGTGGTGCCATAGAGAAATGATAATGGGTGTTGGCAGAAAAAATTGTTGGTGGATGCCCAGCCTCCTCCGTCTTTTAGCCCACGAATACTATTTTTGGCTTCCCGTCGGTAACCTTGCCAACTTTTGCTCGACATACCCCAGAGCTCCAAACCGTGCGACACAAGACTGCGGGTCCTTTCCTCGAGTTCAATATGTCTTTCCCTCCTGCTGTATAGATATTCATTTCACGAACGTCATCGCAAGCAACTGCTACGAGTGAATCTGATTGGACTTGCTCTGACCCGTCGCCAAAGGCGAGACCTCGCGCCAATTGCACTGCGACACACGACTCCGACTCCAACGATCCACCACCTTGCACAACAACGACCACCTTGCTCTCTCTTGCTCTATTTTCGAGACCGATGCTATCTACAGCTATTTGCGTTGCTGCCCGAACCTTGAGCCCACCGCTGTAAAGGTTGCCTCCAGATGTCACATCAGCCAACAGGCTTGCCCGTTAGCCGCCAGCGCGATCTGAGCTGACTGGACACCAACAATGGCTTATCGAGATCGCGACAATGAGGTCGAAGAGAGACCGAGCGAGAGACGACACCGCACAAAAAGTGAGAAGGATCCAAATCGTCCTCACAAATCCTCCCGGAGCTCCAAGCCGAAGGTGATCGACCCAGAGACAGGCGAAGCTATCAAATCACCACATCGACGTCGCAAGGACAGGGACAAGGACAAGGACAGAGATAAAGAATCTGAGCAGTCCAAGTCAATGGCCGATCTTGTTCCAGAACTGGCACGAACAGCTTCTGCTCCTGGCGAGACCTCAAGAAGCAACCTCCCATACCCAAGCTTCAACAAGAATTACAGCAAGGAAGCGGTCAACAGCAGAGACGATATCAGGCTGCCTCCTAAGTCCAAATCCAACCCATACACGCCAGAATCAACAGATCTAGGCTCGGACGGAAAGGCACGGTCGAAATCAGCCGATCATTTCACCCCTCCACGATCTTCTAATATCCCCAAAGATGACAGGCCACCAAGTCCACCCGAGACGGAGTTCTCCCAACAGAGAAAGGGGGCCCCGACCCGAATGACAAAAGTTCAGGAGGATGAGGAGGAAAACACCAGATCAAGCTCGAGGAATTCGTGGTTTGGAAGAACCACGAAGGAGTCCAAAGTTTCTGTCAAGTCTAAGGGGTCAAAGGCTAGCACGATCAAATCACCTAGATCCAAGGACACCAGTGTTTTCACCGAGGAAAGTCGCGATTCCGCTGGATCAAATGTCACATCCGTGGCCCCGAACCAAGATTCGATAGAAACTCCTGGCGAACGACCAGCACTGGATACCGATTCGTCTCCAGCCTCAGCACAAGACTCATCGCCGAGGACTCCCACTCAAACACCGGGGTTTCCTCCCTCGTCTATCCCAGATCTGAAGCCAGCCCCATCACCTTTCATCCACTTCGAAGGCACGGAGGCAGTGTCGAGCGCGCACAACTCTCCACAACCTCCCCCACCTCCTCCACCACCCAATGTACCGATACATATCCCACGGGTAGACTATTTGATGCAGAATGGAGGTCTCCTACGTCCTGTACAGAAGACTCTACTTGGAGGTACTTCAACATTTGCTTCTCTACCAGGTTCTTCGGCAGCTACCCCCGTCCCTTCGGACATTGAGAGAATATTTGGACCATACTTCAATATTTTGGATCAGTATGAGAGTGTCATAAATAAGAATGGATCACTGGCAGTCGCGACGGGTTACAGATCAGTCGCGAGGAGATTACTCGACAGATTGGAAAATGTCTTCAACAGGGACCTCTCACCTGAAGGGTGCTTTTGTATCATGTGCCAACATTCAGATCTATCAATACACGAAGGGAGCAGAGGATTGGGGTGGGGGGAAGTTTTGGAATGGGTTAGTGGTCGACGCGAGCTCCCGGTTTGGCCAGCATTCGATTTCGCAACACTTGGCGTAAAAGCTGGAGATGATCTGGCCGGCCTCGGTATAATAGACGGTGAACCTCCAAGGCCAGGATCGCCAGTCAAGATTGATCCGGATATTGCTGAAGAGTTCCGCGAGCACTTCCTCCAACAGTCAAAGAAGACTAAGAAAGCTGTAAACCAATGGCTTTCGAGTTGTCCCCAAACGGCTGCCACTCCTCCGCAAGAAGTTGACGACGAAACACTGTCCTTTGCAATCCTAACTCACCTGGAACAAAACCTTCGACCAGTCTTCAACGCTTTGGTTTCTGGATCAACGGTCTTGCAACCAGTGTCACGAGCGCCAACTGCACCGAAGAAGCCTCGATCCGAATTCATGATTAAGACTGTTCATTCTCTGCAAAGACTTTATCGATTGCCAGGCCCTCCCCGAGACCCTGAGGCGGCGATCTATCTTCTCAAGAATCCCCACCTCCACAATCTTCTCGCAACCATGTCGAGCATCAATGCTTCCGAGTGGGAAATCCTGATCTCAGGCCGATTTGACGGTTTCTTGTGGTCTGGTGCCGAGACTGAAGGCCAGTCTGCAGATCCCTCACCCGCACCATCTCGTGGGCCCACGCCAGCGGGTGGCGTTCCGTTCCGTGGACCAATGTCGCCGGCCATGCGCCAGGCCACCGGCTCTAGAACCAACACCCCATTTTCACCGCTAAGAAACCAAACCTTTTCTCCTCCCCTTAGCTATCCTTCTCGAGGCCCCACTCCTTCTCAACAACTTCGGCAACCTGTCTCGAATGACGAGGAAACAGAGATTGCCGTCTTGGCTGAAATTGAGCGAGAGATTTATCTTGGCATGGAAGCATTGGAGGATGCCTTTGAAGGATTGCATCGAAAGGCCGAGTTGGTTCGGAGAGCGCTTCGGGAGCGTGGTGCTGGACTTTCAATGTCACTTCAGTCGAGAAGAACAACCTATCCGGATATCCTCAGTGCGAGCACACCGGGTCTGCCATCGGCGGGCCTAGGTCCTGGCTACGAGAGACCCAGCTGGGGTGAAGGAAGTGAGGCAACCAGTGAGAGTGAATGGGACCCAGGAGAGGAGCTTATGAGCGAGTTGGCGCCGGATGATTCAGCTAGCAACATCAGCAGTTCGAGACACAGGAGGCCAAAAAGGCGACATGAACGACGAACCCCGGCTTTGGTTGAAGAGGAAGACGAGGATTAAGATCACGTTCACCGTGCGCAGGCATGTTCACTTGATATGGAACCAACGTCGTGATTGCTTTACGAAATGACATTTGATGGCAACAAACTGATATGGGAAGCAACTCGGCAAGGCGGCATCAATGGGGCGAGTTTGTGATTCTTTGAGGATAGATTGATACCATGGGTATCGAATACTTTGTAAATGAACTTCCCTTGGGTGGAGTTTTGCATTGTCAGGAGTTTCATGAGCATAGCGATCGCGATGATCGCTGGATATTTCCGATCATACGCATACGAAGTACCTAGGGGGGTTTCAGGAGTGAAAGAGTGCTTTTCAGGTAGAGAATCAATTGAGTGACTACTTCTCGAAAGCTCCTTGAAGTTTTCGAACAAAATGACTTGTAGTTTGTCTCGGACTCCGTTTCACCCTAGAAACGTAAGCAGAAGCAGATAGCTCTTCCTAAACACGCTCTCCTGTGTAGAACAAAGCCACATGACTAATACATACATCCCGGTTGGAGTTGAGGCAAAGTGGCCCGGACCGTTTTACATGTGAGAGACCGGATAGGATGCAAGCAGGCAGTAGTTACTCTGCGTCGGTGTGGAAGCGCGGGAAGCCTGCGGTTAGCAGCATCTGAAGTGAAGGTTTGTGCGCCGTGGCGGCTCCAAAGCATACATACAGTACTTGTATTGGGGAACGTCAGCCGTCAAAATAAACTCTCGTCATAGCTCTCCCCTTTCAAACCTTTGCCACCCTGATTCAGATCAGAGGAAAGGCGGGGCTTCCGAGCATCCCGTTGACGATGGGACCGTTGATCGTCGCATTCCAGCCATAGGCCGTTTGATGGTGCTTCATGAAACGTTGGCGCTGCTGACCCCACCAACCAGACACAGCCACAATGCCATCTCGCCAACCAGCTCATGCCATCCAGTTTGCCACACGTTTCCAGATCGGAAAACAGGCTAAACAGCGCATGCTTCTCCCCACAATTGTTCTCTTTGGCTGGGTCATTATGCATTATTAAGTGGGCCCTGGCGGCAGAGCTTCCCGAATAGGCAAGCCCATAACCTGAGCAATCCTCGTATACAAGTTACTTTTTTTTACAGACTGTAACTTCGACATTTTCTTCTAGAATAATACCTTTATTCGCATGAGCCTAGTATAACTCTGGTATAAAAGTAGTATGAAATTGTGCATTATATACTTAGCTAGATGATCATTATATAATTAAGGCTAGACCATTGTTATTTGATTCAATTATTAAATTTTGCGAGTCTCTATTCTGGAGAGCCTTGGTACAAGCTCTCACCTATTTTTAGGGAGACTTCATCTGGCCTGAAAGCCAAGAGCAAGAGCTTCTTGTCCGTGGCTTTGATAGAGACGTGAAACGCAGAGCTGTGTCGAATAGACCTCTCTCTCACTCGCCCAAAGATCTGATTTTCGATATTTTACCCAGCAACCAAAGTTCTCTTTGTTCTGTCTGATCGTGCGCTTCGACCTATTGAAAGACTTTACCCGGACTGACAGAAAGGGTGCCTTGGTCCGCAGCCGCGGCGCAGCTTTCTCTCCCCCATATACACGAGCACATCTCCTGAGCACCTGCATCCTTTTCTTTTCTCTTGACTAGATCTCCCGAGGAACTACGCTCGTTCAATTCCTTCCACCTTCTTTCATTCTTTTGTCCGCGCACAACCTCGAACAGCAATTCAGCATTATTCTGTCGTTAGCTGGAAGGGGCTTCAGGCATTTCAACATGGGCATCCGAATCATCCAAGGTATTACATCATTCTGTGCCTCTTGGCCCCAGAAACTGACATGTCTGCTAGTTTGCGGCCTTTGGTTTTGGGTAGCAGCAATATTCTTCATCTTCGTCGTCCTCAACCAGTATCCCACGCTCCAACACATCGTAACTGATCGCCCCGCATCCGCGAGCCATGCCGCTGCCGCCCCCGCAAACGGTGGCCCTCTAACGGCACGCCAACGCCTGGCCCGCGCAGAAAACGCCTGGCGCTCCAGTGTTGGTCTCCGGCACAAAATGGCCCTCGAACACCCTAAACATCCGAAAATCCCCTTCTTCCCAGCGCAACAGCTATCGGACTTCGGGAAGTACCCATACACGCTCTGGGACTTTTTCCCAGCTACCTATACCTGCCCACACGACATCCAGCGAGTCGGACGTTTGGGAGATGGCGGGAAATGGGTATGCGGCATGTCGCTGTACGAGGCGAGGAAGAGCCCAGAAACTATCATATACAGCTTTGGGGTGAACGATGAATCGACCTTTGAGGCAGAGATGCTGGCCCGGATTCCCACCGCGCAGATCTACGCGTACGACTTTTCGGTCACGAAGTTCGGCCCGCAGCTCCCAGCTTCCTATCTCTCCCGAGCACACTTCAAGCAAGTCGGTCTCGGGGAGAAGGACCAGCTTGACCGCGAGCCGCAATTCTTGACCCTCAAATCCCTGATGGACGAGAATAAACATACCTATATGGATATTCTGAAGATCGATATTGAAGGATCGGAGTACGCGGCTTTCGACGCGTTCATGGATAGCCTTGAGGTAGCTGGGACTACGACCTTACCGATAGGACAGGTTATGATTGAGCTGCATTTGATGGATGACGAGAATGTGAATTTTGATAGATTCACGAAGTGGTGGGAACGCCTTGAGAGCTTTGGCATGCGCCCGACCTGGTTGGAGATTAACTTGTTGGCTGTGACATTGGGGCAGGGGAAGACAGACCCGAGGTGTGTGGAGTATGTTTGGATAAATTCGAAGGATGAGAAGAGCATTTTGTTGCAGGAGGTTTAATAAATATATGGAATCATGAAATGGCGTTTAGGGGGAGGATGGGTAATATTCTTCTCAAAGTACAGTACCAATTTGAAAGCATTTTTGGTCGTCTTGGTCTTTCATCAAGAATTCGTATGGAAGCTCCAACCTCAACTTTCTTGAACCAAGGGTTCCGCCAAGTCCAAGTCTTGGAGACAATGTTGATGGAGCGATGTTCGAACTGCTTGTGCTTGAGTAAGGTTCCTTTATGCGAGTTCCCAAGACACTCGCTGGATTCGAGAGACTTTACTTGCCTCGCGATGGACAGAACAAGTGGCACCTTTTTCAACGTTCCAAGTTAAACTGGACAATTACAAATCTTTTCCAAATGAATTTCCCTCGAGTAGTGGCGCAGTCAAAAGCTATCCCCTTCAGATATCTCAGAAGTATAGAATATTGAGTTCTTCTCCCGTTCGAGTCCACAGATTATCCAACTTTGACTTAGGACACTGAAGATTCAACACCATTTTTTTATTCACCGCGAGCTTAGATTTATAAATTTTCCGTAAATGGATTGTGTACGGTCCATACCCTTGAGGGCTGAAGGCTATCGTGAACGACTTCTATCTTTGAGGATGTTGCGATGCCGACTTTGTGACCGGCTTCTGTCGAAGTAACTCCGACGATATCGGCTGTGTGAACGGCTCATAGTCTTGGCTCTGTCTTTCTCCATTACCCTCGCCGTCTTGAGGCGGCGACTCATAAGATTTGGCAAGTCTTATCGGTCTATTAGAAGAAATATTCTCAGGCTGTGATGGAGAGAGTCAATAAGAAAACATCAGCTGTCGATAAGCAGCGATTCCAAGCCGGACAGTTCAGCGAGAACTTACTTCGTACAAGCTGTACGTTAAGTATCCTGGTGTGACAGTGGTTGGTGGATGATAGAGAAGGATTGGGAGAAAATAACCCTGCTGGAGCGGATTCGAGTTCCTCATCACTCTCACTGTCTCCGTTACCTCCACTATCCCTGTTATCCTCGCTGTCCCCGCAACCCTCGCTATTTTCGAGACCTTCAAGGCACTGGCTTCTTGCACGGGTAGGTACTTCTCTCTGTCGCCGGGCGGCTCTTTCAGTAGCGTTCTTGCGGTATGTTACAAGGTTAGGAGCACTTACGAACTGAGCCATCCCTCCTCCTTGATTGCCCGACCTCTGGGCCATTGTTGCCATCTTCTCCCTATCAAGTTTCTCCTTCTCCATACGTGCACGATCCGCCTTGGTGATACGTGGCTTCCGAATAGTAGATCCACCTCGGAAGAAGGGTCCTGAAATTGGAAGACCATTTGGGTACGGCCATGCAGCCAGAGCCGCTACGCCACCACGACTGCTTGAACAAGCTCAAACACGGTGACCGCATTCATGACCACGCTTTTGAGCGCCATAAGCTCTATGCAAACGGTCAGTTCTATCCCGAGGAGGACCAGTGTCAGAACATTGAACATGCCTAAGATCCGAAGCAGGGTTTTTGCCCTCTGAAATATGATCGTAATTCTAAATCTTGTTGCAAATGAAAGACCGAAGACATCCTTCCGCAACATCCGCACCCTCTGGAAGTCTGCTGGGCTAGCAACATTCTTCAGATCCCTAAATTGGTGGGATCGGCCACGTTTTTGTGCTACCCTCGGCTCAATCCTGTACCCGAATTGCCGTCCTCGATAGCGAACTCTCGTCGGAGCATTTTGTTACTCCCTCCTTTAAATAAAACGTAGCGTGGCAAGGCTGGCACGGTCATTTTGGAGTAGATCATACCCTGGCCGCGCTATGTTTTATTTAGGGGGGGGGTATGGCCAGGATGCTTCTCAAAACGCTTGGTGAGTACCCTCCGTATCGTATCGAACATCTGAGCACCATGTTAACTTTATTACTAGTATTTGGAAGTGCATGCAATCCTTACATCCCAAGAATTGACCAACTCCAAAGGTATTCGAACCAAAAAACCAAGAGCATCTTCCAGAGTCACGGGATCATCCTGCCAGTGTGTGTTTAAACCCCCGAGTATTGTCTGTGCTGACAACGTGTTGCTATGAAGCAGTGCCAATACACTCTTCATGTCTACCGCGATAGAATGTACTTGTATTCTGGACATGCCTGTCAGCACGGACTATTCCAGACGAAAAGTGATATTAGAGTCTTACATATGATTGACCCCAAGCTTGGCTGTGAAGACGATCAGATCGGACGTCGCAGCCTGAGCGTCAAGTTTCTTGTGCATCAATCTCAATTGAGCAATCTGTTCCGTGGCCTGCTTGACTGACTCGTTAAGTAGATTTGACTTCCTGACCAGAGACCCATCAGTTTATGTCTATTAAAGTGATCAGACTACTCACCCCATGGCAGCGACAATCAACACAGTGATATTATCACTAGCCGAGTGTAACTTCCTCCTCAATTCCGAGATATCTTTCTTCTCCTTCAACCACACTATTTTCTTTGAGGCATCTTTAAACCAATTCCCGATCCATCCTGGCGCAAGCCGGTTCCATATTTCTTATCAACCATCAATCGGAACGCGAGGAGTCTCTTTCCAGTCTTTGACCAGGTCCTTTGTGGTCACGCACAACGCTTCTAACTCAGGGGAACCCTCGTAATTCTGCCATAATGCGGCCACCTATTCTGTTTAGAAATCAAACTCTGGACTTGCAGACGTTGCAACTCACTTGCAACAGTACGTTGCCAAACGCTTGCAATCCCTTCACGAGGCCTTGCTACTCATTCGCAGATCCTCGCCCGGACAAGGTTTGGGCAAGCGCCCAGCAGAGGCGTCCGACAGCAACGATATCCCCAACACTCCCAACTTTAGTAGACATCGGGTCCGTAGTTGAACACTGGTTAGATATCGTTTGACGATGATGTGGGCATGATGTTCTGTCAAGCATCTCAAGACGAGGCTGAGCTGGAAAGTCTGCCTATCAAAAAGCCCTGTCATGCAAGCCTTGTGTGACGCTTGGGACTGAAGCCCGCCTTGAAAAACAGCTGGGCAAGAGGACTTGAATGTATTGTCTTCACTACAAATATATGTTATGTATCTTCCTATGTCCCCTCCTCTCTCTGAATCGATAATTCGTTTCAATTTCCTCCTCAGCTCGATCGGCTCCAGCCACCAGCTGCTCCTTTGAAGTCTGCAGATCAACATTCGAGCCCTCAGTCGAATATTTATATTGATCGCTCTCCTTCTGCCTCACATGCTTGTCATATCTGGCATGCCCCTTGGCTTGGCCCTCGCCAAAGTGAGCGGGCAAAATCGAACTCACACATCCCCGTGGTGCCTGCTGGGGACTCTGTTCTATACAGATGGCAAAGGTCTACTGTAAGCCTAGCTTGCACAATGATCAGAGTCGCAATCGTCGCTGCGCGACGCAACAAGGAGAGATTTCCCCTTATTACGGCTTCCCTCGATTCTAAAGTGGCCACTGCGCCCTTTCCTCCTATCTACCACGAACACAACCACGACTCAAAACACAACCTAATCGATTGTATCGGTATATTGCCTCGCGACGATATATACCTTCCCCTAGCTGGATCTCTACTACCTATACCTACCACGTATTTATACCGGGCTGGCCGACACTACAAAGGAGAATTAAGGGCGATGATATACATGTTCCAGAGGGACCTCGGAGGGCAAAGTGTTGCTATGTTCAGACTCGAGCCGGCACAATGTTCTTATTTCTGGGATTATTTGGCACATACCCAGTTCCAATCTGAACCTCCTCTCCCGAACCTTGATCCTGAAAGCTTCTGGGGATATCCGTCGCTTTGGTTGGTCCCTCTCCCGTCTCTCCAGTCGAGGCTTCGAAGGAATTATGTTCATTCGCCAGCATCATTGGGTATCGTTGTCCCTTTTGTGCAATATCAAATAGGTCTCCGCCTTGGTGAGGGTCTGTTGGTGCCATTTTCGTTGAAGTATCTCTAGGGAGGATGCGGTTACAAGTTGTGGGATCAGTGCGAGTTTGATTGAAAGGTTGCTCAATGAGGGCGGGTAACGTCTATTGATATTAGCATACCTACTCAGTTAGTGCAATATCAACGGCTTCCATTGGGGGTGAGTTCAGCGGTTGTCGTCATTTTTTCTGACAGAGCTGATCTCTGGAGTAAAGATGTTCGACGCAATGAAGTCACAATTGCTCCAGGTAACTTTAGACGAGCACGTGAATGAGACTTGGCATTGATCAGCCTCTTTTCCCATGACAGGTGTCTCAAAGTCCTCCTTGGTCTCTGCAACACTGTGACATCCATCCAAGACTTTCGCAGGCGGCAGATATCGAGATGCAGTGGAAAGTCGTGTCACTTTATGCCGAAGATTCCCCCTGGTGTGGACGCAGGTCTCCCCACAATATTCGCGCCGCCAGCTGTCCAATGATGGGTTTCCCACCGGCTCCAGTGGCAGCTTACCAGTCGCTGAAACGATGGACAAGATTTGGTCCGCCAGCAGGTGCAGCGAGAGCGAAGTGGACTACGGAGTATTGTCGAGGCCTACTTGTTACAGACTTACAGTGAGAATCTAGCTTTGCCTGGAGACGATAAATCTTTCCGAGTTTCCACAGAACTCTAAAATTAATCCATTCGTATCCGCAGGAGATCACCGCCAAATCCCTCCAATGGTTTCTCGGCAGCGATTCATCACTGCACTCTGTTTCAGTTTCAGCCGCCTCGCCGACCAATCCCACACACCTTGCGAGGTCACGGCCGCACATACCATGTTGCGGCAGTCCATTCTGAGACGACTCCGAGGCTCAAAAGCTCCCATGATCGACGTGCGGCATGCAGAGCATTCGATGTGGAAAAGCTTAACCACTCCTCTTCTCTTGCCAATTTTTTAACATGCCCTCTGCTCATCTCGATGGTTTTAGCCTACCCTCCTGCATGCCGCATTACTTGAGCTCCTCAAACGGCATCGCAGACACGGGCTTTCTAGCAGACACACGCTTTCTAGCACACACCTCGCTAAATTTCAGGGCTCGCTTCAAGTGTTAAAGCTCGCTAATAAGTATATCCTCACTCGTAGCCTACCTTCCTCACACCTAGAATTCCTAAGGTAAACATATAGAAGGGGCTCTCACCACCCCGAGCTCGCCGAGCCCCCGGCGAACTCAAACCACAAACCCTAACCTAGCAGGAGTTAGTAAGTTGTTCCTTCTATAGATTAGTGAGTTGTACGCTATATTAATGATTAGCACGCTGTGGGAGGTGACGTGTGCCCTGGGAGGTGCCTGTGAGGCCTTGGTGAAACTGTGGTTGGTTGATTGGTAAACTTAATGCGGCGGTGACAAGGGTAGCTTAAAACTTCCTTTGTTCCGAGACGAGGCTGGAGGGTACAGTATGTTAAAAAATCGGCCTACTCTTCCCCTTTTCAAAATAAAAAGTGGGTCCTTTGACCGGGGCGTTTTGTATGGTGGAAGTCTGTGCTCTGTGGACCCCTGTAATATTTAGTCAGGGGGAAAGGGGGAGCGGGAAGAGTATCGAAGACCGGGGCTAAACATTGACGTTCCAAGTAGAGAGCATGAGGGAGTTTGCTCTTCGCACAGTTTTCATCTAAGTTCATCCAAGTCCTTTTTCTTTACCCTTTTCTTCAGCTCAGCGGCGTTTAATGTCTACTTGTAAGACTATTGAATAGTCGACGGGGGGGTTTCAGCCATTTGGAGCATGGTCTGGCCTGGGCAAATCAGCTTTCATTTCCTTTTTCAGCAGCTTTTTAAGACATCCTATTCTTAGATTCCAGCAGGCAAAACCTCGACGACATTTTTCAACATGATCAAGGACTATCAGCCAAAGATGATGTGGAATTTCATTGAAGCAGATGCCTCCCAACCTGCGGACCACGCAATTTTTCTTTCGTCCGGAAAGCGGATATTACAGCGAGTGGTATTCGGACTTCTACCAAGTTTCGTTCAACAGAGAATACGTCCAAACCTCACCAAGTCACAGCGGCGGCGGCCGACCGCATATCTAGATGGCCTACGCGGGGTAGCTTCCTTCATCGTGTTTATGGGACACTACACAGAGGAGAACTTGGGATGGTACACCGAACCCTATGGATTATACGAAGACGGGGCGAAATCGTCCCCATTACAACTGCCATTCGCTCGAGTTATATATTCAGCACGGCCAATGGTACACATCTTCTTCATTATTTCGGGATATGTTCTATCATATAAGCCCCTCAAGCAGATCCATGCTCAGCAATTTTCGGCTCTCACAACGACGCTCTCATCGTCAGTCTTTAGACGTGCACTCCGACTCTTCTTACCCTCCTTTGTTACCTTATTTATCATGGCCACCGCCCTATACTGTGGATTCTCCGACAGCAGATACGCCGAACCTCACTCTTCTCTTTATTCGCAACTGACACACGCCTGGAATGTATGTCTGCGGCTTCTGAGTGCCTCCTGGGCGATCAACGATATCGATTATCCACAACCACCATACAACCCAGCTCTCTGGACCATTCCTATCGAATTTGCACAATCTTTACTTCTCTTCATTGCCATCCTCGGCCTCTCGCGCTGTGTCACCAGCATCCGCCTCCTGTTACTCGCCGGAATCTCCGCGTTCTGCTTCTACAGCGGCGAACTTTATACTGTTGAATTTCTCGGGGGAATGTTCATCGCAGAAGTGACGATCCTTCAAGATGGTCCTTTGACGAGCCCATCTGCCAGCCCGACAACCTTGCCGAAATACACGGCCAAGGAGAAAGCGGAGGCAGTATGTGGGTGCACGATCAAGGAGAAGCTGATCCAGGCCTTCTGGCTTGCCAACATCGTCTCCGGCCTGTTCATTGCATCGTGGACAAACAGGCACGTCGAAGAGTTGTGGGGGTTGCGGTTCCTGAATGCACACACACCCGAGCCATACGAAGGCCAACGAGTCTGGTTTTGCTTGGGAGCCTTCCAGATCGTGACGGCATTTACACAGCTAAAGTCCCTGCAATCCATTTTCACAACTCCGGGGGCGATCTATTTGGGGAATATCAGTTATGCATTGTATCTGACCCACAATTTGTGTTTGAGGATCTTGGAGCCGCGGGTAGGGCCATGGCTGGACGACGTTTTTGGGAAAGCAACATTGTGGCAACGACAACTTTCTTGGTTAGGTGGTTTGGCGCTGTTCCTGCCCATCGTCATATGCGTAGCAGATCTCTTTTGGAGAGTAGTCGATACACCAAGTGTGAAGTTTGCAAGATGGTTAGAAGGGAAGTGTGTGGTAGAAAAAATCTCGATATAATTTGGATTATATGGTTTGGATGGGTAGAAGGGACGTGTGTTGTAGAAAAGATCTTGTGATATAATAATTTTGGAATATATGGGTTGGATGGGTAGCATAAGGGACTTCAGGCGTTTTAAGACATTGAATTTGGAGATGGGAATTGCATGCTCGCTGGGCGAAATCGTGGGCAAGCACAAGGATGGTGTTGTGGGAAAATTTTTATCATCGAGGAGCCTGTATCGAAAACGAGTAGAAGTGTGTCGGAATGAAAAGATATACAAGAATTCAACCACAAGCGACGTCCTCTGTTTAGAGACAACTTACCTTCTCGTTACTTCCCTCTAAGTCTTCTGCCAAAGTTCCGCTGGTCCTAGTGGATTGTTGAAATCGCGTGGACCTCCGTCACTTCAAAAGACGGAGGACTAAATGCTTTCATTCCCTCCCGAATTGTGAGCCGGGAGATACTTCAAGATGGCTTCCTCCTCAGTTCCCAACATGGGGACGCCGCTACCGTTGAAGCGGGCAACCTCCCCGTCAAGCGAACAGCAACACACATCTACTTCTTTGGCTACGAGGGACCAAATCCCGAAGTCTGCATTCAGCAATGGTTCCCAAGTCCTTTCACGGATGATTCTCTAGACGGATCCCTCAGTTTCCTGACGAGCGAGCATTATGTGATGTACGGAAAGGCACTTCTGTTTGGGGATGAGGTTGTGTCTTGGCTGCGGAGATACCTGGAGAAGCCAAGACTTTTGGGGAGGCAAACTGGGTATGTATCATTTCGTCTTATATCATCGGAATGTACAATCGGGGATTGGGGTAAGCAGAGGTGAGGAACAGACCATTCAATCAGTCGAAATGGCATAGGTCTTGTGATGAGATGGTGGAGCGAGGGAATTATTTGAAGTTCAGCCAGAATCCCAAATTGAAAGAGGTGTTGTCGAGCACGGGTAGCAAGGTTATTGTTGAAGCATCTCCCAGTGATCGGATCTGGGGACCTGGTTTCGATGCTGACCATGCTGAGAGGAGAGTGGAGCATTGGGGTGCTAACAAGCTGGGTGGGGCTTTAATGAGAGGCTGGGAGAGATTGTGAGGATGAGGAAGTCAAGGTGTGTGGGCAGGAGGAAGTGTGAAGGTGGTAGAACTTTTTAATGATACATTCATATTGTATTTGTACATTGAGAGCTTCTCTTTCAGGAATCAAAGTCCAGGCTATGTAACACCCAACATTCTATTCCGGTTCTCTCGGACGACCGATTTCAAATGAGCCACTTGAGAAGGCGATACATCCTGGAAGATTCTTGCTTGATGCCAGTACAGTTGTTGAACCAACAAGAGAATCCTAGCCCATTTTGGGAAGACTAAGTTTAAAACTCCCGTAAACCGTGCAAACGTAAGCGAGCGATGAAACTGGATGAGAATTGATTCTACACAAAGAGTGTAAGGGATCCAAAGTGTAGCCATACATACCATATTAGGATTCGTCCAAGGTGGCATTGGAGAGATGAACAGAAGCTGAAGAATTACAATATAGATGAGTAGCGAGTTTAACAAAGACCTGAGGTTGTTGCACCACACCTTGGAATCGTGGTCATAGGTAAAATGCTCCATAAAACCTTTTGGGTACCCAACTTGAGCAGCAACTCTGAAGATCCTTAGGAGAGAAAAGCACTGAGGGCACCTGTCGGACTTCTCGCCTTCCATCCATCGAAGGATGCAGTTGTACCCGAAGATATGACCGCACGGGAGCAGACAAGGTCCTCCTCCCTCACAACCTTCTTCCCCATGAACCTTCACTGAGAACCCACAAAAACAGTTTTCCTTGTCCTCTGGAACTTCTTGCGGCTGGAGTTTTCTGAGGAAATTCTTGTCAAATGGTCCGGGTCCGAGATAGTATAGCTGATGTTGGATGAGAACACCACGAGAAATGTCGTCCTCTCGAAGTTCGTTATACCGTTCTTGAAACTTTTCTCCTAACCGCTCTCCTTGCCACGAATTAAGTCGCTTGATAAGATCTTTCCGTCTGGCCCAGATATTATCTTCCGTAATGGCATTCCAATTATCAGCATTCTGCAGGATTACGGTCTGCACTCGTCCTTCACGACCGTCGCATGGATCACTGAAGGCCGTGGAAAACCTGTACTCGGGCTCAAATCTGCCCCAAATGCAAGGAGAGCAGAACTTGCCGTCGTCATACAGTATAATATGTGTCACTTCAAAACACTCTGGGTTGATAGATGAGATTTCTGTACGTTCTACGTGCCCACAGTTGTGGAAGAAACGCTCGGTGACTCGGCGGCACATTTTGAATGAGGAGTTGTTACTGAAGGGAAAGTTTTGGTAGAATTGGGACCTCGACAGGACAATATTCTTTGTTGTCCATGATGAGGGATTTCCTTGAGTATCTCCCCCGGATTTGGAACAATGGACAAAGCTGCAGACGAGTTGCCGGAAAGTTGCCACAGGTCGGTCATTAAGATTTAAGACAGCTTTGACGTTCAAAGAATAAAGATAGTTCTTGAGAAAATTGCCACTTGGCATAGTCGAGGATTCCGTGTTCAAACCATTTGTTTTGTGCAACAAGAAAATTCAGTGGAGAGCGCCGAGAAGGCTCGTCCAAATGTACTTAAAATAGTCGAAACATTCGAATTCGGTCCTTCCGAGTGTCTCACGGCTCCTTGGAACAATCAACTCCACTCTCCCCCAAATGTACCGGGTATTCTGGGGACATCTGGTCGTTGATCGGTCACCTCGAAGTTTCACGAAAGCAGCCATAAACTCAAACAAAGAGAATTGTCCAAGAATACCCACATCACCAAAATCGCGACCTTTCTCAATTTCTTACCCTCCATCTGCCCAAGGTATCCTTACAAATCAACTCTTTTGAAATAGAGGCACTTACCTGCATAAACCCAAAATGTGCGTAACAGCCATTCTATTCTTCCACGCGCCATGTAGCCGCTACTCAAAGCCCCGAATTGAGTTCTGTAGCAACCTCTTTTGCTCCCCCAAACAAACTATCACCAAGACCCTCTATCGATGCACGCTATGAGAACCCTGCTCGAACAAGGCTATCTACCCTTCTCACCCTGTCCACCCTCTGCGCGCTTACTCGCCAATCCGCTCGTTCAATCGATTGGATCCTTTCAGCCCGCTTTCTCCTCTCAATCCCCCCAGTCCCACAATCCGCTGAGCCCTCTCATCAATTTGTTCACTGTCGGGCCGGGTGGTACGGACTTTTCCTTGTTATCTAATGGCCCTGCCCGGTTGCGCCAGGGATTACCTTCCTACAAGTGTATAATCGGGCCGCTGGTTGGATGAATTGTACTTTGTGACTATGGTTTATATAAAGTATTCATGATGGAAGAGTACGATACGAAACCTAGAGAGAATTTGAAAGGGTACTATTGAGAATAGTAAGCGGCGGAGGTGTAGCGGCCGTCGAGTGGAGGGCTTTCGTAGCTCGGATGAGACATTTGTAGAGTTTCTGTAAGATGCCCATGAGTATGGAGAAGAATGAAGGTTTGTATAAGTAAGTGGACGAGTACCCTCTCATCACCTGTCGTCCTTGCTACGGCAGTGAACCCCATGCCATGCCGTGCCGTGAGAGCTGAATATGATACAAGTCTATGAGCCGTCTACCATCTATCATCCTTCAAACACCGAATGCTGCAATTCTATCCCAAGATCTTTGGCCATGTATCTCATCTGCTTTTCGATATCATCTTCCATCCCATCACCAAAACCAAAAGTTTGCCGGATCTTGCTGGCATAGAATACAATATCACTGCTGAATAGCACGAAACGGAAGATGAAATGCTTCCAAGCATTCACCAGCCTTTCACTGAAGCCCAAGCCTGTGTCGTCGACCAGACTCCTGCTTGCCCAGTTTCCCGTCATCTTGATTCTGTTGACTGGCGACCCGAGAAATTGATTGTTCCCTTGCACGATTCTCATATTTCGGCCGATGAAGATAAGCTCGCGGGGAAAATTATCTTCTAGCTCTTCGCTAAGGGTTTCTCGCATCTTTTCTCTCATTCTTTCTTGAACTTCGAAATGGCGTTCTGCTGCTGTTTTTCCCTGTAATTCGCCAGTAATCATGTCTCTCGTGCCTCTGTGACCTTCACCTCCGTCGTACGGCCGCATCAACGTGGCGCTGGCGAACAAGTCGGGTGCTTTGATGCCCCATGCATTAGTGATCTCGCTCAAGGTATCGTTATCGAAAGTCATGATTGCTTTCCAGAATTGGCAGTACTGGCGACGGAATTTGGGTGTCATTGAGACATACAATCCGTGGTCGATAAGGACCAGCTCGGCCTGTCCGCTGGGCTGACGACGGATGAATATATTGCCTGGGTGAGGATCACAATGGACCAAACCCCAGAGAAACATTTGAGCGGAGAAAAGGTCTATCATCGTGGTCATCACTTGCTCTAGTGACAGACCGAGGCCTCCTTTCCCAGTCCGTCCCTTCCACTCGTTGCGTTCTGGTTTCAGAAGACCAGTCCCGTCGTTCTCTCTCACAGGCCCTTTTGGAACCGAAAGTGGTGTTCCTTTCGCGCCTGGAGATCCAGCACCATAACCACCCAGCCAGGTTGCCGTAAGTGTCTCTTTGTCCCACAGTCGAACCCCTTCGATCCACTCTGTAGTCATGATCCGTCGGGAGGACAAGTCTCTATAGACTGTTGGGATGTAGACTCTGCCGCGAAGGCGAGGTTCGCTGGCTACAAGCTTGGCCATTTTCTCCGAATTATCTGCTTCGTTCACAAAGTCCGTCTCGAGCATGAGGCGCTCGTTGATATACGGGACAAGGCTGTAAAATGGAAGGTTGAACCAAGTGGTGTAAATCTTCATCACCACTTTAAAAGCCCAAAGATCCCACCCAACTTGTTGCGCTATCTCTCGTTTTTGAACCTTGATTGCAACCTCCCTCCCATCGGCAAGCTTGGCCCAGTGCACCTGAGCCACTGACGCTGAAGCTCTGGCTTTCTTCTCCATGACTCCAAATCCAGGCTCATTGGTGAAGCTCACTCCAAATACCTCTTCGGCAGTTCTGCCCCCAAAGTCCTCTCTTATAACCGTCTCGACGTCAGCCCAATCGTTTTGAGGAGCATCGTCAAACATTCGAGAGAACATTTTCTGGAATTCGGGAGGTAGCACCGCGCTCTGCATCGCAATTGCTTGTCCAATCTTCAGGTATAATCCTCCATTCTGGTGCAGAAGGTTGAACAGTTTCTCCGCGTTCCTCCTGTGTAGATCTCCTATTGATCCGCCGAAGAAAGGTTCAGGTCGAAAGTTGAGCTTGTAGTCGAGCGCGACAATAAGACCGAGTCCAAAAGTTCGCAAAGATCGAGTGATTGAGGAAGCATAGAGCTGAGTATCAACCAGGTACAGCAAGCCAGTCGTCGCAGAGACGTACAGAAGTCTGCGACCCCATTTTATCGACCGGCGGTATTGTTTGGGCGGTGCGGCCTTTCCAAGAGATTCGGGAGAAGGAGGAGCAAAAGACTCGTATCTTTGGGTCTGTAGATATCGTCTGGGGTCGTTGAATATTGTTCTTCTGCATGGAGGAGATGCGGAGGATTGTCGTGTGCAAAGAGTGTGTCGCGTGCGACGCGATATTTGGCGGAAGCTCTGAGCTGCAAAAGGTTGAAACGAATTGCAGACCACATGCCTACTTGGAGTTCTTATGCTGCGCGAGCACAGTTCTGCCACGCACCGTGACATTGTTCCTGTGGTGCCTGGAGCATCCTTGGACGAGGTTTACAAACATGTAAAATATATCGATGACGAGAACGCCTGCGCTTGCCGCTATCTTATCTCCGTCGGCGGATTGAACTCCGACTCCCACCAGAGCTTGTCTCCCTTGGCGCAGAAAAAGCGGCACTCAATTCATTGTTCCCGGTTCAGCTGGTGCTTCCTCACCAAATGTACACCTGCATTATTGTATGTTTAAAGACTGCTCCCTTTAAATGGCTCATCAGCTCTTAGCACATTACAATCCCACCCCAGACAAATGTCCGGCGTTGACTGGGGACATGGAAATTAGTGCTGCGTTTTTCGTCCTTCGCGAGCTCTACTCTCGGCTCCCCTATTCGCCCAAAATCACCAGAATCATCAGGCGAAAGGGAGGGAGGAAGAAATACGAGCAACTTCCGGCCATGCAGCACAACTCTGCCAATTGTATGTACCTTTCTTTTCTCTATGCACAGGAGAGGCTGGCGAGCCTCATGACATTTAGCATGATTTGGAAGCGACCTGATTTGATGGCATAACTGTACACCCATCAACTAAAGTTGAAACGAGGAACGAGTCTCAAGCACGTCATGATGCTATTTTCGTTCCACCAATTCTTCTTTCCGCCTTGATCAAAATAAAGTGTGATGCTTATTTCTGTTGTTGTAAGTACATCTGTACTTTCCTCGGCAGCAAGGATAATATTGTTTGATAGTCAGGGTCGCGGATGAAGAGCAAAGATACGGTCCGGACCCAGCATCCTAGATGAAGGGTCTCTCCTCGAACCAGATCTCCAGAGAGTTTCCAGAAGCGGCCGTCGTGCAAGGCACATGGCACAGAATTATCAGCATGCCACCAAATGATTGGAGTCCTTTTCCTAGGATAAGACCCTGCAATAATGCAAAGTACCACTGGAGCCAGTTATCCCATCCTGGCCGTCTTCCCATAGAGACCACTCGTCAGTATGCATTCATATAATACCAATAAACTTGTCATGGCGTGCAATCTGCGGATAATCGAGTTCCTGCTGAGTGAGGCCAGAGACGCAGTCATCCACTGTACCTGAGAACCTCCGACACAAGACAATGGACGCCTGCATCTCGGGGCATGGCCGCATAGACTTCAAGGACATCGACTTTTGCGAGAAATTTAAAAAGAACCTAGAAACCTTGGTGGTGTCGCACAATATGTCGCAGGCAGCGGGTCCTGCGAGGTGGGAAATGACTTGCCGGGTGGGAGCATGTAATTGCTGTTCTCCGGAAGAATCACGGTCTGAACAGGCTTGAAGACAGGGTTGTTGGGCGGTGTAATAGAGGCTTTGTACCACGTTGCCCTGATTGACATTTGTGCAGCTTTTCATGTCGTGAACTTAACACACGGCGCTGCAACTCTCGATGATGTCGATGTCGTCGCTGGTGGGGAGATTTTGAAACTCGTGTAAAATTGTGGCTGAGCAACCTGCTCCCACTCTCGGTCTTCGAGGACGAAACGGCGGCAACAAGTCCCAGAGGTAAAGCTCCGTCCACATTATTCGAGACATCAGACATCAGACATCAGACATCGGCGGCCAGACTGGGCCAACGGGAGAAACTGCCCAACCAGGGACTCGTTCCTCACGCTCAGTTCTTGCTGGTCTGGCACCTTTCCAACTAAACACGCCGTCGACGTACCAACCCGCAACCGGCGATCTGCTGGAAGCACTGCCCACAGTGCAGCACACCAAGAACAGCTCTCTCTAATCCTCTGGACACACCACGACGCTCTGTGGCTGGGTTGAAGGGCGGCTATTGGAGGAGCCAGCGGAGCGCATCCTGAACTTGGCTCCCCCGACACCTCGTACTGTACATGTGCATGTTATCGTCAGCATCGACACACCAAATCGGAAGGTCAAATCGAGTTGTTAGCCTTTCCCACCGCAAGACTTCCCCGCCAGCCGTTGAGACCCAGATCCAACCCCAAGGGACGCCTCCCTCGCCCTGCCCTGCCAACTTCGGCGTCGACGACGCTCGCGATCTCCCTTTCCAGCAGATGGACTGATTGTGGGAAATCAATGCGACAACCAAGGAGCGACTCTATTGACCGTCACCAATGCAGTTCTCAGCGTGAGACATCGCAGCATACCGTCGAAGTATTGCGAAATCAGCTTGCGCATTGAGGATTCACCAGCCTTCACTCAGAGGCCGCGTCTTGAGGGCGCCGGCACCCACAATCGTTTCGAGACGGCGGATCTTCAGACTTCAAGATGTTGAGGCCAGCGACACCTTTGTCGGTGCTGCTGCTCGCAGCATTCGTCTTGCTGCTCATATCGGTGATCTCGACGCCAATCATCAAGCAGATCCCCCTGGCTTCGTTTGGAGGAGTTGATTTTGGTGTCTTCGGGTTCTGCCAAGGGAGCACATGCAGCAAGATCGAGATTGGATACAATACTGGTGAGTGAGCGGAGTCTTGTTTGGAGCACAATGAGAGCCCGAGATAGAAATTGAGCATGGGTGATTGCTAATGCAGTGTGATTGTAGCAAACTTGTTCACTCCTGCACAAACAGCGAGCTTCGATCTGCCAACCGGTACGAGAACAACACTATCTGCGATTCTCATCGTCCATCCCATTGCGGCGTTCTTCACACTCATTATGCTCATCCTCGGGGTGTCAGCCCACTTCCACTCTCCGTCCCACTCGCCACGATACCTCCTGGGAATATTCATACTGAGTATCTTGACGTTGATTGTCTCTCTCCTGGCATTCCTGATAGATGTTCTACTTTTCGTTCCACACATGGCATGGGGCTCGTATCTTGTTCTAGCCGCTACTATCTTGATAGCTGCCAGCGGCATTGTTTCTTGCGCCATGCGGCGAACTCTTGTCAGTCGGAAAGCTCGAAAACGCCGGATTGCTGAGAATGCCGAGATGAATGGAGAGAACTTCTACAATCGTCAAGCAGCAGAGGCTCCACCTATGATGAGCTCAGCCAACAACATGGTTAATGGTGCCCCTGGAGCTGATAAATTGCCGGCATTTGCTCAATTTGAGACGGGCAAGAAAGACCCCGACCAAACGAGTGATGAACGATTACCTTTGACGAGTACTCGAACGCCACCAGAGACATCTCCTAACAATGGTCAAAGGATGAATGACCCATATGCGCTACCGCCCAGAGGCCAGCCAAGTTTAGACCCTTATGGAAATCCCATGCGGCCTCCAGGAGCTTATGGTATGAGAAGTCGGGACCCTTCAGCTGATCCATCTTTGAATCGGCAATACAGCGATCCCTCCCTGCGAGGAAGAGGGGGATATAGAGGAAGGCCAACTGGGGGCCCACTCAATCCTTCCAGAGGAAATTATGGGCCGTCGAGAGGAGCGTATGGACCACCTATGAGAGGAGGGTACGGGCCGCCGAGAGGGGGTTATGGTGGACCATACAGAGGCGGGATGAATGACCCAATGATGGCCGGCATGGCAGGGGGGATGGCAGCAGGAGCTATGATGAGAGGAGGAAGGGGCGGGCCACCAGGATATAGCTATGACAACCGTGGTATTGCACCGTCTGGGTCGTATGGACGAAGGCCTTCACAGGATGCTTATCAACGAGCTCCCCAAGCTGGAGAATATACCGCCTATCGCGCAGATGATCGATCTAGTCTTCCTCGAGCAGAGTCCCCTCCACCGCTGCCAGGTCTTGAATCGGGCGTCGTTGGGCAAGCTGTAGAGATGGATGCTTCAACGGGAAGCCCATCAACAGCGCCTCAGGGATTTGGCCAATTTGGGAACATAAGGGAAAGTGATGGTGACGTTGCAGGAATGGTAGGATTGCAACAGCAGAGATTACAACGCCAGACAGTCGACAGCGAGACAAGCAGGTACAGCGCGGACGAGTAAGTGAAATCAGCCTCAAAATTACCTTTGTATTCTAATGAGGGCAGACCTTACATTCCACCAAGACAAGCTTGGCAAGGCGGTGAAGGAAGATCGGCGCCATTGGCTAGACCGGCTGAACTGCCTGGCAAAATTGGCCATCGAAGAGCTAATTCTGGAGACAATTACTATGAGGACGTCGACCCTCAGTTTGCAGAACCTCGAATCACAGCACCATCCCCTGTCCCCGCTCCTTTGGCACCCGATTACGGCGCCAAGGACAGTTCTGCTTCTAACCTAAGGCCCCTGCAACCAGTTGGTGGTCTTGATGGGAACAGCTCTTATGAAGATTTGCAATCTGGAGCTCGAAGCCCAGCTGAATCAGATCGATCCAATTTCACCTCCGTCTCTCAGCGTGGAGTGAATCCTAGATGGAACGGTGCACCCGGACATGCTCCAATGCCCAATCGACGTCCGGTGCCACAACAGCAAGACATCCTTCTCAACTCAAACCCGGACTTTCAGCTACCTGGGGGGCGTGGCGGTAGAGGAAACGGACGAGGTGGAGGCGGTAGAGGCCCAAGTCCGGCCGCGATGATTCCTGGTAGTGCCTATCCTAGCGGCGGTCTCTGAATCACTTTCGACAGAATCACCTTCACATTGGCGAATAATTTCACCATTCATTCAAAACTTCTATCTTTCCGACAATACCCATCTTTCATGACAATATGTCCTTTCGCGTATATAATGGGACCTTTTCTTCTTTTTGTCGATATAGATTCTCGACGGATGGACCCACCGGCGTTTCGGTTTATTCATCTACTACATATTCGATCAGGCATCATATCAGATGATGTATAAAACTCCGGGGACGGAGCAGTCTTTACGGTGGCATATCAGTGCTTTGTACGATGTATATATGATGAGGCTTTTGGAAGCTAAATACTGATAACTAACTATGCTCCATTTGATTTCACGAAGTGAAGGAGGTTGATAGTGCGTGCAGCGTGTCTTGCTATCCTTCGTGGAAAGGGTGGAAGGACTCTTCGTCCTTTAGGAATACGATAAGAGGGCATGACAAGTGGTAGTCTTGCGAGGCTAAGGATATGGCATGCATTTTTGCAAACGGTTACATAGACCGGTAGGCCAAGAGGCCGAGGAAAGGCTTAATAGGAGTTCTTTTGGCAATGCAAGTCGCACGCTGTACCGTACCATCATTCAATGCCTACATTTGTCTCCGTGAACACATTTTCAAGACCATGAGGATGCTTCATTTGTTCCCCTGTTTTTGATCAGGCTGGAATCGACAGAAATTTAGAGTCTGTGATTCACGTCGGGTAAATTAGTTTCCAAAATTTATGTCCTAGTTTGGCAGTAGAATCATAAGATTTCTATATAAATCCCCTTGATACCTAGCTTCAACGGACTCTTTCCAATCATCTGCCTTTCTTGATAATAATATTCAACGTACCGTAACGTACCAAAAGCTCTCATCTTCTTTTGAGTCCAGTAAGACTCAAGAGTCTCCCACTGCAGACATTCAAGCGACGATCATTTACTGTACTTTGATTCCTTCAACAATCCTCTCCATTCATCGATCCAGCTAATCAGCACTTGCCGTCTTTACTTCCACACAGTAAGTCCAACACTTATAAATGGGATTTTAAAATACTATTTGTGCTAACCCGTGGGTAGTCGACAAAAGAAACCTTGTTCCTTAGTACAATCGCAAACATGTCGAACCCAATGTCAATCAACGATGGCAGCCGCCACCCCAGCCAACAACCCTCAAGCCGATGTTCAAGGCTCTGGCAACAGCTCCCAGAGCCTTACCGCCTTCACGCTCTTTCCCCAGTTGCCGATCAAGATCCGCTTTTAGATCTGGCACTTAAACTTTCCACGTGGTCGTGCCGTAAACTTCCGCAACGACGTCGTCTTTAAGGAAATCTGAGCAACTACTAGAGGACTCACTGCCGAGTTCGAAGACCCTTTTCCTCTCCCCATCGCCCTCTCCATCAACCAAGAAAGCCGCCGAGAGACTCTCAATAACCATACCGTCCCCTTCCGCGGTGATAGTGAACAGAGTGGAACGAAGCTAGTCGGCGCCGGTTCTGTTACAAGCTAAAGCTTGACCAGGCCTAGATCAATCCGATTGCTCTACAAAACAACTTCTCCTATGCCTGGTTCTCTTACATCGCAACCGCAGCCCCCAAGGTCTTTAGCTGCACCAAATCTCTCTAGATTCGGCGCTGGTTTCGTCTCTGGCCTTCGAACATGGGTTACTCCGACTTTGGAACTCTGAACCGTCTGGTTTCGTATTTCCGTATCCTTGCTGACGAGACTAGAATGAAGGAGTTATTGAACCCACTACTGCGGTTCCGGGGCCTTGAGGTATTGAGGCTCATTGAGTATACGGATGTCGAGTTTCTCCGCCAGTTCGAGCTGAATTTTCTCCAGGCTGGTACGAACAAGGACGATGATTGATGGGGACTTGTCTTGAAGTTTTTGGAGGAGAATGAAGATGATTTTTGGGGCAAGGGTTCCTCTTGTGGTTATTGAGGAAAGCTGTGGGTCTTGTAAACAAACAATCAAGCTTATGGTATTAGATGCTTTTCAGGGCGAGAAAGGAAGAACACATTTTCAGCGAGTCTTTCAGTCAATTCTAGCACTCGTTCCGCCGTGAAGTATTATTCTGCTGTTTGGCTCTGGCGGTGGAGTTTGTGTGTTAATCTCGCATCCCCCGCTTTTCAAACCCTGATCCCGAACACCTCCAGTTTTCTACTCAATGGCCTGTCTTCACAGTCGCCAATGAGATGCAGTTCCGGGAAAACAAATTGGACATTCGTACCGTTCTGCAGATACAGTAGTCAAGACCGATGCGGGTATTCGGATAGGAGATGAAATCTTGGGTCCGGGGGAGCGAGCTTATGTGAGAAGAGAAGAATAGAACCTGATTCAGATGCGGTTACAACTACCTGCACATTCAAGTATAATAAATGCACATCAAAATACTAATACTCCTCAATTCCAACATTATAACTTCGTAAGCGCCGCACGGCTGACATATTGATCCTTCCAGGATCCTATCATCCAGAGACAAGGTGTAACCTTTAGTATAGTTCACCCCAATCTCCCAAGTGCAAGAGAAATTGGTCATTCCTAGAACCAATGTATACTAGCAAGCCTTGCTCACCTTGCCAAGAGCAGTAACAGAGTCGATTCAAACAAGCAACGGGTGCATTAAACAATATGCGCATCAAACACATCACGTGCCCTCATAGTAATTTCAGGGGGAAGAGCGCGGTTATTTATTTATGCACAACGAGGCGCTTTGTGTGGAAACAGCCACTTGGCATTTATTTGCTTCTTTTCCCCGCAATAACGGCTTTATTTTATCAGCGTGAGCAGAGTGAGGACGGAATCGATTCTTATACTTCGTAAGCCAAATGAAGATCTAGGGTGCTCGAGTGCCAAGTCTCAGTTCGCGCGATCGTTGATTCAGGAGACTGGCCGCAAGCAAGCGAGAATACATACAGTACGGGGGGGGGTAGCTGCAAGTGCTGTGCTGCATCTGCGTGGCCAAACGCACGCCTCCTTTGCTTCCCCGGGGCGCGCTACTCATTCCCTCAGCCCGTTCTCCAATCGCAGCCGTGCCGGACCGTTTGCTTCTATGTGCATACTATGTGCAAGCACCAAGCCCCTTTTCTGAGACCCGACCCGATCTGGCCGACCACATCGGCCTGTGGTGCTGGGGCAGTTGAGCACGCACGCAATCATGAATCGTCTAAATAGTGCACAGCGCAGACACAGCGCGGTACATGCAACCAGCACTACCAATTGGGCCATATAGTACATGATGGAATCGCAGCCCTCGCAGCGTTCGACTGTTCAGACTTCGTTGCTTTTGGGAGGATCACAGTGTTATCTCACCCTGAAACGGGCGTGCAAAAAATGTCCGAATCGCTGCCAGGGTGGTGGCGCCCTGCAGGGACGTTCATTGGCCGGGCAAGCTTACGGCGTGAATCTTGGGGTTCCCCTGAATGCTTCTGGAGAACTCTGCCTTCCACCATCCATGGAGCCTTTGCCTTCGTGATCTTCATCTTCGTGATATCTCCGTTCACTGTTCCTCTTCCCTTCTCCACGCGCCGTCTACTTGTGCGCAGCTCTCCTTCGGCCTCACCCCCTTCAAAATCGATGCCGGCTGGCCGTCCGCGCTGCTATTCACTTTGACATTCGACCTCGAGCTTAGGGGCCACACCATTCAATCGGCTCATCCGTCATAGATAGAGCATCGGGAGCCTGTCCGCAAGCTGTACACTCCAATTCTACTACCAGCCCTTTGCGATTGATAGTGTGCTGCTGCGACAACGGTTAGGCAGTCCCTGTATTCCTCGCACAAGCAGTTTCTTGAGGCTTCGCCAGCGAAAGCACCACTACATTCAGCGACGCATTCCCTTGTCGGAAACCGCAGCTGCGAGATCACGTCGCCGTCGACAGTACATAGCCTCCACCGACACCACTTAGGGTTGTCATTTTGACAAGGAAATTCAGGCAAATCCACTGTCGCGAGCGGGAAGTCACGACGATCCCTGTCACTCCGAGACTCATTCGTATCCAGTCGACACAATGGTCTCTTCCACCAGACCAAGAACCCCCAGTTCTAAAAGCTCTCCGCCAGCAGAAACCAAGCTGGATGCAATCCCAGAGGCTTCAAAAGCACATCCCCCTCGCCGCTCCTCCCTCGGTCTCCTCTTGCGCAGGTCGAAATCCGGCGAACTGAAGCCAAGCAAGAAACAACAGGCAATCGCGAAGGAACAAGAAGCCGAGAGGCTACGTCGCGAAGCTGCTGCCGTATCAAAATCACCACCCCGCCTGCCAGACTTATACAACGGCCAGAAGCCCGCAAATCTTCCATTCGGCGGCGAGGATCGTCCTGACTCGGTTGCAATCATGTCCGGCAGAGCTGGTGGATACGCTGGTCGTTCGTCGATGGAGCCGGGGCGCTCATCTGCGGCGACTGGCAGCGTACCAATTCCTCCGATTCCATCGAACGGAGCTCGAGGTAGCGATTATGTCGATCCATACGCTCGAACTGAGAGCATGACGCACCGTGGAAGATATAGCTATGCTAGCAGCGCAGTTAGCACCATCAACAGCCCGCGCAGAGTGAGGAGACGGAAGGACCCAACACCCTTCAAGTGAGTCTTGTGTAACCGTCGCATGTTAATTAAGGTTCATCCAAACTAACTGTTGTTTAGCATTCTCATCATCGGCGCCCGTTCATCTGGCAAAACTTCTTTCCTCAACTTCCTCAAGACTTCACTCGCCCTCCCACCGAAAAAGAGGGGTACTAGACCTGCCGAACTCGCGGACGATATATTTGCACCACAAAACTCCAAGTCCGGCAACTTTGAATCACATTATTTGGAAACCGAAATCGATGGCGAGCGCATTGGACTAACACTTTGGGATTCGGAGGGTTTGGATCAGAATATTGTTGATCTCCAACTCAGGGAGATGTCGTCTTTCCTCGAGAGCAAGTTTGAGGAGACGTTCACGGAGGAGATGAAGGTCATTCGAGCACCAGGTGTTCAAGATACCCACATCCATTGTGTATTTCTTCTCCTCGATCCTCTTCGTCTTGACGGAAATATCGCTGCGTCGAAGAAGGCCTCTTCGAATGGCAACGGGAATGGAATGAATGGGAAGTATTCGTCTGCGTCTCGTATCATCGGTGGTCTGGATGAGGATCTGGACCTTCAGATTCTGCGTACATTGCAGGGCAAGACAACGGTCGTCCCTGTTATTTCGAAGGCGGATACCATCACCACAGCCCACATGACATACCTGAAGAAGACCGTCTGGGACAGCTTGCGCCAAGCCAATCTGGACCCTCTTGAAGCACTCGGACTCGACGATTTCGAAGGTGATAGCCCAAGAAATTCAAGCCGCATCGACGAGCAAGACGAGGATGCAGCTTCAGATGGGGGCAGGAGCTCTGGCGACGACCTTCCAATCCAATCTCCTGAAACTTCCTCAACTCCTAAGTCGAAGAGACTCTCATCCGGATCCGTTCAAAGACACAAGGCAATGAACGATGAGGCCGATGGTGCAGAGGTCCCCTACCTCCCCCTCTCAATAATCAGCCCAGACATCTATGAGCCTGGAGTAATTGGCAGGAAATTCCCTTGGGGGTTTGCAGATCCTATGGACATCGAACATTGCGACTTCGTCCGGCTGAAGGATGCCGTGTTCAGCGAGTGGAGAGGGGAACTCAGAGAAGCAAGCCGAGAGCTCTGGTACGAAGGATGGAGAACAAGCAGACTCAAGCATCGCGAGGTTAAGCCAAAACGATGATCTGTCCTCCGTATGCATGTCTTACAAGCTCCTTGCTTGGGAGGAATGCATCACCGGGAGACACAAAATAGCGATTAATTTCGGTTGTGATACGATGACTCGAGGACCTTTTTTCTTTTGTTAAATCTGCATACCCTTTTGATTTACAAGCAACCTCAACATTTCCGCCCTCAGCTTGTACCCTTTCCCGTCAGCCGTCAGCCGTCAACCGTCAGCCGTCAGGAGGAGAGTTGACACGAGAGAGAGATTCCTATATTCGATTCGATGGGTGGAGCGTCTCTTCTGCTTCTACTTTGCGCTTGACGCGCTTCTCACAAGCCAGAAAGCTGTCTTTATACTACTGCTTTTCGACGATGGGGGTTCTCTCATCTTTCATTATCATGGAGGAAGGGTTATGAACTAGATGGTGTATGCAAATTCTATGGACGATCGATACCTTTCTCAAATTGCGAATGGCTGGAGCGAGCGCTGTGTGTGTATGTATGCTTGTTATTACCGTGGGAGTGGAGGACGTGCATGGATAGTGGTGATTGATGAGAGGGCGGAGAGTTTTCTATTATTGCGACGCTTTGGAGCAAGGTCGTGCTGCAGCCACTCCTTTGAATGATGATGGCTGGTTATGAGGCAAAATTTTATTGAGTTGTCTGAACTCTTCTGTGTCCTTGCTTGTTTATGATTGTGAAGCTTTCGTTCCTACGCGATCGTGAGATCCCTTTTGACAATTTGTCTAGTACATCTCCGAGGAGCAAGCCATCTTGCTATTCAATGTCTCTCACTAGGAATATTATTTCGTCAATACTGTATATCAGCGCATCATTGAAGCCGAAGAAGAGGTACGGGTTCCGAGTAATGGCAGAACTGACTGCCAGTTGCAGGGGCCATCGCAGAGCGGATGTCACCACCCAAGTACTTCAAGCAGGTTAATGTCGGGTCCAGAACTGCTGCTCCAATTGGAAGATTTAGTTACAGTCCTTATCGCTGTTCCAGAAGTGTACGGCTCTGTACAGACTCGGTTCGATAGCTCTTCTGGCTACCCTTTGCACCGACAAACAAGTTTGTCATCATCTGGTAGGTTAAACATATGCTACATGCTTTAAGAACACATCGTATATCAAGTCATCCCTTCAAACTTCTTCGTCCCTTCCACCCTCAACCTCGCTTCTAACCACGTCGCCCTCCGCTTTCAATAACGACGTACTCCCTCTCAGGCCTCCACTCCCTCTTCACATCCTTTACAAAGATAAGAACCATGTATCGCAGGCTCACCACCCTGGTTCGAGGGAGTATGAGACAAGAGTTCCTCAGCCATCTTTACGTTCTGGAGCCTTGAATCAACCCGATACGTTCTGGTCAAGGAAGGGAGCAGAGAGAAGTTGGAACAGTAATAGAAATAGAAATATGAAATACGTACATCTCAGCTGGCAGATTATCATCATCGAAATGCCAGCTCATTTCTGACAGTCTTACCGATTTTGAATAAGAATCGGTGGTATTGCCGATTTATGCACGCTCTCATGTCTTGTAACTTGAAGTCGGGAAGTTGAATGATTGTACGGTAATACGCGTACAACTTCGGAATGCAAATGACATGCGACTGTCAGGAAAGCATGGTTGAGGCAGTCAGCTTGATTTCTGAATGTACGATTCGAACAAGACTTCTATGAAAAGGGAGGACTCGAGGCAATGATGATATTGAGCAAGTGACCGAACTTGGATTTGTACAATTCGAGAGGATTGGGTTCACAACAGTATCTCCACTCCAGCAGAGCGTATGGGAGATGATTTTCCTGGTATTAACTCGTAGCATTGCATTCCTTTGATATTGTATGAGAGAAGTCCCTCGTCCACTTCCGTCCACTTAACCCCGCCATGATCGTACAAAGGGCCGTGCCTGCAATATCAAAACGTCCTCATGACATCTCTCTCTTCTTTCCTTACTTGATATGTCTGCTGTTCGGCTTCAATGGCCCAAAGAATATCTCGCCATATAAGCCTGGATAGCGTGTCTCTCACAACTGAGCAACTTATGCCTTGGAAGCGGCTCATTATGGAGCTGGCCCTGAAAGCGGAAGGAGCACTTCGAATCTGGTCTGCCCCCTACACCATCTCTTCCCATTCGAGCCAACAGCAGTTAGTCGGTATTCATCTTGATTGCCCTTGAACTTGGTTCGTTTTGAGCTTCTTCCCTGGGTGTTGTGTGATGTGCGTATAACTTATTTGCAGATCTCCGTGAATTTGGGCTTCAAAAAGGCGGTGATTTTGTTGCTATTCCCTGCTTGGAGACCCAAGGTTCTTATTAGCAGCAGATAGTCATTGGCCCCCATGTACTGCTTACTGGAAGATTGATGTGGAAGAGTGTTTCCAGGCCTCATCTGCAACATGTTCAGCCTCAACCAATGACAGCGGCGAAGAGGAGAACCATGCCCATACTCCCAGCCAAGGACATAGCAGGGAGGTATCCTTAAGCTTTAATTTGAGTTTGAATAATTCCTGCTTTGTCGTAGCGCGTCTGTCTATCTGCGAGACTCTGATTTAGTCAAGTCATTTGAACCTTGTGGCCGAGAGCTGCTAGACGGCATGCTGTACTGCGAACTTCAGGCTTCTCAGCAGTAGGAGAGCGAAGCTTCTCTTTTGTGACCTATTCGAACCTCCTTATAACTTTCGTTGCGCGTTGTTGCTGGCAGTCCCTCAAGGGCGACCCAGCAGGCGCTTCGCCATTGATTTGGCCTTGGAGAACTGCAATGGAAATAGATAACTGTGAGAGCATGAGCAAGTAATCTTCTTGAATCAGTAAATGATGGTAAAAGGACTTCAATTGAAGGAGAGTTCGCATTCGAGAATCCCAGGTCGGAGAGGCTAGGGCAAGGCTGGCAACACTCCTAAACGAAGAGCATAAATATTTACTTCCGCCACAAACCTTCAACTCCATCCCACATACAACCTTTTTCCCATCGCGCAACGCTGATCAGATCAGCACCCCCTCATCTCTTCCATCCGCAGGCTTGGTACCCGCCTAACTCCGACCTCTTCTTCCCGACCCCATTCATCAATTGCACGTACATTCCCTTCCTCCAAAAGGCAGATCGAGTTCATTTTAAGCAACGCGCCTTTCACCCCCCAATAACCACCTCACCACTGACCGATCTTCCTTCCATCAGGTCAATTCATCTTCGTCGATTTCAACGGTCTTGCTGACACAACTGCAACAGAAGCAACTCATCGAGATCTCCGCTGCCTGACTCTGCGTCACAGTTTGACAAGTAAGCCAACTCTTTTCAACTCTTCTCCACATTACCACACCTCCGAATCGCGCCTCCATAACACTGCCATACATTCACCACCCAAGATCTTAGACCGCCACCGTCTGCCCCCTTCCTTCCTCGAACGCCTTCATCGCATTCAATTAGTGTCGGCTAGTTCCTCGCCATCGATCTGGGCAATCGACATTCCCCTACACTCAAAGCTGGGCTGTTCTTTCAAAGGTCAACTCCAGCAATTTCCCTCCCAGGTGTTTGCTTTCCATTGTGTCATTACTATCCTTCTGCCCCAACCATTCGTGCCCGACCACCATCCAAACTTCATACATCTCGTTGTGAAAGAATCTGATGCCATTGCATCATTTTCCCAACTGCATCGTGGATTTCGGGTCGGTTTCATTGCCCCTTTTTAGACGAGACGCTTCGCGTTGTGTCATCATCGCCTTCAACTTCGAGTCACTTTCAGATCTTTGCTAATCACCTTTCAACAGCTTTACAATCAATCATCATGTCTGCTTGGGGTACTGGTGACATGGCTGCGGCCTTGCCTGATGCTACCAATGAGCAACCTGCCATCGAACAAGGTTCCGAGGCTCCTGCTGTTGAGAAGAAGGCGGACCCGCAGGCCTACGGCTGGGTTGCCCCTACGAAGTACGACTACGAGACCTTCAACAAGACCAACAAGGAACTCGAGGAAGCACAAGCATCAGCACAATCTACCGAGAACCAGGCTGAGTAAATAATGGCCTTTTATTCTTTCCCTGTCTCCTCGTGGATGTGCAATGCTTACGTTGATGAAGGTTTGGAGGCATCTCCTCTGGTGACTGGGCCAACAAAGGCGCTCTCTACGAGTGGAAGGATGAGTACGGCGACGTTGGACCGCACTTTCCGGAACTTGAGAAGCAATTGTTCGGTTCCGAATTTCATGTCCGCAGTGGTATCAAGTTTGACACGTACGTTTCCATCCAAAGTCGTGTCCTGATCTCTAAATAATTAACTTTGGATCAGGTTGCAAGAGATCACCGTCACCCAAGAGGGTAACATTCGTATTGAGCCGGTTAAATCTTTTGATGACGCTGGTAAGTTAATTCCAGATCTCGGGTCCTATCATGCTAATCGGCCACGTCTAAGGTTTGCATCCGGCAATGAGAGACAACGTTACGCTTGCAGGTTATAACGTTCCAACTCCAATTCAACAATACGTCCTTCCAGCAATTTTCAAGGGTCATGATGTTGTGGCTTGCGCCCAAACTGGTTTGTAACTTCAACTCTCCTGTATGATAATTTACTAACTTCTTGGTTCTTTCAAGGTTCGGGGAAGACTGCCGCTTTCTTGATTCCAATCTTGTCAAAGCTCATGGGCAAGGCTAAGAAGCTTGCTGCTGTCCGTGGCAACCCTGCTCTCATGCGGGAGGGTGAGCGATATCGTGCTGAGCCTTTGGTTCTCATCGTCTGCCCGAACAGAGAGCTTGCTACCCAGATCTTCGACGAGGCTAGACGCTTTTGCTACCGTACCATGCTTCGCCCTTGTGTCGTCTATGGTGGTTGCCCTCTTCGTGAGCAGATTCCATTGCTCGAGAAGGGCTGTGATCTTCTCATTGCTACCCCTGGTCGGCTGATTGATTTCATGAATCGTCCTGCTCTTTTGACTCTCAAGCGTCTCAAGTACATGGTTATTGATGAAGCTGATGAGATGTTGCATTCTGACTGGGAGAGCGATTTAAAGCAGATCATGTCTGGCGGAGGTTGGTTGACTTCTCGAAACTCTACTGACAGTTGCTAACTAGTCAATAGACCAGGAGGAGGGCAACATCACCTACCTCATGTTCTCTGCTACCTTCCCCAAGATTGCTCGTGATCTCGCCAAGGAGCATCTCGCTCACGATCATGTCCGCATTCGAGTTGGCCGTGCTGGCAGCAGTCACGTCAACATCAAGCAAGATGTGATCTTCGTCGAGGCCCATGCCAAGCGCACTGCTCTCTTCGATCTGCTCATGTCGGCCCCACCTGCTCGTACCATCATCTTCGTCAATAGCAAGCGCTCTGCCGATGAGCTCGACGACTTCCTCTTTAATTCCGACATCCCATGTACTTCGATTCATGGCGACCGTACTCAAAAGGAGCGTGAGGATTCCATTCGTGCTTTTCGTTCCGGCAAGGCTCCTGTCTTGATTGCCACTGGGGTTTCGGCTCGAGGTCTTGATATCCATAATGTCATGCACGTTATCAACTACGACATGCCCTCTCCGAACTATGGTGGCATTGAGGAGTACACTCATCGTATCGGTATGTGCCATAGACAGCAAGCGTGACGCAAGCTAACATACATATCAGGTCGTACCGGCCGTATCGGCAACTTGGGTCTTGCGACCTCTTTCTACAACGAGCGTGACTCCGATATTGCTGAGACTTTGGTTAAGACCCTTCTTGAGACTCATCAAGTCATTCCCGACTTCCTTGAGCAATACATTCCCGAGGGTTTCACTGCTGAAGGCACTGGTGATGTCGAGAAGCTCAAGTTTGAGGCTGACTCCGACTATGGTGATGGGGATGGCGAGAATGGTGAGAATGGTGAGAATGGAGAGGCTCCTGCGGAGGGTGCTGATGCTAGTGGATGGGGAGCTCCCGCTGCTCCTGAGGCCAGTGGCAGCGGATGGACTGCGTCGGCAGCTCCTGCTCAGGAGGCTCCGGCTGCGTCTGGATGGGGTGCACAGCCTACGACTCCGGTTCAAGCTCCGCCTTCCAATGCGGGTAGCAACTGGGGACAGCAGCCAAGTTCAGCTCCTCAAGGCCCGCCGGCTCAGCAACCAGGATGGGGTGCCGCTCCTCAAGGTTTCCAAGGCCCTCCTGCTCAGGGTCCACCTGCTGCTCAACCTTCCGGATGGGGTGCTGCTTCTCAAGGTTTCCAACGACCTCCTGCTCATGGTCCACCTGCTATTCAGCCTTCCGGATGGGGTCCCGCTCCTGCAGCTCTCCAACCTGCCCAGGTTGGTGGCTGGGGTGCTACAGCAGCAACTCCCGCTGTCCCGGTCAACAACAACAATAATAACGGATGGGGACCTTCGCCGACTGGTGACTCCCGATGGTAAAGTGTCTGAGGCCACTCTGGACAGAGATAGGCCGATGGATCTGCACTGCTTTCCTTGTTCATTTCTCGGAACTTGACTGGTAGGCATTGGCAATTTGTTGAAGCTCTCACATCTGCCTCGCATCAACAAAAAACTTAACGTCACGTGCATTCAAATGCCTTTGACACTCGTGATTTCATTTCCTCCTTTTCCCTTTTAGATGTGTGGGAATGGCGTTTACTCTTTCTAGGCGGTTCGTTACGAGGGCCATTGCTTAGGACATGGGCGTTTCGACCGGGGTGTAGAAGGATAGACAGCTTAGAGTGGTTTCTTAGATTAGCAGTAGTTAATTAACGGCTATTGCAACCAATTCTTCTCCTCAAGAGTGATTTACTACCTTGGACGTTGAAACGCAATGACGAATTCGCCCACAGAGAACCCGAAGTCTCGAGATTCATGGGAAGGGAAGATGGATCAAAGTTGATTCAATCATTAATTACTATTATCTGGCGGTGTGTACACCACCATCGTGTCCATTAATCATTCCGTCATGCAAGGGCACAAAATGGGTATGCTGCGAGTGAGAGAAAAAGGAATGCCTGCTCCCAGTGCAACACCGTCCAATGGCAAGACGCGATATTTATGTACAAGCTTTTTCCTCGAGCTTCTTTCTCACTTGACCCAGGCCCGTCCTGACCCAAGTCCAAGGTCAGCAGCGGGTATCCAACTATTTATGCGCTGTCCAAAAATATATATACCTCATCCAGCCAAATTCAAAAGCCACCCCCTAAGTCCCATCCACATCTCCATCCAGGCACTTGGCTCCTCGTCCACCTCACCAAGGACTTTGACTTTCGGAACTGGAAGACATCGGATACTCTCGACAGGTCTCTGGCTCAGGATTTCCTCCTCACTAAACCAGTTCCCGTGCAATCCGTACGGAACTCTCTGTGGTAGGATGACTCTGCAAACCACTTCCTTCATCTCCTTGGCCTCAATAATCCATAACTCGCTCTTTGCTGAAGGTGGTGCGTTTCCATATTCGTCCAGCTGACTCTCGTCGAAAATGTAAGAAAGGATCCAGCCATCGTCTTCTGAGGTCCCGTTTTGACGTGGCACGAAGCGTGATTCTTGGGCATAGAATCCTTGGGGTAATTTGAAGATTTTAATGGGGTCATTTGGGTTGGTGGACGCGAGGATTTCGGAGACGCTGCGGGTATCCACACAGCCGCTTATATGGACCGGAGGACGATGGTTTCCACGTTGGAGGAGAGCTTCTGCATCAACCTTGACTAAGGAGTCGATTTTGACGGCACGGCCGAGAGCAGCTCCGAATGAACTGTCCGAAACCGAGCATCCATAGATGTACCGTGCTGCAGACATCGATTTGTCGTCTCGCAGTGAGGGAAATTCGAAGGGTATGGCAGTTAGAGCGAATTGGTGGGTGATGGTATTTTCAGTGCCTGAGAGGGAGAAACGGTAGTAATAGAGTCGACATTGCTCCTCTTCAACTGGGTATGTGGTGGAAGAGCTGGGTTTGGGAATAGGAGCCGCGATATCTCCAGCGCTGAAGACCAGAGATGCGCTCGTGAGGCGGCACGCAAGCATATTAATGGCGGTCGTCTCTGACTGGTTGGTGGTGGGATTGATAATTGCCTCGTCCCATGTATTGGCTGTGTGAAAGATGCAACAAGGATTCGTCTCGAACCACCGAATATCTTCTGGATTCCACCTTGGAAAGATACCGAACCTCGACCGCCCAGAAGGATCATAGGAGACGGCTGGGAGGTTGCGTGCAAGATTTCTAGGGTCCAGGGAGAGTGGAAGATCCATGATAATTGTATGTGTGAAAGAAACTCCAAAGTCATGCATCATCTTCGCAGACTTGATGCCAGGAACAGCAAGGTTGACAAGTCGTTGAGGCTGAATAAACGAAGAACAGCTTTGCGTACAGGGTATAATCGAATAATGTACAAATGGTGCGATAAAAGTTGAATGGAAAAGTATGAGCTCATTGGTGATTGGGTCGACTCGAGGATGAGCGGTCGTCCACTCTTTCATGAAACTGAGAATGCCCTCTCCGCCAAAAGCATTTCCCGGAACTTCTTCTGTTGAAGGCTCTCCTTCTGCTTTGCAGCCATCAAACCAGCCAACAGTTTCTAGCCCCGGAAGAGATACACGTATTGGCGGTCCGCTTTCGCAAGTTGCCAGAGCACGCCCATCGTGGTATAAAACTCCAGTGTTGGCCACACTGATCTTCTTGATGACTTGCTGCGAGCCTGGCAGATTTGAGAGAAAGACCAGGAACATGGTTCGAAAAATTCGGAGGATAAGTAGGAACAAGGAAGAGGCGGGGTTGACAAGTGCTGCTATGCTCGGGAGGATTGGAAGTCGAAGTGAAGGGGTTGTGACGGTCGACAGGTATGCATCCGTAAGGATGTATTGGTTTACGAATTCTGGTTGGATTGAACCGCCGTTTTGTTTTCGAAATGCCACTCCACTGAGCATTCCATCTCCGTCAAACCAATGTGCATCTCGTCCCAAATCTTCATTTGTCACCGGGTTTCCGCCATTGCGGACATACTCTCCGCCAGCGAGCTCTTCTGGTATGGAGCCAGTGTAAGAACAGGGAGTAAGTGGCTGTACGCGATGGATTGGGGCGAAGTTTCCATGGAGATATGGGTGAGGTTTCCCAGACCTGCTCTGCCTCTCATTGACGAAAGTCATGAGTAGAGGTTGAACAGAGCGGTGAAGTGTGAGTTCGGAGCCGGGAACATGAGGGGGTTTGAATCAGGTTCCCAAAAGAGAATATTGGAATAGTACGGATGCAGAGTAATGCAAACAAGAGTAAACATTTGGACTATGCGCACATGCTCTGGGTGGCTATGATGAGATGCTGGTTGCGAGCTGGACCTATGGCTGCCAGGAGCAGTTAGTAATTCGGATTGCGGGAGTGTGGCCGGCCACCGCGGAGCAAATGTTTTTTGAAGCATTTTTTCGGTAACTAGACCTCGGATGCAAACAAAACCTGTGATGCTTCGAGCTACTGGTGCAATGACGACAAGCTCTCTCGTCGTCAATGATCTGATCTGAGGGGCAGTGACGAACGACGTTGGAGAACCCCTGCTCTGCCTGTGCAGGCCACCCCTACACACGCATTTTCGTACTACTGTACCCCTGTACATCTTGCAGCACGCAAATCCGACTTTCCCATGGCTCCCCTGACAGGAGCACATTATTTGAGATCCACTGCGTGGGACTACTTCTAAGATAGCTCGACAGAAGACGAGGCAACGGGAATCGGGGCTCGAAGGTGGTTTATTGCCTTGCCGTTTTAATACTAACATTTTCGACTTTTGTTGTCCCGACGTCATTTCAGGGGTGTTTCTAAATCAAACTTCTAATCGCAGCCCAGCGAGTCCACATCCCCATCTTCACCTCCTTCGCCTCTCCCAATTGCCCAACTACTGGCCTACGCTCGTTCCTGTGCTTGCAATTGCGTGATTAGCTTGAGCCTTTTACACCCGCACTCGCTCTTGTGCTGCGGAATTCGGCGTTGCGAGCCGCCGTCTCTTCTTGGCTGCTGTCAGCAGTCCGAAGAGGCCTCACCACAAGTCGCCAACAACACCTCACCTACCTTCCTTTTCTACAAAGTGCGCCTCAACATGCCTCGGTCTTTCTGTAGAGTCTGGTAGCATCATAGAAGAGCATTGGCGTAACAATGGGGTTCGACTATGCCTTGGTGTAAGTTTGTCCCGGAACACAGAGAAAAAAGCTGATTGTACCATAGGCATCTCAGGTATACCATCCCACCGGCCATTGCCTTGACACTCCTTTACCGTCCCCTCTTCAATCGCACAGACCTGTACAAAATCGCCTTCCTGATATCGATTGCTTTTGTTTCCACCTTACCTTGGGACTCTTATCTCGTCCGGTGCAAAGTATGGACATACCCGGAAGATGCGGTCATTGGGCCGACCCTGCTCTCTGTTCCCGCAGAAGAATTGTTCTTCTTTGTAGTACAGACCTACAATACGACCTTGCTATATCTGATTTTGAACAAACCAATCTTTCATCCGAGTTACCTCAGTTCGGCGAAACCTCGGAAGGGCGCGGAATTCCAATGGAATGCCGGCCAGTTGATCTTCGCGGCGTCTTTTATAACGGGCCTGGGCTTGATTTGGAATGGGGATGAAGGAACATATCTCGGCTTGATCATCGCCTGGGCTGGACCATTTGCGCTTCTGCTGTGGTCCCTTTCGTCCCAATTTCTGATCGCACTTCCACTTTCAAGCACTGTGGTACCAATCGCCATACCAACCCTCTACCTCTGGATGGTCGACACTCTAGCATTGAAGCGAGGTACTTGGGTCATTGAATCTGGAACGAAGCTTGGAATACACTTGTGGGAAGGACTGGAGATTGAGGAAGCACTGTTCTTCTTGGTGACCAATGTCTTGATAGTGTTTGGACTGGTTGCCTTTGATCATGCTCTCTCGATCCTCCTAGCCTTCCCAATATTGTTTCCAGATGTTCCCGAATTGCCTTCTCCAGTACTTCTAGTTCAGGCACTTCTCACTGATCGATCGAGATATGGTACGGAAAGGATCATTGGCATCCAGGAAGGAGTTGCAAGACTTAAGAATAAGAGTAGGAGCTTCTACTTAGCAAGCTCGGCCTTCACAGGTCGTCTGCGAATTAATCTGGTTCTTCTGTAGGCAGGCTTCGCAGACCTGAAGGCATTGACTGACAAATTACAGGTACTCCTTTTGCCGAGTTGCGGATGACTTGATAGACGACTGTAGCGCAGAATCTGACGCTCGTGAGTGGATTGGCAAACTCACACACTACTTGGACCTAGCGTATGCTTCCAAAGAAGCTCGCCTCGTTCAAAAGCACCCAGACGTGCATTCGTACATCACGGAGAATTTCCCAAAATCTTCTCAATCAGCACTCCAGCTCCTTCCGACCCACCTCTTGTCATACGGGCCGTTGTATGGATTGCTGGAAGGATTCAAGACGGATCTTGAGTTTCATGATAGTAATTTCTCGAAAGCACTGCGGACATTTCCTATTGCAAATGAGCATGACTTAGAGGTCTACGCTGCTCGTGTTGCTGGTACGGTTGCCGAGTTGTGTTTGGAACTTGTTTTCCACCACACAAATTCAGTTACCACAACCGCTCAACGGGAGACTTTGATTCGATCCGGTGGCCGAATGGGAATCGCCTTGCAATATGTTAATATCGCTCGCGACATTTCCACAGATGCTGCTATTGGGAGAGTGTATCTCCCAACGTCCTGGTTAAAAGGAGCAGGATTGAAACCAGACGACGTTTTAAAGAACCCAGATAATCCCGCGATTGACGTCTTACGGGCACGATTACTAGACAAAGCGTTTGGTATTTATCGAGAAGCCCAACCAGCTCTTGCACAATTGCCAATTGATGCTAGAGCCCCAATGCGAGTAGCTGTGGAAAGCTACATGGAGATTGGACGAGTACTTAGAGAAAAGGGGTACAAATTAAAGAAAGGTCGAGCTACTGTGCCAATAAAGAAAAGGTTAGCAGTTGCGTGGAAGGCACTGAACCAAGGATAGATCTTAGATTTGATAGATATCACCAATAATGTAAACTTATTTTGGAAGAATCGAGGACCCAGCATGTACAAGGGAGAGAGTGAGCTGTTGCTCAGACTACGCAATGACCCCTGCTGAGACCCCCACGTCATGATTCGTCCACTCCGACGCGAGTTTCCCCTCCTCAACTTGAACTACAAAGTTAGCTAGCCACATTCCAACATGTGAAAGATACAATTTCCGTGCCAGTCTCTGTACTGCGCAAGATACGCAATTCAAGCCAACAATGGCATCCACATACAAGAAGAGAACTGCCATTGTCGTCGGTTAGCTTCCTCTCCCTTATCACCTCACCTTAAAGCTGACAAACTCTCAGGTGCAGGAGTAGGCGGCGTAGCCTCAGCAGCACGGCTTGCCAAAGCCGGATACTCGGTCACTCTCCTCGAAAAGAATTCATTCACTGGCGGCCGCTGCAGCTTAATCCACCACGAAGGATACAGATTCGACCAAGGCCCCTCACTCCTCCTCCTCCCCAAGCTCTTCAAAGAAACATTCCACGACCTCGACACCTCGCTCGAAGCCGAAGGCGTGCAGCTCCTCAAATGCGAACCGAATTACAACCTCTGGTTCGGAGATGGAGAGAGCTTTGAACTCAGCTCGGACACGAGCGTTATGAAGAGGGAGATTGAGAAGTGGGAGGGGAAGGCGGGGTTCGAGAGGTATTTGCTGTGGCTTGGAGAGGCACATAGGCATTATGAGATTAGCGTCCGGGAGGTGCTGCATAAAAACTTTACTTCGATTTTCAATTTGTTGAGGCCGAGCTTTTTGATGCAGCTGTTTGCGTTGCATCCGTTTGAGAGTATTTACTCGAGGGCTGCGAAGTACTTTTGGACAGAGAGGTTGAGGAGAGTGTTTACGTTTGGTAGTATGTATATGGGGATGTCTCCTTTTGATGCTCCGGGGACGTATTCGCTGCTTCAGTATACGGAATTGGCGGAAGGTATTTGGTATCCGGTTGGAGGTTTCCATGCTGTAATAGCAGCTCTGGTTCGGATTTGTGAACGGCTGGGAGTCCAGATCCGTCTCAATACGCCCGTTTCCTCCGTTCTCACAACATCGGATGGGAGGAAAGTTACAGGAGTACAACTCTCCTCAGGCGAGCAACTCAATGCAGACTTGGTCATCATAAACGCCGACTTAGTCTACGCATATAACAACCTCTTCCCTACCTCGACCTCACACTCATACGCCAAGTCCCTCCAAAAACGAGCTGGCTCATGCAGTTCGATCTCCTTCTACTGGGCCCTCTCAAAGCAAATCCCAGAGCTTAACACACATAACATCTTCCTTGCAGATGAATACCGCGAATCCTTCGATTCAATCTTCGACCGACAAAGTATACCTCGCGAGCCCTCATTCTACGTCAATGTCCCTTCGCGAATTGATCCCACCGCTGCCCCGGAAGGAAAAGACTCAATCGTCGTCCTCGTCCCAGTCGGACACTTGCTCAACTCCGCAACTTCATCCTATCCCGACGGCGACGCAACTGCAACTTCCGGCTCGGGATTGAAGCCAGAGCAAGACTGGGCCTCCCTCGTAACTTCAACCCGCCAAAAGATCCTCACAACAATAGAATCTCGCACCAACTGTTCTCCCATCTCCCCCTTAATCATACACGAGGAGCTCAACACACCCACAAGCTGGGAATCAACCTTCAATCTCGACAAAGGCTCAATTCTGGGGTTAAGCCATTCATTTTTTAATGTTCTGGCGTTTAGGCCGAAGACGAAGCACCCAGAGATTGAAGGGGTGTATTTTGTAGGTGCTAGTACGCATCCTGGGACAGGGGTACCGATTGTGCTTGCGGGGGCGAAGATTTCAGTTGAGCAGGTATTGGAGGATAGAGGTGAGACTGTACCATGGGAAGACAAGGAAAGTGCAGTGAGGGATCACGGAGTGGTGCAGTGGAAGGGGATGAGGGAGTTGGATCGGATTGTTAGGAGAGGGGGCTTGCTGAGCGATGTTGGGATTGTTCTGTTGGCGGTTGTGGTTTTGGCAGCTACATTGGGATATTTAAATAGTGGGCTAGTGGTGGGTTGGGACCCGGAGGGGAAGAGGGGTTGGGGGAGTGGGAGGGTCTGAGGGGATTGAAAAGAAGAGAGGCACTTGAACAGCGAGATAAGTGTGTTAAGGACTCAGTGGTAGCGATAATGACTAATGATATATGAATACAGACAACAAACGTACCTGTCCACCTTTACATCCCTCTCCATCTCTTAAAGTACTCTTTCTTGAAGCATGTAATTATTCTTTCACGCTTCTCAGTCACTCGCTCGCTCACTGAAACCTGCATCGCAGGTCAACACTCACCAAAGGCGGACTTTGTGCCGTCTATTTTACTTGCTATCTAGCTATTCTCCCACAAGGAAAGCTTGCATCAGATCCCTCGGCCAGCCGCAGAGCTCCGTTCTTCGAGAAACTGTCCCCGCAATCTATTTTTGCTGACACTTTTTCTTTCACATCTCAGAGACGTTTCGCGTCGTCACCTGCAGATGTCTGACTTTCAACTCGTGGTTTATGGGCAGAGTAGTGATGGGGATTAACAGTAGAATCACAGTTGGCGGCAAAGGCAAGGACATTCAAAGACTAGTGAAGACCGATGGGACTGCGTCTCCAACCGCAACTCCTTCTTTTTCGTCAATCAATGGAGGCAAGGGTTCGATTTCATCTAGCTGAATGGGGAACTGGAGAGTTTATATACTCCCCGGTCCGTTAATGGCAAAAGGAGTTAAGGAGAATATTGAATAACCAACCTCGAGTAAACAAACTCTGAACCTATCACGTCCCCCCCTCGCCCCCTTTCTCTAATCATGCAGAGCGGACATCGCTTTCATCTTCAAGTCAATAAAAGCAGCATCACCTCCCCCTCACCCCGTATTTACTTAATTCGCATCTCTTACGAAATGTATCTCTTACCGAGCAGCGCAAGCGGTACTCTCGGCTTCAGTGAGCTTTTTTCCTTACCAAGCTGATCCAGCACCAGGCCACGAACGTCCTGTGCATCATCTTGCACTCACTCTTCACTAAGCTACTTAAAGTATCATATTTAATGGATGCGGCGGAGAAAATTTTTGCAGGAGGCAGGGAGGAAAGGAAAGAGACGGCGGTCCAAAGGTCTGGATGCTGGTTTTGTGGGGGCCGGAGGGAGGTTCCGATCGTTATCTCTGTCTCTAGCAAGTTGCCTTGGAGGTTGTATTCTGGTGATTGATGTTGGGGAGACTCTAGTGATCTCATCGCTTGAAGAGAGTCGAGAGAAGAGAAGTATGACGTTGAGACCTTCGGCGTTTTCACGAACGACTGACAAGTCAACTGCATTAGTAGTGCACGTTAGTGACTCGCAATTGCTTCGAGTGGAGTCCGAGTGCCGAACCCGGTTGAGCAACTGTGATTCGAGGCTTTTGGCAGCAGAGTTTGCTGATCAACGGACAGGTGCTGATGTTCGCTACACTTTCAAGGGGAGATGAGAGAGTTTCCTGGTATTCTGGGATCGTGATAGGGAAGTGTTGAAGTCAAACAGACCATAGCTTACTTGGCCACAAGGGAGTACTTCAAAGTTATGCCTGAATGGTCCCCAAAGAATATGTGAGGCTTGAAATTTAACTGGATAGACGGTCAGGCCAACCATTCATGGCAAAATTCACGATTCCCATGTTGCCAGATAAGGAGGGCAGCAAACGCGGGAGGAGATTTATGATGCAGGGGTGCTGCATGCAGGCGAGATCGAGCAATGCTTGATCGTCAACCGAGATCGTGGCGTTAAGGGGGTGGCTGGTGAACAGCGGAAAGGCTCTCTTCCAAGGAGCCTTTGAGAGCAGAATGTTTCGAGGTGGGCAGACTTTCCGAAGATGTAACTGAGGAATCCAACCGCTCGTAAAGGTTATAGACAACTCTTGCGTTTTTCCCACAATCTTTTCCAGCCAGAAGAAGTTCCCAGCCTCGTTGTAGTCAGCAGCGGGATGTGGCGCCCCTAGCGGTGCCCCAAATCCGGCCCCTGTCTAGAAGTTTGATAGCGTGGAGATCACGACAAAGTATCTGACATCACCATAGAACAACCATGTCTAATCGACCCCGAGTCCACGAGTTGAGGTGCCAGTCGGTGCATCTTTGTCTCCATGGGCGAATCCGTATCCTGCTTTGTCTAGTGTAGGAGCACCGGGTATCGAGACGAAGAGGAGGAATCTGCCATGCAGGATGGAATATCAAACTCGACAAAGGTCTGGAGCACGGATAAGTTTGCGGCAACTACTTCACTGTTAGCTGGGTCTTGTGATGCATAATGACGAGATGGGGTTGTGGAAGAGAATGCCCTCACTCATAGGAACGATGGCTGGCTTGCTGCCGACGGATGTTGAAGTCAAAAATCCTAAGGTCGATGCAGCCTCGCTCGGGGAGTTCGGATCTGTAAGAAAAGAAAACGCAGGTGAGATCGCATGGCTTGCCGTTTGATAGGCAAGTGCAGGTTCAACTCTTTGGCAGAGGTGGGTCTGGTCAGAAAAAGCGTCTCTACCCTACGGCTCTCAAGATCTTATCAAACGGTGAAGTAAGTAGAGTTAGATGCTGGTTGCGGGGAGTCATTCACGTGAATTGCCCCATGTTTTCTCGAGTTCTCCTCTCCAGCATCAGCGCTAGGTACTCTGGCCAATGCTAGGTTTTACCCTGGCTCTTCCCAAAGTAGCAGGGTCGACCTCCTCAACGTCACCACACTTCCTTCCTGCACGTTAGAGTAAACAATAAAGGGCGAACCTTCCTCAAGGTTGAATGTTTGGTCTTTCATAAGCTCTTCTCTCGTCGCGCTTCTTCTTTTCCTCTTTCCATCAACAACAACATCCTCTCCTCCATCATCAGCCCTTTTTGGATTCGCCACATCTTTGCACCTCATTAAATCGTTAATACTCCCATCATCCACTCTCCGTTCTTCGACAAGTCGGTCAAGATGTCTGGTGTGGTCAAGAGAGCAAACGATGCGTTAAACGCAAATCCTAACGTGTTCCTTTACCCTCAAACCTCCGACATCAACATCACCACCCATGGGTCCGACTGGTACTGGGCTGTCACCGCAGTCATGGCTCTCTCTACTATTATCTTCATGGGCCTGAGCTTTGCCGTCCCTCGCCGCAACCGAATCTTCCACTACATCACCGCTTCCATCACCCTCGTCGCATCCATCTCGTACTTCACCATGGCTTCTAATCTGGGTTACGCCGCCATCCCCGTGGAGTTCCAGCGAAGCAACCCCAAGGTCTCAGGCATGCTCCGTGAGATATTCTATGTTCGGTACATTGACTGGGTTGTTACGACTCCGGTAAGTCTGGTCATGCTTCCAATATTGGCAGCTGCTAACAGTCCTCGCAGCTTCTTCTCATGGACGTGCTCTTGACAGCTGGTCTCCCCTGGCCAACCATCCTGTACACAATCCTCATGGACGAGGTCATGGTTATCACTGGTCTCATCGGTGCTCTGGTTGCCTCTTCATACAAGTGGGGTTACTTCGTCTTCGCCATGGTTGCTCTGTTCTTCATCGCTTTCAATGTTTGCTGGGTCGGAAGGAAGCGTAAGTCATGTCATTTCCCATGAGCCCGAACATCACTAACCCTGCATTCCGCAGATGCTGCACATATTGGCGGAGCAGTCAACACAACCTATCTCTCCTGCGGTCTCTGGACCATCTTCCTCTGGTTCATCTACCCTATCGCTTGGGGCCTCTGCGAGGGCGGCAATGTCATTTCTCCAGACTCTGAAGCCGTCTTCTACGGTGTCCTCGACCTCCTTGCCAAGCCAGTCTTTGGTGCCATTCTCCTCTTCGGCCATCGCAACATCGACCCAATTCAGATCGGCCTCCACATCCGCGATTATGACGAAGCGATCGACTCAAACGAGAAGGCCGGTTTCGGATCTGCAGCTGCACGCAACCCCAATAACAACAATAACAACAACGGTGCTGCGAATGGCCATCCTCAAAACGATGCCAACCCTTCAGTCGATGGCGCCAACACCATTGGCGGTGCCCCAGTCAGCACTGGCGTGAACAACAATACATCTACTGTTTGAACAACGGGATCTGCTTGCTTCTGTGATGATACCACCCCACAACATGTTGTACCCTCCTGTATTATCATCTTGACTGCGGCCTTGTTGATTCATTGTTGCAGCGTTCTTTCCAAGCTTGACATCTCTTATGGTTGGCTAGCTTGGTCAAGGTGTTTTCCTTTCCTTTGCATTGTTCTCGTCCAGAGCGGCGTATGGTAGTGGTTTCACGAATAGAATTAATAATTTTGTACATAATCAACGAGGGGGGTGTTCGACAGTGAGCTGTCAGAACAAAGGAAGAGTTAGTACAATCAAAACATTCAACGTAGATTTCTCTTCATGCAATCTGATTTGAGTGATTGAATGAAGAGCCTTCCCAGCCCGCCTCCCTCCCCAGAAGACAACCTGCACCGATCCTGAATCTACTGAAGTGAACAACCTTACAATATTCGAGGTTGCGGGTGCAATTAGAGAGTCGAGATGTTGGAGGGTTGGATCCTAGGATCCCGTGGTTTCTGAGAGAAAGGAATGTGGACATGAGGATTGGAAAGAAGAGGGAATGTGTTAAGTCCCTAACTGGGTGGATGGGAAGGGAGGCAAGCCTCGTTGACCTCTATAAATTCTGCCCCTCGATGGAAGGAAGATTACGATGAGGACAAAACAAACGTGTTAACCAGATGGTGAGAGGAGACGGCCCACCTACAGTTGAAAATATCTTGATGTGTTGCGTTATTTGCGTGAGAGATTAGACAAGTTTCATTCTCTTCTCGAAACGAGGTCGACCGTCGGTACTTTCTTTCAGCGCCAAGTCCCAGAGCAGATTCGAGCTTCGGATGTAAGGTTCGTTTTCATCATTCGTGAATAGGGGTATATATGTAAACATGAAATCCTGGGGGGAAAGCATTCTGCACTCGCATCATTCCCATCAAACTCCCCTAACTCCATCGCTTCGCTTCAAAAATCATAATCACCTCATCCTTTATATCTCATGGCACCAACCATCTACAAAGCCCCCGACCTCAAACTCGCATAAACACTCGACATTGCCGGTGTGATATGCGCCGCCACGGGAACCGCGCCGATGCTAGCAGGCATCATAAATAGATACCTGACGGCCAAAGTCGTCGCATCTCTCACAACCTGGGTAACGGGGGAGTTAGCATTGCTAGATTAAGATTGTTTCGGGAGAGGACATTGTCTTAGGAGAAAGCCATGAAACAGCCCGTAATAGGAAAGGGTTTCTCCCCCAACACCTACATGAACTCCGCCGCCACCCACGCCGGGACCCGCGTTCTCAAGTCCCAAAAGCACTCGGAAATTGCTGAACTGGCTCTGAGGCCAGTTGCCTACTCCTTGCGCACCGCAGTAAGACCAAGACGTCGAAGGCTCGGTCGCGCAGTAGACTCCTGCTCCCGACGCCGCGCCATTGGCTTGCAGTGGTGTGTGGGACATGACCTGGAGCCCCTGACAGGTGATTGCAAAGAGGCGATCTAGTGATGTTCCGTGGAAGAGAACCCGGGTTTGGGCGGAGCCAATCCAGCCTGAAATGTGCCTAGAGAATGCAGCTTCGTGTTCCGGGCTGTGATTCGAGAGCAAGAATTGGTGAGAACCTGCTGGAAAGGAAGGAATTCGAAGATTTCCTTGGGCGGAGGAGAGGAATCCGCGGCAGGCGGTGCAGACCCAGATGAGCAGCTGTTCTACTTGCGGGTTGTAGCCTCGTATTACTTCTGCCATACCATCTGAATTCTGGAGAGAAGACATCGACGGGAGGAGATTGAGGATTTGAAGAACTGTGGCTGTGTTGTTAAATGGGCAGTTTGGGAGCAGTTGCATATTCCCAGTTGAGGCAGCAGAGTACACCATAGAGAGGAGGCAATCGACGGCAGCAGGGTCTTGCCTAATCTGGCATAGATGAATTTCGAGAGATGCTGAGAGGAAGGCATTTCTGCACACCGCGTTAGAGCACGTCGTGGGACCCTTAACTTTGACACCGTGATCCCGTCCACAGGTGATGCAGCCTTTATCCAGGTCCTGGAGAACTGCTGTCACTAGAACGTGAACTGCTTCGAGAGATTTGAAGCCGTCAGTGAGATGCCGTGAGATAGCTCGGGAAAGATGATATTTCGCGGGTGAAGTGTGTCCTTGACAAATTGGAAGGTCAGGTCCTTCTCCACCTGGAATCACCTGCCAAGGGTCGTGAATGGAAGTGGCATGGCCAGCTCTCCGTTTTCCCTTCATCTCACTGTCCAAGTGAAGGCAGAATGCAGGATCGTCAGCGACGACAAAATGAAGGTACAGACTCTGAGCCATGCCTAGACCAAAACGAAGCCGTTGGGGCTGGGTCAAATGCGTCAATGGAAAGAGCATTTCGACTCTCAAATCGTCCACTTTCTCGACGACACTGATAAGTGCTGGTGGTAGACTTGCAAGAGCATCGTCGACAGCCGAGCTATCTTCAATGCCAACACTTGCAAGCAGTTGAGAAGTCCCTTGGGGGTCAAGCGACTTCAATAGGAAACGCATCTCCTCTAGCCGTTGGGCTTCCGCAAAAAGATCTGCGTACTCCGCATCGAGATAGTTTGTCACAACCTCTAAGCCAGCTTCAGACCAGTCTTGCTTACTGCTAGGGCGTATGCCCAGTACCTCGGCTACGGATTCAAGGGCTTTCTGATCGAGTACTGTTAAAGAGGGTGCTTGCAACCACCCAGTGAGTACGACCTCAGCCACCTCCCGGGTCTTATTTTGAACAAAGTCTATGACATGCAAGCATGCATCTAGACCTTCCTCAGTGGCGGAGCCTAGAGAAGACAAGGCATCGGCTATGTCCAAAGCGTTACTTCCATCGCGTTTGAGGAGAGAGATGATTGCCATCATCACGGGCTTCGAATGAGCTAAAGAATATCAGTAGCGATCTCTATCTTGATGTAAACTACATAACAATTTTGCAGAAGGTTCCCAAAATTTATAGTCATCCACATCTAACGTGGAAGAGGTTGCTTACCTTCCACATTCAGCATGAGGAGTAGAACTCGCTCTAATGTGTCCTCAAGGAGGCCATGCAGCCCATCACCACCAGCCAAAATACACTGCACAGTGGGCCCGCATCGGGCATCTTCTTCTAGCTGAGAAATGACAGGTAGATACCCATCAAGATTGTTTGCCCATCGATGCAACTGAGGTTTCAAGATCGGAGCAGAAGTGGTAGCATCCGAGTTCACTTCTTCCCCAAATATCTGACGCAGGTCCAAGAGAAATTGCAGCCATTCTTTGGCTTTAAGATTGGACAAAGCGTAATCAATGAGCTTCTCTCCTCGATTCTTGAGCATACGATTTAAGACTGGGCGCCAGCAAGTCACCACTGATAGTTCTGTTGTTGTGAGGAGAGTGGTCAGATCAACGCAAGCTGGTTCCGGAGCTTCATCGTGATTTTGAATTATGTTCCGAAGACTGTGAACAAATCCATCCGGCAGTAGTGGTAGCTGATCCAAACAGCGACAGCGGAAGTTCGTGGTGATCACTCGACCTTGCACCACCGAGAGGGCCAGCAAGCGACGATCCGAGTCGAGGGCTTGTATCCAGAGTTTGATCAACGCCCTGACCAGGATTCTGGTACTTGTATTAATCGTACCACGCTTGACGAGACAGTTGACCAAGTAATCATCGACCTTCTTGACTACATCCAACATATTTCCAGCGGAGGAGGTCTTCGCGAAGTCTCGGATAGACTGAAGGCACACGACGTCTTCTGGTGATGGCCAGTCTTTGAACAAATCAACCAATGCATCGTCGAGGGAAGGCCATAGCCATGGCGTGTTGCGCAATCCATCGCCACAAGCTTGAAGCCGCGTCTCTGTATCGCTCGAAGGCTGACCAGATCGTAACTGGGATAGTAGCCGCTTCTGTAATTCTTCAAGAGTCCCTCTCACGAAACTTGCGATGTCATGGCCAATTGCAATGCGTAAGGAGTCTAAGCGTGTATCAGCAGTTGCCAACGCCAAATTTTGAGTCGAGTATGACGCTGTACGAGCACAGATTCTTGGTAAATCATAGCGTTGTGTGAAGAAAACATGACTTGAAGAGTAAGAGTTTCCTTACTGCAACGTTCGACCCCTAAAATGGGGAGCAGTCTCATAACTGCAGCCATCTGGGTACCCCAGGTTTCCTTTCGAGCCCGATATGCTTGGGAGACTAGGGCACTGATCGAGGGATCCCCCAAGTGGCTCAGGCATTCTAAACAATCCAGTCTTTTGTTTGTAACGCTTTGACTGATACAAAAGTACGCGAGTATGGCCGTGTCATCGTTGTCACTCATCACGACGGCAGCATCGACCAAGTTCAAGAGACGATGTACCATATTCGGGACATCGTGAGCCATCCCCCTTCCCACTTCAAAAACTAGGCTACCCACTGAGTGACTAGTAAGCGATGGGATGAATCCTTTGGCTTCCACTGCTTCCCGAAGAGTTCCATGTCTGTCGTAGACGAAATCAGGCCCTTCCAAGACAAGTGCATTCGAGAGGGTCTGACGTTGACCTGGGGAAAAAAGCTCCCACCGGCCAACTCGTGTCAAATCAGGACTCCAGTTTGCCCACGCACGCCAGTGCGGGAAGTTTTCGTATAGAAGCTTAGTGGCATCCAGGTTCTCCGGCAACGACTCAACAGACCTCTGAACAAAATTTCCAAGCCATTCAGTGGCTATTTGAGCCCGCCGCCACTGGTGTTGCCCTCGCAGCTCCTCGAGTTGCGTTGAAAACTTGACGCATGCCAATCCGACCAAGGTTTGGATATGTGGATGAATGAGAAAGTTGGCAGGAACTCCATTGATCAAAATCTGGAGCAACGCCTGGAGGTCCCGGACAGTAGAATTTGAAGCCATCAACTCTATCGTCCTCCGCGCCTCGAGGGCACTGACCGCTCCCTCATTGACATGATTAGCAGCAATGATGGCTTGGAGGTAGGATGGAAGCCCATAGGAATCTCCTAGTTTGATGTTGAGGTCACCGGCAAGTAGGTCTCGCACGGACTTTGGTGACATTGCATGTCCACAGGCCGCGATTGCGATGTCCTTCGCTGTATGATTCTTTATGAGCAACGCTAAACAGGCGTCACGATCCTCTACCGTATTCTTCCCCCTCTTTTTGATCAAGTAACTATCGGTGATCCGACGGAGGGCTGCCCAGGGGAACGAGGCATTGGGCACATATCCCAACCCGACGGGATGCTGATCTCCAGCTTCAAAAGATACCTGCCGATGCCAGTTGTCGCTTTGCCCATGAGAAGAAAATTTGGACTTGATTGAAAAGTTTGAGCTTGAACGCCGAAGAGGCGGCATTTTGCTCAGCCTGGTCGTGCCCAGCCTCGCCTGCTCAGGAAGCTGAAAATGATTGGTGGGTCTTTTCCATCAACAAAGAGAGTGTCATTAAAGTACCGAGGAATTACAAATGAATTCATAGAAAACAGGTAGGCACAATTAAAAAGAAGGGAAACATTTGCAATGAACGTACCGCAAAGCTAGGACGCTGCGTTTTGGGCCGTGACTGAGTGACCTTTGAGGGCCCTTCCTTTCGGTGAAGTCTAGGCACCACGCTGATCACCAGCACGCACCCAATCAAAGTCAACTGCGAAGAAAACGCCCTCAAAAACAGCCCGTTCAATCACGTTACATTCACAGACTACCAATGAAAACAAGTACTCTTCGGCATTATGCACGAGAATCATTAGCTGCCACATGTGAACAAGGAAAAGGATCGCTGGACAGGCAAAGCCGGGCGCGGGTTGTCAAGGACTACGCAGGAGCCGCTAAAAATTCAGCCTCTCATATTTAAACAGTTTATTCAAGGGAGCCCACGCCGGGCATATTCTCGGTTACTTTGACCGTTTTAAGTGCCTTGCAGCTTGCTGTAAAAAGTCCCCAATTTTGTGGATGCATACAACATTTGCTTTTGCATCCCGAACAGCCTCACCAATGGTAGTGTCGAAAGCTTGGCCAGTGTGACTGTCTTTTGCAGGAACGCGGAGTTTATCGAGTGCCTTCTGCTCCGACCCCGGAAGTGTTGCGACATATCCGAGGAATTGGTCCAAGACGTGTCGACTCTCCATTTGGTCTTCGCTCATGTCCGCAAGCAGGACTACGGACATTTTCTCAAGCTCCTCGATTGTCTTTGGTCGGACACCTTTGGAAAGCTTGCCTTGTTCGACTCCCAAAGCTGCAAGCCCCTTTCCGAGGGGATGCTGCAAGATTGTTCGAATGTCTTCGGTAGTAAACATTTGGCGGCTGAGAGGGTTGCGCATTATTCCGCCGTTGCTTTGAATCGCCTGAGCCAACTCCTCCATATCCCAGGGATAGCCATCCTCTGTTGCTAGAAACCGAGTCCGCGGGATATCGGCCACCTTATCCCCATACATAGTTTCATCGCAGACATAAGTCCGGCGTAGAAGCTCGTGCTCCACATGCATCAGAGCCAGCGATGCGTTCCTTTTCATCCCGTTTGAAAGCGCAGAGGACAACATGCCCACCCTTTTGACCAGAGCCTCGCGCACGGCATCATTGTCCGGGTGACCAGATTGCGATCGTAGCCAGCGAGCCATGTCTTCTAGATCACCGATAGCAATATCCACAGCTCTCTCGGGATTCTTCTCCATGGCCCGCGCTACTGCCTGAGCGCTTCCCGGTTGCCTTACTCGTACGACAGAGCTAATACGCCCATCAGTTATATCTGTCAGGTTTTGAATGTGCACATCGAAGCGCGGGGAAATTGACGCTTCTTTTTTCTTGGAGGCGGAGAATACTTGGTTCTTGAGCAAATTCATGAATGAGATCCCTTTTCCTTTTCCTGTTTTCTCTGGGACTGGAACCAGAGGCTCATGTTGCTTTGCCAAATCTTTCACCAAGCAAGTCTCGCGAAGCAATTTCGCTGCTTTGGTGCGTAAGGCATTGTAGCCGCGAAGCAGCTCGAGTTGCGCTTCCTCGATATCGACAGGCACCGAAGGCGGAGGGGGTCGAGGAGGTGGGCCTGCCGGAGTTGGGATGTGATGTGATTGCGATCGAGTAGAGTCGTCTTCAAATAAAAATTCTTCCATGGAAAGAATCTCTTCGTCATAAGGGTCGAGATCCAAGTAAGCTCGAATGGCATCTCTTGCGGCGTCGACCCATCCTGCCTCCATACATTGCTGGATAAGTAGCCTGCGAGCTTCCAGAGCTGGGGGGTTGCGATCTATCTCGTCATAAAGGTCGTTGAGAAGAGTCATGTCAATTATAGGAGGACTGCGTGATGAGCTCGCAAAAGTCGCCATGATTGCGGATCAAATGGTTTGATGAGCACTGGAGATCTTGCTTGATTTTCCCAAGAGTTGAAGGGAAAGCATTGGAAATTCAAGGGAAAAGCTGGACGCGAAGGTAAGGCTCTATCAGTGAGTTGAAGGGGTAGCTTCACGAATAGCGAGCTCAATTGGGGCAGCGTGCCCGCCGAACCATGAAAGCGAGCAGGCTCCAGGACCGTTCCCTCGAGGGTCTCATGCATGCCGACAACCACTTGGCGCCACACTGCAGGTTGGTTCAAAGGAATCGGGCGTGGGAAGACGCGATGAAAGGTCGAGATTTACTGTGGACGTCGTCCTGCCGTCTCCACTTTTTACTTCTACATTCGGCCTAGTGCGCTGGGGAAGCTTGCTTCCCTGCCAGCACATCACGGACGGATCAATCCCGCTGGATGGCTCTCCTTTTCCCGTCAAGCAATGCCGGGAATGTCGACGATCACGCTCCTCTCCCACCGCCAATACTCCGTACTGTCAACAGCACGGATTCTCACCTTTTTCGAACCTAAGGACGCTAACACTGGACCCTTGTCGCAGGCGAATGCCCTGGCGAACCCCCACATTTCAGGAAGCAAACACCCAAAATGCCCCTACGGAAAGAACTCGTTCATGACCAAAACACCCGACGCAGCAAGGCAATCTCACCACGACGATAATGCATCAACTGATGGCCCACCAGGCTTGAAGTCAGTCATGAATAGGCTTGATTAAAGTATCTACCGTGACTAATTTCTTCGGAAGGTCGATAGTGGCTGGGATACCGATTCAGCCTTGGGTAGCGATGGTCAAATGTGAGGGCTAATACCAAGACTTGCTACTGATTGCTCACTACTTTGGCAGCTCGTCAACGGTTTCAATACGATCGAGTCTTTGTGACTACATAGAGGAGAACGGACGAAAGTATCACAGATACAAAGCAGGCAGTAGGTTCCACGCGAGCACAGGCCAGGCCAGGGCTGACCTCCCATAGCATGTATCCTACCCAATGACGAGGTCGGTCCAACCAGCAACGCTTGTTGTGGGCACTTCCGCTGACACAGCTTTTTTTTCCTAGACTGAACAAGAGAGATTGGATCCCCAACATCATTTATTTCTGTTAGCTTTAAAAGGCAGATTGTACCTCGCTCCAATTGACAACATCCCGTTGCACAATGTTTTGGATCTTGCAACGGGGTATATTTCAATGTCAGCCCCACTTTTCAAGCGCCAAGGATTCGCTTAAAACCCACTCGTCCCCCTTTTCCGTAGGCTCGCGATGTCAACAATTGGGTGAAAGAGGTGATTATACCTCAAACACCGATACATTGAAGGGTGATGGAAGCGCTCATTGTACCTATGATGTTGGTATACTTGAGAGGGATAACTCTCGAGAACCTGTTGTCCGTATATTGGTTATATGGGCGCGCATGTATCTTTGGTACAGAAAGAAACTGAGTGTCAGTTTCTCGCTCGTGTACGTGCCCCCGGGTTGAATAGGAGACTATCCATACCGCTTCAGCTCGCCACTGAGTGTCTTACTCGCATTCGTAGGGCCGAGACCTGTAAATTCGAGCGTTCTTGCTACCGCAGGTGCAGCGGCACCAGCGGTGGCGATTGGAGCTGTGATGAAAGTTGCAATTCCTGCCCACGCGAGAGCGTTCATGCTGGTCCCGTATTTGATGTACGTGACGTCGTTCATGTCGCTGTAAACAGAGCAGTAAGCACCCATGACTGACATTGGTGTTCGTTTTGCAGGGATGGTGTATGGTTGTGGAAGATGTGGCTGGCTTGACGCTCTGGAGGGAAGTGGCTGTAGTTGTGGTTGGGAAAGATATGTGGCAGCGACCTTTGATGTCAAGAATCACGAATAGAATTTATCTTGCATGAACCATCATTCACCATTTGCGAGCTTCTGATGCATACGTAGATATCTTTCGAGGACATGTGAGACAATTTGAGAAAAGCAGGATTCACGGTCGAGGCTAAACCGTACTCGTAGGTTGTGACGGCTTACGCAGCACCCTGACCACGATATATTGAATGTCGGCCTCAATCTTCTTGTAGGTGGTATTCCACGTACAAAGACATGAGACAATACATTGCTGGCAGTGCATGATTGAAAAGGTGCCAAGCCGCAAATGGCTCACGAAAAAGAATGGATCTACTGCAGCAGATTGATAGATTGCAAAGATATTAAGTGTGGGAGTAAAATGGCGTATCGATGCTTAGTCAGTTGCAAGTGCAGCAGGTCGAGATATAAGAAAGTGAACAGATGATTGTTGATATAGTGCAAATAAATTGACATAAAAGGAACATCAAACGTCTCTCGGAGCCTCTATCCAACAAACGTCCATCTTCTTGAGCCATCTAGCCATCCGCATCGCTGCTGCGGCTCAACGAGATTGATCCTTCCGGATCGCTGCAAGCTCAATTTGGGGATGACATGTGTGATGCAAGACCGGGCCAAGTTCCCCGCCAAATACGCTCCTCAGAACTTCATGTCCTAATACATAATATTAATTAAACGGGGACCTAAAATGATCCTGCCCCTCTTCATCTTCACAGACCTATGCATATACCGAGACTCAACTGAAGGGCGGTTTCAATGAGTGCAGCTTGTCCGCAAATTCTGAATTTGCGGAATTAAAGATGTATAAAGCTAGAACTCCTGAAGTTGGCAGATCATGGTCGATAGGAGAAATAAATCAGAAGGTGCAAGGCGAATAAAAGGCAGTAGGCTTGACGAATTTTGATGGAATCGCAGTCTTCGGTGTTCAAAGAACCAAAACTAATGATATGCTCTATCACAGAAGCAGCTTAAGAATTTTCAGGTCACAATATGTCACCCAGGTCTAAAAAATGTTGTTGTTCTTGTTCCAAACGTCTAGTACATCGGATGAAGCAGATCCTCTAGGGGCTAGACTTCATCCGGACTTTCGGGTAACTTGCTGTCAAATGTCTCCTCTTAGTCAATAACCAACAAGACGTGTTGCTTAAACTAATAGCTGCAAAGCGATAAATGATGGTACAGCACGTAATTAATATTTGTCGTCTGCGTCGCTTGGAACCGTTGCTAAAGCCTATCGACTTCGACTTCCTCGCGCCCCTCGCCTTCAAAGCTTCCGAAGTGTCTTCCTTGTGCCTCGCGGAGCCTAGAGCATCGGCGAGCACTTAAATAGTTTTTCGCAACCTCTCAGCATCGGGGGAGCTAGGACTACTCTGCCTCTGCTAAATCTCTTTCGGAGCAATCGGATGATGCCTCAATTGAAGCGTTCTCAAGGTCGTGTGCATTGACTTTCGAACCAGCTAGGGTTTTGGCCTACTATTTCGGCTTTGATCCTTGCCTTTGCTAATCTCTAGCATTTGAACCAAGTCTCAAAAGACTCACATATTGAAAAGAAATCGAAGAAATTATGACTTACCATCAAATTCAATCCTCACCGCCAACCCCATCTCTCATGACAAAGTAAATTCATTAAACATTGAAATTATCCGATCATCCTCTTTGCACTTTCTCAAAACCTCACTAACTCGTAACATTCCACCCAACAGCCGTATAGTTCGCCGGAATCACAGTATCCAACCAGTCACTCCCCATCTTCTTTACCAACGCATCCGTGAGCCCCGTAATACCACTCGCAGTAAAAGCCCCAAGAATAGGGAGGATTGCTGAACCTTCGCAGTCACTGTGGGTGCTCTCGGTGCTACTTGGGTTCGAGGTATCGCGCTTGAAGTTGATTCCTGGTGAGACGGTGCCGCTGTTTTGAATTAGTGAGGGAAATAGGAGAGGGAGAGGAAGATGGGTAAGGCGAGGGAATACCAGTTGTATTGGCTCTGACTCGCCCTCAATTCACAGAGATACGTCGTCTTGCAAGTCCCTGTGCATGTTGCAGCGCTGTAATCTCTACCGCGTCTTGCATACCATGTTTGGAATACATCGTCGTCGTTCTCAAACAGAACAGTCACGTTGTGCCAAAATGCAGGAGTGAGTTCCGCCGTGGCGTCCGTGTAAGGAGGAGTCAACAGAGAGCCATAGGCCTCTTTTACGCTGTAAAGCTTCTCCCAGACTGGACCGGATTGGTATGTGGGAGAGGAGATGTTGGCGTAGTAGACTGTGTAATCTAGGATTGCAAATGTCACTGGATCCACGCTGTAGACTCTGAACGTAGGGTTTCCGGAAGTTGGCGTCAGAGCGGGCGCGATGTATGATACCATCACTGCGGTCTCTGAGGTAGGGGCTGCTGGCGTTGAGTAAGCGATTTCGAACTCATCTTGATGTGTGTGACCGTAGAAGGTGGCGGAGATCGTGGCATCGAATCGTTGGATGATTTGATCTACGAGAGTCAGTCTGGGAAGGGGGAAAGGTAGGATTCGAAAGGTACCAAAGTATTCAGATTGGTCGTGGAACGCATCACTTTTACCGAGAGGCATATGTCCTATAAGCCAGACTCGTTCTCCTGCCGCTTCAGCAGCTTCAAGCTCAGTCACAAGCCAAGCTAGTTGACCGGAAGGATCCCTTTCCATGGTTTCCTCATAGAGCCAGAAATTTTGCTGTTCTCGAAGTCACAACTTTGTCTCCAGCATTGAGATTCATTAACGTACCTTGTACCAGAAATTTGTATTGACGCTGATAATTCGAAGACCCTGTGAGGTCAAGACAGAGTAGGAGCCATAGTTTGAATCTGCTTCAGCGGCAGCAGTAGCTCCAATCCAAGAAGACCAATCAGACGACATTGTATCATATGCCCATTGAGTGGTGATGGTTGTGTCTACTGCCCCAGGTGGGAATGAGTTGACGGGACTGGCGTCATGATTACCAACAACAGCGTAAGCTTGACCAAGGCGCTTCATTCTCGTATAGGCATCGTTCAGATCGTTCGTCACTTCAGTGTCTTGTGAAACTCGTCAGAAAATAATGAGTATAGCATAGAAAGTCAAAAGGTTACCAGTGACAAGCCATACTGCTCCTTCTACCACATCTCCGGTGAAGATTCTGGATATCATCAATTCTTGCTCATAAATCAAAGGTCCAGACTCACGTAAAGGCATTGTCAGGAACAAGAGATTCAATAGCAGAATACAAACTCTCCTCAAGAGTAACCGGAGAATCACAGGTATGCTCCCCCTAATATTGATCAGCCTTATTCTCTTGCTAGGGATCTGGTGCCTACATATTTTCCAGCAGGATAACTGTTATTTCCCGGCACATCTGCAGTTGTGTACGGTCTACAGCAAATGTTCTTCGTACAATCATAACTCGCACCAACCTCGTAACTCAAGTCAACATGGATATCAGAAATATGAACGACTTGAATTGGAGATTTTCCACTGGGAGCTGGACGAGTGGTAGCTGGTTTGTCACTCATGGAAACGGTGTAAGCTTCGATGTCTGGCCACTGGCAGAGTCCAAAGACTGTGAGGCAGAAAAGCTGAGAGGTCCGGGTGCCAATTGTCATGACTCTGAGGTCGTGGGCGAGGATTGGACCTTCGAGTCCAATGGCACCGGTGCTGAAAAGGTCAGTTAAGATTAAGTTTGACTGGGCCTCGCCTCCTACCAAACATCGGCATCATCAATTCCCTGCCTGTACGTCAGCGGATATCTGTGAAGGTGTGGGCAAAGCTTACAGCCAGAATGCAGATATCGGTGATTACGGCAACAAAGTTGTCATTGCCGGTATGAGCAAGAACTTTCAAGACTACCAGCAGAACCTAGCTTTTCATTAGCTCATCTCCCTTGAAGTTTCTTCTAGCCATACATTACAAGCTACACAAGTTGTCGCATCCTCAATGTCCGTCAAGATATCCGACACCGTTGATCTCTTGCCGAAGGCACTCAACGCTTGCCCAGTCGTCTCCGAGAGAGTAAGACTCGACGTGAAGGCAGGCAGAGCGGCGAGCAGTCCCCCAACAATGGTTAAGAACCGCATCTTGATGAACGAGTGGATGATACAGCGAAACTTGGATTCCTCAACCAAGAGTACAAGGAGAAAGCAATCGCAGTTCAACTAGAGCCCACAACCCAGAGCATGGCAAGAGAGGAAAATGGTATACTTAAACATTTCTATTCGTCATGCTCAGCCTGGTAATCTACATCGCCTCTAACTTCTCCGCAGTGAAGGTCAGGAGCCTCGGGACCTAATTTCGCATGCATGTCTGCATGCGCATTTCCCAGCTCCATAACATCGTCGATATACCCTACCACACCCCTATCTCTCCTCTCCTGTCTGCGGATCATCGAGAACGGCGTCCAGTTCCAGGTCGTGGCCCGAGAAGCTTTCACGTAGCGCCGGGTAGAGCTCGTGGCCCCTGGCTGAAAGCCCCTGTAGAGATGCAAGCGAGCCAGATCGTGCGCGAAGGTTTAGCCAACACGAGCTCGGGTGGGTAACAAGCTTTTCTGCCAATATGGACCGGCAAACTGGGGAGTGGAACGATGCTTCTCCGACGTCCGCCGGGCAGCAAGTTGAACGTTTCCTGGTCGAAAGTGGACGATGGAGCTGGAGTGCAAAAACCTGACTTCGATCACGAGGCGGGTGAACGTGAGGAGTTGTGTGGTTGAAGAAGTCGCATTCAACATTCCGTCCGTATCCGCAACGACTAGTTGGACATTGGAGATGTGACTACTGAGAAGAGTTCAATATCCTGAGACGTCGGGGAGATTGAAATCCTGAGAGCTCTCCGGCTTCCATCTACTCTTCACCTACTCCAGTAAACACCAGTACATGGTTGCCTGCTTAGGCACATTTTGGAGCACATCTCTCAATTCGGAGCCAAATTTTGTAGTACACCAGGGCTTGCAATTCCCGAAGTCCATCATGTGCCATACTTTACAGAGCCGCCATAACGCCTTTTCGTTTCATGCATATCCCTTATTTCTTGTCCCCAAACTTCTGATGAATAGCTCTAATCTGCTCCTCCACATTAACATTCTGCATAACCTCCAACCGCCTTGGATCCCCCTTCTCGAGCTGCACCCCATCATAGCTGTTCATCGCGGCCTTCTTCCTCCGCGCCAACTCCTCTTCGGTAATCATCTGTCCCGTCGCGCTATCAAAAAGATCACTTCTCTGACTTGCTAACCTCTTCAAATTGTTAGCAACATCTGCTGTTGACAGATTAGTCGTGGCGTAACGGCTGTCAGCCTTGGCCTTTTGCTCTTTCCAGCGAGGATCGAGGAGTTCAACTGTGATATTGTTAAAGTGTGTACGAAGACGAGGGTGAAGAGTAATTACTTCTCATGTGCTCTTCAAGCTCGTTGGCAGGCATCTGTTGACGACAATTTGGACATAAGACCATATTCTGCTTAGAAGCCGCTCTTGCTGCTGCTCTTGGCACGTAGTTCTCCTTGATCCTCATCGGTGCAGCACCTCCCTTTGCCTCCGCCTGTGCTTGCTGAGCACGTTGTCTCGCCTCAGTTCTCTCCCTGATACGTTGCTCTTCCTCATCCTCTTCATCTGCATTCCTCATCCGCGTATCTTGGTATTGTGGCTGGTACGCTTGTTGAGGTACTTGCGGAGGAGCCACCTGCGTTGGTTGTTGGGGATAGTTATTATAGTAGTCGTTGTCCTCCGGCATTGCTTCTTCGATCCGCATGTTGGCCGACGCACTCCCAGACATCATAGCCTTCTGATCCAGTGAAGCAAACTGCAAAGTCGACAAGGAAGTCGGTGGAGGAAGTTGAGTGTGATCATCCGCCTCTGTAAATACCACCGTCTCAACGACAACGAAGTCATGCCAGTCGATCTGCGCATATGTCATCCTCTCCTTCTCAGCCTCTTCTTCTTTCTTCTGCTTCTGCTCATCCTGAAATTTGAACCATTCCGCCCTCTGCTTTGCTCTTCCAAGGACGTGAAACTTATCGTCGACGTTGGCCTGTAATTCCTTAGTTCGTTCCTGCTGCAGTTTCCCACCTTCACCATCCATTCCCCCGGCCCGTAAAAGCGCAGTATACTGATCAATCAGTCGCTGGAAAAAGCTATGTAGCGTATGATTCGGCCTCAAAAAGTCGAACTGGTAATTCCCCGTCTCCCTCTGACTCAAAGTCGTCATAAACTGCCGTCCATTCTTCGCCACAAACAGCGCAGTCAGCCTCACAACCTCTAAATCTTGCGCACTGATATTCGGCATGCGCGCCGAGAAATGGAACTCCGGCGGTTCTGGGGGCCCTTTAGGCTTCTCTGCTTCAGCTGCAACTTCGCCTGCTCGCCCAGCAGCCACAGCCGTACCTCGACCTTCTCTGATCTCGCTGAGTCGCCATAGGTAGTATGCATTATAGGAATCGTTCGGGCTCAGGAAGGAGAATTTCGGGTTAGTCCTTTCTTTTTCACGAATGCGGTCTATGACTGTTAGCTGAATTCCTACGACTTCAAGAGGGGCTCGCCCACCTTCAAAGACCATCCCATTCCGTGCTACATATCCTGCTGTCTTTTCGAGAATGGCTAGAGAAAATATTAGCTGTGGTTCTTGACTGAGGGAGGGTGTCGCACCTTTGATCTCTCGAGGAGGCAGAACAACGCCGGGAGGCGCTTTGATCTCCTCAAGCGCCGCGATGGGATCTCCATTCGTAGCTGATGGAGCCATGTTGGGCGACTTGTGGGTGACTGGATGAGTTGAGTCGTTGATGGAAGAGTAGGCAATCGCGCTGAGGTTTCTGCTTCAACACGCTAAGAGTTGCAGCCTTGCCGAATGTGGCCAATCAACGTGAAGGCCTTTGACTATGGGCAATTTTTTTTTCGAAATGGATTGACTTAATTTCTATATGAAATGTATCCTTCATCTCAACTAGGTGTTATTCTCCTGCTTGCTTACTTTCTTGCTTTAGATCTGCATATATTCTCGAAATCACACTATCACGGGCATAAAGTTAAAACGTTATCACTTAAAAGGTCTATTATCTCTCCTCTTCTAATCTATGTTTCCACCCCCCTCATGCGTGAGCGACCGTCCGCTTGTTTCGTTGGCTGAATATATAATTATGTTCCGTTTGAGGTATTTACCGACCGCCAAACGCCTGGCCATACCCATTATGAGGCGCTGACACGCCGGTCGTAACGCCGTCCGCCCTTTGCAGAATCCGAGCCGTTTCCCACGAAGATGTACATAAATGGTGCTGTCGTAATCCAACCGTTCCGGGTTACTCAAAGGGTCCCGGAATCGTTATTGAAAGTCTCTTCACCCCGCCCTTCTCAACCTCATCACCTGATGCAACTTGCAATGATGAAGTCGACTGTGTAGAATCTCTTGTCGTGTCACGCTTCTCCATTGCCACTTCAAGATCTTCAGAGGCCTTTGCGTCAACAACCTCAGGTGCCTTGGGGCTAGGCATTGCTGCGTCTTCTTGTGCTGCTTCCCAAAGTCCTTCCGCTGTATCAGCCTTGGCAAAGTCTTTGCTAGTCCTCTTTACTGTCTTGGGGGACTTGGCAATATCGACTGGACTTGGTTCGGGTACTGGTGTAATGTCCTTCGGCTGGATTTCTCCTGTCCGTTCAAGTTCTTCGCTGAGCTTTCTCTCCTGTTCCTTTCTTTCATCCCCACTCACTCTTGGGCTTCGTGAGGCGTCTGAGTGGCTGTGATGTGTGGGAACAACCCCTCCACCCATTCGGCACCAGAACATCTGTTCCCTCAGGCGAACACTCTCTTCCCAAGCCGCTTTCTCAGACTCTTCATCATCAGCTCTCCAATGACCATCTTTCAGTATTCGCAAGAAACCTAAGAAATCGCAAGTAGAACGCACGCGGCCGAGGCAATATTTGCACAAAGGATATCGCTGAGCATTTTCACTCTCGCTGGTTCGGAATCGATGGGTTCGAACGTGGTCTGGATCCTTACGTGTTTCGCCGCAAAGTGAGCAGGCAAAGACGAAGTTCTTCGTCGAAGCTGGCATTGGTTCCACGACCAGAGTACCTTCGCAAACAGCATTTAGCACGTTTCTTCGAGCAAGCCAAGAAAGACCTGGCGCCGTATCCAGCCGTAACGTTGGCTCAATATCTTCGGCCAGGGCTCTCTTGTAAAACTTTGTTTCCTTGAGCGGAGTCAACGAATTAGGACCATTTGTTGAGCCCGTACTGACAGTTGAAGCAGGTGTTGTTGGTGTTGCGGGCGAAGAACCCAAAGTTGCGTTAGTAGATAATGAGGAACTGGATCCATTCGTCGGCGCTGCATGGGTTGTCGATTGCGAATAGTTGCTCAAACCTAGCCCTAACCCTATATGACCGTATGAACCGCTTGATACTCTGCTGGTGGCTGGAACGTTCTTAGACATTCGAAGTAGAGACGTGAAGTCGTCATACGAAGAAAGGTCTGTTCGGAGAACTGTTTGGAGGAGATGGGTCAAGCTCGTTGGATAAGTCGGTGAAACGGTTTCGGGAACTGCTGAATGCACTGCGTCCGAATCGTTCACGTTCTCTTCCTTGCTGTCGAACTTGCTGAGACCTGGAGTGGACGGTGCGGTATGATTTGTCTGATCGTCCCGCTCTTCGGTCATCTGCTCCATAACTTGCTTCAATTCTGCAAGCTGTTCTTGGTGCGATTTAAGTAGGCTCTCCATATCCACCAGTTGGGCTTTCAATTGATCATTCCTCCTTTGCACAATGTCATGCTCTTTTTGTGCCTCCTCCCGAGCCGTGATCACCATCTACTGATATCAGCAAAGAAGACACAATCAAGACGTAAGTTCCTACCTTATTTGCTTCTTCAAACAAAGCCGTGGTTAAGTTCTCGAGCTCCTGTTCAATATTCTTCTTCTGGCTCTCAATTTCAGCCTTTTCCTTCCTCTCTTGCTCCAAGCTAACCATGAGCTTGGCTCTCTCCATTTCAACAGTCGACTTCTTGACCAATATCCCTCGCGCCAGCATATCCGAGTGCTGCTGATTTGCTTGCTCAAGTTGTTTTATCTGTTCCCGTGCAGTCTCAAGCTCGTGCCGTGTGGCGGAGAGGGTGTCGTCCAAATTAGTTTGGTGATTTATTGCGTTTATTAGTTTATTACTGAGGGTTGCTACTTCATTACTGAGGTCTGGATGGTGGGAGGGAGTTGGGGGGCGGCTGTCATTCGCGGGGGACATTGTTCGACTTCGAGGATCGGGTAAGGTGCTCATATTTCCATCTTCGTCATCGTAAGGATGCAGATTCCTCGGCGTTGGAATTCCCGGCGCGTTTGCTACCGCGGCCATTGTGTCTTTCAGAGCCGAGGTCGATATGGATTTTGAAACTGGCCTCGCTGGCGGTCTCTGGGTGGTCTTCGAAGAGACAGAAGAGAAAGATCGAAGGTGACTTAAGGAACGATGAGCTGTTGGCTGCTGTGTCCATCCAGCAACTTGGACGAATCTAGGATAACAGAAACATTAGCAAACAACGGGATTGCTTCAAGACTGAAGTGGGTGGGTTGGACCTACTCTGCCATATTATATTGTCAATGGCTGCCCAGTGTTCCCGGCCTCGATAGACTGAGAGACAGCCAGCCCAGTTGGGAAGGAGCCTCGCAGGAAGCCGGCCCAACAACAAAGCTGTCGGGAAGGGGACTGCGAGAAGGAAAGCGCGGCGTCGACAATCAGGCGCTTCTTTGAGCAGTCGTAGGAGTAGACATTAGGTATCCGGTTCGATTGTGCTTGGGAACTCTCACGATTTCAAAGTCTGGAGGAAGAGGTTGTGCAGGAGTCTCGGCCGGGGAGGACGGACCAAGGTGGAGGTGGAGTACGTTGGAGGGCAAGGTCAATTCGACTGGATCCGCACCCACTCTGCTGACAGCCTGGCCCGGCACGGCTTTCTTGGTGGTGAAGCGAGCGAAAGAAACAGCGCGTCATCTGCATCTGCATCTGCATGGGGGAAGGCAAGCACCAGCAGCAGCCAAGTTTGAAGTGAAGGGTGTGAAGGGTGGGATCGCAGGGCCGTGGACGGGCTGAAGTTTTCCACGCCGATTCGACTCCCGACGCCCCCCGGGCGTTTGCACGCCCAATCGCCACACGGCGCCACTTGCAGCCCGTCGCATATTGAAGGATTATGACCTGTGAGATACAGTAGTGCAGTACTCAAGCGTTGGTCTTGCCTGTACGAACGTCTTTCTCTTTCCTTGACTTCAGTTCTGCTCGAAGTAATTGTAAATTTCGCAGTTCCGGAGTAGCTTTCCAAGCACTGAAAAGGGGAGGGGGCATTTTGACTTTGGTTGGTGATTTTCCATCCGAGACTCCAGGTCTGCCCTCGAACCAACACCAGCAGTCTGGCCCCCACTCCAGCTTGGAAAATCTCACAGTTCCTTCCCGGATTCTTTCTCGACTCCTCGACGCTCGTCCTCTGCTCTGCGACTGCAGAGCCCGGAGCAAACTTCTACCTTTTCTTCCGGCTTCCCCAGCTGCAGACTCGATATTGGACGGATGGTTGCCGCTGCTGAAACCTCGACTTCCAACGCCGTGCCACCGTGTTGTAAATTAGTTTGGACTTTCTGTTTGCTTCAAATTTAGAATGGTAATGCTTCGCCCTTTACCCCACGGGAGGATGGACGATCATACTGGTGTGGATGGACAATCTCCCAAGTTTACCATCTTCTCAAACATCAATTTCAATCGTTTCCTCTTTCAAGCATTCAAGAAACGTGGAAGAACCTTTCTTTTCCACACCTGACGGAGGGGTGTTCATGGATCATCATGCGCCTATACTAGTCGGGGTGTTTAAGCTTCTATGCGGACACTGCCATCGTCAGTGCGTTTATGCGCTGAGGACAGGAGAGGGAATGGATGATCTTCGTTCCTTCACTGTGCGCCTCATTGGTCTGCCCCACGATCAGTACAAGTGTATCAATCTGGACTTATGCGTCCCAAAGGTCCATGTGCTGAAGTTGCAGCTCGTGTTCTTGGTGCTGTTCATGGTTACACTCGCAAGTTCAGTACGCATCCGGCGTACACGAGGAAGTGCTTGTGTTTCAGCAAACGGGTGCGAGAAGAACTCGCAGACCCAGTGATCGTGTTCCATAATAACCAAATCTTGTACCACAACCGGGTTGCACAATCGGCAGCAGCCTCTTCCCCGGCTTTCTGCAATTAATATCATGAGAGGATTAAAGATTTGCCGTCAAACGGTAAAAATGGCTAATAGAGGAATTAGGTTTAAAAGCTAGAATATTAACAAAATCCAGACGGCAATTGCTGTGCTATACGGAAACTTGAGGGGCGAATTAATAAGCACCTGACCACTGTCAATGGCTCGTCTTAAGATTTGACATGTGTCGTCTGAGACCTCGAGACGAATTCCAAACGTCAACAGGGGCTGGTTGACAGTGGCCACTTCCGTGACACTTCGCAAATGTCGTCATTCCCTGAGAGTGTCAAATGCTAGTCAGGGGAACGAACCGGGATTCTCGAATTCGGCAAGTTTGGGGAGCTGTGAAGTACCGCTTATTTTGACCGTCTCGGTATCAGCAAAGTTGCACTTGAACCATTCTTGGGCAAAAGATTGTGAGGATTGGGATGGCGACAGGAACTTTTGATTTGTGGTTATTTATACTTGTGCACTTAGGGAGCATCCATAGGCTTCGGACCTTGAACAGAACTCCTTCGAGCTCCAGGAGGCAGCTTGACAGGGCTTGGTAGTTAACATGACATTTGAAGTAATAGGAGCTTCCGATGACCCCATTGCCAAGTCTAGAGTTATAAATTTCTTGAAGATCCCCTACAAAATCCTCTCGAGCGTCTCAATAAGCTCATCAGTCTCTTCCAACCCATCATGAGAAGCTACACGTGATCAAAGTCACGTGTTGGCAGCTCATCTGAAACCCCTGCTCCAATCTCAAACACCAGGCCAACTTGACACACTCCAGCTCCAAACACTAACTGCGCTATTCCTCTTCGGCTCAGTATGATTCCAAAGTTCTGTTCCATCTGATAGGATGAGTCAAGATTCCATTCTGTCAAGTCGTCTGATCCTGCTCATCTATCAGCTCTTGGCAAAGATCTCCAAACATTGGACCAAGAGATTATCAGATCACACCTTTGCCAAGAAAGTAATGTTTGGAGTGTTGGAACTCTTTGATCCAAGGGAGTTGCAAATTCGAGCGATGTGGAATCAGTGAGGTGGGAATGCAGTATTCGAGCAGAAGTTAGGCGCTCTCCTTGAATTCATGGGGCCGTCGTTGTGATATAAGGATTGGGTATCTTCTCTATCATGTTACCTTCTGTAGCAAGCCTGTCTTCTATTCTCTAAACATACATTAAGCTGGTTCTTGTGGATATTTTGTAAACACACTCTTTTCGAATATTTTGCACTTTGTTCCAACTTCAATATCAAACATGGTTTTCTTCACTTCAATCTTTACATGCCTTGCTATTCTTTCCACCACCGTGGTAGCACTCGCTATTCCCTTGGGAACAACTGGCCGGTCTCTCTCCATCAGCGAAGATGGCCAAACCATTTCCATTGACGGACGGGCAATCAATCTCGATCAAGCCGTAACTCGTGCTGGGGTTTGCAGCCCAAGCAGCCACGGGGGAGGAAGGCAACGACACGGAAAAGGAGGGCCATCTTCCAATTCGACTTCAGCAGCCTCGAACAATGCAAAGGCAATCTACTTCCTCACTAATGCCGCCAACAACTCGATCGTGGCCTTGAAAGTGGCAGCCGATGGGAGCCTATCTGATGGATCCATCACATCCACAGGAGGAGTAGGAATGAGTGGTGTTGATTCCACTGGAGCACCAGCAGCGCCCGACTCCCTTTTCTCACAAGGCGCTCTCAAAGTTGCTGGAAATGTATATCTCCTTCTCATTTTTCTTGCATCCCAGCTAACCGCAGCAGTCCCTAGTAGCCGTGAACCCAGGCTCAAACACCCTGTCAATGTTCAGCATCTCCCCTACCGATCCAACCCAGCTCACACCCCTCGGAAACCCCGTCTCTACACTCGGTGACTTTCCCGTCTCCGTCACACTCTCAACAAAGCTATCCCTCGCCTGTGTAGCCAACACAGGTGCTCGCGCCGGCGTAGCCTGCCTGACCATGTCCCCCAACGGCCTCACTCCTCTTGACAAGACCCTCCGTCCCTTCGCTTTGAACCAATCCAATCCCCCCAGCGGACCTTTAAACACCGTCTCTCAGACATTCTTCAACGCCGACTCCTCTGCTCTCATCACCACGGTGAAAGGAGACCCTAGCGTCAACAACACTGGCTTCCTCTCCGTGTTCCCTGTTACCAACGGCGCAGTCTCGATGACAGAAACTCGATCATCGCCCGCTGGCACGGCTGTTCTCTTCGGCACAGCGCTGTTGCCGAATTCGAATAATATCTTCGTGACTGATGCTTCATTTGGCTCAGCTACTCTCTCGCTGGATGCAAAGAATGTTGCGAGCGTGGTAGCGAAAACCAACATCGCGGATCAGAAAGCTACATGCTGGGCCGCTTTCTCGGATGTGACAGGGACAGCGTTCGTGACAGACGTTGCTGTGAACCACCTTGTTGAGGTCGACACAGCTACTGGTGCATTGATCAAGGAGCTGCAATCAGGGAATGGAAACCCGGGGATGATTGATTTGGTTAGTGTGGGGAACTTTGTTTATGCGTTGAGTCCGGGGAATGGGAGTGTGAAGGCGGCCGTGACGGTTTTCGATGTCAGTGGTGGGAGAGGAGGTAAGTTATGGTTCATTCTAAGGGGGAGATAGGAGAATACTAATGAAATATAGCTGCCAAGGAGATTCAGAATTTCAACCCAACTGGTGTGCCGGATAGTGCACAGGGGATGGCTTTCGTTTGATGGTTTCAGAGGCAAAGGAATGTGGTGCTAGGCATATTGGAGTAAGGGGGCAAGAACTCATAGCAGACCAACTTTGGGAGAAGTGTTGTACTTTTATGCATATGAAATTTCAAAATATAAGTCGTGCTCAAAGATTGGCAAATCATTCTCAAAGCCTCAGCAAATACCATTGGATGGAGCATCACGCCGATAGGAAAGACATCAGCAGTATCAGCCAAAGTTTTAGAATTGAAGACAATATAAGAAATGTGACACCGACGGGGCTGTGCTTTGGGCAAAGAAAGCCCGTTCGCTGAGCCCACACCAGCTATCTTTCTTCTGGGAACACTTGTGAGGGCCTAAAGAGAAGTGGGAAACTTCATCTCAAGCGTGACAAATACGGTTCCGTGAAAAAAAATCAGACGGTATTGGGACTATAGCACATATTCCACGGGGAACCATAAAGCACCGGAGCACACATTCCCAGCCAGCGTCAAAGTATCATAGCGTCACCACATCACCAAGCACAGAAATTGGCGATGAATTTAGCTCTCATTCCCTGAGATAATGCACAAAGTCCATGTATCATGCAATGCTAAACCTCTGCCTTCATGATCATCCCGGAAAGAAAACCCAAGCAACTCCCACAGACAGAAAGCTCAGATGGTTGTCTCGTAGGCGATCGGAACCACGGTCTCTGGTACGTTGTCCTTCATCGAGATCGTTCTTGATTCTCGCGGCATGAGGGGTTGTCTCTTCAAGTGGACGTGGGTGCCTTCCTCCTTCGACTTCTTCTTCAGCTCGGCGTTCTTCTTGACTCTGCGGACGAACTCTTCTCTCGATCTGGACAGGGAGACGTGCTCGACTCTCAGGTTGACTCGCTTCTCGATGTACCGGTGCTTGACCTTCTTGTAGATGATGACACCGACAGCACTTTTCGTAACGTTGTAGACGACGCCAGTCTTTCCGTGGTAAACCTTGTGTGGCATACTGTTTGAAGTTAGAGTCCATTCCAATTGTGTCATCTTTTATTAATTGCTTCTAATGTCCTTTCGAAGCTCGATTCGTGGGATTGAGGGAACTGACCCCTTCTGAACAGCACCGTTCGCCTTGATATCAACGATGTCTCCGACTCTGTGGCGTATTAGCATTCGCCCCGTACTCAATGCCCACCTGATCAACTTACTTGTATTGGCGCAAGTAGGTGGACAACTTGATCATACCCTTCTGCCGGAACTGCGCAAGAAGTCAGCATTGGCAAAGAAGCGAGAGGGACAGGGAGAAAAACTTGTCTGGAGAACGCATAGCGCGTTCCTGCGCGGAGACCTGCTGGATGACCCATGATGTCGGTAGGGTGTAGTTGTCGATGGGAGCGTTGGAAGTGGTGTCGCGGTGTTGATGTCGTTCAACCTTCAATTTTCGCAGGTCTCGGCTAATTTTTAGCAGCCACCAAATTTGTTGTGGGTTTCTTGCCCTACATTCTTGCCACGTGATTATCGAGCTAAAGTGGAATTCTAGCGCACTTGGACATTCACAGCGCGAAAATCAAAAGTTGCTGAAGCTTTGAATCCAAGTACAATCTTCAACATCGCCATCGACAATAAAGATCCGCCGCAATCATGGCTCCACGATCTTACAGCAAGACGGCGAAAGTGCCCAGGAGACGTAATTCCCCCCCTCTTTTTTTTGCCCTTCCGCTCAATTTCCTGGCTTTTTGAGGTGTCCTCAGATCATCGATCCCCTCCTTGCTCTTGCAACTTCTGCTACGTAGGGTCAACTTTGCTGACTTCACACAGCTTTCGAGTCTGCTCGTTTGTAAGTTGACCACTGTATTAGAGCTTGCTCTGTACATGTCATTAATTATGTCCTAGGGACTCTGAGTTGAAACTCGTCGGCGAGTATGGACTCCGCAACAAGCGTGAGGTCTGGCGTGTCCAGCTCACCCTCTCCAAGATTCGTCGTGCTGCCCGGTATGGCCCACAGCCTCAATTGAAATGCAGGCCACTAACAATCCGCAGTCAATTGCTCACTCTTGACGAGAAGGACCCCAAGCGACTCTTCGAAGGAAACGCCCTCATTCGCCGTCTCGTCCGTGTTGGTGTCCTCGACGAATCCCGTATGAAGCTCGATTATGTGTTGGCCTTGAAGATTGAGGATTTCTTGGAGCGTCGTCTGCAAACCTGTGTCTACAAGCTCGGTCTCGCCAAGTCCATCCACCACGCTCGTGTTCTCATCCGCCAGAGACACATCCGTGTTGGCAAGCAGATCGTCAACGTCCCTTCGTTCGTTGTCCGTCTCGACTCCCAAAAGCACATCGATTTTGCCCTCAGCTCTCCCTTCGGTGGTGGACGCCCTGGCCGTGTTCGGAGAAAGAAGGCCAAGGCTGCTGAGAAGAAGGATGGCGGTGATGATGCGGAGGATGAGGATGATGAGTAGATGCGCACATTTTCTTTGCACACAGGTGGCTATGGCTTGCATACTTCGTGTGGTTTTGATCACTAAAGCACCGAGTGTAAAATAAAGCTCGAGGCGTTAAAGAGGCATGCATCGTGGCTGAACAAAGTGTCTGCCCACTTCCATCCGTCATCTTCCATCCAGTGATGACTTGCTCCTTCAAACCTGTGCCAATTGTCCCCTGTATCCTCTGCCATACCTGATATGCTGATGCTGCAGTATGTCCAACCAGAAGGATAGAATTGCCACTGAATTTCAAAGCTTTCCAAGGCACAAGGGCTGTATTGACCCAGCATCAACGCCAAAGCCCTTTGCGATTCTCAATTTGGAATCCTCATCTCGTCATACCTAAAGTCAAAGGGGACCTGCTTCGCAAAGTTCCCAACAAGACCCAGGTCACAAAGTTGAAGAGGGCAAGAAATTGGCAAGAATACGGGTTTCCTTATCTAGCCCTTTCACTCGTTCACAAAGCTCTTTCAATATCGGAACCATTTTAAACCCAGTAGCGGAACCCTTTGCACCATAAAGGTCTAGAACGAGGATCACTCTTGACCTCGTGTTGAGGAATAATAGGATTGCATCTGAATCTTCGGGAGATCTATCTCAAAGTATGTGGGCTGAAGCGCTCAACGATCAAGGTACACTCTCCTTCCTTCCTAGCATGAATCCGGATGCCACGGAAGACCTACGAGGTAAGTGTTGCACCTCAGAAACCTCAACTAACCTTTTTACCACTCTTATAAGACTTCTGGGACCTATCCTGCAGCTTCCATTCAAACTGTCTCTTACCTCCAACCACAAATAGCGTAGTCATTCTCTTCTTTACATTTGTTCGGGTCATTCTTGTCCCCTTCACAGGTGTCCTTTCCCGTCCATCCTTCCCAGTGCTTCCCCGCATTTATCTCATCTTGGTCACTCATCTGTACCTCCTCATGGGGGGCCTGGCCTCATTGGTTGCAGGCCAAAATCCAGAGTCGAGATTCCGGGCAAGACGGTAAACGCCGATTTGCGTCTTCGAAGACTCGCTCTCCAGAGTTCTCTAGCAATGTTTGAAAGAGATGAATAGCGGGAAGCACACCATTGAAGTGGTGACAAACGAGAACACAAGGGGCAACTGCCAAAACGCGCTGCGTGCTGGATCTCCGAGTAGGCCATGTCTCTCTTGACACTGAATAGGCAAACGCGTTGGGCAGCTCTGGCTTCGAGAACTGCCTTTCCACTCATCCGCTCAGCTCGGTTCTCTCCTTTGTCACCCTTCTGACTTCTCCGGGGCCTGGCACTGTTCTCAAAGACCAGCTCGTTCTGGTAATCGCTGAATTTTCTCAGACCAGAGGCGACAAGCCAAAGTTGACCATCATCAGACACACTCGCGGTCGAGGAAGTTAGCGAAGCAGTTGCCAATATAATCGTTCTACAGCATCATACAGCAAAGTTGGATCTTCAGATCGAATTCCTACCCCTCTAGACACAGGTAAGCCACCTGAGTCCCAGAATACAAGACCGAAGCTGACACTTTAATGGCAGGGGATAATAGGTTTGTCTCCGATTTCATAATCACTGGCAAGACTTGCTCTGGTCAATCTCCTCACCAACTTGATTGCTGGCTAGGACCAAAGTTGTCGAACCACTTCTGGCAGAACGGACCAGCTCCGAGGATCTCGCTTTTAGGTGCTGTTGCCACCAATACTTGCCAATCTGATACCGCGAGTCTTCACCGCGTCTGTACAATGTCATGGCAGCGTCCCACTGTTTCTGGATGCACAGAATCAAACCACAGCTGCTAATATGGTTGTAGATGATATGCAGAGAAATTGTCAATCACCGGCTTGGTCATGGCAACGGGAGTCGAGACAATCAGCTCCCTGCATTAATATCCTCACGTATCTTGGATCTGACGAATAGCCTGCCCCTTTCCACCGCCGAGCACAAACAAAAAGTGAAGATGGACTCAGTCATACTGAAGGAATTGCTACCTGTCATGTTCTTCTGACTAAAGTCTGCATGCCATAGCTGTCAGCCTGTGAATCTGGTCAAACGAGATTTGATCTGTGGAAAAGAAGATACGACTAAGTCCACACACCGAGAGATGCCCTCTCATAGAACATTCATTCAAGTCGGTTTGCCCCGGGTATGTCTTCTGACACGACACATCCCAACATTACGGTTGGCCAGATCTGGGACACCGGTGTCCTGAGAAGGAGATATACCTCAGAGAGCTGGTAAAACCATTGTTGGCATCTGTTCACTTGCGAGTTGAGAAGGGACCACTATCCTTTGAACTGGGGCGATTGCACAGGAAATGACGACCACATTCAAGAAACTGGAATGTGCCTTTCAACACCTCCTCTACGCTGACAAGCCCATAGAAGTATATTTGTAGCTATTTTCCTTGCCATAGCCGACTTCGATGATACATGGACCCCTCCACTGTATTCGTCGTTTTCCAGACTATAGATATACCAGTCCAGACAAGCTTTCCGTATCAGCTGTGATAAGAAAGGTTGGTACAGCTGTGGCAAAATCGCAATACCCAATATTGCTACCTTCCGTGTCCAGCAACCAGTGCAAGCTATCTTGGTGATTATCTTCGAGGAAGAAGTGTGTCAATGTTCCGGAAATGAACTGCTATTTGCTGACTTACTATCTCTGGTGTACTGGAGAACTCCTTGCTTAGGAAACAAACCCGTTTCTTGGGAGATAGGAGCACGCAAACAAGCCTTTCACGCTCAGGACACCAACGAGAAATGCTCAGCAGACACCTCAATGCTGCTGTCAAGTCAAACTCAAGGCCGATAAGAGGAAGCAGGGTCGACCCCGCCCTGGGGCAGCACCAGAAAATTTGATATTCACGACTGGCTGCTGCTACCCTTACGAAGACAACATGCCCCTCAAGGTCTTCAAGGGTTCCGAGGAAGCATAAAGATGCTGCCAGCAGAGATAATGAGTCTATCAGGAGCGTTGCTGTTGGAAGCTGCGGCACTTCTTGTTGTTAGAGAGCAGAAGAGTTTGCCTTTTCATCCAGCAGCTTGTTCCTTTACGCAGCAGCGCCATATCTCCAGCGTTTTAAAACAAAGGCATTAACACACGGTATCCCAAGATTTTCCTACTTCCAATCTGCTCTTGACTAACATGTAAGACTACAATAGGCTTAACCATGTCTTTGGGCGTTGCTGCAGAACACATACGAAATGATTTTCACGCAACAGGCTGCACCGACTCAATATAATACCGCTGGAGGAACATCGGGGGCGGCGACAGGGCATGTTTGCGGTCTTCCTTGCTTCTTTCTCGAGCAAGATGAACTGAGTGGCTTTGCTGCAGCATTTCCTGCTCGAGATTCTTTGGTATCGGATTCGTCAATAGAAGCGGTATGTTTTGCAGCTCAGCGGCTTGAGAAGAGAGCGCAAGGATCACAAGGAACACATGCGCCTGGAGGACTTGGCTGGGTCCTTCTTGGTACTGTCACGATCGAGCAACGGCTGCTCCGGAGAAGGGCATCGAGTTTCTTCATGGCTATGGTTGAATCTTTGGTCTGCTTCCTCTTTCCAGATGGTGATGAGAACATTGCAGGCTAAGATGGCCCTGCTCCGAAGGTTTTGTGTTCAATTTGCTACCTGATAGATGGATCCTTATAAACCAGTGTTAATCTTCAATGATACTTGAGATTGCAGCTTCCCATTATGACCAGTGATTTGACCTATCTGATACTTTGATGCTGCTGATTTCTTTCCTCCCACTTCCCTTTCCTTCCGAAAGTTGATACTGCGATGCAATGATCCAAGTCCCTCCTGGATCTTGAATGTGTACACCTCAAGCCGAGAGTTCATCTACCATCCTCCAACAAATGCACCCACGGTGCAGCGCCTAGAGAAATATATCTTCAAACAATTTCCTCACGTGGAAAACCTCCCGGTAAATCTGAAACTCAGTGTTGATTGGTCGAAAAAATCCAACCTCCCCAATTTCTGACTATGACGTCGGGGACGCTGTGGTTGGTCGAAAAAATCCAACCTCTTCATTTCCGACCCTGAGAGCTCGAGTGCTGCTGTTGGTTGAAAAAAATCCAACCTCCTCATTTTTGACTGCGAGGGAGCGCTGTGGTTGGCCCAAAAAATCCAACCTCCTCAATTTCTGAGAGTCGTAACCATGGCAACGGCTTCGGAGACCAGCTGCACGTGATGTAAACAGTCACCCTGGAGAGAAGATGGTGAAGGGGGGAAGATATATCTCATCGCACGCAGATCACCATGGAAGGGAAGGCACTTGTGTTTTTTTAATGAAATTTATTACTATCTACTGCAAATTCTGGTGATCCGTCCTCTAAAGGCCAGTTCCAGAACATCTGATGATCATCACTTTCGTCGGCAGCGGCATATTAATTCGAGGTCAAAACAAGCCGCTTTTGTGATGAAGAAACGCAGTCTCATAACCATCCTCCCCAAATACTCTCCCCAATGGTGTTGTCAATAATGTTGGCGAAGAAACCAATTCCTCCAAATCACTTCCGCAAACGCCGGTGATAGAAGTTGAAAGCCAAATCAGTCTTCAACTGCCGTCCAAGGAGTGTCTTGAAGCCGCCAATCTCAGCACAAGGGCAAAAGACAAACGGTGGAACAGGAAACTCAAAGTGTGGTTTTGGTATTTTCAGAAAAAGCAAAGAGTAGAACAGATAAGAAAAGAGGTCGCAACCGCAAAAGGGTATCCGGAGAATTGATGGAAGGTGTTGTAACAACGAAGTAACGATGTGTTTGCCAAGAGAAGGACGAGTCGAATGATTGATGGTGTCTCTTAAGAGAAGATCCAGTCCAAGAACTCATTGCTGTGTTCATCATCATACTCCGCAACGGCACCCTCATCCTCGGCGGCGGCACCATCCTCGGTGAAGAGGGATTGACCGTCGAAGCCACCAGCACCATGGGTCATGTCATAACCGGCGTTGAACATGGCTTGACCGAATGCCTTGGCCTCTGCAATGATATCAACGTTGTCCATAGGAGTGATGGTGTACGTGGGCTCGACGGTGATGACGGTGGCACCTTGGGTGATTGGGGTGGTCGGAGCGGCTTCGGCGGTCAGGGCGACTTTGGGGGTTGCGGTAAGAGCAGCTTCCTTCTTCTTCGACATACGGCGCTTCTTGTCGGAGGACTTTCGGGGCTTGTATTGGTAGTCGGGGTACTTGCGCATGTGCTCGGCCTTTGCCTCAGCAGCCTTTGCGTGCCAGTAGTCGATAACGGCTTGTGGTTCAGCCTTCCAGGCGGCAGCAAGGTAGGTCGCTGTCAACTGTCAGCTTGATCAATTGAAGTCAAGAATCGGAGGACTTACAGATTTCGTTGTTGCTAAACTCAGGATGGGCCTCAACGATGGAAGGATGGAAGTGCTTGCGAAACAGGATCCAGGCGTTGGGTGGGCGCGGAATCTTATCGGCCTGTCGGCGGGCAGCGCGGGCTGGACCAGTTGCGACACCGGCACCGGCAGCAGAGGCATGAGCTTGAGCAGGAAGTGCGACGGGTTGACCTTGCAATTGAGGAGCGCCGGCTTGACCTTGGAGTTGAGGAGCGACAGCTTGCGCAAATTGGCCAATCGCGGGAAGCTGAAAGCCTTGTTGTTGTTGGAATAGAGGGAGGGGACCGAGGAACACACGCGGAGCGCTGCCATCTCGAATAAACGTTGGGACAGTGCCGCCGGTGGCCATCCTGGAAGATATATGTCAGCTCGAGATAGATCAATTCATAATGGGGAACTCACATGTAGCTACCAAGGATGAACTGGTGATCGGCATGGGTCCATGAGCGGAAGGTGCCTTCATCAATTGCGATGACGACATTGAAGTGGCTCAATTGGACCGAGAGCTGGGCCCACTGACCATAGACCTGTTGGCTTGGCATGTTGGCGTTGATGGCCTGTTGGGGCAAACCTGCTTGGTTTTGCGACATGGCGACGGCGACGGCGACAGGGGTGTTGGAGGTCGGTGCGATACCGTGAAGGTTCGTAGTGAGAATGAAGAAGATGGATGATGGGAAGCTTTCAATTGATTGAGATGAAGTTGGTTCCTGACGCAGAGAGAATCTGGGTCAGAAAGGTCGGTGTTGGAGGGTGGAGGTTGTGTCGAATGTTTGGAAGGAAGAGAGAGCGAGGGCGAGATCGGAATTTAATTTATAGTCGCATCTCAGCGTGGGAAAAGATTTGAAGCGAGGAACTAATTGACGGTGAATTGCTTCCGGAGGGGGTTCTTAGACTCGGAATCAGTTCCAACTTGGAATAAATTCCAACTATTCCAACTGTTTGACGAGGCGACAAACTCCCGGAGGTGAATCGGGCTTGAGCTCGCTCCGCTCCGCTTCACTTTCGAGTACGGTATCGAGATAACGGCCTTGGGCAATGTCACGATTGCTCGAAGATCCAATATAAACATGAATTGAAACTTGTCGAGTTCGCCTGGAAATGGCTCAAGAGTAGTCGCCGGCATCAAAGTAAGTAAGCCTTGGGTCAGCTACGAAGTTGGGGGACGCTGAATTGTGTGCAGACCCGAGACAGAACGGTTGAAGAGTAGTATCAAGGATCCTCAGAGACTCGGCTGCCATTCAAGGAGTCACAGACTTCTTTGAGAGCGCAAACCATTAGAGATGCGAGTCCTCGCTCCTCGAACAACTTCAGATCTCGAGCACTAATCTTTCAAGGCTTGGCAAGCTGGGACGTCAATCAGACCGGAACAGCAAGCGAGCAATTGCAGACTCCAATGTGCGGCTTTTGATCAACCTCTGCAAGAATACACGTTCAAGCATACCAGATGGAGCCACGACAATTGAAATAAGGAAAGGAAAGTAGCATGAAGGCTGCAAGAGACAAGAACTCAGCGGACTTCCCAGCTCCAACAACAAGAGCATGAATTGGGGCTTGCATCAAGGGTGGTGTGGATGCTTCTGGTTTCCTTGAAGTCCCGCAAGCCGGATGACATCCACCTCAGCACAAGTGTACTATGGCACTTCGTGGTTGCGAGTTCTCCGAGAGGGGGGCAACCATATTGTGCGAGAATAAGTTGGCTAAGATGCGGTCGTACGTGGCAGTGGGCGTGTTTGCAGAGTAGACTTGGCCGCCTGATTGGGGCTTGAAACACTTCTCAACTACCCCTATGCATTCAAATTGCGCTGGAGTAGCAACTTCATTGTTGAGAACACCCAGTCTGCTGACAAAGGTATTTCCTATTGCTATTTGCAATGGCAAGCAACGAGGGGAGGACCTCTTAGTGAGTGATCAAGTCAACGGAAGTCTGTCCGAGGAAACGTCAACTCAAAGTAACCCTACATATCTTTGCGGGCTCGCTTTGCTTAAGAAAGAGCAAATTTTAATCACGTTATGGGCTCCTTGATCAACCATATGTGAGTGATATGTCTCAGTCTGCAAAATGCTCAATAATCATTTGTTTGCGTCCGTGCATCAGCACTCAGCTGTGAGGAAAGCACGCCTCACAGACTGATGGCTTCTTTTCATCGGCCAACTTCAATCATCAATGCTATCCAGTTAAATGTTCAAACAGCAATGATCCTAGGGAACTGAAACCACAAGTGTGTTGACGAGGAATAAGGCAAGATGACCACGCAATTCTTAACTGAAAACAGAACAAAAAATTCTTTATAGAGAAATTTCTTGTTCCCGTCACGCATGGGCTACACCCATATTTCATTCTTTTTGTCTCAATTGCAACTTTCTCTTTAATCTGGGCAAAGATTATCGACGCTGATTTAATTACAATCCAACGAAATGGCCGCTGAACTCGACGGAGATCTTGCTGCAATGTACCAGAGCATCCCGCAAGTACACGAGAAATTGCATTCCGTATCACTGAATCATGAGAATTCCATGCATAAAATCCCTCGGTCTCAGGCAGAACTTGTTTTATTGGAGACATTTCAGCTTGCAAAACCTCCAACCTTCCAGGTGCAGATGTTGGGACAGAGCTCATTTGCTCGACGAGAGAAAAGATAAGCGCAAAGATCAGTTAATTCATTCATGACATTCAGATATAGGTGGTCAACCATGGCTTCAAATAATCTGTAGCTGACTCTGCCACAGCGTATTACAAGCCCATCTTTCCAAAACTGCAGCAAAAGGACGCATCATCTTTTCTAACAGCGATGTGAAATAACGACCCCTTCAAAGCCAAATGGACGATCGTCGCAAAAGCATATTCCAGTATCCGCGATGTAGTTGGTAAGCAAAGGGCCTCGCTTCTTGCATTCCTGACACTAGTCTGCTCAAAGATTGGCATCATCAATGCAGAAGACTACTTCTGGAAGATGAACTGGAAGCTCGAAGCTGCAGTTGATGGTCCAAAGTGCTGAAGCAGACTTCGTTTCCAGATCTCAGTTACTTCGGAGCGGATATTTTGTACACCAACATGACGCCAAAAGACGTTATACATTTCTGCGCACAGATGTGTTACATTCCCCAGCAAGTCGCCAACCAAATTGCTTGGCGGGACAATTTCACCCCAGCTGGGTCCTTACCAAGGAATCAGATATCTCAGCAGAGCTTGCTGGCTTCGTGCCCAGTGGCCCCACAGCTCGAGCAATCTACGAGTTCGGTCGGGGAAGGAGAAGCAGCAGCCGGCAGCTCACCAGCTTACTCCCCGCCAGTAGGAAGTGGCTTGGCAGCATTTTCGGCACCCTTAAAAAGGACAGGATCTATGTTTGATCTGTACAACCCCACCGGAAGGTAGCATCGACCGTATGCTTCGAAATCCCCAGGAAAGGTGCTTCTGTTGAACCTGTTTCGACACAGTGAACCTTCTGCTAACGTTTTTAGCCCGGGCTGATCCTGCATGAGACGGGTTCTATGGTTTCTGGGACAAGTTCTGAGATTTTCGTCTCTACAACTTGAGAACAGATCAACAGGATTGAGGATATGGTACACCTTTGTATGACATACACACCTCTGCCCTGACGGCTCCTGGAGTCCTCGAGATTAATCCGCGTTCATTGTGCATGGGAAGGACATGTCTTGGGTCTGCATGCGGAGTAGAGTGCGTTGAGCGTTCGAGGGGAGTTGTGAGCAATCATGTTCTCAGATTTGACCAATACAGAAAGAATCATAGATCTTTGCGACCTTTTCTGCGTTGAAATAAAGGTGCATTAGCGTGCAGCCAACAGCCAGGGTATGCCCCTGCCAGTTTTCGCTTCCATGCCACGATTTCTCTGGTACCCTGGTACAAACAGAGTTCATGACTCGGTTTTAGGGTAACCAAAAGTCTGCCATAGCCGTGGCATGGGAGAGTCTTGGGGGAAGATCGCGCTAAATCATATCGTCACATACATTGTCCTGCAGCATCCACAGAGAGAAAAGTGAAAACTAGGCTCGCTTCGCAGTCAATTGATTTTCTGCATCAAGCCAACTTTCAGCCACGGAGCTCAAGCAGGCCCATCTCTGAAGGAAGGGAGACAGCTGCACCAACTCGGTTTTGGAGTTTTGAGCCGGTCTGGAAAGTGGTGAAAACGACGCCCCACGATTTACTGTGACTGCGCCTGGATCATAGAAGATGGGGCTAGCGGGGCTTGGATTGAGCAATTATTGATAGAGCACATCGCATTTTTCTTCCTGGTGCTTGACTTGCTTTTTCGTGTACAGTTTTGCATGTCCTGTTCCTTCATTGGATAGCACAGTGTTATAACAGGCTTTTGCGAAAGACCACCACACGGCGGACGGTCCTTCTGTTTGAACACTTTTGTAAAAGAGAGTAGAACGTTTATCAATAATGAATTCAGTTGCTACCCTGTGGGAAAGGTGGCTTATGTTGAACTTCAAATGCAGCAATAGACTCCCGGCCGGGCAAGTCAAGAATTTTTCTAGTTCAACATGCCCAGCAACGATGACAGAGAAGTTGGTTGTTGTGAGATTGTTTCAAAATGATACTTGCTTGGCGTTTCAATGATGAACAAAGGATCCTCGGCCCCAGAAAACATTCTTACCAGCCTCGGAAAAAATGTTTCTTTCAATCTGTAATTCTTTGTTTTGACTTGCTTTCTAGTTCTTGCAATTTTTCCATTGTCGAAAATACTCGCTAATCTACCGTACACTCACCAGGGCTGAACCACTATCTCGCATCCAATCTACTCCTGATATGACACCTTCCTCATCTCACCCAGCCTCTGCCTCGCTGCCGCCAAGTTGTTCTCCAGCTGCAAGATCTCAACCTAAACGTAGGCATTAGTAAATATCCTCTTCTGCGGATAGTGATCACCCATACCTGCTGCTCCATCTCCCTGACCTTGAACTCATGCGCTCCCAATTTCGCGTAATCCACTCCGTCATCATCCTGATCACGGTCTTTGATCATACTCTGAACTTGTCTGACAAGTGCTCGGCATGCTGCCCCAACAGCTTTGCTAGCTTGTTCCAGGGACTCTTGACTCTTGCTCATGAAGCCTGCCTTCACTCTGCTGGCCGCCACAAGCTGTGCTGTCGAAGCAGCAACATCATTAGAAGCGACGATCAGCTGCTCTGGAGTATTGCGCCCGGAGAGAACACCGTCCGCAGTCTCAATCAAAGTGTTGGTGGAGGAAGCCACGGCCTTGGCTGCTGAGATAAGACCTTCCGTCCAGCGATTGTTCTTCTTGTAGAATGTGCTCTTCGAGGATGTACCACGACCAGCTTGGACAATTTCCTGCTGAGTCACAGTTGCTGCTTTGATCAATCTCGCAATTGCGTTTGTAACAGCAATGGCAGCATCGAGAATCGAGTCATGTATGCGAAGCTCGTAGGTCGAGTAGCCATCCTTGGGTTTCGACTTGAGCTTGGCAAGCCTCTCAGCCGCAGCGTTAATAGCATCGGCAGCTTTGTTCAACTCGTTATCAACAAGATCCCCCAAGTCTCCCTTGTTGTTAGAGAGCTTTCCGCTGTTTGGAGCAAAAGCATCCACAAGCTTGCTGAGCTTCTGCAGGTTCATTAGCACTTCGTTGTTGCTGTTGATGACTACATCAGTCTTCTGCATCGGATCCATGCCGTCGAGTCGGAAACTTTGAAGACCGCGGAAGAACTTGACGGTGGAGAGGGCGGACTGGCGAGCGCCGTTGACGAGTTGATCAGCCTTCTTGTCATCGGTGGCAAGCCGTGTGAGACCCTTCGTGTTGCTGAGGACATCTGCAATTGAGCTAGCAAAGACATTGATTGTTCGAATGATCTCGGCGTGACTGCTATTCGGGCCATCTGCGATGAAGTTGTTGAAAGAAGTGGCAAATTCCATGGCACTCGATGATGCTTTCTCAAGCTGTGAGAGCACATACGAAGGCGTTGCATTCTGGTTCCCGGCTTGCATGGAGGAATCGAGCTCATACAGAGCATCATCAACACGTTGAACTCCACTCTGAAGGACTGAATCAATGATGTCGTTGATTTTGGCAATGTTTGAGAGGAGCATGGCGTCAATCTCTCCATCCAGTGCTGAATCTGTCGCACCTCGGGACATCTCCAACTCATTGAGCTTGATCAACGTGTCATCCAAGCTTTGCTTGTAGACCTCGAGCTCGTCTTCCTTCTCCCGCAATAAACGCTCGGCATCAGAGCCACCCTCGCTATATTTTGTATGAACATCCTCCAGGGCACGGGACTTCTTCCGAAGCGCTTCTTCAAGGTCTGCCATCTCGCGGTTATATTTCGAAAGCATGGAAGAAAGTTCATTGCCCTTGCTCCGTTCCAGATTATCAGCTCGGTCAAGAGCCATTCTCAGCTCTCTCTTCAGCTTCTCAAGCTCCTCCCGATTCCCACCAGCAAGACGGTCTTTGTCATGCAAAGCTCTATCTCTCTCTCGAATCATATCAGCTAGCTCGAGATTTTTGGTCTTGATTTCTCTCTCGAGCTTTTCCCTCTTGTCAATGGCTTCCTGCGCCGATGCGGCCTTCAGCTGGACACCCTTAAACTTCTGCAACAGATCCAGATGCTCCTGGCGCAACTGCGAGTATAATTTTGCCAAGGCCTCGTATTTCGTCCGCCAAGTGTTGACTTGTTCTTGAAGAGCCCTGATCTGGTCATCCTTGCTGCCAATCTGTTGTCCATAGCTGTTCTGAAGTTGGGCAAGTTCCCCCTCGAGAGCCTTTATCTTTTGGTCATACTGTTGCAGCATGAGCTGATCCCGAGCATATTGTGCTCTAGCATCAAAGTTCTCCTGCTCTAACTGTGCCATCCGACCTTGTGTTTGCTGCTGAAATTGTTGAGCCAGTAAAGCCTCCTGATCCCGCCTTTGCTGTTCTGCTAGCTGCCGTTGCTGCTCCTCAAAATCGCGTTGAGCCTGCAGTTGAGCTTGTTGTTGTGCGTAAAGCTGTGCAGCCTGTCGCTCCTCCAATACTCTCTGCTGCTCCTCATATTCTCTGTTCTGCCGTGCCTGTTCATTCTTCCAGAATTCTCCGATGTCGTCTGGCTCATCTACCTTCGGCGCTGGAGGGGGTGTGATTTGTCGTTCAATTTCTTGCTTAGGACGTTGGGGTAGGCGTGGGGCAGATTCGTCTTCGGAGAGCAGGTTTGGAGGTTCTTGGGGAAGCTTGGGGACTGTGATCAAGCTTGTGAGATAGCGAAGGTTGGAACATTCATAGTAGAACTTGACAAGGCGATAGTGCTGAGCATCATATCGTTGTCTAAGTGGCTCTAGAGCGTCATCGTCGCCAGTTGCTGTCAACTCGTTAGGCATTGGGCAGCACATGGTAACAAGAGAACCCACTGGTGTGCATAGCACGGAGCATGCTTGTGATGAATTTGTAGATTCCGTAACTTTCTTGCACCAAAGGAACCAGAGCAGATATCCGGCACTCGTTATTACCTCCACTTCGAAAATGCGAGAATATCAGCTTTTGAAATTGCTCGATTTTATCTTGAAGTGTCATCAAGTCGGAGATTGTCTCATAGCCTTCATTCGGATCATTGATTCCCTTCAAACTAATGTATTCCTCATACTCGAATGTGCCATTGAAATCTGGGTGTTGCGAATGGAAAGATAGTTTTGCAAGCAAGAAATGGACATATTCTCTGATCAATGGGCCATATCCTCGCAAACCTTCTCCAGACATGCCTCGGTTCAGACTGTCTATCCAATTCCGGTTGGCCATTGCCTCTCGTAATGTCGATGGGTGGCCTTCTTGCAGGACCTTGTGGACGGTAATCAAAGCTTTGAATGTCTGCACTTCATCCGCCAGGATGGGCTGCCTGTATTCGGTATCTCAGCGTCAGCCTTGTACTCTGTTTCTTTACGAGCCCTCGAGGCGCTCTCTCCAGGGGGCTCGGAAAGGTGCAGAACCGTAACAGGGCTACAACATTGTTCTACAATAACAGGGAGATGAATGAAATGACTAACACTTTCATGCCGGCCCAAAAGGCCCCAGAGCTTTTGTGGTCCCATGTGTATACAATGCAGCTTCTGACATGCTTGCGCTTCGGAGCCGTTTCCTCGATACTCGTAGCTTTTCGAATATTGATCGCAAGTTCGCCCTCGGACCTGTAGTAGGGGTATTTCAGCATGACGAAGAGAGCACAAGCAAAGCCATCAAAAGTTGGGGAAAGTGATAGCTCTTGAGGCAACAGACTTGGTATGGTCAATATTCCGCGTAGTCGCGAGAGACGACATTCTGACAAGCACTCAGCGCACACAGCTGATGGGAATAATGGATAAGGACAAGAAAAGATGAGCAAAGAGAATGTACTAGGTGGAAAGAAAAGTTGAGGTGGTTGTCGTAGGCGTTGCCTGGTGTTCATCGAAATATTACTGAGGGCTGCCAAGATATTAGCGTGGAGCTGCGTAATGGGGCGCAGGCACGCTCTGGGAGGTAACGTGACGCGATAATCTAGTGGGACCAGGATTCTGGGTTGTCGAGTCAGGTGGAATTATGGAAGCATGGGATTTGGTGGCAGAAGAGCTTCGTTTTCGCGGGTGTTTGTTCATCATTGGGCTAAATTTTGACTATTCGCCATGTAATTTCATGAGAAACTCCTCGTCATCTCTCATATCTCAGTGAAGTGTTCCATATTTTTACACCTTAACTTTCCAATTGCCCCTGGGCTGCGTAAGCCACTTAACTCCAACAATAGGTCGTCTAGGAGTCCAGAACGGCACCCACCCTCATAACGCCTTAGATCCATGCTGAATGCGTATTAACTCCACTACCGACACCTGATGTTCCTATGGAAGGCCCCTTGGAAAGTTACCCAATTCCAGTTTCAATGTCTTATCTCTCTATCATAATCCAGCATCCTCATCAACAAATGAACTCTTAGCCCTTGCCTCTTCCTCTTGAGCAGAAACCCACGACGGAAGCCTGGGCCCATCCTCTTCGGGGCTGCTTGATAAAACTCGATGAGCTGGTCGTCTCTTTGGAAGGGCTGGAGGTTCATGGAGAGAAATTTCTTGCTCCTCCGCCTCATCCACATCGTCCACCCACGGTTGAATATAACTTGGAACGTGTTCAATCATGGGTGTTGTTGGTTCAGAATCGCCAGCAGGGGCCTCAACGACAAGAAGGCCGTCATCTCCATGATCAACATCCTGTTTGGGCTCTTCTCTACTTGGTCTCTTCGGCAACGGGGGTGGAGGTATGGGGTGACGTTGGATATGAAGTCCATTCGCTTCAATTCCTGCATCTTTAGTCTTGGTAGGAATATTGGGAGGAGGAATGGGTTTCCTTTTTGGCACAGGCATCGGAGCCGTCTTGGTCTTCTTATCCGGAGGTGGCAGAGGAACTCCTGGCGGTGGGAGGGGTTGGCCACGCCCCATTACCAGTGGACGAGGAGGATCATCTGATGGACCGTCTGCTTTCTGATCGCCATGGCGTTGGATTGCATTCCAACCCCATTTCTTTGCCGTCGCTGCTGCGTTGCTTACAGCAGCTAAGGACAATCGTTTCGTCTCAGCCGTAGATGACTTTCCAGAAGACGCAGTAGAATTGGTATTCTCCCGTCTGAGATCACGCCCGAGTGAGCCAAAAGATCTCGTTGATGGTGCTTCTGATCTAAATGAAGCATTACTCATACTTGCTGGGCTTGGAGGGTATGAGCTTGGATTCGAGAAGGGGTTCGAACTCGAGATATTGATCGACGCCTGCGGCGTCAAGTCGTTTTGGGTGTCCTTCTCGGACTGCTCTGACTCCCGTGAAGATACCGAAGACTGACTGCCAGCTTTATCGATTCTGGAAGGTCGGGATGGTGAACCCACAGGAGTAGACGTCTGCGAGAGAGCAGAAATCGCAGCCATTGCATGACTGTGCTCTGGAGGGGTGGAATTTGATGCCTTAATGGCGTCGGCATTTGTAATATCGGTGCTGACAAGAGGGCTGGAAGTAGTGGCGAATGATCCTGATCGAAGAGCTTTAGGCTTCTCCGACGAAGGGTGTGTCTCAATACTTGTAGAGGATCCACTGGATTTTGATTGACCTAAGTTCAAACCGAGATTCAAAACAGACTTTGCCCCTTTCCTTGCATAAGCGGTGTTCGGTGGTGAAGCATCGATCAATGGTGTGCTCATGCTCTTTTCAACATGAGGAAGAGCCATAAATGATTCTTCGTTGTCATCTCCAGCTTCCAGATGCGCCACTTCGTCCACGTCGCCGTCTTGAGCTGCCGCAATCTCTGGATCTTCAGGACGCCCAGGTTGAGTGTCATCAGCCCATATTCCACCTCTCCAAGGCTTGTTCTCGGTATGATAGAATGGGGAGTCATCCCAGTTCGGGAAGACGAGGCTCTCGGCGATGACTTCCTTGATTCTGTTCTCGATTTGGCGCAATATAACTGTATATGTAATCTGCCTTGCACTGACGATTGGTTCAATTGTCATGTCAATCTTAGGCATTGTCTGAAAGGTTAACCACAGCCGGTTTGAGGGTGGTGGCTTGATACGGATCATTGCATGGCCTTCAACTCTCTTCACCACTACTGCTAAAAGCAGATTGACTTCTCTTGCTTTGAACCTTGTCCCGAGCTCGATTCGAGCCACCGCTGCGACTTCTATTCGGAAATTCCCAGAATATTTCACGTCAGCCTCGACAACCAATTCTCCATCCACTGTCAAATCCTTGAGCCGTGGGTTGGTGATGACTGGCGCTGCCTCACCCATGTCTATATCCCGCAGAGAAATATTCGAGAGGAATGACGGTCTCTTCACCCGAGAAATCTTCTTCGTAATCTTCGACCTGATGAAATTTGAGACTTCGGAAGTTTTATAGAGAGCCAAAAACACCCTCCCAATTGCGGCATTGATCCATCTAGTCTGTAGATGTTCTTCCGACGAATGTAGCCTCTGTACCAGCGTTATGATATCCTTCACATCGTATTGTATCGGTATCGGGGGTTGGTATTTCTGTCCAGGGTTCCTTTCTTGATTCCGTAGAAGTGTGAAATAGAAGTCCTCTTTCATTGAGCAGTTCTCTGAGAAGAGATAGAAAGGCTTCGAGGCCCGGCCATCAGGCGTGATCTCCCCAATGTCTGTTCTTCTTGAAAGACACAACGCATTTCTCTTGATAAACAGCTCCCCCTCTGGTGTCTCGTCGCCCCCAGAATAAACCGAAACTTCATGATGTGCCAGGGAGATGACATGTCGGACTTCCAGCTGCTCGTCGTCGTCAAAAAGCATCAGATGGCCGTGCCTGTTGAGCAATTAGAACTGGCCCAAGCAATTTCGAGATACTGGAGTGTACGCCCATACCTAAGAACAACATAAAAAACATTGCCACCTCGTTTCTGTGGTTTACCAACACCTTTGTTATCTAGAGGCGAGTTGTTTGACTTGCGGTCGAAGATGCTCCTGTACATGCTCTGATATACACTTGGGCTTGCAGCAGACACTGTTGCAGACCCAACAGGCGTGTTCCTCTCGGGGGGCTTTGCGTTGATCCCATTTGGCGTGTATTCCCGAGAAACAGAGAAGTACGCAGCTGCTACATCAGCCTCGTGGCCACTCCGTGGCTGGAACTTCTCCCCCAACGTCTTCTGCGCCCGTTTGATAGCATCAACATCATCGCCAGGCTGAACAATCGGGCCCGTCTCATCCTCTCGATATGCAGTGTCGTCTCGGATGGGGAATGTCAGGTAAGCATGGGCGAGGATTGCTATGACGATCAAGGGAAGGAAAGTAAGGCCACCCAGAATGTAGACAAAAAGGAACGCCAGCAGACCACCCATCATGGCATCTCATCTGCGACTCGATCAAAGATAAGACGTTGTACAGCGGGCTGCACATGGAGGCAAGGCAAGGAATTGAGGACAAGGTTGAGCTTTGGAAGTCAGTCGCAAGGTCGGCTTCGCGAAAGAGGCGCTGAAACCAAAATAAACAGTCAGCCAGCCATTAACCTTCACACGTGCAAGAGTAAAAAAAATATGACACTTGGGAAACTTATTATTTGATCCTCTTATGAATGTAAGAAGAAACTAAGTGCGTTCTTGTCCCCAAGTGAAGAGGATACATAGGCAACTTGGAAGTTCCGCGGGGTTGGGAGGACGGCTGATGACTGAAGCACCCTTTGACTCGACAACATCTTGGTCAATTGCTGGATGGAGTATTCGTGAATCACATGTTTCAATCCAGCTGGGTCAATACCCTAATCTCCATAATCTTGATTTAGTGTGGTAATGCCACTCCTCCGGCCATCTCGCTTTGCAAATGCTTTAGATTACTGGTCTTGTGAACGCCAGCCTTGCCCATAGCCCCAGCTACCAATCCAAATCACCCATATCTACCTTCAATGTCGACAGCTCCTTAATCACAGGCTCCACCATTCCCCTTTCCGTCTTCAGCCTGGCTTTCTGACGTGTCCTTGTATAGAAGACTGGGCAGTCTTTGCTATCACATTTCACTTCGTCCAGGGGCGATACCCCAGAGCAGCTTTGGCATACTCTCTGCAGGTCAAGAAGCCTTCTTTCCGCCTGATTGACTCTCGTGCGCAACGAAAGCAGAGAGGTTGGCTTGTCTGCCAGGCATTTCGGACAGATAGCACCTTCCACCTCGAGCTTGACCTTGCAGACTAAACAGGAAGAGGACTTCATGTAAGATTCCAAAGTCTTCTTGCTGGTGGCAAGTTCTTTCGAATGGCCCTGAAGCTGCAAGTTTGCATCAACGCGGCGAATGCGCTGGACTTTGGGCATTTCATCATACCAATTCCGTACGTTGGCTCCAACAAGATTGAAGATCCGCTCCAAGGGAGGGATGAGGTTCTTTGATATGTAATATTCCGCATCCAGTTCGCAGTGGTCGTTCTCAAGAAGCTCTTCTGGGGCGACGCATCGATCGATCAGCCTCGCCCCTGGAGCCCCAGTAATGACGACGTAAGGCACCCGTTCCCCATACTGAGGTTCTGCCCGTGCATCTTCCAGCATACGTTTTGTACTGATGAGGGCCCCCGGGGGAGGGGGACCTTTGTCACTATAAGTCCCTAGTTTCACCTCTCTAGCAAAACAGAAGTCTTGCACAGACACTGATCCCTTCATGATCTTTTCACACTGCTTCTGGAAATAGATCTTCACGTCGCTTAGATCAGCAGTCCGAAACAGAATCTTTAATGCCTTTTCTTCGATTTTTTGCTCTGCTGGTGTGCCGTCTCGCCGTACAGTTTCGATTCCCTTCGCATCGAAATCTGGTTCAGTCTGGTTCCTGCTTTCATACTTAAAGCCGACGTAGCGCTTCTTTGCCAGGAGGACGCAGGGAAGGTAGACCTTTTCAAATTTTAGCTTTACAGGCCGAGGATTCATGTTGGTAACTGTCTTTGCGATCTCTTCACCTATGTCGAATGCTTGATCTTTCGTGCGACCTTTCAAATAGACAAATAAACTGTCCGTATCGCCATACACCACTTCGGCACCCCAACGTTTGACCGAATGAATGAGCGCAATAGCCTTCTCGAGCGTCTCACGCCCAGTTTGAACAATGCTATCAGCAATTTCAGAACAGGGCATGCGGCCTGAGAAAGAAGCGGAAGTATATCCATAAGTGACATTAGCTATAAGTTTCAGTGCCAATTGCCTGTTGTTGAGTAGACGTTGCAGTGCCTTGTCGTCTTTGTCGACCTTCATGCCACTCTTAACCATAACCCGAGTCTCAAGAATCTCGCCCAACATCTTTGCAAGGAGAGATTTCCTAATCTCTGGTTTTGTGTACATAATTCCGTTTGGGGCAATATTGATATGGTCTTTCAGAAGCTCAAGCAGCCGCTGCTGTCTCCTGAATTCTGTGAAACCCATCTTGTTCGTGCCACGCCAATTGACGACTCGTCCAAGGAAGGTGGAATAGCAATAGTTGTAGGCAATCATAACACTTGGATACAAGCTCTGGAAGTCGAGCACCAGTAGGGGGCTATTGTAGAAGGCGCTTTGAGGTTCCATGACCAATGGCAAACACTCCAAAGCGTTCTGCCCTCCAACTTGCTTTCTACTTGGGGACACGAAAAGGAAATTCTCTGGCTTTGCAATCCGGAACATGAGGGATTCGACTTTGAATTGGGATCCACGCGAGAAGACAGAAAAGAAATCGACGCCGAGAAGACGTGCTTGCTCACTCGTCCTTGGGATCAACTCATTCTGCTCCAGGATCTCCAAGTCGAGCTGCACTCGCGATACATAATAATTGACCGTCTTAGCCAGATCTCGTGGCTTGCCATTTGTATACCATGCTGTCAAGTCGGCCCAGCTGAAATGGGGAACTCGGCGATGCAACAAGTGGAATGCAACATTCTCCATCGTATATTGAAGAAGATTGAGCTCGCTCCTCATTGCTCGCCAAATGTTGATCATATGCCTGCCTGTCACACGTATCGTTGAAGTTTGATTGAAGCCCCACGTGTCATTCTCCTTGCCAAATCGTCCATGAGATTGAGCTTTCATACGTGAGAATTCATCGCAGAGATTGTAATCGTACTTAAGTCGTGCACGCTCAATCAGATATCCCCAAGAACCGCCATGAACCTCGTAACCAGTCAGGATGTCTGGATCAAAGCTCCGAACAATCTCAACCAGTCGAACGATCAGGTCTAGCTCCAACGTCTCCTCTTGGACCTCACAAGCAACTTGTTTGCCAATTTTTTGTGCCATAGAACCGTCCTCAGAGAGTGCCACAATCCCAAGATGTGTGCCTTCAGCGATGCCATTGCTCTCAAGCCCATCTTCGTCCGATTGCAAGCACCAAAAAACGCATTGTACTTCATCTTCCTCCGGATTGGGGACGAAATTTCCCCTTGTGTTGACATGGACTTCTAGACTCATAGTGCTCATGTATTGTGCTTCATGTCTAACGCTGGTAGTCTCTTGATTCTGCGTGTACTTAAAACCATGCTTGTCTTTCTGCGTGGGCCCGTCAATCTGCGAGAGCTTGCCCTTCTTTTCAGGGCTCCTTGTGGTTTGGGGTCGAGCTTGAGCAACCCGTTTTGTTGAAACAGCAGCAGCTCTTTCTCTTTCGTCGGTACGAGACCACTGTTCTACTTCCGCATATGTGGGCGGCGGTTGTGAAATTTCCCAACTAAGGAGCCCACAATTGCGCCTTTGAATTTGGTAGCTCTTCTCTTCCTTGACTCGATCCAGTATGATCCTAGGCTTCTCCCCAACGCTTGCTTCAGAAGTACCAGTGGGATCGAAGCCAGGGAGGAAAGGGACAGTCAAACTCTCAAGCCTAAACTCTCTTCCAGCCCATTCTCGTGCCCGCTCAGGTACATCCAATTCGTTACTGTAGAAGGCATCTTGGTAGATCACAGATGGAAGGTTGAGGTCCGGCATTGTTGAGACTACAGAAATCTCAGATGGTGGAAGCTCACTTATGGCTAAGACTACGTCTCGGTTGTCCTCTCCGAATTGACGTGTCATTTTCTGCACGACGCCAGCTATATAGGTCGAGGGTCTTGAAGAGCTCGATTGAGCTCCGGAATCTATCCTGGTTTGTCGGCTTGTATCTTGGGACGATGGCAAGAAAGGCTCAAAGGAGACATGCTTCGCCGTAGTGGAAGGACTGGGTTGAGAAGCGCTCTTTTGGCTCAACCGTAGAATGGTTGATGGGTCCTGCGGGTCCTTGACCACTGGAAACAGAAGAGGGTGTGTTTGGGTTTTATCTATGGTTTTCAGTGAGTCTTGGGACGACTTCTTATTCATCGAGCGGGAGTTTCGAGCCAAGCCACTAGCCGTAATATTTGTTGGCTTCGATATTGTCGCAGTGGCATCCCCCAAATTAGTTTTCAAGGAAGGATGTGTGGAGTGACTGGCCGTGGGAGATTCATGGACGACCTTTTGGCGTTTGCTCAGGACACCAGCAGAAGAGGGAACTGAATATTCCAGGCGTTTACGGTTCATCCCTGCTTTGTCAATCGGACTTGTCCCATCTCCGCCTTCAGAATATGCCGAATGCGCAGCTCCAGGCTCATGACCCAGGGAATCTTTCCCAGTGCCAGCTGGTCCTAGTATGGCATCGAATGACGAACCTGCCGCGTCTCCTAAAATGTCCGGATCTGCAAGGTCAAGAAATTGCTCTCCATGTTGTTCGCCAGCTGGGCGGGATTCATCGTCAATGTCATGCTCCAATTGTCCAGTGTCCTTTGAATCGAGGTACATTTCCTCCACTTTGTCGCCTTGCGTGTTCTGGGAAAGCTGGATCTCTCTCATTGCCTCTTCATCAGAGTCGTAAGGAAAATCGTCGTCTTCGTCATTCATAAATCCGATTATCCTTTTCTCATCTACCTCTCTCTCTTCCGTCTCGTCAGGTTCATACTTAACACCTCCAACGCCAGCCCCAGGAGTCAGCCCTAATGCTGGACGCAAATTTTCCGGGAAGAGATCTTCAACTGCTTCTAGAGCTGTCTTCACCGACGACTCAAACGGTGTTGGCCGGACAAAAGTATTAAATGAGATTCTTGCGCCATCGCTATTGCGCTTTTCGTCTTGGATCAGGGACGTAACCTTTTCTCTGTATTCTTCCTCATGGATCCAGCCTCCTGGTTGAGAGTTTCGGGGATCTGCTGACATTGATACCATAACTTCGGGGGGGAATGGGCTGCTTCCTGGAGCAGGATTGGACATCCGTGACTTGCGCCTGCGTGTTTCGTCTCTCCAGAGACCAGCCATGCTGTGTACTAACTTTTCATCCGGAGCCAATGGGTTAAGCCGTTCAACGAAATCATGATGAAGGGGACGCGGTTTGACATTTTGTCTATTCAGAATGTCTTGAACGGAAATATCCACCTCGATAGAGCAATGACTGACTCTGGGAAGATTAACCTCATCGGTGACCAGCCCATCAGGGATCGAGCGGTCATGCCAGAGGTGAGAGAGACTGTCCATTTCCTCATATAGAGGCACCGGGGCTCGAAATTTGACCTTTCGACAGTCGATATACCCACACCCGTACAAGTTGTAGTCCGTCATCCACTGAAGGAGATATTGGAGATGTGCTTCATAAGGTTGAAACACCTTCTTCATGACAACACCTTGTCGCAAGAGGTCTGCTAGTCGGGTCATAACCATAGGGTTCAACATGTATATCTTCAGGTAATATCGATATCCAACATGAAAGCCATAGAAAGGAACTCCTTTGACCAACGTGATCCGCGCAACAAATTTGGCATTGCCATCGTACATATTCCGTCGGTAACTGACTGCAAGTGCAAAGTCAATTGACAGATGGAGGCGATGAATGTAGACCCCAACTGGACATATGTCAGTCCGCGCAAAATACTGTGTTCGTGGAAACATAACCCACCTTCATCTTGAACAAGACTCCCATTGTATTCGATGTAGAGGTACGGGAAAGCGCCATGGATATGCGCGCAGACCTTTTGTCCAGTCTCAGTTGCTCCAAACACCCTGATAACAGGTACTTTGGGCTCCTTGTTTATTTGCGAAGGGTGGACATTGCTCCGGAGAAGAGGGTCATAACACGTCGGGACACTCTGATAGTGGTCGATGCAGTTAAGCCGTACTCGGAAAAGATCCATAGCAAAGTAACTCGTCAGGGAGGACGTAAGGTATCATCAAAAATAACAGACATGGCTCGAGTTGTTGAAGAAGCAATGACGATAACATGTTGCTTAAATGTCGTGTTTTGACGCGATTTAGGCGCGGGATCACGAGACACAAGGATCGGACTTACACACCATCCTTCCCCCAATATTTTGCCTTCTTACTCTCTCGTACCCACAGCCGTCAAGATGCCTCCAGCGGGTGCCCAACCTCGAAAACCGAATGCCCCTTCAGCGGCGAACAAGGAAGCAAACGAATACATCCCCTCCTTCATCTCCAAAAAGCCTTTCTACATAGGAGATGATGACGACCAGAACGACTACCTCGAGCACCAACGGCTTCAAAAAGCCCAATCAGATCAGTCGAAATGGTACGATCGAGGTAAGAAGCTTGGCCCTGCTGCGACGAAGTTCCGCAAAGGCGCATGTGAGAATTGTGGTGCCATGACACATAAGACGAAGGAGTGCTTGAGTCGGCCCAGAGCTAAAGGTGCGAAGTGGACAGGCAAGGACATACAGGCTGATGAGGTAGTTCAGGACGTCAGCTTAGGATGGGATGCTAAAAGGGATCGGTGGAATGGGTACGATCCTAAGGAGTACAAGGCCGTGATCGACGAATACACGGAGTTGGAGGAGCTCAAGAAGAAGGCAGTGGCTACCAAAGAGGACGAAGAGGACGAGGGCGAGGATGGTGCGAAGTATGCAGAAGAATCAGACATGGGGAGACAGCAAAGTACGGCTACGAGGCAACTTCGTATCCGGGAAGATACGGCAAAATATCTTTTGAATCTCGACCTGGACTCTGCAAAATACGATCCCAAGACAAGATCCATGGTGGACAGTGGAGCAACTGCGGATACAGCTGCTGCTTTGGTTGCGGAAGAAGGGTTCATGAGGGCCTCAGGAGATGCTGCGGAGTTCGAAAAAGCTCAAAAGTACGCATGGGAATCTCAAGAGAAGGCGGGAAACACCAAACTACATCTTCAGGCAAATCCTACGTCCGGAGAGTATTACCGAAAGAAGGAGAAAGAAGAGGCGGAGGCAAAGAGACAAGCCCACAAAAAGATGTTGCTGGAAAAGTATGGTGGTGAAGTCAATCCAAATGCTGCAAAGCTTCGAGATGCTGCCGTTATCGAATCCGAGAAGTACATCGAGTACGACGAGTCTGGCGCAATCAAAGGCGCTCCTAAGAGGGTGGCAAAATCGAAGTATCCGGAGAATGTTTTGATCAACAATCACACATCAGTATGGGGCAGTTGGTGGGCAAATTTCAAATGGGGTTATGGCTGTTGTCATTCCACAATCAAGAACTCATTCTGCACTGGAGAGGAAGGCAAGAGGGCCTTTGAGGAGGCTGACAGACTTCGGACAGGCGGTTATTTGGGAGAGGGAGAGCCAGTCAAGGAGATTGAATGGCCTTCTAAGGAAACTGTCGAGAAAGCCTCGGAGGATATCAGCAAGACGTTGATGGCTAAGAAGCGGACCATGGAAGAAATGAAGGGTGGAGTTTCTGAGGAAGACATGGACGCCTGGAAGAAACAGCGGACGGGCTTGCACGACCCTATGTAGGTGTTGGGGGAGAACCCTTTCGTATTACGGATTATTTCAGACCCTTCTCCTACGACAATCTCCTCTCCCGAAACAATCTTAATCTAGCAATGCTAACTACCCCTAGGGCCAAATTCTTGGGAAAGGATGAACTGTTGGAGTAGTTGCACGATAACTGCATTAACGAGGCGTTACCTGGGTTGCATGTCAAGGAGTTCTTCGGGGATATTAGAATTTTGATATTTAAGCTCTATAATCTTCTACAGCAGCCACTCTCTGAACCCCCTTCTTGAATTTGTAAACCTCACCTGTCAACCACGCTTGCTTGACCCCGCGCTGCTTGGTCTTCACGACATAAACAACTGTTCCTTGGAGTTGTTGCAAGTTTTGGAAGCAAGATTATTGATCTTCACACTTCAATCTCCAGTCCAATCGCTGCTCCATATGAAAGTCCCACATCGCCATTGCGTGTTCTTTTCCTTCTGACCCGAAGGTCCGAGTGGCCGTGGACACATGTAAAATGATCTCCCACAGTTAACACCAGGCTTTTTTGTGACGAAGCTCACGCAGGGCTCGTTGTGCTCGCATCTCGGGACAATTCGTTTTCCTAAGAGCTTAGACCAGCTCTCCTTAACGACTATAGGATCAATAACACTCTTCTGATCTGCAAGATTGAAAGCCTGGCTAGGAGAGTCATTCTCATTAATCGAGACCGAGTCGGAAATCGAGGGAGCTGGAGTTGAAGGATTAGAGGCTACGACCGAAAGATTATCAGACTCGTGATCGATTGTCGACTGGCTGTCACTCGCACCGTCCAGTTGAGGAGTCTTCGGCTTGAAAAATCCCATGAGACTACTCTGCCCCTTTCCCGGTTGACCCTTGCTTGCTGTTGATGTAGACTTGGAAGATGATGAGGACGAAGCGGTTTTACCACGCTTCTGGGGTCTGGCAATAAGAGAGTTCTCATCTGATCTCTTTACTTTTGGCTTTGCGGGACTGGGCATCGATATTGGCTGGGAATCCATAGAGAACGAAGAGGTTTTCGTCATTACAGAGCTGTCAGTGACCTGTGAATCGATGTCTGCAGAAGTTTGTGCTCCAGAAGCGTCTTCCACTGTGGGAGTCTGTGAACTCTCCCTAAACTCTGCTCCATCTTCACGAGCTATGTTGCGTCCAACGGACTGCCGGCCGCCTTGGCCATGGCTTGCGCTCTTTCTCTCTAAGGAACTTTCTCCCTTCGGTAGTGGTGGTTTCTTCGAAAACATGTCTCGAATACTTCGACGGCGATCGAACTCAGGTATTAGCTTGGCGGACATAGGAAGAAGATCTTTGGTAGACCACTCGCGCTGCCGGACACCACCCTTGAACATTCCAGCGCTCATGATATCTCTGATATCAACCTCCTCTCCTTCAATCTCAACCTTTTGCTTGAAGATAGCGTATACCGGACAATGATCAGAGCCCATCAGACCTTCCTGAATATTAGAATCGCTGAACCAGTCCTTACATCCAATACTACAAAGGACATAATCGATCCGAGAGCCAAAGTTCCCCGGGCGAGCATTGATTTTCTGTTCCCAGCAGGTGAACATACCCTTTCGGGTTGGATGGAAACCTCTGCAGATGTCCCATATCACCGGTGCCTCTCTTCCTTCATCTCGTTCTCCAATGACCTTGCCACCGATGAGTAGTTGATTAAACAGTCGCCTAGCAGGTGTTGAGATATATTCCTCAAGTGTTATGCCGTGTTTTCTAGCCTGCTCTTCGGCCTTTGCAGTATCCATTTCTTCTCGAATGATGTTCATGTCCCCAGTCAAGAAAACTCTCTTGCCAGCAGCCGTCAAATTGCGCACCCGAGCATCCAACGCGCTCAAGAAGCCAATACGAAACTCGTCTCTTGTTTCATCTCGGTTCGCCGGGCAATATACGCCGATGAGGACAAAGGCCGGGAATTCAAGAATGACACAACGACCTTCTGAGTCCAAAGTGGCAGCATCGAGACTACAGTCAGAAAGCTGGCTTAGGGCGGGATAGCCGCCAATCTGTTCATCCTTAGGCAAATTGAAAAAGCTGGTAGAGGAGTTCGGAGGAGTCAAGACACCGGTGATGCCTTCTTCAGCACGGATAGGCGCGCAGACTGAATTGCGTGTGTAGATTGCGACCCCAGAGTACCCTAAATCATAAAAGTAAGCACTGCGGTCTCTCGTCGTGCGTTTTGAAGAGTCTTGTACCCTTCTTGTGTTTCGGGAGACTGAAGAAGACGTCCCATCCAGGAACCAGAACCATATCATCTTGGAGATCCTTGCGCTGTATCTTCGTCTCTTGCATAACCACAATATCGGCCTCAAGAATTTCAAACATTGCCTAAGAATAGTCAGAGATGTTGCAGGTGATCAGAGGAGCCAGCAGAATATACTGCAAATGACCGGTCCTGGCGCCATGGCTGGTAGCCAAATGGATTCCTGTCGATGGCTTAGCTGCAGCTGGATCGAACACCCGGCAACATACTAACCTGATCCCGTTCACTGGGAGCTATCAGCACACAGTACAGTGTCCGGGAGGACTTGATGACTTACCATTCCAGGTAGTGATTCGAAGACTCCGCCGCTCAGCCATGTTCAAGATCCCAATGAGTGCAGACGCGAGTGAGCTCGAGACATCTCATGCTACTACGCCGTCACAAGGACCTGATGCGTGCCAGCGTCGGAAAGCTCGAGTGTATGAACGAGGTGGAACGCGATCGATCGCCAGATCACGTGGACACTAGGATTGCTCGGACCTTGCCGGGCAGGTCACTGGTCGCTTCTTGGAGAGCTTCTGAACATACGATTTCCTTGTTCCATCTTTCACTCAGCGATTGGACCACCAGGACAACACGATGTTCCCTCAACGAACGATGCTACGTACTTCTCAGCGCTTTGCTTCTCAGCTACGCTCACCAGCGGTGCGCACGCCTTTCCAACGACGATTCGCAAGCACCGAGAGCTCTGGATTTGTTGGTGCCGAGGACAATGCTTTCAACCGCGAGAGAAAGGCAGTAAAGGACCATGCCGCTGCTACAAGTGGTGGGTAATCACGGAAGATCTGGGGTGCTTTACTTCACAAGCTGACTTGAAATACAGATCTCTGGCGCAAGTTGTCAATCTAGTAAGGAGCCGTCGAAGAGGGCTTTTGGAGCAGGAACAAGCGGAAGAAGGCTGACTGCTGCAGCGTTACGATTCCTTGCTTGATCATTGCCGGTGTCAATGCCTACAACCTGTGGAATGAGCATTGGGCACATTGGGCGCACATGGAGCCGTTGGAAGAGAGACCTGAGTACCCTTACCAGAACATCCGAACAAAGAACTACTTCTGGGGTGATGGAGATAAAGTAAGTTAATCAAACACCCTCTCAAAAATTGGTAGTAACTTCTCTCGTTCCAGACCTTGTTGTGAGTACTTGCTTGCCCCTGGATGAAGATCCCTCACCCCGATGGTGACCAGGGGAGGAGTCAGCAACTTTAACCATGCTAATTGATTGAGCAGCTGGAATGACAAAGTCAATCATCACAAGAAGGATGAATAAGGAATTGAATTATCAGTGCAGTGAAGACAGGGCATGGGTGCATCGGGCTCCAGCTGGTGGTTGGAGATAGACAGGCTGTACATTCTCCTTGAGTCCTAGCAATATCAGACATTGAAAATCTTGCGGCATTAATCTACCTGCCGTATGAAACGGCTAGGAAGATCGGGAATTGAGAGTTTTGAGTTTTGTGATGAAGCTCGTTGCATAGAGTGCTAAAACTGGTAGCTCAGTGCACAACAAGGTGGGGGCCATAGTCTGCTTATGCTCATTGCTTTTCTACAAAAACGGTTGAGGCAGGCGGTATCGACCCACATAATCAGGTGGGCTGATACAAGACATCAGTCTCGAACAGGTCTTCTTTGAAACAAGCATTCGAAATTTATAATCGAGCACAAAAATGTGTATGTTATGGGCAGCAAATTATACATTCCTTTTAACATCTCATCGTGGATATCATATCTTAATCTAAGCAACCAGTGCGGCCTCTTTCTTCAAGTCCAGGTAGGCACTTGCATAATCATTTGCCAATACCTTTTCCCCCACAACTCTCATTATTGTTGCTTTCTTCGCCATCATCTCACACTGCCCCTTGATATCTTCAAGAACGGAATATTCGTTGAAAGCCCTGTCAATGAACTCCAAACAACTTGTTAGGTTCTGCTTTCTCTTCAGGCTATCCTTGGCTTGCCCCGCCATACCCATGTATGCATTGACGAGGAAGGAATAGAGTTGGGCATTCAAGGAGCAATTTTCGCATTGCAAGGCCCGCGGTAAGATTGAGATCAAAATTTGGGCTGAGGCCTGAAACTCGGACAGCGATGTCAAGATGTTGGCAATCACGGCCATCGCACCCCATAGAGCCGGGATAAGTCTTGCTCGCCACGCTATGCTAGCAGCTCGAACGGCAACAGAGAAGCCCTTTTGTGGGCGTCCGCATTTTTCTTGCAGTAATGCTTTCATGGTCAGGAGTTTGATTCTCAAGTTGATGTCGTCTCCATCTTCCTTCATTGCAGTAGCGAGCTGCTCAATCTTGGTCATTGCACGACCGTAATCTGTTCGTCGGATGAGATAGTCGATATGAAGAGAGTTAATCTCAAAAGACAGGTCTGGGTCAGAGTCAGCTCCGTTGGACTGGAGAAGCTGTGATAACAATTGATCCGCGCCATCCAGGTTATTTCTGTGAAGATCGCGCTTCAGACGAAGAATGCCTCGGTACTTTAGCCAATACTGGTTAGTTTTCCACGATCGTAGGGAGTTCACATCCAAACTCTCCATCTTTTCCATGGCTTCGTCGTAACATCCCTTCTCAGTAAGCAGATGGGCAATTCGACCTGTAAATCTCAAGGTGTCGTCGAAGAGGGCATAACGGGCATGGCAGCTCAAAAAAACGTCGCAATGCTGCCTCGATAAGTTGGTAACTCCCAACCGTGCCCATAACGCAGAGTACATTGCCACCTGTGGGCCCATCATGCTCTTCATGTTCTTGTCTACTATGAGATGCGAGCTTTTCAAGATATTCTCAAAAATGGTCGCAACACTTTCGCCATTGGACATGCCCAACTTTGCCTCACTAAGAAGCGAAGAGCTCCAGAGTGTCCACATCCCAGTCTCCTTGGCCTTTATTCGAAGAAATGCTAGTCCTTCTCGTTCTACACCAAGCATATTCGTTGACTCGGTGCCTTTGATAATATTGGGGTGAGCCTTGCCAAAATGATACATCCAGTTGAGGGCGAAATTCAGACAAGGGTTATCCTTATTTTCCCTGGCAGTGGAAATAGTTTCTAGCATGGCAGCTACAGCCTCGTCGTAACAGCCGAAATCTGCTTGAAGGACGGCTAAGTTCATAAGAGCGTATTGGTAAAAGAGGCGGTCTCTATTTTGCATGGTATAGTCGAAGTACCGATGAAGGTTGTCAAAAGATGTGGGATAGTCGCCAGATCTCCAGGAGTCAAGAAAGCTGTTAAGTATCAGCCAGTGATCTGATAATTAGAATTACGGGACTTAGATGCTTACTTGAGATAATGAGCCAAGCTTGGAACCATGATGCTCTCGTCAAGAATACTTTTAAACTTGTCCTTCACCTCCATCGGTATTCTACTACCAATTTCTGAACGACGCCGTCAGCTTACGACCTATGTGATATGGCGATGGACTCACTTTGCATTTGCTCCACCTGAAATTCCAAAAGCTTCTCAATCTCATCAGAGCTGACACAGCCCTCATCCGTATCTTCCAGGCTCAACCCACCATATGCAACAAGCTCCAGCATTTCGGTCGCCCCCATTCCCCATTCTTCCTCCCCATCAGCCAAAGCACTGTCTCCAGTCCATCTCCCGAGGGCTCCATGCCTCCTAGACCAGTATGTTTTCGAGGCCTCTCGCCATTTTCTAAATGCAGTCCATAGAGCCAAGGCATCACCAAACCTCAGACGCTCAAACTCGACTTTGGACCTCCGTACGAAGCTTCCAAAGGGCGATGAGCGAGACAACATAATCATATCCTCTGATGGAGGAGGTATGCCCATCTCGCCATCTTTTTTCAAGTCGTCTCGACTCTTCGCAAGCAGATTCGTCCGTCGTGCAAAGAACACATGTAAAGCGTCCAAGCTATCAATGTCCCATATCTTTTTGAGGAAATGGTCCCATAGTGACCGGCCAGGGAGTCCAGAGGCTGCAGGGTGGACAGCCAGCACGGTTTCGAAAGCTTTGAGATCGAGAAGGAAGGGCAGAGACTGCAACGAGGCCAGGTCTCTGGGTTGTGATTTCAAATTGTTCGGAAGTAGCTGGTTGAGGATAAAGGACAGGATCGGTATCGTGGAGGAGGTAGGCACAATTGCATCAGTGTACAGCTCGACGAGAGCCAAGAGGCCGATTTTCGAAGGCGTTAGAAAGCGGGTCATGGCGGCTGTCTGTCATGTCTGTTCCCGACTAGATAGAGAGTGTCTCCATTCTCAAACGGGGGGCGGGCTGGACAATGGACATCGTTTTCGAGGGAGTCTGCATTTGGAAGTCGCGTCCAGACGCGACTGCTTGACCAGGCCCCACCAAAAAGCCACCCAACTCCACCCCTCAGATGATTACAGTATTGATGTTGGCTCAACACACGCAGGCAGAGATTTATCGCAGAGTATTGCTACAATTTCCGAATTGCTATTATTTATGAACAATCTTGTGTCTGCTGCTGAAACAAGCGCTCTTCTACAGCATTTTCCTCAGCAATGATTCACATCCTCTGCCTCCCTGGGCGTGCAAATGCAACCACTCTCCTTTCCTTACCTTCTCCAGATTGCTTTACCCCAACATCTCAGTAAGCACAACTCTCCGAACGCCAAACTGTTATCTTCGACCAAGCACCACATCCTAGTTTCTTCAACATGTGTACCAAAACCGTCGAAAGACCTGCCAGATGCGGATGCATTTCGAGCACACAATGTTGCAGCAATCCCCGACACTTGAGGAGAATGGGGTGATTCTTCTCAACCAGGGTTGCAGCAAACACCCTTGTCCTCGAAAGCGGAGGACGACATGGAGATTTGAGAAATGGCCATCCTGCGAATACTGCTTTAGAAAGGCCGCTTCGGGCCACAACAACATCCATGTACTTGGTTGAGTTGCAGGTTTTGCTATGAGCTGTGTGTTCCATACGCACCACCAGCACATAATCCGAATCGTCAGGCAACCCTTCATTGCTTCTGGTTTGTAAATAGCTTGCAATCACGGCCGGTCTTTCCTGTCCTTCTCCTCGTTCCATCGTATCTTCGCACCATGCTTGCTCTTCAATTGCCCCTCTTCAACCCTATCATCCTCCTTCAGGAACTCTTCTCCTAGTTCATTTGTGGCCCATATCCTCTCCACACAGAGCTCGAAATCTCCCGGAATCCGATCAATCAAACCAATACCCACGGTTCTGACCTTCTGCCTCAACAACTCCGTCTGCGGCTCCACCACAATGCCGTGATTCGTTCTCACAAACTCATTCCACTTGATCAACACCGTCTCCCATTCGCCCGGCCTCCGTGCATACAATCTGTGCTGGTGTAGATCCGTGGGCACGATACTTTCCGTTTGCACATTAACGAAGTACTTCCTCCCATCACTCTTGATTCGTAATGCCAGAAAGGCATAAGGGTCTATGTCCCATAATGATTTCCCAAATATTGTGGGCGGTCTATCTTTTGTTCGCCATGCAGCATAGCCCGTTCGTTGTATGTGTGGCTTGTTGACTGGAAGCTCAATTGATATGCTGCCGTGGAATCTGGCGTGTCCGTATTTGCTTTCGGATGGGGATGGTTGGAGTGATGTGGTTGGAGGTATCCAATCCAGATTTGCTCGAGAGAAACCGCCCACATCAGCATCTGACATGAGTTTGCATGCTTGTATGGAATCGGGATCATGGAAAGCTGTCAGGACGTAAGGTTTCGTGGCATGTCGGGTGCCTTCTGCTTTCAAAGCTGCAAGACCTCGGTCAGTCTGTATTCAGATGAGGAGGAGCTTGGTTGCAAACCAATCACGGATAATCGTTTGAACTCATCAATGCTTCGGCCAATAAAGCCTCGTGCTAGGAGACTCGGAGTTATTCTCATCGTAGGCTGGCCGTGCTTTTCTTCCTCCCAGTCAGCGTTGGTATAACAAACTTCAAAAAGTCAACAAAGGTATCGTCATTACATGAACTCGGGACTCCCCGTTCAATGCCGATCTAGTACTGTACCCTTGTCAGCTCCCGAATTGGTCTAGCGGGCACGGACGTATTGTGAAATCATGAAAACTTCGGAGCACCTTCCATCTCTGATACTTTTCCCCCTCGCAATCTTCTAGCATCTTTCGCACAAAAGGGTTCCAAGAAGTCTCACCCATAAGCTGTTCCCATCAAAGGATCAAGAAGGGCCGATGGACGATTTGACAAGACAAGTAGTCGAGTCTCGTTATGACGTTGGCAAGTCACCAACATCACCAACTTTATCCGCGTTCCAGAGTCCCTTGCTCTGAAACCAGGTCCTTCCTATCACTGCAGAATGTAGAAAGTAGAAAGAAGCATTGTTTGAGATTCTTATGAAGAAAATGTCACATGAGATCTACCTGGAGGAAGTGGAATGGTCCTCACGTGCTCGTCTAGAGGTAGATCATCGAAGCGAAGCCCCTATTCCTAAAAGTTGACATCAAGTGAACCAAGATGAAAAAAGTAAAGAGGCTTTTAAGACGTCCACTCAGTCTGCAGCTTCTGGTATAGATATATACCTCATACAGTCCTCTGACCTGTTCAAACCTGGTCAAGGAACTAGTGCACATAAAGACCAAAAGAAATTTGTGGTCTGTCCAAGATAAGACAAGGAAAGAAAGCTGAGCTTGTCATACGAACTGGACTAGAGCTTGGCTGGGCGCTGGACTGTTATCAATGCAAGACAGTCTTATGCAAAGACTCACTGTGCAGATATTAAGAATTGCTCTGAAACTTTAGGAGTCAAGCACACCAGTGCTTTCTCAGACCTGTTCTCTTGCACCAACTCTGCACTGGACAGTGACCGTAACAATAAATAAGGGGCACGAATCTGGTGTAAACATATACAAATAGACCAAGCGGTCCAAAGAATTTACAAGTCAACATAGGCCTTGAGTTGGCACCCTCTGCTCTGGTCATTAAAGGCAACACAGCAGCAAAACCAGGCAGTATCGGCTACTCTGAAGAACATGTCGAGGCGCTCGCAGATGTCCAAGCACATTAGACGAATGTGGAGAGCAGGATTCAAAGTTTGCGTGGAATTTTTTGAAACATGGTGGCCCTGGGACGCCGTATTTGGTACTGCCCCCATTATATGCCAACTTCCAGCAGCCTTCCGAGTCTGGGGGGAGACATGGAAAGCTCTGCCACCACTTTATTATTCTCAGTCCCTTGTAGACTTGTGGAAGCCTAGTAGCGTGCACGCTTTGCTCTGCCATTTGGTTCGACTGATGAGAGAGAGTAACGATGAGGCGATGTGGTAGGTCTTTTAGGTATGGAGGTGTTTTGGAAGGTCGTGAACCATCAAATCTCATTGAAGTCTTGATAGTGGAAAGAATGACAGCTTGGGAAAGTGGCTTCCAGCCTCTATTACGTGTTAGTGCTTTGTTATTTATGTTGGGTCAAGAAGATTTGCATGCAGTTCTGGGTTGAGGTTGATGCGTTGCATAAGCACATCGCAGCACAACATAGAAGTTCCACTCAACTCTCCTGCCTGTAAACTGTCATGCAAGGTCCCAAGGTCAGATTGGACGGGATTCCCAGTCATCCTTGATGTGAATGCTCCGCATCAGCTCGAACGCAGTCCCAGCACAGGTGGATGTTTTTAGATCATTCAAAACCGCCGCATCGGTCTCTGCGCCGAGCCAGACTTTCTGCTCCTTCCCAAAACAGGCCAAGTCCATCCTCAACAGGCGAGTCTAAGTGTTTGTTTGCATCGAGATCAAACACTCGAGCATAAATACTTCGATTTTCGCCCAGATTTCGAATCTTTCTTCCTTCAACTCTGTTCTTTCCCGCACCCACCAAGCACTCTCGACCCTCCGCACATCAATCCCCAGCACCATTTCCTCCATTTCCCATACACACTCATTACCAATCCACGCTTTATTCATTCAATCCAATCACTCGTCAAACAACATGACTTCGCCAACTGCTACTCCTTCCGCAGCATCCTCCAAGGTCTTCGGCGCCAGCCCAGCTTCTTTCGTCAAGCCATCGCCTGCCAGCACCTTTAGTGACAGCACTACCAGCGATGCCGGTGGTTATCCCAAGACTCCTGGTCGCGAGAACGATGGTACGTATCTTGAGATCCCTCTCTTGATCATGCTTTTCATACAGTAGTACTGTTGCTCCTCTCCCTCAATACGGTCATTCGCACTTTCGATTCATCTTCATCGTTGCTTTCGCACGCACCCCCTGCCTTCCACTTTCCCTCTGGTAACAAGTGCATACCATCTTCATGTTTACATCACAACACTCTCTTTTCATCACATGACCATCCAACCCATACATAAATCACATGACCTCCATTCCCTTTCATCACAAGACTTCACTGCATCTCAAGACTTCACTGCATCTCAAGACTTCACTGCATCTCAAGACTTCACTGCATCTCAAGACTTCACTGCATCTCAAGAGACTTCACTGCATCTCAAGACTTCACTGCATCTCAAGACTTCACTGCATCTCAAGACTTCACTGCATCTCAAGACTTCACTGCATCATCACAAGGCCTTTCAATCCACCACGGTGTGTATCTTGCAAGCGCATCAATTATACATTCAAACCGTTGGGACTTCCGACTCCTGATCTTTCCGAGACTGTCTTTCCACACCACATCTCCGCCTGCCCACAACACCAAACTTGGTGGACAATATCCAACATGTCTGATTCTCCCTCCCCTCGTCCTGTTTATCCCCTGCTTGAGGATTCCAATTTTTTGGCCATGAAACTTATCAACATTATCTATTGGTTGTTTAATTGAGAGCAAGTTTGGATGGCAACAGGGAGAGGCACATGAAGCGTTATTCTATCATACATTTCATTCCTCAGGAATTTCCGTCTTCAGCCACAGTTGTTGACAAAACCACCAACGTGCCAAGTTGCCCCTGCTCCTTCTCCCGCTATCAATTCTATTCAGCCCGCACCTCACTTTTCTGTTGCTTCCGAGGAGTTTCTTCTGGAGTGCATCTGATCTCAGGCTAATTTTTTCTTTCCAGAAGGCGTCTTTTTAGGCTCTGTTGCTAAGCTGTCCATCAATGATGGAAACTCAAGCACGATCGAGCGTTACTCTCCTCCGTTCGTCCGCAAGGGGGTTCAGGCCAGTGTTGAGGACCCGTTCACCACCACTTCTCGTGGCTCCCCCCAGGCCACCCCGACTGGTCCGAAGTCCAAGGGTCGTGCTGCCAAGAGCGACAACTGGCGATCTGGATCAAGCTCCGGCTCCAGCGCAGGACGATCTTCCCCATCGCCATCTCGCTACCTTGTGAGCAAGCGTGGCCTTGATATATTCGTCAAGAAATATGAGTCCGAAGATGACGAAACCGAGTTCTACCAGCAAGTCGCTGTCGCTGCTGATGCTTCCCGGGCCCAATCACTCTTTCCCCCAGCTTGCTGTGTCTTCGTTGCTAAGTAAGTTCACCTCTAATCACACTTCGCTTTCGCTTTCGCTTTCGCGCTGACATCCTTGGAAGTCTTCTTCAATCCGAGACCGATGAGTCGCTTGAAGTTGCAGTCACTCAGGTCTTCCGTGAGTTCGGTTCTGTCTGGGTCAAGATCCGACGTGATGGCAAACAGATGCCTTTCGCATTCTGTCAATACCGTGTAAGTCATCTCTGCCTACCCTTCTTCCCAGTGACCCGTTCTCATCACATGTTAGGAGCCTGAGCATGCCGAGCGTGCGATCCGTGATGCTCGCGGCCGCCTCATCAATGGTCGTCCTTGCCGCGTCGAGAAGGCAAAGGCTCATCGTAAGTTATTCCTCTCACCATCAGGCGTCACGAGAGCTGACATCTGCCAGGACTATTTTTTGTTGAGCGCAAGTATGGCGCTGCCGTCACCCCGGACGAGGTCGCTCACTTGCTCCGTGGATTTGGTCAACTAGACTTCATTCGGCTCGCAACCCCGGTTGAACTCGCTCAGATGAACCTCAATGAGGGAGTCCTAGTTCAATTCAAGATGTATGATGATGGACAAACTGCCCTTCAGGTAAGTAGTTCTCTGCCCCACAGCTGTTGAGGATCGAGGCTAATTCCTCAGGCATACCGCAACCACCATGCCTACAAGATGCAATCTATGGCCAACATGTGCTCTCCCACCCGCTCTACTCTTGTAGGTCAATCAAACTCGGTGTTGCGTCGGTATCTTGAAACCTACGAGGTCGACAAGCGCTCGATATTCCTTGGCAACCTGCCAGCTGAAATCGGGGAGGTCGATCTTCATCGGGGTTTCGAGAAATACGGTGCCATTGCCAAGATCTCTCTTCACAAGAATGAGTCCGTGGTCGATGGTAGGTCTTTCTTGGCTTTTTCAAAGAATATTTGCTAACTTTCAGCAGCTACTCAAAAGCACTGTTTCGCTTTCATCGAGTTCAAGATGGATTCTTCGGTTCGCCAAGCTGTAGATGAGATGGTAAGTGAATTCATCGTCAGAAAACTGTGTCCTAACATGTGAATAGAACCAATCGAACTTCAAGGGCAAGATCATCCGTGTCTGTCCAAAGGACACTGAGGGTGCCAAGTTGCATCGTAAGAAGAACCCAGGCTCAACACCTGCTGCCTCTTACCAATCTCCGCCCCAACACTCGGTTCCTCAGCAGCCAGCCACTCCCCTGACTCATGCCCCAGGATATGGCTCCCCTTACGCCTATCCGTACGGTAGTCCGTACTACTCTGCTGGCTACTTTGCCGATGCTCAAGGACAGCACTACCCCGCCTCTCCTTACGGTTATTCACCATTCTATGCTTACACGGGCAATCCGAGCTACGCAGCTGGCACCTCCTCCACCACCGATGCTGCTAGCAGTCCCAATGGCCAATCTTACTACGGATACTATCCTCAGTTCCCATACTGGGGTTATTCTCCAACTGCCCAGCAGCCGGCTTACTTCGCTCCATCGGTCAACCCAACTGTTACTGGCGGTGCCCAAGAGGATCGTTCGGCCACCCCAACCCCGACCGGACAAGCCTCCACTGCTGAGTCCTCAATGGAGTCCGAGTAAGTGCGCAATCTCCGAGCTTTGGCGGCTGACTTGCTCATCGCTCGTCTTCGTGTCTTCGAGAAGCGGAAATGGCATTACTTTGCACGATCATGTTTTCTTTTTCGTTGTCCAATGATACCCATCGAGCGTGTCTTCATAATGGTTCAGACGCCAGACATGCCCTTCACCCCAGCGCCTTGTTGCTCCTCGCGTTGGATGATGATTCGTCACAGGATACACGGCTGGGATTTCTCGCCTCTGTACCAAAGATCATGTAGCGTAGCTGAGAATAATGACGAATGACTGCAAGGAAACCTCTCCGCGATCCATTGAATGCGATACTGAAATTCATCATCATGCAGAACAGTTTTACTTACCTTGGGTTAACACCTCATCTCGTTAATCTTGCCATGCTTCGATCTCCCATTGTCGGCTTTCCTGGCATTTGAACTCGTGTTGATCCTTCAGCGAAAGGAATTAATGCAGGTATCCCTTCTCCATTGATCAGCGGTACGAATCGACTCCCTGGCCCAAAGAACAGCTTGACTCCAGAGCAGCTTCTCATATCACTTGATATATCCCTCGAAAGAGAATCAAGGAAGCCCGAGGAGGTGCCACCGGGGGTAAGGAACCGCTTGAATGTCAGGTCAAGCCAATGCCAAGTGGCTGCAACTTGTCTCGACTAGCTTTCCATTTCAGTTTAGATGGCTATATAAGTATATACATCCCCATCAAATCCATGCGCTCCACAAGTTTAGCCTTCTCGGATGCTTCACGCCCCGCCGCCAGGAGTGTTGAGCGCTGCGATTGGGTCTCCTTTTCCCCAGTTTCAAAAAGGACCCTGCCAGCCTGCGCTTGTGGTGCGTTGAAGCATAAATGTCTGTGCCCCCCTTCCGGGGAGAGTAGAAACCCTCGAGTGGAAGCTTCTCAAACAAAGAAGCACAAGCAGCAGAGGCTCTGACTGTTTGGTTCTGAGGAGCGGCTCCCGTGGCAGACGCCGTAACATAACATCCCACTCAGCACAGGGCAGGGCAGGGCAGGGCAGGGTGCTTGATGAGCGTGGTCACGAAAAGACTGCTGAGATAAGATATAGGGCGGAGTGGTGTGTGGAGCCAAGTTGATATCAAATATCAGATAATGCACGTAAAGATCGCAGAGTAGGGAGTTGCATTAATGGTAAAAGAGTTGATTAAAGCTAGCTAGAAAAGAACTCAGGTGAAGTGTGAGAACTCCAGAATATGGGTGCACAGAGCCTGACTAAGCACGGCGATCGCGCTATGCCTAAACAAGTGATCTCACTGCAACATCAGACGAGATGAAGCGAAGAGGAGAGGAGAGGAGAGGAGAGAAAGAAAGGCTGCAGTTACTTGAAATTTGAAGCAAACCGCAAGCCAAGGAGCGGCCGCGGCGTCCACCCCACAACACCGACACCCCCAGTCGCTGACCCAAAGCTGGCCGATCAAACGCAATCCATACCGACACTTGCGCACGCCAGCAACAGCACCGCCATGGCCAACGATAATAATCCAGACCGGCTGCTCTCAGAGCCTCCAGAATTTCCACCCCAGCATGAGCGCAAAGGAAGTATGTCACTTGGAGCCGCGCCGAACGCGAACGGAGACGAGGTGTCTCCCATCAAAGACGACTCAACCGCTGCTGCTCCTCCGCCAGCTCAGCCCGACCCCAATGCAAAGGCCGTTCACGATGTGATCAACTCGGAGATTGGTGTAGCAACCTTACTGAACCGTTTGAAGCAAAGCATAGCCTCGGCAAAGGTAAGCAGGCCTAGAGCGTCCTCGAACTGTCTTAGCTAACACATCATCTGTAGGAGTTTGCTATCTTTCTGAAGAAGCGGTCCACGTTGGAGGAGGAGCATTCCAATGGGCTCAAGAAGCTCTGCAGGTTAACGACTGAAAACGTTCGAAGACCGGAGCATCGCCATGGTACATTCCTACATTCTTACGAAGAGGTCATCAACATCCACGAGCGCATGGCAGACAATGGGGACCAGTTTGCCAGTTCACTGCATCAGATGCACGAGGATCTCTTGGAGTTGGCCTCTAACATGGAGCGCGGCCGCAAGCATTGGAAGGCCACAGGGCTCGCAGCTGAGCAGCGAGTCGCTGACATAGAGGCAGCTATGAGAAAATCCAAAGCCAAATACGATGGTCTGGCAGAAGACTACGACAGAGCAAGGACAGGCGATCGCCAATCAGGAAAGATATTCGGTTTGAAGGGTCCCAAGTCTGCTGCGCAACATGAGGAGGACCTTCACAAAAAGGTGCAGGCTGCAGATGCGGACTATTCATCCAAGGTGCAGACAGCGCAGGCCCAGCGAGCTGAATTGTGGTCTAAATTGAGGCCCGAGGCTGTCAAGGCACTACAGGATTTGATTAAGGAGTGCGATTCGGCACTGACTTTGCAAATGCAGAAATTTGGTAAGATACACAGGAGCGCCGTGGTACTTCTTACTAACTGAGACCCAGCATCCTTCAACGAAAAGCTCCTTTTAAGCAACGGCCTGAATATCAGCCCACTCAAGGGTAGCGAGCAAGGAAGCCAACCCCGCAGCCTCCGTGAAGTTGTCTATGCTATTGACAACGAGAAAGACTTGAGCAACTACGTTAGCAGTTTTGCAAACAAGGTCCCTGCTCGAACTCCAGAGATTAAGTATGAGCGGAATGCAGTAAGAATCCCACATCACTGTGTAGAGTGGTAAGAAGGGGCTGACTTGGGGTGCAGGTCTTAATCCCAACCACCCAACCCAGTGCGCCTCCTCAGCGCCAATCAGATCCTCCTGCGTCTTATTCTTCTCGCCCAGGTCTTCCGCAAGCATTCGGCGCAGCACAATCCCCGCATCAGACGCACATGAGTCAGCCTTTCAACCAAGGCCCCCCGCCTGCCTTGCAGCAGCATGAGAGGAGTTTCAGTCAAGGCCCTCCAGTGCAGCAATATAATAACAACCCCATAAATAGCTCCATGAATACTTCAATGGGAGGTCCGCCACGAGTCCCTTCACAAGGAGCCCCATACAACACCGGCTCCATCGCTTCCAATGGCCCACCACAACTTTCAACGCTTCCCTTCCAAACCAATCAAGCTCCTCAGCCCTCATTCTCGCAGCCACAACAGCAAACGATTCCAGCACCATACTCGCAGCCACCACCGTCCGGACCTCCTGCTGCCAATCTGCCCCCCTTGAAACCCGTTTTTGGCCTCAGCTTAGAACAACTCTTTGAGAGGGATGGCTCAGCTGTGCCTATGGTGGTCTATCAATGCATTCAAGCGGTAGATCTGTTCGGGCTAGAAGTCGAAGGCATATATCGTTTGTCAGGTACCCAGTCTCACGTGAACAAGATAAAAGCAATGTTTGACAACGGTAGGTGGGCAGATTACAATTCCCTAGTAATTGCTAACAGTGTGTAGATGCATCGAGGGTAGATTTCCGGGATCCCGCAAATTTCATTCACGACGTGAATAGTGTTGCTGGTCTGCTGAAGCAGTTCTTCCGCGATCTCCCTGATCCACTCTTGACTTCCGAGCATTATGCTGGGTTTATTGAAGCTGCCAGTACGTGCCGGCCCCTGTTTGTGACATTGCCCATACTAACACGATGACGTAGAAAGCGACGATGATATCGTCCGACGAGATTCGTTACATGCAATTATCAACAGTCTCCCGGACCCGAATTACGCTACTCTTCGTGCCCTGACGTTGCATTTGCACCGAGTCACAGAGGCTTCGAGCGCCAATCGAATGAACACGAGCAACCTGGCAATTGTGTTCGGCCCAACATTAATGGGCGCCAACACCGGCCCAAACATTCAAGACGCTGGTTGGCAAGTCAGGGTCATTGATACCATATTGCAAAACACATATCAAATCTTCGATGATGACTGAGGGAGAGGCAGGAGAGGAGCGGGAGAAGCATTGCAAGCTTGTGTGGAAGCTTAGAAGCGTGTGCGAGATTCTACGAGCGACGAACCTTGAGACTTGTACATTAGGAAGGGCGAATGGCAAAGGAAGCGGCAAAGGCGATTACCACCAATTTGAAAGGACTGTAAGTTCAAGCCTTTTGGGTACATAATGGACGAAGATTTCACGGACCTTCCGTTCTTTCAAGAGGATTGTTGTCGTGGACCACAGCATCGCCCCAGGTCCTTGCCCAATAATCAGCTGGATGGCCTGTCCACCAGGTCCTGGTGGTCCATGTTGGATGATTATTCAGCATGAGCACGTGGGATGCTTTCCTCGATGCACCTGCAGGCGGGGGCCGGCGGCTTCAGGTGATCAAGTGATGCCCTTTCTTCTCTTCGCCCTCCCTCTTCTCCGGTGCCGCTCCGTCAGAGAAGAACGCAAACAACACCCCACGCCGAGCTTCTCAATTCGGTCCCACGCCAGTGCACCCTCCTACCGTAGGCTTGTGGTGCCTGAGGCAATGAACGATACATAGTATTCTCGCGAGGCACACCTCACCAATCGATCATCCTCTTTCTCCCGAACGTTTTACTTGTCTTCCTACTGTACATAACCGGGCCAGTCGGGTATTTTTTAATTTTTTTTAGCGCCCAATCAAAGCACCTCGCTAGCAAAGGGTTTACAGTTGCACATGCACCGTCCCCTCCATCCATCCTGGCTAGCGCCTCAACTCGTCCCGACTAAGAGAACGCTTCCGTGGAGCTTGAATAAAAACCTTCGAATCCCTCCCTTTCCCCTCTACCGTGTCTACCGTATTTCTCGACCTGAATCCTGCTGGATATTCCCAGCTGCTTAACAAAGGCCTTCGAATCTGCGAACTCCAAGAACAGAGACAAATCTCCGATTCTCTGCCTGAGACACCTAGAAATCGCTGCAGCATGGGACAACCTTCCACGCAGGCGAGCAATGCCATTATTTATCTCTCCTATGGCGCTTTCTTGTGCGTCCTTATCCATTCTCGGCAGTGGAGAGCATAGAAGCGGATCCGAGCCAACACATTGTCCACATGCTGATCTTAGAAAGGGTCTTTGGTTGCTACATCGCCTTCCGACTTCGCCACCAGTCCAAGGTAATAAATCTCCCCGATCTCTGTCGATGTGACTTAGAGCCAGAGCCAGAGCCAGAGCCAGAGCCAGAGACGAGCTGACAACTGCAAGGGCGAATATCTTTCAGGCAATCGGACTCAAACTGGTCAGTAAATCTCGGCGTTTCTGCTGCTGTCAATTCCAACCAAAAACACCCCAACAATTGGCTATCTTCTCTTGGAACTCATGCTAACATTCCATAGCTTTCCCCTTGGCTCTCAACTTCATTGCGTCTGGTTAGTACATCAAACAAAAACGCTTTAGAATCAAATTGCAGCAGCAGATCAATGGCAACCCAGCATGCGCAGCGCAATGTGGATGAGAGTCCTTGAGAGAGAATGATGTGAAGAGGTTCGTATTTACCACTGGCGCTTCCTTGGTCTGTACCCGGTCGAAATCACTCTTGTTTTCTACATAGGTGGGGAGACAGGAGACATATCAAGGAAGCCCAGCGCAGCTTCACTACGGGCGCGGAGTCAGAACAGCTACCAGATATCCAACTTCCGCTTGGGAGAGATGTATGGTCCTGTGAAGATGAAGCTGAGATTGCACCGTAAATACTCGATCACGTTAATGCGTGCGTGGGAAAGTGTCTGCCGCTTGAAAACCCCCCCTCCTTATTGCGTTTATAATTAGCTAACCTCAGATAATTTCTGGCGCAATAGCTCTCGGATCCGGAATTCTCTTTTCATATCCTCAACTCGCAACCATCACCGGCGTTCAGGGAGTGGTGATCTATGCCATTACCTCTGCAGCTCCACTGATGATTTTTGCCTATCTTGGTCCAATCATCAGGAAGAAATGCCCGGAAGGGTTCGTTCTGACTGAATGGACTAGACAGCGTTATGGCATAGTCGCCGCCTTGTACCTGTCTTTCTTGACGCTGGTTACAATGTTTCTCTACATGGTGGCCGAACTTTCTGCCTTGCAACAAATCATGAATGCTTTGACGGGAATGGACGGGCTTCCAATGGTTATCGTCGAGTGTGCCGTCACGACCATTTATACATGTAAGGCACCCTACACTAGATATCAAGAATCAGGTCTGACACATTAGACAGCTCTGGGGGGTTTCAAGATATCGTTCATCACGGACAACATCCAAGGAGCTATGGTTGTAGCTCTGAGTAGGCTCCCATTATCTTTCTGTTAGACTTTTTTTTTGGCTGACGATTATTTCAGTTATCATTGCTACTATTACTGTCGGAGTCGAAACTAAGATTGACAAGACTCTTATCAACTCGTCGGGCCTCACAAAGCCCACTCTCCTTGGTTGGCAGCTTCTCTACATCTTGCCCGTTGCGGTCTTGACGAACGATTTCTTCCTCTCCAATTTCTGGATAAGAACTTTTACTTCGAAGACTGACAAGGACTTGCGGATCGGTGTTTCTATTGCCGCAGTCGTTACTCTGATCATTTTGACACTTGTGGGTGCTACAGGCTTGATTGCAACCTGGTCTGGTGCCTTTGATCCCAATAACCCTGATCAAGATGGCAGCGTTGCATTCTTTTACCTCCTGGAGCAACTTCCAGCCTGGACCGTAGGAATTGTGCTAGTCATGGTCGTTTCCCTGAGCACTGCCGCATTTGATAGTTTCCAGTCAGCTATGGTGTCTACCGCATCGAATGACCTCTTCCGGAACAAGCTCAATATTTGGTGGGTGAGAGGAGGCGTGGTCTTGATCATCTTCCCGGGTAAGATTGGTCCCAACTCCTTATCTTGTTTGAGCTGAGACCCTGGCTGAATCTCACGAAACGCCATCCCGTTTGCTTTGGGAGGTTGGCTCCTCAAACCTTGAAATCAGTCGTACATTCGAGGAGCTTTCCATGCTGACTCTGGAATTAGTTGTGGTTCTTGCGTTAAAGGCTCCAAGCATCCTACAAATTTACTTGATTTCCGATCTTGTGTCTGCTTCAACGATCCCGGTCCTAGTCCTTGGCCTGAGTGACCGCTTTTATTGGTGGCGAGGCTTCGAGGTTGTTGTAGGCGGACTCGGGGGTATTTTCACAGTCTTCATCTTTGGGACGATTTACTTCGGCAGTGCTTTGCAAGGCGCAAGGCTTATCCTCCTGGAGCAAGGTCTTTACGGCAATGACTGGAGTGCATTTGGAGCCTTTGTGGCTGCTCCCATTGGTGGGCTGCTTTGGGGATTTGGTGCTTTGGCAGTGAGACTTGCTTACCAATTCTTTAATGCAAAGATCAGCGGCCATCGCTTCGATGCATTTGATCGCCCAGCATACCTCGATAATCAAGTCGAGGGAGCACCTGAGTATGCAGCAAGCGATGAAATACACAGCGATCCTCAAAATGGTCTGGTGACGGTCGACCACAAGGGGAAGTTCTTTTGAGCTGGGGCTGGTGGAAGCCGGAGGTAAGCTTGGTATGTTAAGTGGATGATACCTTACGTATGAAAGGATTGTGTTTCTTTTCGGGGTTTGAAGAGGGACAAGAGGACCGGAGCACTAGGGGTGGTACATCAGAGGACAAACATCATTAGTTGGAGGCGAGTTATTTCCTTTGAACACGTCTAATGTCGAGTATGTCATACACATAAAACTACAACGGCCTTCCTGAGCTCAATATCCTCACATCGAGCCCAAATCGCCGCAAGGCCAAGGCCTTCAAGCCAACGCTTTCCTCTCCCATTCCTCTACATCGTCCAATGTCGTCTCCTGAGTTGTCCCCCAAACCTGCCACTCTCCCTCTCTCCAACCCTCGTACTGCCTCTGCAAAACCACGTACTCTACCACATCTTTCGCCTTCCCACTGCCCGGCACAACCTCCATCGAACCACTCCTCCCTTTGACCCATCTAGTTAGCTTCTGCCTCGAGGCAATTCTCACCACTGCCTGTATCACCGCCGCCCCCTCAATGGGCAACCTCGCAGCACGATTTGAAATTAGTCTCGACCTCTTATTGTAGTCTACCAACTCCCAGTCCACCTTCTCACCCCTTGGACGATTTCCAATCCGCGCTCGGAAACTGTCGTATAAGCCATCCGCGCAGATCTTCCGCAGCGCAACAACGTCGCCTTCGGCGAAAGAGTTGTACATTTGTCGATGTAGAGCAACAGCCGTTGGTGTGAGGGTCGACCGCGAGAGCTTGACGGATCGCCTATACCAATTCTTCTCTTTGGGAGACGAGAACCAGAGGATTATTAGAGAAAATCGGTCACGGAAACGGAAAGCAAAACGCTTCCATTGGTATTTGAGATGGGCGAGGGGTCTTTGGAAGAGGGGGGTGCGGTTGCTGCCGGTGGGTGTAATAAATGTCTCTGCGAGGAATTGGGTTAGCCACAATCATAGAGAGGTGTTTGGAAGGGCGAAATACTGTCTAAGAGTCCAATGTCTGAAGGTACAGCTTGCATCCCTTTGGATAGGACTTTAATACTTCGGTCTGCTTGCTGCCGTGGTCGACTGGGCTGCGGTGCTTGGGGGCCAGCATGCAGGGCAGGTAATTGAGAGAAACATCGCCGGGAGAAGGATGGAGAGAGTCCCACCGCCGAAAAGAGCGGCCGTCGAAGGCAGTGTGCCATTGAGGCTCCAACAGATTGTGTGTTCACAGTCAAGCTTGAAGCTTGCAGGTTGAATGCACCAGGAACTTTTTTATCGAGCATCGGCAAAAATGACCTCCGTGTTGCTGAACCCTGTCTGCACCATCATCAGCGTGATTGTGCTGAATGTTCGATTCCCGCACCATTTTTTGCAGAGGATGTCTCTCAATCGGTGTTGAGAAGTATGCCTGATGCATCAGGACGAATAATGAAGTCTGTTTGTCCAGTTTCGGCCTGCCTCCGTCTCCAAATTGTTACAGATAGTACTTCTGTCCTTCAGCATGGTAGCTAGCTAGCCTTGCAGCATCACACAGTCTGGGGAAGGCCAACTCGCCTGCAGAACCGTGGCCCGCCCTGCACCACAGCGCAGGAACAAGACTCTACCTCTTCTCTCTCTCTCTCCCTCACACAGCCAACTTTCTCTTCTGTTTTTGCTTCAGCTGCGTCCATTCTCGCCGGCCATTCCAACTGCGATGTGGCAGCATATGCCCTAATTTACTCAGTCTGGCTTCCTATCGCCGCCCTCCCCCCTCTTCGCGAACCAGTCTTCGAGGTCCCTCGTGCCCCCCACCAGACTACACCCCCTCCTCTCCGCTGAACCTACACCCAGCCCAGCCTGACCACAAGAACTCGGTCTTGCATCCCCGCGTTGCCGTGCTGCTGGGTGTGGAAAGACATTGGCATTTCCCCCTCTTGTTCTGCCGCGGCTTGAGCACAGCTCCTTCAGCATGGTGGGGTCTACGATGTGCGTTGACGTTCATGGGAGAACTCCTGCTGGATGAGAGTAAAGAAGAGATTGGGGCCCCGTGGAGTGTGGAGAGGAGATTCAGGGTGACCGAAGTGTTCTTGGCTGTGTTATGGGTATGCGTTTCCATCCACAAGTCGAATTAGCCGCCTTGGAACAACTGGGAGAATGAGAATAGAATACACTAAGGGAATGCTGACCTCTGGGAAGTGCCTATGTAGCGGATATCTCTCCTTCTACTTCACTGATTGCCTTATGTCTCGTTGGTAAGTTGGAAAGCAAAGCAAGAACTTCTAGAAGATGCTGAGAGCTGTGAACTAACGAACATCCTCCCAGGCTTTTGAACTACACACCACAAGGTGCCTCCTCCAATTACCTTCTAGGAAACGCCTGTTAATCACAAGCAGCAACCCTCGTCCGTCTTCTTACTATAAACTCCATGAATGCCTACATCACTTCCTGGGTTCTTTATCTGTCTGGTGGCTCAGAGGACCCACGCCTACTATTGCCAGCTTGGATCAGCATTGCAACCGTTAGCTCCACCACGGTTCTTCTAAGATGTTCTAATGCCTAATATGTGAACAGACTCTGACCTTCCTGTACCATATCACGCATCCACGGTTAGCTATACTGAAGGAGACTTCTCTCTCAATATCGGTGTTTTCTATAGCAAGCTTCATAAGCATGGTCAGCCTGTTGCTGCAGCTGCATCTAACGAGGGCGAATGATCCCCCAGTGCCGTTATTTATGATTCTGAAACAGTGTTGGGAGTATGTCAAGGTCGCGGTAGGAATGATCGGGATAGGGGGCAGAGCTCTTTAAAGAAGATAGAGAAAGCATACATCAACCGAGAGCACCAAAACCCTTCGTAGTGTGTATTCCTATTGTATTGCCAGAATCCATGCTACGCCCCCGTCCTTGTGGATAGCACAAGCCAGCAGAATTCCCTGGTAGAATACATGCTGTATATAGAGAAAGCAAACCCCATTGCATTGCAAAGCAGAAAAAAACCCTGTCTTCCGGACCATTTCCATGCCATCAGTGCGTTCTTTGGAAGAATGCGGGTATCATCGAACGCCCCATGTCGAAGCAAGTCGTACACGATCAGAATCGACCCAGCCAGGGGAAGAGGCAGGGCAAGAGGTTGAGAGAAAATATTTGGTGCTGACAACACTTCTATCGAGGTTCCTCGAGGCAACGGCTGGTGGGGCATTGGACGGGCTTAGAAACCATGGACCTGTGAACAAGACTGTTAGCCAGGGGTGGGGGATTGTAGTGCAACAAGATTTACCTTAATGGTCTTGGCATCAAGCTCCAAACCCTCCTTCTTGTCGGTGAGGAACTCCTGGACATCTTTGCGCTGATCACCCTGGAGCTGAATCACCTCTCCCATTTCACTATCGACCACGATGGTGCCATTGCAAGCTGTAGTAGAGAATTAGTCGGTCCCGATCTCTGATAGAAAGAGGGGTACACCACCTACCGAACTTCTTCTTGATGACCTTCAGGATCTTCTTCTGGTCAAATTTCTTTGGCAGACCTTGGACAGTCGTCAGAGTCTTACGACCATTGCGCTCTAGTGAATAAATCAAGTCAGCAGGCTTATCTCAACCAGTGGCGTCGCACCCAGCCTGTTCTGTGCCAGCATATGTTGGAAATTGGAAAGTGAACTCACGCTGAATACGAATGTGTATGTAATTCTGCGACTGCTTGGTTTCTCCTGTGTCTTCGTCGGCTTCGGCGAAGGGGTCTGTGTGACAAGGAAGGTTAGCAGAGACCCAAGGTGATCTGAGATAAGAATTGATGCGAGCACACAGAGAGCAGCCGACGGCGACCAAAGAAACAGGTGTGGCTTGTAAAGTGCGCCTTTGTCTCTTCAGACTGCTCCAGAGGGCTGTCTGTGGAGAGGAGGAGTGAACTCACCGAAGGTCTTGAGATTTTCGATTGACATAAACTCGAGTGTTCCTGGGTCTCTTGGGGCAGGTGTTGTTGGTATTGAGGTTGGGTAAAGAGCGCGAGAAGTCGCCGCTGTATCAGAAGATTGTTTGTTCGGTGGTGGAGTGGAGTTGATTGTAAAGGGAAGGTTGTTGTTTCGGGAATCAATGTGGTTGTGGAATCTGGATGGAGGGGAACTGAGGGAAGAGGCGGGGACTAAGGGGTTTGGTGCCTGGGTGCCTGAGTCGTGGGTAGTCCTTTGCAGTTTCGCGGCTTCTAATTGGCGGGAGGAAGTCACGCCTTACGATCTTTACAGGGTGAGTCGCTTGGATTCGAGGCTATGGTGATATGTTGCCACTACAAAGTAAGGAGTGCTTTGGTTCACATTTTGACTCACCAGGGGCCTCATCACAGCCTCACGTGTCCTACAGGATCCGGTCCCCTTCGGTGACTCGGAGGTCCTTTCTCTGGGGGAGGAGGGGCCCTCAGAGAAAACAGAGAAGGCCTCACAGCACAGTGCTCTCATTTGCTCAATCTCGTTCAAACAAATGCCTCATCGACCAACAATATCATTTTGCCTAAGCGTGAAGACAACTGATTCGAACAGAAGACTTATTCGACATTGGAGCAAATATGAGGTGCCCAGCAATGTTGCAGTGTTGCTCCTCAACAAACTCCTAAGCCATCCCCTGTAAGGTAGACCGCAGCGCCAGCTCCTGGCCCTCCGTCATCCTATCTCGCAACATTTACACACCATTCTGCTTTTGCTCCCATCGATTGTTTTATGTCCCCTCGCATGTCCCCTCGCCATATCATACAAAGGAACCCTTCTCAAGAACGAGGCGCTGCTGCTGCTGCTTCGGTCCCCGTTCCTTGGCCTGGAACGGCTGGTGGTGGTAAGAACATCGGCAGATAAGTCTATTTATTGTTGGCTGTTAATAGGGAAAGATCTCCTTTCGGCGTATGTACGTACCACTACAAGGGCCATAACTTGATGGAGAATTAGCTCAGTGCTCCAGGCGACAGAAGAACTACTACTCACAGGCCATTCCAACAGAGAAGTAAGCTGGCTGCGATGAGCTCTTCTTTGCTTCTGCGCTCTCGCCCAGCCAGTTTTGAATCGACAGTACTACGGATGCCCTGCTCGCCGTCAGACGTCGTCACTTCTCCCTGAATATAACCTCATATACCAGCCAATAAACTTATTTCGCGTGAACATGGCAGCCATGGGTAATGTGCTTCCCAACGTGCCACTAATGTCGCTCGGAGAGTCTTTCGCAGCAGGCAATTGATAGGGAATTACTGTTGGTACACTTGTCAGCTCCCGGTCATTGTTAGGAAGAGAATTTCGGCATACTGAGGTCTGGCCTCCGCATATCCTTCTTCGACGACATAGTTGCGCGACGTCTGCTTGGTTCTCAAGAAGATCTCGCGAGGTGCTGTTGGAAAGTCGTGCAGCTCGGCGCGGGAAGATCAATTGGCTAGTGCCACATTATACCATGTTCTCGCAGCGATGCGTAATCAAGAGAACGGCGCTGTCCAGGCGTCACACACACATTTCCATAATCCATTCTACTCAAGGTGCTCACTTCTGTTCCTGTTTGGCGGTGGTTCAACATACTACTGTATTTCTTGTATTTCTTGGTGCCTGAGCTACATGGTTAGATTTGGCGTCATCGTGGAGTGCTTTGATCGATGCAGTTCCTCTCGATCAAATCTCGGCATTGTACTAGATGTTCACATTCATTTTGTACCCTTCCATATCGAATCTTTTCGAGATTGAACGTCGGAGCTCATTCCGGACACCCTGAGAGGGCATTTCCATAAGATATTATAGACTGTTCTCAGCAGCGCCTCTCAAAGAAAGTCGCAGCACAGTCGAAGACTCCAGAGCACTGTTATTCCACTTGAGTGGGCGGGTAAATCAACAGAGGCGTAAGGGGCCGTCATGGATGAATAATGAGAGTTCGCCCATTCCTATCAAAGTTTCGGCGAAGAAGAGGCGAAAACGTACGAAAGGTACCTACTTTTGGTTTGAAGAGGGGAAGCCCTTTGCTGGACGATACGCAGTAAGGCTCGACCGTCAGGAGCAGCTGGAAGCGTGAGTCTTGCTGACTGTGCCAAATGAATAATGATAACCAGCCGAATCGTCCCAACTTTCTATTCAGGCCCGTTTTGGCTGCGCCTACTGTCTTCTCCGTATAGCCTAAGGCCCCGGTGCAGTTGATAGGATTGGGATGTGATGAAGAGCACTGGCTAGGGGCTGGGGCTGGGGCTGGACTGGGACTGGGACTGGGACTGGACTGCGGGGGTGACGAAGGTTGGTGAGCGGTGCAAATTGGTGATGGGTGTCCGTGAAGTGTCGCTCGGGGCAATTCGACATGAAAGTAGCTTCAGTAGTAGTAGCACCCACATCCATGAGCTGGTTGCACGGCAATCAAGATTGGACGTTGACAATGGGAGAGAACTTAGAAGAGAGAAGAGAGAGAGAAGAGAGATAGAGAGAGAGAGAGACAAGGGAAACATCGGGGCGGAATGTTGCCAGGTTCCGCGGGCCACACTTCAGCCCAGGCCGGCGCCCCCCAGATCATCGCTTGGACCGTGAATCTTGATCCAACTGGCTCGGCCTTTGCTGCCCCCTCCCGCAGATGAAAAGTGCGCCATCACGCACCCTTGCGGTGCCGCTCGTCTGTCTCCCCCATCAAGTCCCTGCACTTCTCCCGCTTGCCCTTGGCCTTACACATCCGCATCTTCGAACGACTGTGACTGCCACTGCGACTGCGACTGCGGCGGCGACTGCGATAGCAACTGCAAACCCTCCTCACGCCGACAACGTCCCCAGACAACCACAACCACAACCACAACCACGAACAACCTCCCTTCTTTCCCCGGCCGGCTCCCTCGATTCGCTTCGGCTTCATCTCATCCTGCTAGCCTGGAGAATCAAAATCGCTTTTGTTCCACGCGAGATGGACAAATCATGACCTCGCGACCCAGCGTTGGGCGACAGGGCCCTCAGCGCTCCCTGAGTTCGACAAATGCCCTGCAGAGGCCACCACCGCATCGCACGCTCTCGCAGCAGTTCTCGTCCTCGTCCCCAACAAGGCGAGGGAATGAGGGTTTTGTGGACTTGACATTCGATGAGTCGGTGCTGGCTCGGCATGGGCCGAGAGTTGGGACCTCGCGGTTGCGAGTTGAGATATCGAAAGACTCGGGGCCCTCTGAGATGGTGGAATCGCCGAAACCCATATCAGACGCCGCTCCTACGTGGAGGCCATCACTACCTCCACGAGGGCGGCCACAACTCCATTTTGATGTGCCAAGTGTCAGCAACCTCAGTCCCCATCCTGCGCAGGACGGCGGCCAGAACGAAGTCACGATAAAGCCGATGCCTTTGCCCGTGAGGCCCGGACAGCACGCTCCACCGTCTTCTGAGAAATCTCGTGCGGCGCCAAGTAATGCAGCGAAGAAAGACGCCCGTCCAAAGCCGTATATTCTGGAAGTGCCGACAGCCGCCCCTCATTATTCCCCAAATGGTTCGTAACCTATCTCCATCATCTGACAGAGGTATATATTGATTCAAGTAGGCCATACCGATTTCTTTCCCTGGACCGGAAACCATCCCGAGGACCAATTCTCGGAGCCAGTAATTCGACATGGCTTTTTTGACAAAGCACAGATGACACAGAACGAAACAGGATCCGCTAAGCCGTCCATATTCCCAGCCCTCAAGCACAAAAGCGGACTTCAAACATTGTCAGCTTTATTCACGAGTGTGCTTGCACAGCGAAGGGCTCATGGACAAATCACCTCGGCATCAACCTTCAAACCCCCACCGCGTGTTACAGTTACAGATACAAAGAGAGAAATGTGGTTGAAGGATCTAGCAAACCCCACGATATCTTTACGGCGTCTCAGTAGATCTATTCCTCACGGAATAAGAGGAAAGGTGCTGTTGGATCAATCTTTGAGCAAGAATATACCAATAGAAAGAGCCGTATGGTTGGCCAAGTGTGTTGGGGCGAATGAGTTGAGGTCATTCAGAAGAAAGGGTGTCAGCGGCACGTTTGCTATGGGCGGTGAGGCCAAATGGATTAGGGACTTCACAGTTTGCGTTGAACAATTCATGGAAAGCATTCTTGCGACTTGCGGAGAGAAAGATTTCAAAACAAGGATAAGTTACGCGTAAGTTTGCTGACCCAGCAGTTCGAGCCGCTAATTGACTTGAAAACAGGATACGTCTTGCCACTCATTTCTATGCCGAATATCTTCTTGATCGTGAGCACTATATGGACTGGTTGGTAACGTCTCTGGAAAACAGTCCTCAAGCGAAGCTGCCTATGTGGCTTTTGATTACTCAAGTTTACTGGAAGGATCTCTTGAAATACCGAAAATACGGACGTCGACTTTCAGCGGCGCTTTTGAGTCAGCTAGCTAGGGCAAGTGTAGTCTAATATTCTTCTCCCTTGCAGATGCTTACATATCTCCAGACATTAAACCACCTAGACCGCGATATTCTGGCTCCTCTATCTGATCGCCTGCGAGTTCTACTGAAAGGAATTGTGATATCAAACTCGGAAAGTTTTGTTGGCCCGAAAGTATGGGCCAAGCACAGAGATGTCATCATGAGCGACTTGGACCTCGACGATGAGCGGTTTATGTCTATTCTTGCAGCACTTGACCTACGAAATTCTCGTCTAAACGCTTCCGGTACAGAGAAAACACTAACCGCTCGACGGCGTCTGCTTTATGTCCTTGACGGTACATTAATACGTCCGCTGACTAACGAGACGGCTCGACAGTGTTGGGAGATTGACGAAGACAAAGCCATGCTTTCCCGTACAATTTTGGAATGGTCCTCGTCGTCTTACCGGCCTGGAAATGCTAAAATATATGTGGCTGCTCGCATCATGAGGTCTTGGATCAAATTCGGTGCAGACGTCACTAGTGCAGTTTTGGATTTCCTCGACTCTGCAGTGTGCAATTCTGGCCGCCGAAACTCTGCCTTTTACCATCTGGTCTCTGAGTTGGCCCGCTCGGAGCACTTTTCTACACCAAGGTATCTGGAATGGTTGATCGCTCGAGGTGGTCTGTACAATGCCAAAGATGTGGCTTCAGATGGGCCTTGTGCAACACGACTGTTGGCTGAGCTCCCGACAAACAACCTTAGTGAGAGCATCGCTGAGCTTCGTGCGACTTTACTCAGTAGGGCAGGTTTTCTGGTAGAGGAAGAGGAAGATCAAACGAATGATTTGATGACATTCATGAATCAAAACCTACCCGGTATGCAAGCCACCGTGGACGATAAGCTTGAATCGCAGAGCCTCGACGTCAATCTTGCAAGCATTTCATCCGAGGCAAGCCGAACAACCAAATCAGAACTTGGCCTCTGGCTGCGACAAAAAGTCAGGCTTCAGATGGCGCAACCAACAATACCACCCTTTGACGATTGGGATGATTCACCGATGAAAGGCGGGACCTCTGCGATCACGTCATCCGATTTCAATACCGTCCGGCAATATCTTGAGCTCATCGATGACTATTCGATGCTTGCCGATGTCCTTAAGATCGTTACGAGTTCCAATGACGCGGAAGTGCTTGCTTCTTGTGTGGATACGCTAGACTTGCATATCGAGGTATTCTCGGCAATAGGTGCACTCAGGGGGCTATTTGATATTCTCGTGACCCGTCTTCGAGCCTTGTCAGATGAGATTGACTCCATCCCGAGGGTACTTTTGGTCACTTTGTCGGACCTTGCCTCGCGACTCCCGGAGCAGAGGATGGTAGCTCAACAGCTCGCTCAAGAGCTTGCCCGCAGCGATAGAAAGACCGCTGCCGATGCTTGCTCACCGGTGTCTGACCACATGGCACTCGTTCAGACGTCGGAGGCAGACTTTACAGACGAGATTGAGAAAGTCTTAGCAAGCGGCAATAGCATGGATCAAGCCACTCTGGAGAGGCTTTTTCAAAGGATTATATTGCGACTGGAAGAGTCATGGGAGAAATCGCAGGAACAGCGAAGCTGTGGGTTGTTGCTCACGAGGCTCAGGACTTTCGACGCCCAGCAGTTTGACGCTCTGATGACCGCATGGATAAAACGGCTTGTACCGCGCCAGAACCGTCCAACTATGTTGGAAGTGTTCGGACCCCTGATCAGTTTTGGATGTCTCGCCCTTCGAGATGTTATTGTCAGCTCCGGTGCAACGGAGACAATGGAAAATCCACAAGACTCGAGCACCGCTCACGAAGCTCTTGGATTGCTGGTCACATCATTCTGTCTTCCAGAGACGATGACCATCGAAGAAAGATATCGTCTTCGAATCAAGCAAGCGCATATGCAGAAGGATCACCCTGTTGAAGTTTTGAACGTCGTTCGTCTTGTGTTTGGAGAACCCATCGACTTGGATGAACGCAGCAGCTCTTTGGATAGGAAGATTCTCCAAAGTGCGGACTTTCATGAGCTCCTACAAGTTCTTGTTCTATCCGATACCCATCGATTTATTGACAACCTAGTGATGCCACTGCTTCAGAGTTCCACCCCAGACGCCGCCGTCACCATCAACAGATGTGTTGACAAGTTTTTGTTAGCCGGGAATGAGAACGAGACTATTACGACGGAGGTGCTCCTTAATCTGGCCGATGACCTGTCTTTACCATTCTGCCAAGTCAAGCTGGCTGCCATGTTTAGAAGAGATGATACAGTCATGGAAGGTGCAGATGATGGGCAAGCAGAAGACCTCGAGGCATTCGATCGTGCCATTGAATCGGCAGTGGCTACAGGGAAGACAACCTGGGCCAGCATCGTTCCGTTGCTCGATGCTTCAATCGCACAACGCTTGCGACAACGAGCGGAAGCACGTTTCCTGGCTTTATTCCCCTCGCCAAAGGCTACGGGTGGAGAGGACACCATGCAGAACCGTGTCGTCCATGCCGAAAACCTCCTGCACATAATCGATGCAACCGCGTACAGTGCGTCTGCCACAAACACGTCCGTTGGTGCCACCAATCTTGCTTGCGACATCGTTGCAGTTCTGAATGGCCTATGGCTGCTGCTTGCAAAGTCTCAATCTCGAGATATTAAGGATGCCATTATGTCAAAATGGCTCCCACTTCTTCTTTCCTTCACAACAATCCGCATACCCGCGTTTGAAGCAACAAAACCCGGTCACGAGAGCAGGGCAAAAGCTGTCCTAGCTCTTGCAGCTATATTTCTCCAACTACAAGCCCTCGACATCGCCACGGATGAAATCAAGAACCTGATAGAGCAAACCTTCGACCTAGCACTCTATCTAGTAGATCCGCTACCTGAAGATATGCGTCAGCAATGTATTCGAAACCTTCGAGATGCTGCGTCGAGCGCCCAGATTTCATACCTTTTCAGTTTTACGCCGAATCCAACAGAGTGGCTTGTTTTGAGCCAAAAGGAGAGAACATTGCCCCCTCCGGGCGCTGGTGTTGCTGAAAGGGCGACTGAAAAGGAAAAGTTGGTTCCTTTCTCCTTGAGGAGGTGGGAGATGTTGGGCGAGCCGACCCCAAATGTGGGCGAGAATGATACGAGTTTGAGCTTGACACTCTTCGGGGCTAGGAGGGGGTAATATACCCTCATGCTAGTACTATGAATGCATATTGCTTGGAAGCCAGTATAAACAGGAAATAGCGTGTTGGAAAGTTGGGATCTTGGAGCATTGGACATGAATGAGACAGACGATGTTACGATATAGAGAATTTAGAATAATTCAATCATGATCAACTTCCGCTTACGGTATGATACTGTTCTATCCCACTCCCTTTAGCTAGTCTCGCTTCCACTAAATTAGGGTATGTCTTTAAGCAGTGAAGGATTAAATCTGTTAAACAAGAAAACTACTGTGATGCCAGTCACGTGGAGGCATCGTTGCACGTGATTTACCGTGTAGCTTGTGCTTCCAGCCCGGCAGGCAGCTTTCCGCTCAATGCAAGCTCTTTACCATACTGCAACACCTATTTATTGTGACAAAAACTGTGAAATACGAAATTATAAAAGTGCTTAATTTAAGTATATAACTATACTAATTAATTTCATTTAATTAATTCTCTTAATTACTATTCATACTTAAACTATTTAAAACTCTATTTGATAATTAAAGGGCAGATTGGCCGCTGTTTTGGGAGGGTTTTTCTCGCTGCGTTCTATTATATAAGAATTACTTAAATTATTAATAATCTCACATTCTTAAAAGATAGTGATTTTGATTTTGCGGAAAAAAATACTTGTTGAAGTAGCGTTCTTAAAGGAGCCCGTATCACTTGAAGTTTTGATATCAGCACATGATTGTTCTCGTTCTCTTCTCCTTACGCCCTGTTACTGAACGGAGCTGTTTATGTCATACCATCAGGCGTTGATGATTGCAAGCGCTCTACAAACACCGCCATGTTGTAGTCACGTTTCAGCTCGTTGAAGTTGGGAAATTGAATAAGATATTCAACCGGGAGGCTTATCCTGGTCCGATATAAAGATAGTAAGTCAGACGATTCTCTATTCTTCGTGGAAATCTTCTGTGAGAGGCCAATAGGCAAAAGGATACCACATACTTCGTACTAAATGCACACCGGAAGGAGAAACAAGCCAATGAAATCAACCCCAACAACCTATGTGGGTCCTGGCTTCGAACGCAATCGTCTCAGACGATCTATCTCCTCCCTCGCCTGAGATGAACGCCAATCTATATACAATTCCCCAGGAGCATTTCCATCGTTGTCAGGAATGTCCAGGTCTGCGCCACCTTCCTCAACTAAGATCCGCACCAAATCCGGCCTTCCCACGGCAGCAGCGTAAGACAGTGGTGTCCGGCCATTAAGAGCTTTCCTGTTCACATCCACCAAACCCGTTTGGATTAAGATCCGGACAGTTTCGACATTGCTGGGGCTTCCCCACATGGCACAAGAAAGGGGAGTCCGTCCAGATTCCTCAGGGCAGTCGACTCCCTGAGGATAAAACTGGGCCAGGACCTTAATAACTTCGCCATGGCTTCTATCGGCCGCTAGTGAAACCGCATTCTGGCCCCTCTTGTCGACGCTGGCAAGTTGGACATCAATCCTACCAGTCATGCAAAGGGCTTTCACCACCTCACAATGCCCACTATATGCAGCCCATGACAATGGTGACCATCCTCTATCACTATCCCCTGGATCATCAAGCAAGGACTGAATATCTGAGCGTGAGGATTGTAACAATATATTGACTGCATCCAACGCACCCATTTCCGCAGCCCAAGATAGCACGGACCGACCGTAACGGTCGCGTTGCGCAATGTTCACCCGAGGCTCTGAGACTAGGCATTTCAGCACTATCAAGTCTTTCGGTTCACACTTGCTCCCAATGGCCCAAAGGAGCGGGCTCGATCCAGTCCGATCCGTCATATTAACGTCAACATCCTCTCGAGCAATCAGTAATTTGGCAATCGCTAAATCGCCAGACCCCACCGCCAATGACAACGGAGAACGCCCGTTCCCATCAAGGATGTTAACTTGAGAACTGCTCGCCTCATCCAATAGCAGCTTAACTATCTCCAGGTGGCCGCCGACACAAGCCCAGGAGATGGGCGAGCCACCTTCTACCCATGCGCCCGTCACAGGTGTCCCATGGTCGAGAAGCAGCTTCGCAATATCTGCGTGACCCATTCTACACGCCCAAGATAACGCAAGAGATTTACTCTTGCCTTGAAGTTCTGATGGATACATCTCTAAGACTTTGTTGGCGAGCAGAACAAGGCCGAAAAAGGCAGCCACAGTGAGTGGGTCGAGATCCTTGGGCAGCGTCACATAATCCTTTGACGATAGTCTATATTGATCAGACCAATTGGAGAGACAATCTGTGCCTGGACGTGAGATGCGGATTGCTGATTCCAGTAAATGTTGCGGCGTAGATACCCCCAGCCAGCAGAGATGTGTTGTCCAATGACTAGCAGAGTATTCAAAGAACGGGGGCTTCTGGTCCATTGACCACGGACTTTCTTCAGTAGCACCTGGGAGTTCGAGAAATGCCGGCACATTTTCGTCAAGAACCTTCCTCTCTTCAAAATCAGCAAGGCCCAGAAACCCTACACAGGCTGTAGCGAGTTCGAGATGTGCCGAGTTGAGACTGGTACCATACAATTTTGGCAGATCAAGCTCAAAGCTACTCAAGTCGGCCACTTTTCCGCTAGCCAGTCTCAACAAAAATTCCTTCGCCGATTGATGTACAAGGTGGACTTGGAAGTCATGGATGTGGACCAGTGGACCCAGCACAAGCCGTATTGTCCTTTCAACGGCCATGTCACTCTCCTCTTCTACTGACCTCAGTGTCTGATGGTCTAAATCAATCGCCAAAGCAATCTGTATCTCAGCCGTTGCTAAGGGCCTGAACGAGCCAACTAGAATACGCAGAATCTTTGCAGCCAGGGCTTGATTTTCGGTTTCGATATCGGCGAGAATGCGGCAATAGAGGCCATCAAGATCCCTTGGACTTTCCTCGATAACTTTCTCGAAATACTTCTTGGTTTGTGGTCCTCCTTTGAGACGTTGGATCACTAGACTGACCCATAGGAAATTTCGATCGGCTTTCATCACTATTCTCCTTTCCAGGCTTTGCCTTATCTCCTCTGGCCACTTCGCTTTGATTGCGAGAGCATCCAACTGGTCTTTAACTACCAGCTTCATATCCTGTTCGACTCCTCTGACTTCGGCCGCATCGTCGAGGCAGATGATTTCTGAGCACTCCTCAATCTCTTCCGTGATATCGACATTGTTCCTGCTTGACATCAAAAGTTTGAGAGCGGTGGAAGGCGGTTCGAGCTTTTGTATCAAGAACTGCTTTATGGCAGTCAAAAGCCTGCCTCTAGAGCAAGGTTCGCATTCATCAATTGCGTCTATGATGAGGACAATTGTTCCAGTTCTAGGGTTGAGCATAATATCCCTCAGTATTTCCCATAGTACGAGAATTGACCATCGCTCTGGCGCAACCTCTGAGAACCTCGCAGTGGCATGCTCCATCAGGTCATGGCGCTGGGTAAGGATTTGGTATAAGAGACCACGCAGAATCGCCTGGCCGTGGTTGCGACCAACGTCTTTGTCATCGCAAAAGAACGAACACACGACTATCGTAGTAGAGTCGGTTTGTGTTGCTACGGCCAAAATCGTCTTCATCTGCTCCACCAGATATGAGGTGAGAATTGACTTGCCACTTCCCATGTCTCCAGTGATACAGAGGAGGCTCGAGTGTTCGTCTAAAATCCATTCTCGAAGTTGGTTATTCGATGAGATCCATTCGCAAGTGCCGGGTGATCGTGGACGAAGTTGAGCCCTACAATCGTTCATATCAATTGTGTTAAGTGCCCTGAGACACTCTTGCTCCTGGAGATTGAGAGCTGGTCAGTCAAAATCTTAGTTCGTTACTGTAATGACTCCCGCAGTTACTTACGACGAGTCAAATCTCGCTCATTACTCTGCACCCCGTGTGTTTGACAGACCTGTACAATCTTCCGAAATGCAAGGGCGTCTTCGTCAAGTCGGCACATCTCTCTGTGGTTGGCCGCCAACGGAATCATTTCTTCATTTGGTACGCCAATTCTAGTATTGCTGCGTGGTACAACCTAAATGAGGTAATAGGCATTCCATTAGCTTCGATACCTAAACACCACAAAGGTGATGGAGTGCGGGAAGAGAAAATGACTGACCTCACTTTTGAAAGGTGGCATCACCCTCTCTTCGTAAAAGGATACAATTTCAATCCCTTTAGTTCTATCCGTAAAAGACATAGAAATGTTCTCAAGCTCCACTGAACGAGGTCGGAGCAGATCTGCGAGGTGTTGTCTCGGTTTGCCAAGAAAGTGGTTTAACTTAGATGCCGATTCCACCGTATTTGCAATTTTTACCAGCGTCGATAGGAAATCTGCTTGTTCCGATCCAGAATGGGGAGTTCCAAAGAATATAACTGCTTTGGTTGATTGGAGAATATTTACGTATCGAGAGCTTTCATGAGCAAGAATTAGGGACTAGATTTGTCAGTCCTGACTTCATCTTGCCAAGTGGCTAGTAACACACTTTTTTGCAAACAATTCCTCCCAAGCTATGGCAGATGAACACGATCCCGCGTCGTTTATCCTGTATTGAATAAGCTTTCAAGGCCGGGAATTGTATGAACTAGTAATACAGACCGCCTCAGACTGACGTTCCAAGTTCAATTGCGATAATAATCTGCGAGCAAAGTCTCCAATATCGGCATTGGACCGACTGAAGATATCCGAATCATACCCAAAGGTATAGACTCTTGCTCCAGGTAGCGAACGTGGCAGGAATTCTTTAAGCCACATTTGTTTGTTTTTATTGGTCCAGGTATCGAATGCATCCCCATTCAAGCCGTGTAAAGCAATGACGTCAAGATGGTAAGTTGGAGACAAGGAATCAGAATCCGTGTTGTCCGCTTTCAGCGGGAACAGTCCAAGTCGCTGTCCATTATAACTTGCATTTTCAATGAGGTCGGCCGAGCTAGGCTTGGGGATAACTCGAATATCCGCACCTGCGGATGTCAAGGTCAAGGGCTCAGTCTAAATATATCGTGATCAGTCTATTGGATGCATTTGAAAAATACTCTGCTAAAGGATCATATGTGAAGCCTTACTCTATCGCGACTGGGCGTTGCAGATGCATTTGCTTCATCTAACAATTTCTTTCTCTGGCCGGCGCGACTTCCAAAGTCAAACATTGTGTCGAGGGCTTCGGGATCAACTGTTTTGCTAAGAAAGCAATAAGAAAGTGAAAGCTGAGTGCGTGAAGGTTTTGATGCGATGGAATTTCTTGGTAGTTGGACAGCGTTTTCGAGTTAGGAGACTGATACCCATCTTGCAGGTCTCATGATAATTACCTTGCTTATAATTTAACCGGGCACCAGTTTCAAACATCTCTGAAAATAACTTTATGCGCAGGCGCTTGTAGTTTGTATTTGATTGGTGGTAGTCGGCTCCTTAGGAAAGCTGGGATCAGTATTGTTTTCATTGGACGCGGCGCAGCCCGTATCACATTTGTTACAGTACGCGCAAAAATTGAAACCCAATACTCGCTCGTCCTTGCACTGGTGGCTAGAAAGCCTTCCCTCGCATTTACGCTTCTGGGGAGATACTAATCCACCCAATGTGGAGCACCCTCCGAAACGAGCTTTACCGCGCGCTATCCGTGAAGTAATCTTACGATGGTACCTTCGGATACCAAAAAGGCGAGCGACAATGAAATTCGTCCAATATCCTAAGAGAGGAACGCAACTCACAATACAGAAATTCTCACAATTCCCCCTTATATTTCATTATCGTGAAAATTTCGCGGAATTTAGATCTGCTTCTTTCCTATTAAGCAAAGGACTTTTAAAGAGTTTCGGGCGTTCCGTTGAAATTTGGTGTGATTTTCCAAACGTAGCAATTTTGGTACTGTATTCCTCGGCTGCTGGCGGCTGGACGGTTTTCAATGCCGCGCACCTTCGGAAAGTTGTCGCACGAGAGCATGTGCCGCCACCCCCTCCCTGCGTGCTGGTCTCAGATAGTTCGGGGGCTACGCCCCTGAGCTCGTTTCAACCTACGTAAAGTTCTCCGGACCACCCAAATTCAAGCTCTTTAGAGAGTCCGACAAAAGTATATAGAAAAGGTATGGCAGCCATTGAAGACCAAATTCCATGGCCTTATCTATTATGAAATAGATTTGTATAAGTCAAGAAAGCCATATGTTTTAGCTGCTCCAAGAGAGTGCCGCCAAGTCAGGAGTTGAAGCGGCAAATATTAGCCAGCCCAACCCAGCCCAAAGCGAAGCGAATCATGCACCAGAGCGTGTCAGAATTCGTGACGCGCTGACCAGGTGCATCGCCAAAAGTCCCTCTTTATAATATTATAAATACATAGTATTCTTGTAATATTTTCTCAAATTAAGGGTCGAGCAGTTTCAAAAACCTAGTAATAATTTCATTAAGATAGATTATTACTTTTGTTTAGTTTAATTTTTAAGCTCGAATATAAATTTACTTTTACTATAGCATTAATAATTCCCTAAATAATTATAAGAAATCTAAAGTTTATTTAATAAAAATAAATTAATAAGTATAATTTTGTAACATATTCAAGAGCTAGGTTTACTCGTCGGCAATTCCTCGCTTTGCTAGTGTTACGTCGTAGATAATAAAGGTCACATTAGCATGACATGACGTAAGCGGTACCTTAGAAATAGCGCTCCCCTTACGTAGCAATTAATCATCTTTCACATTTCACTCAACTTACTCCTCTTGTGTAACAGCTAGGCCCGACTTGCACCAGCAAGTCGGACCCAGCAACTCCAACATATCAACAACTCCAACATATCAGCAACTCCGACACTATTATATAAAACGGCCATTAAAGGAGCTATTATAATAAATTTCTATTGTGCTTATAGCCTTTAATTAAGCGATGAGAGTATATTGATCCATTTTATTATTTTATGCGTAGTTTTATATAGTAGTAAAAAAGGTAAGCAAAAGTCGCAATGTCGGGTGTGCGAAGGGCGATGTTACGTGGCACTAGCCACGTGGTGCCATTGCACGTGACTTGGCGTGTAGCCAGTGCTTTTTTTGGTTCAAAATTACTCGTTGCTTTATATGGCGAGCTCGTATAAAATCGATGTATAGCACAATACCACGCCCCTAAATTAAAAAGGAATATATGGTGCACTTATATTGTAGACTCAGGGTTTTTCAAATATAATTTTTTTATGACTATTTAATGCGTGGTTGCGTTTTTATTTAATAAAATAGGTCCAAAAACCCATGTCGGACATTGCCTGTGATGTCAGAGTTTGTGGCGCCAGCGCATGCCCGAACCGCACTAGTGATGTGAGACATTTGCGCTAGCGCCTTTCATTTTAGACTTAGCGGGCAATTTTGAGCCTTATCATCTGCTGCCAGCATCACAATTTTCAGTTGAATCATATCCCCTATCAGTATCAAAATCTTGTTTGTATACGACATGTTCAACGACGAGGACCTCATAGAATTGTCTCATCCCAAGTACTGGGATGGGCGTTATCGCTCTGAGCAAAGGGTTACCCAGAATGGCATACAACCAGTGCTCGATTCCTATGAATGGTTTCGCAGCTTTGAGCAACTTCGCCCTTTTTTTGAAAACAACCTTCCACCCTCCTCTAGCGGATGTCACATACTCCATTTAGGTTGTGGAAATAGTGTAATTATCCACTTTTTTCGATGGTTTTTTTGCGCACAAGAAGTCAGAAAGGCTAATCACGTCACCAAAATATAGAACTTAACAGCGGACCTTTACGCCCTTGGATACACGAATCAGACAAGCATCGACTTTTCTCAAGTAGTTATCGACGCGATGATGACGAAGTACTCGGATCTGGAAACTCGATGGGGTGTTATGGATGTGCGCGAACTACAATTACCAGATGGCTCAGTCGATGTGGCAATTGACAAAGGTACGCTTGATGCTATGATTCATGGCTCCTTATGGGATCCACCGGCCGACGTGCAGAGTAATGTGGGTAAATACGTAGATGAGGTAAAGCGTTTCATTTCCTCACAGGTATTCGATTTTGCTGAATGCCGATAGGTTGCGCGGGTACTCAAACCTGGCGGGCAATGGCTCTACATCACATATCGACAACCCCATTTTATGAAACCGTTGCTTGAACGCAAAGACTCGTGGGATTTCGCGGTCAAGACACTGGGCGATTCTCAAGGGACAGGCGAATTTGACTACTTTGGCTTCATTATGAAGAGGCATGAGGCTTCGAATACTTCTTAGACAACCACACATGCTGGATGCGAGACAGATACAACATGGTATCTCGCCAAAGTGACATCTACTTTGCCTTGTGACATGTCAGACAATACCTTTTCCCATACGACTCTGCCGTTCTGCGGACTCTCGTCAAGGCTTTGACCAACACTCTCATGCCACTGTCCATCGAATATGTTGTGATAATACCGATCTTTGAAACGAGATCAAACTCCGGCCAAGCGATCCGCGAGGCAGTACCATTACGGTATGGGTCGAGGGTCCGCAAATATCTGCAGATAGCAAGCTCGAGGGCTGCCTTAAGCTTTCTTACCCATATCAGTTCGAGAGGGTTGGTAGACTCCATGATGTAGCGCGCTATCTAGAACCAGCACGGCCTGTTATATTCTCGTAACTTCAACTGCTGCATTGCCTCTCCTCCTCTTTAACTACCTCCTTTACTTCTTTATATTATATTTGTAAGGAACCCTTCTTCTTTTAATCTAGTAATAATTATTTCTTAGATCTTTATAAAAGCTATTTATAATTTCTATTATTAGCTCTATAAATAGGCTCTTATTAATTTTATTTATTTATTATAATAAAAGTTCTAATATTTTATTAATTTTATATTATTAAATATAACTAGTTAATATAATTATTTTATTAATTAGTTTTTATTCAAAAGAGCTTTTAATTAAATATTTTATATATATAATTATTTTTTATTTTTTATTTTTTATTTAATAATTTAATTAGAAATATTTAATAATAATATTATTATTATTATAATTTCCAAAGACCTAATATCTGAAATATTTAGCTAAATACCTAAATGCCTTCTAGATATATATATAATATAATTACTTTATTAGAGAAATATATTTGAAATATACTAGAAATATTTAGAAGGCTAAGTTCTTTTAAAACTAGTATATTATAGAATATATATATTTCTTTATAATTTTCTATATTCTAGTTTTCTCTTTTTTAGCTTTAAATTATTTTTATAAAAAACTTTTTATTTTATTTTCTAAGTCCTAAATACTATATTTATAATAGTATTTAAAGCTTATTTTTCTTAATTCTATAAAGGATTTTAAATAAACTAATTTAATACTATTAGAAATATAAATATTATTAAGATAATAGAACTTCAGAAATATAAGTAATAGATTTTAAAATAATAAAAATAAAAAGTTTTAAAATTCTTAAAAAAAATTAGATATTTATATTTTTATAAATATATATTAATAATATATTAAAAATCTTTCCGAAAATCCTGAAAATTAAAGAATCTTATATAAAGACTAGTTTTTAATTAAGTTCTAGAATAATAAATATCTATAAGCTAATAACTTAATTATTAATTTTAAGTTCTATTTTATAATTTTATAAATTCTATATATATACTAATAATAAGATTATAAAAAAATATATAATAAAGAAAAAATATATAATAAAGAAAAAATATATAATAAAGAAAAAATATATAATAAAGAAAAAATATATAATAAAGAAAAAATATATAATAAAGAAAAAATATATAATAAAGAAAAAATATATAATAAAGAAAAAATATATAATAAAGAAAAAATATATAATAAAGAAAAAATATTAATTTCTTTTAAGGCTTCTATTAATTTAAATTATTTTATTAGTAGCTTTTCTCGAATTAAATATCTTATTAATATTTTTAAAGATTTTTTAAATAAATCTATAAAAGAAAAGGCTTTTCTTTTTATTAAAAAGTTCCTATATACTAATTAGTTTATTATTATTAAAGAACTATATAAATGAATTAAGGAAACTAATTATATGTTTTTAGATATTAATTTAATTATTATTAGCTATTAGAAAAATCTTAAAAACATTATTTTATATAAAATAAATTATAAAAACATTAAAAGCCTTTTTGAAAATACTAAACTTTATAATATTAAACTCGAAAATAATATTAAATATTATATAGCTATAATAAATTAATTTATAATAGCTCTAGGTACTTTTATTTTATTTGCTTTTATTATTTTTATAATTCCGGCTATTTTAATTTTTTTTTAAAGAATTCCGAATTATTTCTTATTTATTTCTATTTAGAATTTCTTATATTTTATATTTTCTTTAGAAATACTAGAATTACTAAGTTTCTAAATCTAATTCTTTTTACTAGAAATTATACTATTTTTAATAATTAGCTAATTTAGATTAAAAATAAGCTATAAAAAATATTAATTTATATTTCTTAAAGAATTTTAAAATTATTTATATTTCTAGTAAATTTATAAATAATACTTTTATTCTAACTAATTCTTATATAAATAAAAATAATTTAAATTAATATTATTAGCTTTTAGAATTATATTTCTGTTTAAAAGAACTATATTCTAATAAAATATAAAATACTTATTATAATTTTAATAAGCTTTAAATATATTTTAGTTAAATATTTCAGGAATTTTATATTCTTTTTTTATAATTATTTAAATAAAGTAATATTAGTTTTTAAAATATTAAATATAAACTAAATAAAAAGCTTTTATTAAAACTTTAGAAATTAGTATATATATATTATAATAATTCTTCTATTTAATATTATATTATTAATAATTAGTAAATTAAGGCTATATATAAAAAAATTAAAAAATATAAAAAAACAGGAATTATTTTAGTTAAGTTTATTTCTAGTATTATATTTTCTTATATTTCTAAAAAAGAGCTTAAGAAGTCTATATTAATTACTTTTATTAAATATATATCTTTTTATAAATATAAATAATATTTTATAAAAATTAAAGATTTCTTAATTATTAAATATTATAACTATAATAAATTTAGCTATTATATTAAATATTATTTAATTAAATATAATAAGAAAATTAAATTAGCTTTTTTTTAGAATTAAATTAGATTTAGTTTTTATTCTAATAAAGTATTTAGAAAATTTAAGTTCTAATTCTAATATAAAACTAGAAAACAAGTATTTTTAAAAAAAAGTTTCTATTTTAGGAACTTATAATATAAATTTAGTAAAGATTAATTTAATTTATCTAATAAAAAAATACTCTTATAATATTTTATATTATTAATATAAATAAATTAGAAATTAAATATTTTTTTCTTATTAATATTAGAATTAATAGTTATATTTTTATTAATATAAAATTTATTTAGCTTATAAAATAATTTTTAAAAATAGAATTATAATTTCTTTTTTTATTTTATACTATATATAATTTTAATAAAAAGCTAGCTGAATTTATTAAAAGAATATATAAAAGTCTTATTTTTAATTACTAAATAAAATATTAATATATTTATAATTATTTTAAATCTTAGAAATTATAATATTATTTTTAATAAAAAATAAACTATATATATTAATATTCTAATTAATTATAGAAAATATAGGCTTATATAACTATTAGTTTACTAGAAATATATAATACTATTATATAATTATAGAATACTATTTATATAAGTTTCTAAAGTTATTTTTTAAAAATAAGAATTATAGTATTATAGTATTAATATATAATTCTCAAATCTGCTAAGCCTAATAGGAACTAGCTACTAGTCGAATTACTAATATAATACGAGGTTATATAATTATTACTTTTAGTTATTTTTATATTATATAATTATATTATATAACTATTAATAATTATAATTATACTAATACTAGAATTTCTTTAAAAATACAAAAAACAAAAATAGTACTTCTCTTTAATTATATATAAATTTCCTAATCTGGTCTAGTACTAGATTTCCCAAATATTCTATATATTTATATTGCTTTTAAGGTTTTAGTTATATACTAAAGGCTATAGCCTTTTATATATAACTTCTCCTCTTATAATATTCTTCTATTTCATATATTTATATTCCCTAATTTAGCCTAGTATTAGATACTTAGATATTAGATATCTAGATATTCAGGTACTCAATTTCCTAATCTAGCCTAGTACTAGATACTTAGATACTAGATACTAGATATTCAGATACTAGATATTTAAATACTAGATACTAAAGAATCTTTATATATATTCTTTTATCTTATATATTTATTTCCTATTTTATTTATATTTAATTTATTTCTTTATATCTAACTATATAATATTTATATTAATAAGATACTTAAAAGTATTTAATAGCTTTAATTTTATTATAGAATTAGTAGAATTTAATTCTTCTTTAATTTATTTAATTTCTATAATCTCTTATTATTTATATATCTAGTAAAGATATATTATATTAATTATTAGATATTTCTTTTAAGTAATACCTAATTTAATAAAGTATTTATATAATAACTTCGAATTTATATAAATAATTAATAATAGTTCTATTTCTAGTATTTTATTAATTATAGATTTAACTAAAGCACTTATATTAAAACTATAAGCTATATTAAAAAGTTCTAAAGCTAAAATACTTCTAGTAACTCTCTTATATTTAGTAAAGAACTAGTAAATAATATTAGTATATCTAGTTCTATTTACTAGAACTAGAATATATTTAATTTAGAAAAAGAAATTTCTATTATTTATAAATAAAGTATTTATAAAAATAATTAAATATAAGAACTTCTTTATTAGCTTTATAAATCTTAGTTCTCTAATAGTATTCTTAATTTATTCTTAAATATATTTATTAAATATCTTTATATTAGTTTTCGAGAATTTAATAGCTTAAGTAATAATTAATAAATTATATAAAGTTTCTAGTTAATAAACTAATATAATATATACTTCTCTAGTATATTAGGTAATATATTAGTTTTTAATAAAGAGATTTTAATAAATAGTACTCTTATTACTTATAATAGTAGTATTTTTTATAGAAATAATTTAAAAGGTTTTATATTAGTATTTCTATATAAAAATAATTCTAGTAGTATTTATATAAATAATACTTTTATTAAACTTGAAATTATAGTTAAAAGTAAGTAATTTATACTTTTTAGCTAAAAACTTAGCCTTATAAAGCTTTAGTTACTATTGGTATAGCTATTCCTTTAGGAGTCACGTGCGTAGTCACGGGACACGGGACACGGGACATAGGCAATAGGACATGGGATACGGGACATGGGATACGGGATATAGTTATGTGACCTCGCGTCCCATTAGTGACTCGACTAGTAGACTAGACTCCTTTAGGCTTAGCAGATTTAGGGATCGCATATTAATACCACGATACTGCAATCCTTACTTCTAAATAATAACAACTTTACTAACCATACGCAAATAGCATTCCATAACTTACGTAACAATGCCATGCATTACTAGTAAACCGATAC